GATCGTCACCTCTGTTGACTACCTTGGACTAGCACGTCTCAGGGCATGTATATATGGTCGCCTCCTAGCTAGCAAGCAACTCAGCGCAGTTTTCCATCGATACATACGGCGGCTGCGTCTGCCGCAACAGGTTTTGATTTTCTGGATTAGCTTGTAATGTCAAGAGAGATTAAAAGCAGTGTCTTGGACTTGGTGGGGCGGGGGCTGCTCTACGCATATGCTCGCTTTCACATCAGACACACTGCGCGTACCCAGAACTACAAATGTCTCAACCCATATATTAGCACTGAATCACGCATTAGGCTTGGTACGAGTCCTGGTTGACAGTTCAATATGCAGTGGATGTCTGTTGGCATCAAAGGTTGAAAACAGAGCCTACAATGTGTTTTGAAGAATGCAGTTTGTCAGCTTACTGTAGAAAATTCTGTTATGGCACACGTAGCCGCTGTATTTACTATTTATCGATGGAAAACTACTCTGAGTTGCTTGCTAGCTAGGAGGCGACCATATATACATGCCCTGAGACGTGCTAGTCCAAGGTAGTCAACAGAGGTGACAATCAATGCCTATAGGACTAACTTACACCGCAACACACACACCTAGCTGCTGTGAACAACAAAGCTAAACGTTTTACTATCAGTACTAACGTAGATTATTACTGAGCTGGCTATATCACCAAACTAGCTATTTTCTCTTAGCACAACTAACACAAGTCACTATAACTACAACTACTTACTATTAAATAGTAACCTAGCATACTACGTGCTTGTATTAGATTTAGAAGATATTTCTACACCCTCCTAGCATGTTTGTGTGTTGTTTCTAGTCTTGCTGTAGTTCCTACAGTGCTAAACAGTTAACTAAGCTCCTAGTTAACTACCTCTACCCTAAGTCTTCTTAGATAGCTAAGCTACTACAGACGCCTTAGCAGATACCTGCAATGCTGCTAGGCCATACTTAAGTGTGCTACTATGCTAAATCTGCTTTCTCTTATACAATTTTCTCTTAGTTATTACTACTAATTACTCTTTAAGCTCTTACACGCAGGCCTTAATAAGGACATTTTTATATAGTATCTCTTTAGCCCTATTTATAAGCTTTAAGAACCCTTCTTATACTATACTTAGTAATTATTAGAAGGAGTTACTTATAAGCTTAGATTAAGACCTAAACTTGTATGTATTACTTAGTGTCTTAGATTGCTATAAAGTTTTAGGTAGAGGTACTACTAGTAGGGTATGCAGCTGTACTTTAAGGCAATCTAACACTACCTGCGTGTTAGTAGGAACAAGCCCTAATACCTTAAAGGCCTTTTAGTAGTTAACCTTTATAAATATATTGTAATAGAGTAGGCGCCCTGCCCTTGAAATCAATACTACGTGACTTCTCTGCCTATACCAAAAGGTAAGCACAAGAATACTTAAGCAAGTGTTCGTTGCGTAGTATAATATATATAGACAATAATAGTGCTAGCCAGCTAGCTTTGCCTCTAGCTGCTATGAGCGCTATGCCACGTGTCGTGTTCGTGCATAGTCGTTACATATATTAAGGAACACGTCCCTAAAGGCTAGTAGAAAGCCTTCCTTATTAATATAGAAGATATGTTAGTGTGCTAAGTCTTAAACATGTTAGGAATACTTATACTTTAATAGTAAGAAATAGACTATATTAAGTAGCTAGAGGATGTGTAATAAGTAAGGTAGTATTGTAAAGAAAGTAGGGGAAGGACTAGACTACTTTCTTCCTAGTCTAGAAGGACCTAGACAAATCTAGACTAGCTTTGTCTAAATAGGAAGCGTATAGCCTAATAGAGGTAAGGTAGGGTTACGTAATATAATAGACAAGTTATTATATTAGATACTAGGTAGAGATTCCTAGGCTAGGTACAGAGCGAACAGAGGGGGGAGAGCCAAAGGTATTTATGCTTCTTCTCCTCTGTGTGTATTTCTAAGCAGAACGTTCTAGACTCCTCTAGGTGGGTCTACTTAGTAATCTATGCTTAGTATTGCTGCATATACAAGCAAGATTACGTAGGTGCATGCGTAATTATATACGTTAGCATCTTACAGAGTAGGCTACTCTATTTGTAAGCAGAGGGTCTAGAACATTTCTAGTTACTAAAAATAGAGAACAGCATATCTTAAGAACAAGAGGAGATACAGGCTTTGTAAGCACACTATTCTAATCCTCTCTTTTAGGAGATTATAATGACAATGCTTAGGTAAGCATAGCGCTATACCTAAGAAGGAAATACGCTAGAGAAAGATTATAAGAACAAAGTCTTATAACTTTACAAGTATATAGAGAGTAAGGATTTTGTTTTCCTAATGTGTCTTTGTATGCGTGTTAAAGTGCTTTAACTACTTAAGGCTAAGTATATTATTTGTCTAACTATTCTTAGAGACTAAGAGCTTCTAATTATAGGGTTTATCTATCTCCTTATACTAGGCAGAGATGTGGACGCGTCCTTTGTAGATAATAAAAGGCAGGGTTGCATACCTAGCAGCGCAGATGCTCTAGATAACAGTGACCCACTTGCAATCACCTAGCTAAACAAGCTCTAGCTAAGCATGTCTCTCTAAGCCTGTTACAACCTTTAAAGACAAAGTAACACCTATCTAGAACCTAGTTTTATTAAAGTTATATATATTATTATTATAAATACTATACTTAACTTTAGTATCCTCTACTAGCTTAAACTACACACTAATTATCTTAGGATCTTCCTGTAGTATCCTCTGTCTATCCTTAGCTTAATTAAAGGCTATTTTAAGCTTGTCTAAATATATTATAAGCCTACTAGCCTATAGTTTACTAATAGGCTCTTTACTATAAACACTAAGTATCTTATTAGCTATATCTGCCACCTTATATAGCTAGGGCGCAAATCCTTACAAAGTAAGGTTAAGTATATACTAGACAATTGTCTGCTCCTCTAGTATAGTAAGTTTCTAGCAATTAGTGTGTATATCTAGTTAAAATGTAATATTGCAAAGGCAATTAGAGACCTACTAATAAGGTACATTTAACACTCTAGCAGCGCTGTAGATACTGCGAAATTGGCTAGCATAGAAGGCCTAGATAGTAAGGATAACTCTACCTTCTCTAGTAGTATTCTAAAGTTGTTGTTGTTAAGGCATGTTGTGTTAGGGTAAAAGGTGGTTGTGCCAAGAGAAAGTGGCTGGTTCAGTGATATGGCCGGCTCGGTGATAATCTACGTTACATATTACCCTACCTTACCTTACCTAAGTTATATATTACCTATACCCTACCTTACCTCTATTACGTGTTACCCTACCTATACCTACCAATCACATGATTATACCCTACCTAACCCTACCTTACCCATCTGCCAGTCTACTTGCGCGGACACTAACCTTAAACCAATTTCAGCCTATTTGCCAGCTTAGCTGTAATCAACCTAGAGACAGTCTTTAAACATAAAAATATCTCTGTAGGGGCATATTACGTGTTTTGCAGATCCTTCTTATGCTGTTAGGCCGTCTAAGCTGCCTGCTTCGCCTGACATTGCAATGGATAAGGCAATTGGACGTGTGCGCTGATGGTAGCTATAACCAGAATTTAGTCACAAGATTAGCAATTAACGTGTGCTGCTCTCCTTGCTGGTCTTTCTTAACAAGCTCCCGCAGCTGCGCAGCTGTCTAGGTGTTGTTAAGTCCCCTAATTAATAGTATAAAGTTCTTCTGCGATTAATTGCTATTAATTTCTATCATCTTGGCTTATCTTATGAGTCTAGTGATTGTCACCCACTTATTAAACCACGTATCCAGATTTGTCTTCCTTGGCCTTGTACTAACAGCTCTGTAGCAGCTGCAAAGCTAGTAACCTCGCTCACCAACTAATAGACAGAGGTGCTTCTTGAGCGTCGTCAATCGACTGTACAGATCTAAGCAGTCAAGAATAAGGTCTAGATGCTTGACGTCAATTGTCCTAGCAATCTTAGTGATGAAGCTCCTCAAGGTTTTTTCTTTCTGCAGCCATCTTGCCTTGTCACACCTGTACTTCCTTGCCCACATGTTGTAGACAGAGACCTTCCACGGCGATACACAACTGCGATGCCGCGGCTCGCTGCGAGAACACATACGCGTCGAATAGCCCCACAGCGTGACCAGAGGAGACTTCTGTAGTTACTGTGTGGGTCTGAGAGGGCAAGAGTCTTATCGATATAACCGGAGCCATGGCTGGTGGTTATGTTGGCGCGGCATAGCGGAAGATGAGCGAATACGAAGTGCTTTGGTGCATCTGGTGACTCGAAATGGATTCCATGTGCGTCAGATAGTATATTTGCACGTCTTAAGCGGCTCTAGTTGATGATTCTATGGCTGTAATTTTGCAGATTGATCAGACTGCAAGCTGTGCAGTGGTGGGAATACCGCCGAGGTTTGACCTGCCGATCAGGTTCTCCGACGCCTGCGTCTCAATGAGGTCATTTATCACGATGTCAAAGTAGGCGATGTAAGGAGTAGGCGATGTAAGGATAGTTGACAACCTTGACTCGATTTCATTGATGGTGGTGTGATCGAAAGTGTTGCGTGACCATATGTTGCGAAACGTTCACCGTACGAGCTGCAGTTTGTGATTGTAATTTCGTCTTAGTGGGATTGCGCGACAAAGCATTTGTTGGAACGCAAATTCCAATGTCGCAGTGATGCGAAAGCAACGCTGTGAGTATCGATACGACGGACCCGAGTTGCGAACAAGCTTCCGAAAGTTAAACGTGTCGTCTTGTGCAGAGATGACTAGCTTGCCGCCGATATGTTATTTTCTCGTCAATGTAGGGCTTTCCATCTGCATCTTTGTGTAGAGAGATGGTCACCGGTACGCTCTCGGCAGGGCAGCCGTCGAAGCACAGTTCCACAGAATTCATCACAGGTATAGATTCAGTCCCAAAGTTCCCAGGAGCAAAAACAGGGACTTGCGAACCGTGCCGACACACTTCAAATCTTCTGGACGGGCTGTAAAACGAAGTTTTTGAGCTCGAGACGTCCTCCCCCACGGTCGAGACACAGTAGCATCCCTATGGCAACATGGTAGAACAGGTCAGTCTCGATTGTCGATTTTGTTGCACATGCCTCAATTAGGACACCTTTGAAAGGCTCAGCGATCCAGCTGGACTCCGTGGTGGAGCCTTCGTGTAGCTTTACAGATTAGAGCCATCCCCGTACGAACAGATTGTGGGGTATGGACCTCCGCTGGCAACAATCAGACCGTTCGAGTCCTTCTTGGCCATAATCATTTCATGTCGTTCAACGGCACCGTTGTGCTCTCCAAGCGTACCTGTTGGCGCATCCTGCATCGTCAATTTCCTGTCCATGTCACAGACAATCATTCCGCGGACGCTGGTGGATACGGGTCACTGGACTGATTGGTTGTAATGAAACTTCACAGTCACTAATTCATTGGTCGAAATTTTACAGAGATGAAAACTTTCGCATGAACAAGACTCTCACCTCTGCTACAAGCTCCTTGCTGATAGTGCCCGCTGGAGTCAAGGCGGTTTGCCGTTATTGCGCAATAGCTCATCCAGGCATCAGCATGTCCACCATTTCGCTCAAAGAGGGCAGTTTGACACACCAAAGGACCAATTGTGAGAGGTCACAGTTGTTTGCGCCGTGGGTGTTCCGCGGCGCATCCTAGGTATATGGCGCTAGACTGGAGCTGCGCACAAGAGAGTCGCGGTATTTGACCTAACGGCTCGGTGAAGGTGGTAGTGATTATGTTTGGCGCCGTTGGGCAGGGGCCAAACGGTCCCGTGGGGTAAGACTGCCATATTTGATTTAGGAAAGAAGACCCGTCCATGAACCGTGGAACAAGCCAGCCACCCTGGGTGAGCCATGGAACTTCGCAATTCTGCTACTGAGTTCGGAACAGCGTATGCATCTAACCGATGGTTTACTTGATCGTATAGAAGTTCCGGTTGCCTAGCACTAGAAGCATGCTACGATTGGTCGTGCTTGCTATATAAACTGTGACGCGCTGACCGACAACAATGGCGGCTCCTGTCTGGACTCAAAATGTTCCAAGGTGGTAATGAGAACCTCTATGTACATAAAGCCCAATTGGGGCTGCTGGCTCATCATACTGTCTCGTCGTCACAGCGACCACTCTAGCGATCGTCCGCGTATGTGGTACTAGGTCCAACGACTCAGAGCTTTTGGTTCTGGCTGCATATGTTGCCTGTGTACGTATGCGGGGGCATGGAAGTTGGGCGATTGTTATTGTTGTGGGATGTCGGGTTTGCAACTGAAATTATCTTTTTCTGATAGTGGTGTCAATCATTTTCCGGCGATGATAATTTGCCATTCGAGCTTTGGCCTGAATAGGAGATGTTTGACAATGGTGATGGTAGAGTATTTCGCATGCCTCCGATTGCCAAACGATCCGCTTCGCGCTGTACGTAGAGTCTCAGACGAGCATCGGGACAGTCCGAATGCTGGCCGACAAGCTCCATCAGATCCCGCATGCCACTCTTTAAGATTTCGACTTCAGCTTTGAGTATCTTGTTCTGTCGTTCCACCTCTCGAGCGGTCTCAACAAGCTCCTCTTGCTGCCTTTTCTGTTTGCTCCTGCATTTACTCGCGGCCTTGCGATTCTTCTCAAGGTATACTGCTCGCGCAGACCCTGGTTCTGCGTATTCGGATCCCCGTCTCCGTCCTACTTGTGTTTGCGGCATCGTTGGCGATTGCGATCCAAAACTGGATTGCAGGCTGTCGCATCGGCCCTTTGCCGATAACGGACCGGCCTCGTCGACGAAAGCTGAGAAGTTCGATGGCGCGGTATGGTGCACATGTCCGTCGAATGACATCTTAACGTCAGAGCCAGGTGATGCATGGTCAGCGTCAAAGCGTGTGTTCAAAGGTGAGATCGTCGCAGAGCCACACAGGTCTAGATGGGTGTTGCTCGCTGTGAACATCACAGGTGATGATTGCAAGCCTGTCGTGGATACCCCAAATGCGCTATTCCTGCTGGAATGTGCCCTGAAATCATTGAAGGGCTCGAGGGAAGATTTGTTGCTGTAGTCGTTGTTGTTCAAGGCTTTCCGTTGGAAATTGGACTGGAGAGAATACTGTCGGTCCGACGGTCGCGTATTCGGTACATGGAATCCCATGTAGTCTGCCTGGTCCCCTTGTGAAGCAGCCCAACTATCTCCTGCGTTGTACATCGGCGCGTTTTTCGACGTTGAATCGAATTCAAAGTCAAAATGTAGAGTATTAGCACCCAGGGGTTGGACTCCTAATACAGACGTAGACATAAGTGAGGCGTGGAGGGTTAACAGGTTGGAGAAGGGTGGGGTAGGGTTATTCTTGTAAAATGTTGGGTGTCCCCTACTCGGTTCAATAATAGCAGTTCTCAGTTTCCGCGGACGAAGTTGTCTGGAACCACCAAAGACGAGGCGCTCTTATATGACTACTTGTCCCGCATGAGACTGGACACACAGATTTCTTGAGCATTTTCGGTTGGCTGCTGATCATGATGCAACGGCACAGATTACACGCCAGTAAGGCCTGTCCCATCCATAGCGGAAAGTTGGCCGCTTCGCAGCAGAACATGGGGCAATGGTAGGGGATTCAAGCAATGGCCCATGCGCTCGGGATGCTACGACTTTGCGGCTAAGGTGGGATGTCTCTGCCATCGCAGGCATTTGCATGTTAGCGCTGCGCGAAGAACCCCTTCAGCTGCCGACCGTTTGCGGCGGGCATAGGGTTTGAGCAGGCGTAGCCTAGATCATCTGAATAGAGGGCCGCGTTAGCCAACCTGACCGTGCATGAGACTTCGTGGATTGGGTGGAGCTTGGCAGCGATTCGCCCTACCGGTGAAGCTCGCCGGAGCTAATTAAAACGTCTCCGGACGTGGAGTTCGCCAATTCGCCTAGGCCCAAGGCGACGACTGTAACAGGTGCAGGTTTGTTCCGGGCTGGCTTCCGCGGGACAGGGAAAGGAACGGCGTTAAGGGTCTCGTGGTGGCGGCGGCGGCTAAATATTGCAGTCGAGATGGCTTCGGTTTCCTTGAGAAGGTTCGAACTGACTATGGCGGTCGCTTGCTTCCATGCTGTTGGCTGTTGGGTGATGCTCAGCCGAGCGGCTCATACAAAAGGTTCCTTCCGGAGCCAGTGGGCACTAGGCTAAACTCGGCCAGCGCACCGTTGCAAGCTAATTTTGGAAATGTTCGACCGGTCTTTCTATAAAGCCACACCGTTTCCCTCTTTTGTTTAAGGATGAGTACATGGCCGTTGAAGGAGAATTAATTAATACGTTGCCCATTCAAACCGGCGGCGATTGCTGTGCTCTGAAAAACGGCCCAGCTTCAGCGTTAATCCGGCTGCTAGCTCGCAGGTGTGCGAGTGAGAGGTCTCTAGGCGAAGGGACGCTTGCATTCCTCTGGAAGGCTGCAAATGCATTGCTAGGCCGAGTTTCCGTACCGGTGCCTCACGAAAGAGCCCAGCTCTCTACGTCAGGGGGTCTCCGTAATTCACAAACACGTGCCAAGGAGACCGACAAACCTAGCATATGAGCCACGGCAGAGTCACTTCCGATGTCAAGTCTGAAAAAGTAGCACTCGGACTAGTCGAGTGACAGCGGAGTCTTACACTAGATACTGACAACTTTGGCTGGCAAGTCAGTGATGCCTCTTCACGGAAGTTTCTCGCACCTAGTTCAAGCCCTCAGGATTGCCATTCGACACCTACCGCATAGCTCAGATTCCACAGGCATGTTGCATCCGCCATGTCGGGGAGCTGGTAGTCGTGCGGATAACCCCCTTTAGCGACCCGCATGCTCGGTGAAGATTGCCTCAGCCAATGAGAGAGCCACCGGATCTTTCTTCCATCCAGTGAATCTCGCTCTTTTACGCGTCAACAGTGCCAACTCGTGCCAGTTTGCTTACACCTTCGAAATCGCTCTGTGCCGTCTACTCTTCCTCTCATTTGAACAGGTCTGGGCTTTTTGCTGCTGCAAGCCTTGGCTAGCAGAGAATCAAGAACGATGGTTCAACAGACGCTTAGCTCAGGCACAGCGACTAATGCTAAGCTGGTTCGATGTCTTTCGATCCTTCGGCGGGTTTACACACCAGGGATCTGCTCACAAGGCTCGACCTTTGCAAATGATGAGCCATAAGATTGCAGACCCTTCATGCTTAGTCTTGACCGCATGCAATTTATCCATCTGGGGCAATGGAAACCTCAAGCTTTGGCCTAGACGTACTTGTCCGGGAATGGATGTCTAAGCTCCAACATTCTCCGAAAAGCACAGAGCTTTGAAACCCCTTCAATAGTGAAGCACCCTTGATGCGTTTGACCCTTGGTGCGTTTGAGGTACTACATCTTGGCAATAGACGTAAAAAAAGACCGCTCATGCCATCGCCCCGGCCGCCTGTATCTCCTGTCCGCTGTATTGGCATAGAGGGTCTCTCACGTCTCCAGAGGGCTGCGCGATAGGGCTAAGGAGTCTCTTTCATCATCAGCAACACTTCCGCGGTACCGATACGGTGCTGGCCAAGCAAACCGAAGCCAATTACACAGTATGAGAGTTCTCAGCAGATTATCTATGTTAGAGTTCCTCTACTCCACTGCGCCGCGTAGACTACTCGGCGCATTGCTCCAGCAGTATCGACTCAGGCTCTCCTTCACTACGTCTGCTTATCGATGATATGCACATTGATACGGCTCAATAGCCCTCAACGCTTCCAATTTGATGTGGTACCATCCGTTAGATAAAGCAGAAGAAATGCAAGCACACAATGATCATGCAACTGGAACAAACACTTTACGCTGACAGGACGGCTTTGTGATCCCCTCCTTTGAGCTAATTCGGAGCGGACTCTTCGTGCTTCTGAACCCTGCGCTATTCTGTTGGCTTTGGAGTGTGCAGGTCTCGGGTACCTAACACGCTGACAAGGCCAGGAGTGCACATGTGAGAATCTCTCGCTAGGCAAGGTGTCTACATTCAGCCAGCCAGGCTGACTCGTGCAACGAGAACGAATTGTCAAAGAGTACGCAGTTGTGAGCGGCTCACCATTGACAACCGACAGCGACAGTAACGAGTTGCACATCGCTGTGAGAGTAAAAGGTATTTTTCTCCTTGAACAGTGAGGAGATATAGCAGAAGCCTACGTCGTGGCGAGGACTGGAGTACGCGCTTGAATCCGTGGTGTGCAGAATGTGGTCTTTGCACGTCTCGAGACGCATCGATTTAGGCTGGCTGCTTGTCTCCCGATTCCCTGGACTATCGTCAGCCCTCACACCAATCGCTAGAAATGCAGCCTCTGACTGTGCTTATGCGAGGTGCCGCTCCATATGGAGAACCCCCTTCAGAGACCCACAATCGTCCAGTGGGCAAGTATTGGTTGAATGACTGGAAACCCTGGAGGTACGTAGATGAAAGAGTGGCAAGAGGATTGAACTTTATCATCAGCGGAAGACGGTCCCCCAATGGGGGCCGTTCAACGACGCTAAAACATGCTAGTAGGGTGCAGGGCAGGCCCAATTCGATGATGCGTTCACTGACACTTTGTTTCGAACTTGGCGGTGATTTAGTTGTCGTGGACATGCAGTTTAAAAACGCCATACATCAGCAGTCCACACCTACTCTTTCGGGTAGGTTCGGCTAGTGAAGATGCGAACAATATCGCCTTATTTCGGCTTGTCTCGATGATGCATCGTTACTTGAGCAAAATGAAGATCTCAACGATTGAATGCCTCGACTCTTCACTGGACGCGTTCAAGAAGATTACCTCGAACGGACCTTAGCAAGCAGGACTGCCATCAATCCCTGTGCCGTCTGGATGCGCCAGCACATCGATAGCCATTAAGGTGCACACTACAAGCGTCCGGACGCCTCATCCGCTTTGCAGATGCTACAGGAATCATTATCACGGGTAGCAAATGAACTAAGCTCTTTGGGGCATTTCTCGAGAATGCGCATCACTTGCGAGATGGCAAAGAGTAACCCTACGTGGTTGACGACACCGGTACGCAGCTTGATCTGACTGATGTAAATATATCTTATTCTTTCTGGAAGGAATGGTTAATGGTAAGTGTGGGTGGCATCGCTTCATCATTTCACGTGTTACGATTTGACATTGCAAAAACGATCTCTCTTGATTATATTATACAAATATCATGCTTGTACTTGGGGCTAGAGCTTTGAGTATCTCATTTCTTCCTGACTAAGTTCAGTAGGCCCAGGAAATGGTCCGGTCCGTTGTTTGCCTGTTCTTTTCTACGCACCATGAGACGCATTGCTGTCTCTTTGGCTGGGATCCCATGTGCTTTTTCCTTCGACCCTAAAGCAACCTTGATATCTCCTGTCAATTCATGCTCCATAACGTTGTGTGAGTCTGCAGCCCGTGATAAAGCTCTGTGCTCTGGCTCTGACCCAAGTGCTAGCATTGATGGGGTCGACTGGATGGCCCTATATCTCTTGTCCAGACCGACAGGCTTGGGTGAAAGGGCTGATGAATCGGGTTCTGTTAGATTTGGTGACTCTAAACTTGGAGATGCCAAATATACTTCGATTCCTTTTTTAAGGAACAGATTGCCTGTGACCGGCTTGTGAGTCTTGTAGACAACTGTATCCGCCATCGCAGACTTTCGTTTGACCGTTCCGACTGGATCAGGAAGTATCTGAGTTCCAGCAGACGTAAAGAGTACCTTCGTCTTGTGACCTGCAGGGCTGCGCTGCGTTTTTTTGTCTTGGCCTTCCTCCCGTTCGACAGCTGCTTGGGTCTTAGGACGATCCTGCGAGGCTGCAGGTTCTATGGTCATGACGCGATCTCGAATTTGGGAAGGCACATCGGGCTTTGGCAATTGTAGGGGTGGCGTGTCTGAGCGGTCGTTCCCTTGATACGTCTCCTCTGGTACATCCCGTGATCTCAACACAGGGTTGTTTTGACGATGATCTAGACCTGATTCTAGGTGGTCGCCGTGCTTACTCTCAAGAGCTTGGCCTTCTGCTTCGAGCCTTGTATCAATCAGACTCAGCACGAAACTCGTAGCAGCAGCCTAGTCAACCATCAGGAATTCACTCTTCGACAGAGGGCTGAGCACATATTACCGCTGTTTGATTCTCAAGCGTGGATTCTACCCTATTTCGTTCGTCTTGCACCTGCCTTAGAAAGGTGTCCACGGTGAAAGTGGCTCGCTCGCGCCCGTTGACCCATCGCATAAAGTTCAGCAAGGAATCGAGCTGTGTCTGCGTGCCACCGAAGATGGCATCATAAGCTGGGCTGGTCTTGACGTTGGTCTGATGGCTTGTAGCCTGCTGTGTGGCTTCCGGATCGTACAGCATGGCTGCAGTGTGTTGTGAAGGCGCCGTCGAAACGCTGAACTCGAGCGAAGGATGATAGCGCAGCATTGTAGAAGCTTGCTTACATCAAGAAGTGAGAGAATAGAGCGTTATGGATAGTGATGCTGATGAAGTTGATACAGCGATTGTGGGTCAAGCTCGAAGTGAAGAAGGAAAAAACCTCGCGTGCGCAAGCGTCAAATTCCCCTCGAGATTCAAGTAGAAAACTTGGGCTGCGCAGACCGCACAAGACCAAAGTTACAACTAAGAGTGACCGAGACCCTTATATAAGAGGAAGTTCGCAAAAAAGAGGCAGTAAGGAAGGTGCGAGCGCCTTCCTCTCGTACATATACTCACCATCAAAGCCTCAGAAGCCAGCATACACACGACTACTCTAGATAACCCCACGCAACGCAGTTTGCTCTCGAGCTCAGCTGCTAGATCCACGTAGCTTCCGTGAACTCTCGCCCTCACTTTCGCAAACCCAGCAGCGCACACCCTAACCCCAAACCAGCTAGGCAGGGTCCTGCACCTTCCAGTCCTCCGCACCCAACCTGCGACAGCTCCTCTGCTCCCTAAAACAATCTCAACTATCGCAAGCAGCTCGATAGGCTGGCTCTCCTATCCGGATTCCCTCTTCACGGCGCATCTTTGTGCGACGCGCCGTTGATATTGCCATCGAGCTGAACGGTGAGATGATCCTGCAGTCAGCGGGGCGTGCAGCTCCGCATCCGTCAATTCCTCCTTCACACAACCAATGATGGGGGCTTTGGAGAAGTGTTCCGGACCATTCGCGAACGCTGACGGGTACACGTCCGCACACACCGTGTGGTGATGCGAGGTGTGGACGGCGAGTTGAGATTGTACCTGCAGCATGTCGACCGTGGACAGAGTGAGGAGAAGCTTCAGCTGAAGAGGGGAAGTCATGTACAGGATTTGTTGAGCGGGAAAGGGAGGATACAAATCCAGCCAGTGGATGTGATGGGTGCAGGAGGTCTAGGGATTGCTGCATGCAGGTACTAAGGGCTAACTCGATTGAGTTTGCACGGGGTCGTGAATTCATGATATGTCTGGGACATAGGTATGTGGACATGCGTGCTTGCTAGATACGTTTTGTTACTGCCGCGTGCTTCAAGCTCACGGTCTTTGTCAAACTCTGCCAGCTTTGCTAGCGACAAGGGCCCTTGAGAGCCACAAAGACACGATGCGACGCAGATATGAGTCTCTATTCCCAAAACCTCTCCCTGCATCTTCCGTCTTCATTCTCACAATGCCTCCCTGGAACCGGTATGATGAGAACAGCCGCAGGAGACGCGTTTCTCGGGCTGAACGGCTAGAATGCAGATTTGCGAAATACCATCGGCAGGCAGACGTGCTCCTCGACGGTCTTGACGTTTGGGAACCAGACAAGCGAATATTGGCTGACTGCAATGTGCGGTACGGAGAGTATACGCACAACCCAGAAGATGCCGTAGAGAAGATTGCCCGGCCGAACGACGTCCTTGTCGCTCTCGACAGGCAAATGAGGGAGTACAGACTCCAGGTTACCCCAGTGAGGAAGTAAAGTCAGAAATGTTGGTATTGATCGGCCGGTGAGAGTACGGCCTGGCAAGGGGATCGTGGTAGCAGCGGCTGCGGCAGTCGGAGAGCCGTCCTTGTACTTCCTCTGGAAATTGTGTGACCCATAGCAGTGTTTACTCGCACAAATGGAAGACACTTTCAATTTTATTTCATCCTGCATCTTTCTCGACCTTGGGCTTGTTCTTTGAGCCTGGCGGACGGCCACACCTTGGCTTAGGTGGTCCTCTAGGCACAGCGATCTGACCACCCCGAGGCGATGGGGCAAGATGTAGGGTGGGTTTCCGTCCTTTCCTAGCTGGAGTAGAAGTTTTTGTAGCATCCTCTTCCTTCTTTGGCCGGCCACGTCCACGTCTTGGATGGGCCAATGGCGCTGTAGGTCTCATGCTTCGATCTTCGCCGAGTTCAATCATGCGAATCATGTCGAGCGTATCCTGGTCCAGATGGTCTCGCTCGGAAAAGATCGGCGACCCCATCCATGTCAACTGAATGTCTTTCTGTGTGCCCGTGTTTGCGAATTTGGATGCAAGCTTCTTGCGCTGAGGCGGCTCTTCTTCTGCCTCCAACATCTCAGACTCGGCCAGCAGTGCACGCGGTGTATGTCTCATAGAAACGCCAACACCTTCCAGTCCCCGATCAGACGCAGCCTTGTTCCATACAAACTGCTGAATAAGTCCATGCTTGGACATCATCACGAAGCCCATAGGCCACGGGCTCCGCGCCATAGCATCCAACGTGCCCTTTGTAGCCTTGAGCGTCGTCACCAACAGTCCTAGAACAGGCTTACCCTTCCAATTTGGCGGTGTTCCTCGAAATGAGCCCTCGAGTTCTCGAATATGACTTGGACTGAGCGAGCATTTGCGCGCCTTGCACTGGATGATGACAGGCAGTGGCTCGCTCAGAGGCGCCAGAACCCAGTGTCCAATCAGGTCGATGCCAGCATCATTTTTTGATCCAACTCTGAGCAAAGAGAAGCCCAGACGCATGAAGGCAAGAGCAGTTGTATACTCATAGTGGGTACCAATGTAGACGGATGATAATGGAGCGAGGTTCGTGCGGTTTACGTATTCGAGGAAAGTTGGGAGAGAGTTATGGCCTTTGTGTCCATTTCTGACGATAAGTCGAGGCAAGTCGACAGGCGCAGCATTCTGGGCGGACGTGGTCGCGATTCGGCGGGGGACGAGGCTTTGCGGAGGAGTTCGGGGGTGCCAGGGGAGGAGCGCTGCGTGTCTGAGCCATGCTACACGGAGGATAGGTCGCATTACGGGGTCGCTTGAGGGGGTGTATATTGACGAAACATGTTTACAAGAAATCTCAACTGGAAGGAGCGAGGATGCGATCAAATCTTCAAAGTGTGAGGGTGAGGGTCGAAAGTCGACAATTCGCGTGGGATTCACGCCAAGTGCGACTAGCTCAGCCCTGTAATCGCGTCCTCCCGCCGCGGACCTGTCAATGCTCTTACCCCACAAACAAGGATATCACGCTCGCCACATTCGATCCGTCCTTCGCAGCCGATCACCTGGAAGCCATACACAGAGAACGAATAGCCACGTCGACCTTCAGATAACTTGCAATGGCCGACATCCTCACGCAGATGCAAGATGAGGTGGACATGGCACGCATAAAGAACCTCACATGACGACATAGCCCCTAACAATCCCCAGCTTCTCAACATCATGCAAAAACAGCTCTTCCAAATCCGCACCCGTGCACCACCTAGCGTCCCCGAAGGCCAGCAAAAGCTCAGCTCTTTCGCCGAGAAGGAAGCAGCAGACAAGTCCGAGAACGCAACCCAGAACTCCACACAACCAACACAGACAAGCGTTGCACCTCCGCCCCTGCCGACTCAGGAGGAGTTCAACGAGGATTTGAAGGACATGGCCAAGGACTTGGTAATCAAGAGTCAGCAGATTGAGTTGCTAACTGCGAATCTGCCAGGTGTGAATTCGAGTGAGGCTGAGCAGGTGCAGCGAATGAAAGAGTTGGAGAAGGAGCTGGAAAATCTCGAGGGCGAGAGGTTGCAGGCGGTCAAGGAGAAGGAGGTGCTGCTCAAGAGAGTTGAGGACAAGATCATGGGTGTTGGGAGGATGCGGCGAGCTCTGAGCCTTCAAAGCGCGTACGACTGATACTATGGCGACCTTGGATGGCTAAACCAACGAGCCCTCGAGCCCAGGTCATCTCAGCATCCCGATTTGCAGCCGGCAGGTGACCCTTGAGCCCCCATCTCTCGGAGGACCTTTTGCAATCTGTATGGGACACAGCTGCATCGGCAATAGATCAGACAGCCTCGATAGTATTGGACGTACCACAGTCCGGAACTTCGGATTTTGGATTAGTCTCGCAGTCTTGTCGACAGGACCCACCCTCTGTCTCTCACGCAAGACTTCACAAGCACCTGGAGCATATTCGTAATGTCACGCTGTCAATCGTATGTTCGCCGGGAGGCGGAGAAGCCCGGTTGGTCTAGCCATACAGAACAGAGTGGAGAAGCAGATGCCATCTACATGGATTTGACGACATTAGTAGGGTCCCGGATGAGAAAGAGGGCACTGCTGAGGAGGCACTTCCTGCAAGACAGGAGGGCCTAGAAAATGGTGGGAGTGAAATCAACGTTTGCTAGCATCCATATGCATGCAAACTCTTCGCACATCACATGCGCACATCGAAGCCAGCTCAGATAGTTCATAACAAGACACACAAGACTTCACTCGGCACCACCTCTTTCACTCGGTTTACTTCACGTCACGTATTGACTGAGCGCCACCTCACAATGTTCTCCAACCCCCACCCCACATCAGTAACCTCAACTCCAAACCATTTGATGTTCAAACGAAGACGCTCCAAATCGCCAACCAAACCGCCAGCCGCACCCGCTCCTACTAAGGAGCACGACTACAAGACCAAGCGAGCCAACATCAGCGCCAAACTCGATCGCGTGCTCCTCCAGATAAGCCTTCACGAAGGAAAGCTAGTGCAGCTTGAATTCGAAGCCACTTCAAGCCTTCGAAACCAGAGGAAGCCGCCCAAAGAAATGGAGCAGAGGGTTATGTTCACAATGAATACAATTGCTTCGGCGCAACAGGATCATCGCGTTGCAATACAGGGGATGCGTGCGTGGACGAAAGGGAAGCATCAGGAGTTTGGCAAGGATATCGAGGCAAGGATAGAGGCGAATCTGGACAGTGTTCGCAGGAAGTTGGGAACGCTGAACTATGGCGACTTGATCGTGGAGGTAAGTGCATAGATATCGCGGCAGAGCGGCGGCTACAGCAGCTGTTCACCTCTGTCTGAGGTGCGCGTTCGAGTGACACGCGACTTCGATATTTGCGTTTCAATGTCCCGATATTCTTACTCTTCAACCATTCAGCTGTTTCTATCGGCGATGAACTAAGCTCAAACATCAATGATGATTATTTAAATATCTCAGTTGTCGGGTGGGTGTATCAAAGTCAAGGGATGCAAGCCTATCGTTTGCCATCAAACCCGCCTCAGAAATAGCGCTGTCACGAGCCACCGCTCCACCAAGCAAGTCCCAGCGTATGATCTTGTGAGGTTTCTCTATCCATGTTATCTGCACACGTCAGTCGACACCCCCGACCCCACACACCAACCATGGACATCAAGTCCGCCGCCCAGCGACACGCCCAGCTCGAGACCGATCTCAACTCGCTCACAGCGCGCATCACTCAGCAAGAACAAGACAACGAAGTGATGAGCAAGATATTGCTCACGGAGGAAAGCGTCTCCAGGAAATTCCTGTTGCAGGCCAGGCTGAGGAACAACCAGAGCGCTGTGGAGAACGCTAGGATACATTTGTGGCGTGCCTTGAAGTCGTTTAGTATGAAGAGTGGCTTTTGGGATGCGGATGTCAAAGCGCAGATGAATAAAGTGACGTTCGAGATGGGGAAGGTTATTAGTGTAGCGGAGGAGGACGGTGAAGATGAGGTTGAGGGGATGTGGAACAAGTCGGCCGAACAGTTGTAGCTTTGACCTATGCAGCTTTTGCTCACTCATACTCTGCCTTTTCCTTTACTTGCTATTGACCGGTCCTTCGACAAATTAACTATCAGTGACTACGTTAAGGAAATTTCCTAAATAGCCGAATTAGTTTGCTTTCCTTCACTCAGGCACTACATAGCCTTTCAAACTCGCCTCACCCCGGGGATTTTATCGTCTCTTACAAACTAAACCGCGCTCTCGAGATGTCTCTAAAGAAAGCTCCGCGTTAGGAACGTTCTGCACAACAGACACCCATGCGTGATAGCCAGAACAGCATCACCCAAGAGCTCGCTAAACTGTGCATGTATAGAACTAGGCTAGACACGTTTCAATGTTCCACTGGAAGACACGCAGTGCTCTTAGAAGACTGTGCTCAAATATCGAAGGAAATTTTGTCTTTCGGCGGCAAATTTGAGCAAGTCGGTCAGATGTTCAGGATTGGGATGATGGCGGAAACGAGGAGAGAAATAGGGTGGTTTGAAGGACTGGAGAAGAAGAGTTGAGGAAGATTGGGAATCAGATCGTTACTATCGATCTGGAAATGCTGAACTTGGAGGTGATGCGTAGTGTAGGAGGTTGATCTGGTGGAGATCACCCGCCACAGTGCAAACGTTTGGACAATATGCTCAATCGCAATAGCAGTCTTTGCAAAATCGAAATGAGTTCTCTATCGCGCGATTACAACTTATCTGCTGCTCGTCTCCCATGGTTACGAAGGTGTTTGCGAGCCGATCCATGGCAATTCCGTCAGCTGGTCAGCTGGAACATTACTCTTTGTCTCAGCATAAACGACAAGCATCATTCTTCTCCTTGATCCGCAAGCAGATCATCCACATACTCGCGCGCCACATGGTTGCACTGAACACCTACGAGAAGAGCGATGATCCTAGCGATCATGAGCGGGCACTTCGAAGGGGGGAGACTAAATCCGCGCGAGCTGCGACACATAAGGTGTCGAAGATGTTGTATGACTGGTCTGACTTGCACCAGGAAACGAGACGTTTGATGATTGTGAAGGTGTAGGAGGCACTGCAAAGTGCTGAGAAGGAGGTATCGCGTATTGTGTGATTAGCTATGGCGAATTTGGAAGGCGCGAATGCCCGATATGAGAAAGCGGAAAATTGACGTTGCTTGTGTAACTCTCAAATTTGTGAAAGGAATCGTACTAGCTCATTCTACCTTTCACAGTTTCCTTAAATGAAAGTGCTCCACAGAAATCAAAGAGTGAAGACAACACTGCTACCTGCGTCGAGAAGTATCCGGCGCTGCCTGAAAAGAAGAGTTCAGGTGATGCGACGCATACGTATAATTGTTCACCTGCACATGTCGGTCGCACATGACATATCTTGAATCCACATACATAATTGAATAGCTACTTGAACAGCATGGACGATTCTTTAGCAAGTGTGCAGATATCTTACCTTACATTTTGGGACTTGATTATGGACGACAACATGTTTTCGCCTCCACTCGAGCATGTGTCTTCCAATGGAGACGAAGAAAATCCATCCTCGCCACCCGTCACAGAGCCGCTGACCCAAGAGATCACGCGAGTGATTGAACACCGCCGGAGGGCTACCATAAAGAAGGCGGACGCACTCAAGAGCCATCTCATGCAGGAAAAGGCCAGAATTAAAGCGCTCATAGAAGTGTACCACGCAGGCCAATGCTTAGACATATCTTTGTACGATCGTATCAAGACCGATGAGGCTTGGTTGCACTGTCAAAATTAAGAGCTTGCGAAAAATAGCCATGTCCAATCCTCGCTCATGTGGGGTGTCATCTGAATCTTCCCAGAAGAGACTTTTCAAGGAGTCTTAAACAGACTTCCTCTGCCTATTGTCTGCATCTAGAGTGAGTCGAGCTCGTCAGCAGCAACGTCCATCGCCCATCATCAAGCCCAGAGCAATCCAAGCTGAAGTATACACATTGTGAAATTGAGTTTTCCCATCGTCTTGAGTATGTGCCGCCAACTCCTGGTATCTTAGGTCCGTGGTATCATACAACGGAATCAAACATTATTCCCACGTCGTCCACGGTCATTCGTTCCAAGCCCATGGCGGATATGATGGATACAACAGTGCATCATCTCCAGTCATTGCTGCGCAACCGTCTGGCTGATTAGTGCTTCAGCGTCTCCTAGGCCTTGCCATTCTTGTGCTTCTCCGCGATGTTTTCAGCCTCGGCATGAATATTTTCTAATATATGATCAGGCAGCACGTCCTTGGCCCGCTGGTCCGGGTGATCAGTCGTAGCCTTCTCCTGCTCCAGCTTCTTCTCGAGTATCTTCTCCTTGGCATCGATGGCCTTCTCGACCTGCTCGACAGCGCGCTCGATCTCGACTTCCATGTCGGGCAGGTCGAATTGCTCGGCGATCAGCTTGCCATTCCAGCGCTGGAGCACCATGACGTCTTCGCTCTCGTTGTTGGTCTGCGCGTGTACGACGCTAGATACTTTGTCCGCGTCTTCCTCGGTCGGGCGGGGCGCTGCGCGCGAGATTTGGCGCGTGGGGTACATGAGGCCGGCGGTGTATGCCTCGTCGAGGGCCCACGAAGAGACTGCCGTAGGCTGTTTGTGCTTGAGGAGAAATGCGAGGTACTTTGATCCGGTGAGTGCTGCAAGGGTTAGCGTCTGATCTGAAGCCTCATGGACTACTTGACATACCTTTCCAATGTGACCAGGCGCGGTACAGCACATAGAAGAACGGCAGGTTGGGTACGACAGGCACCAGCATAAAGGGCGCAGTGAATGGCATGATAATGATGCTCCACATCAGCTTGCTGCGGTGCATGCCCTGGCGCTCTTGCGCCAGCTTGGTGAGGATCTCAGTCACTCTTTCCTGCCTCAAATAGCGTCCTGGGAACAGAAGCTCGTGCTTCGCCTTGCCCTCAACGATCTCTTTCTTCCGCCGATCGGTCAGGGCGGGCAGCGTCTTCAGGCCCCATTCCTCGTACGGTATGCGCTTGAGCGCTTGGTTGCCGTAGAAGGTGACCTTCTTCTTCCAGTTGCCTACTGCCTTCTCGTCTTTCTCCCAGGCGGCCCAGGTCTCGTTGGCCTTGAGCGTAACCTTGTCGAGAATGGAGCGGTCCTTGGGGGCCTTCTCGTGCAGGCGCTCGGCGTAGATCAGCGAGCGACGCGTCGAGATGGGCAGCAGGAAGAGGCGCATCGTGGACTGCCTATTTGGGAAGGAGGTGGGTGAGGTCGCAGGGAAGACGCGTTAGGTAAGCGCGCACAAGGGCGCAGGCGGTGATGCAGGTGTCAAACAAGGGCTTGGTCAGACATGTCTATCCACAGCGAGTAGCGTGGCACTTTTTGTGTGCGTGCCTAAGTGTCTGTCGCAGCGCGTGCAGAGGCGAATCGTGAAATTGCTGGCGCAGCTGCAAGGCTGTGCTAGACTACGGCGGCGATTACATCAGAGTGCGTCGAGCCAGCAGCCAGCCGCTCGTTCCCTGCACGACCATGATTTGTTAGGGCCATTATCCCTGTTTTCAGTCCCAAGCGGGTCGCAGATCAACGACAAGCAATCTCCCTCCCTGCCACGGCCGCGCGCTCCCGGGCCCCCCAACGCTTGAAACGCGCGAAACGTCTGTCAGATTCACTGCTGACCCCTCGTGACCCCGATCTCTCTGCTGCCCGCTGCGGCACCCGACCACTCTGCCTGCCATGCTGTCGTTGCTGCGTACGCTGACCTAATCGCCGTCGTCACTCGCCGCTCCGGACGCAGCTGCCAAGCTGGCCAGAGCCCGCCAACGACATCGCTGACGCGCACCGCACCGCTGCCCGACGTGATTGCGGACGGACGCTGGGGCTGGAGGACGTCTAGTCAGGGACCCGCTTCGTGCGACAACGACACCCCTCGGACCTCGACGCCACCGCAACGCACGCCGGGAATGGCCAGCAAGCCCATGGCCGAGCGCAGGAAGAGCGATCACGGCTCCAATGGCTCCAGCGGCTCCAATGGCTCCAGCGGCTCCAATGGCTTCAACAGCCCCAGCAGCGGGCGCCGGGAGTCGCTGTCATTCCTCAGCCCTAACGACGCCCTCACCACCACCGCCTCGCACCAGAGCAGCAGCTCCACCACGCCCTCGCCCGGCCGCCCCGGACCCCCCATTCGCACTTCGCTGCTGCCCTCGCCCATCCCGCCGCCAACCGCCTCGTCGCAGTCCTCGCACCACCGCCCCCGTTCTCGAATCAGCGTTGTCTCGGCGATATCGCGCGACGACCAGAGCGAGAGCGCCGCCCCACGCAAGAGCCACAGCCAGAGCATCTCGAGCACGCCGCGCACACTGGCGTCCTCCAAGTGCACCAGCTCGACTGCCGCGGACAACCGTGAACGCCAGCGTGCTGCCCGCTCCTTGCCGCCATGGGTCCAGTCCGCCGACGAGGACGAGATAGCCGATGTCACCTCGCTGCTGCTGCCGCGGACGCCTACCTCGGTTCGCCCGGCCTCCCACAACTACATGCCCACGCCCAAGTCCAATGTGCCCGGCCGCAAATTCGACCACGCCCGCGAAGGCGCGCCCGTGACCCTCACCGCACCCGTCGGCGAGAATGCCTCCAAGTGGAAGCAGTTCGCCGCAGCCTCCAATTACGACACGCACGACCGTCCCATCTCCTCAAGGGGGCAGATCGTCGACGATGACTGGATGGCTGCAAACCTGCCCGATCTCGAGAAGCCCTGGGAGCCCATCGACGAAGAGGACAAGGAGGAGAAGCTCAAGGGCTTCTGGATGTTCAGTCCGGCGAAGAGGAGGCGCAAGATGGGCAGATTCCACCGCACAATCATGAACCACCCCATGGTGCCGGCACTGGTCCGTGTCATCGTGCTCACCTTCTCCATCCTGGCTTTGTCGTTGGCTGGCGCCATCTTCCACAAGTCGGATTCGGCAGGCTGCGACAATAACTCGTCGACCTGGATGGCAATTGTCGTCGATGTCGTAGCCATTGTCTACACTCTGTACATCACGTACGATGAGTACACATCGAAACCCCTTGGTCTGCGTTCGCACAACGCGAAGATGTCTCTTATATTCTTAGATCTGGCATTCATCGTGTTCGAATCTGCCAACCTTAGTCTGGCTTTCCAGGCGCTGACGGATGAAAAGTGGGCGTGTAGGGACGCCTCAGAACCGCAGACGTCGTACTGCCCGTACACACGGTCGATTTGTGTACGACAGAAGGCGTTGACTGCAACGCTACTCATCGCTCTGCTGGCGTGGCTAGCCACCTTTAGTATCAGCACCCTGAGGTGAGTCCTCTCACCCCCAACGCGCCAACGTGATGATGCTGACATTGTGAAGGTTGATCCACCGTGTTGCTAGGTAGAACCTGCTACCCTCTGCTGCATTCTCATTCTACATACACACTTGTGTCATCACACATTTCCTTACTTTGACTGATACGTTCTTCTCTGCAGGCATGACGCATACAAGCCGATGCTCCGATACCGCCTCGCAAAGCGCGCTGGTACTTTTGTCCTCGCCCAGACTGACCGTTTCCGTTCTCGTTCTCGCGACTTTGCATCTGTATCTCCTTAGTTTTGATTTTGCATACGCATGGCGTTGGTGGCATACCATGATGCTGTTTCTGTGTCGTTCAGGCCCACCGTGGAGGTCGTGACGGTTGTGGGAGCCCAAGTAGATAGTTCCATAACGGTGTTGTAGCTCCAGCACGCCTCAAATACAATGCTCTGACCAGGCATTTTCTTCTGCAAGACGACGGACCTTGGCACCCTCCCGGCTTCAAATCTACAATTCCCTGTTCGCATCCTCCAGCCTCTCCCTCCCCCACATCACCGGCCCATCATCTCCATACACCGGATCCCTCTCGAACCATGCCACCCTCCCAACCGCCTCGGACTTGTCTCCCTCTCCCGCCTCGCCGTAGCACATATCCCAGCTGCACCCCTTGGGATACGACCCCACCATCTCAAACCCCCCCTCCACATCCTCCAGCAATCGATGCGCGACCCCCGCCGGCACAATCATCACGTCCCCGATGCTGACATCCTGCTCCACGCGCCCGGGATTCGCATCGCCGCCGAACAGCAGCCGCGCGCGGCCCCGGATCACACACAGGATCTCGTGCGTTGTACTGTGGTAGTGGCTGGTTGTGTACATTGTGTAGCGCCACTGGGGGGATGTCCCGTTGCTGGCGAGATGCGACTCCAGGCTGCTGGGCGTGGTGGAGGGCGCGAAGCAGGAGTGGTACGTCAGGAGAGGGTGGCCGTGCGGGGTGGTATTGGGCAGCAGGGAGTAAGAGGGGATGTAGTGTGCTGATGTTCTTAGGGAGGATAGGGGTGTGAGGGAAAGCTTTGGTGGCATGCTGAGTGCTATTGTTATTTGTCTTTTGTGGAGTGGGGTGGATGTTTGATTGAGGGCTTGGGTGCCGAGTGGATTGTGGTAGCGTTTGGTCGCCTGATGGCTGGTGTTTTGGGGTTACGAGGGGTGCTCTGTGAAGTTTATGAGGGTGCTTCGTCCCTGATGTTTTGTATGGGACTTTCATGGAGCCAGTATATCATCGACGTTGATGACCCCGCAAGACGTCATAGCTCCAAAGATTCGATTCCATTGCTCATGCTTCCCTTTGACATCGATGTGGATGTAGTGATGTCTGTTGTGAGTCTGAGCTATTCGAAGCTGCTTGAGATGTTGTTGATGACTGGTGGTCGACTGGAGGTGAGGATCTGTAGCCGAGTACAATGACTCTTGAGACCATGACGACGCGAGATACAACTGGATCTCCACAATCAAAGCCTCAAATACTCATTCCAGCAGCTTAAGCTCAAGATTCTGATACCAGCCTGAGAAAAGCTGACATCGGAGGTGAGCACCCTCTTGGTCTAGATTGAGACAACCCCGGCCCCACTTGCGGTGTGTAAGCGTTAGTGCAAGGCTGAAGTGAAGCCTATCAGCCAAGCTCGGTGATGCCTGAACCATCGAGGTGAATCACAAAACCTCGCCGCACCTTCTCATCACCGCGCCTTCACCACCGGCCTCTCTTCCACTCTTTATTCCTGCACGGCGCCCGCACAGTGAAAGGGTGTTTGCGACTGCAGAGAAGGTCTCTTCCGCGTTTGTGATAGATCGGCCGCCCGCACCGCGGCCTTCGCCTCCCGCACCTCGCACCTACCCTCTCACAACACGACCGCGACCCCACCGTCGACACACCGAAGCTCGCATACACCCTAAATCTACCTCACCATTAAATCCAACACTTTTCGCACACTAAGACGCCCTCATACTGTGCCCCGCGCACGCGACGCTCATCATGGCTGCCGCAATGCCCCCCGTTCCTGCAAAGGACGATGTTAACGCTACGTAAGTACTGCTTTCCATATTCGCTCCTGCCGTGTCTCTCAAGGCGGGTCTCTCAAGGCGTGTCTCTCAAGGCGTGTCTCTCAAGGCTGCCTGAACCACTGTCTGCATCCCACCATCGCCATCTCAATCCGTACCTCCAGGTCCCGCATCCTTACCCGAGTTGTAGCGATGGAACTACATTCATTGTGCATTTGCGGGACGTGGCTTCAGCCCGCGCGGTCACGTCGGACACATTACCGGGACATTGAAGAAGACCTTCCAGAGGCGTGCATGACGTTAGAGCTTTGAGTTTCCCTGCAGGACATCCGACTGACTATGTACAGATGGAAATACCTCGAAGCCGGTGTCGACAAGATTATGACCAACCTGCGAGGTGGCATGGACATGAAGACCTACATGGGTCTGTACACCGCTATCCACAACTTCTGCACAGCACAAAAGGCCGTCGCCGGGTCGTCCTTCGCAGCGAACAACAACCGCGGTGGCGCTCACCTCCTCGGAGAGGACCTCTACCAGCACCTGATCGAATACCTCAAGGCACACTTGGCTGGCGTACAAGCGCAGTCGAAAGAGCACGTCGACGAGGCCCTCCTCACATTCTACATCAAAGAATGGAACCGATACACAACCGCCGGCCAGTACAACAACCACTTGTTCCGATACCTGAATCGTCACTGGGTTAAGCGCGAGATGGACGAGGGCAAGAAGCACATCTATGATATTTACACATTGCACCTGGTGCGCTGGAAGGAGGACATGTTCACTGGCACACAAGAAAGCGTCATGCGCTCCGTCCTTAAGCTCGTCGAGAAGCAGCGAAACGGCGAGACTATAGAACAGTCACATATCAAGTCGGTGGTCGACTCGTTCGTGTCACTAGGCTTGGACGAGGCCGACAGCTCGAAGTCGACGCTGGACGTATACAAGCAGTACTTCGAGAAGCCCTTCCTCGAGGCCACTGCGACCTACTACGACAACGAGTCGAAGCAGTTCTTGGCTGAGAACAGCGTGGTTGAGTACATGAAGAAGGCCGAGGCTCGTCTCGACGAGGAAAAGGAGCGTGTGCCCCTGTACTTGCTCAACGAGATCATGTCACCGTTGATGCGCACCTGCGAGCAGTCGCTGATTACAAACCACTCACAAGCTCTGCGCGAAGAGTTCCAGATTCTCCTCGATCACGACAAGCAAGAAGACCTTGGTCGCATGTACAAGCTTCTTGCTCGCATCCCCGAGGGTCTCGACCCCCTACGCAGCCGTTTCGAGACCCATGTTAGGAAGGCAGGCCTTCAAGCTGTTGAGAAGCTTGCGACTGAAGGCGAGAGCCTGGAGCCCAAGGTTTACGTCGAGGCGCTTCTCGAGGTGCACAATCAGTACCAAGACCTCGTCAACAAGGCCTTCAACGGCGAGTCTGAGTTCGTGCGATCTCTGGACAACGCGTGCAGAGAATTCGTCAACCGCAACAAGATCTGCAAGTCTGGCTCAAACAAGTCCCCTGAGCTTCTGGCCAAGTACACCGACATACTGTTGAAGCGTTCTGGTGCGAAGATGAGCGAGGAGGACGATATGGAGAAATTGCTGACACAGATCATGACCGTGTTCAAGTACATCGAGGACAAGGATGTATTCCAGAAGTTCTACTCGCGCATGCTGGCCAAGCGTCTTGTCCAGACTACATCCGCCTCCGACGATGCTGAGACCAGCATGATCTCCAAGCTCAAGGAGGCATGTGGTTTCGAGTACACAAATAAGCTCCAGCGCATGTTCCAGGACATGCAGATCTCCAAGGATCTGAACGGTGCCTTCAAGGACTGGCAATCGAACAACCTGGACGAGGCTGATCAGAAGGCTGGCGTCGACGCCAGCTACCACATCCTTGGCACTGGGTTCTGGCCGCTTCAACCGCCCACAACACCATTCACAGCCCCTCAGTTGATCGTCCAGACATACGAGCGATTCGCACGCTTCTACAACAATAAGCACCAGGGTCGCAAGCTGACATGGCTGTGGCAACTGTGCAAGGGTGAAGTCAAGGCCAACTACTGCAAGGTTGCTGGGTCCAAGGCGTCCCCCACTTTCCAGGTCTCCACCTACCAGATGGCTATCATGCTTCTGTTCAACGACAGCGACAACGTCAGCTACGACGACATCGCCGAGGCTACAAAGCTCAACAAGGAAACCCTCGACCCCAGCCTTGGTGTGTTCATCAAGGCCAAGGTCCTGCTCGCTCAGCCTGAGGGTGCCAAGCCTGAGTCAGGCACCACGTACAAGCTGAACACTGGGTTCAAGACCAAGAAGGTCAAGATGAACCTGAACATTGGTATCAAGTCTGAACAGAAGGCCGAGGCCGAAGACACGCACAAGACCATCGAGGAGGACCGGAAGCTGCTGATGCAGGTACGTAATTGAGTCGCTCCACGTAAAACCTCGAACCTTTGCTAACCTTGTGTAGTCCGCTATCGTCCGTATCATGAAGTCTCGCAAGAAGATGAAGCACCAGCAGCTTGTCTCAGAGACCATTCAACAGATCAAGAACCGCTTCATGCCCCGCGTCCCGGACATCAAGAAGTGTATTGATATCCTTCTCGAGAAGGAGTACCTCGAGCGCTTGGAAGACGACGAGCTCGGCTACCTCGCATGAGCAGGGTGTGCTGCCTGCTGTTCTTCCGCTGCCTTTGCAGCATTGAGTGCGTTACGCGATTTGATAACGAGCAATGGATTCCTCTCCTCTTTCACGGTCGGCACTCTATCATCATCTGCCCTTTGGCTGCATATTCGGCGTTTGGGAGTAGCGGCTACGTATGGGCATGTGTGGTCGGAAGGGTATTTGAGCGCAAAGGGTGCGTACCCTCCCTCAGCTCAGCGATAGAAGCCAAGGAACGGGCTTAAAAGATGTCAACAGACGATGAGTCCACGGAAGAATGTTTATGTATTCTTTCAAAGCTGGTGTTCCTGCGTGCTTGCGTGAGGGACTTATATGCACGAAGTCCACATGCATGGTACAGATCATCGTCGCTAAGCTCAAATGACGCAGCTATACTTCAACGAGTAACTCAGAAATCAACAGCGCTCGCACAATTTTAGGTTCTGCGAGCTTACTCACGACCGAGGGTATCCCCGCAGCAACCCCTCACCATAGCCGATACTACTACAATGTCAGATATATATGTCCACACCACTATGATTAAAATAGTGGTTACAGCTCGAGTGATACCACGGAGTCCCGTTGACGCACTAATATTGCGGCCTGATCTGACGTCAAATCGACTCTGACCCTCGTCGCGTAGGCGTCTCACTCATTTCACCAACGACCATGCCAGGCCGCCTCGAAAAAAAGATCGCCGTTGTCACCGGCGCATCCTCTGGCATCGGCCGTGCCATATCTCTCGCCTTCGCCTCCCATGGCGCGACAGTAATCTGCTCCGACCTGCGCGAAGAAGCACGGATTCCCGGGCCCTCGGGCGACGCCGACTCTTCCCAACCCAGCACTGTCTCCGCCATAACATCATCCGGCGGGACCGCCATCTTCGTGAAGTGCGACACGACCTCCGCCTCGGACGTGGAAGCGCTTGTCAAAAGCGCAGTGCAGAAATACGGCCGCCTAGACATCATGGTCAACAACGCCGGCATCGCCGTCGAAACAGGGTCATCCCACGGCCCTCGCCCCGTGTGGGAATACGACGAATCCGCGTTCGAGAAGACGCTGGGCGTCAACGTCAAGGGCGTATTCCTGGGCATCAAGTACGCGGCCGCCGCAATGAAAGACCAAGATCCCCACCCCAACGGCGACCGCGGCTGGATCGTCAACCTCGCCTCTGTGTTTGGACTGGGCGGCGGCCCGAACTCTTCGGGCTACATCACGAGCAAGCACGCCGTCATGGGGTTGACCAAGGCGAGCGCCTGGGACTGCGCGCCGCACCGTATCCATGTCAATGCGCTGTGTCCTGGGTACACGCAGACGGCATTTACGGCGCCGATTTGGCAGGATCCCGAGGCGACGCAGAGACTTGAAGCGATGCATCCGTTCAAGGGATTGGGTACGCCCGAGGATGTTGCGAGGGCGGCGGTGTTCTTGGCAAGTGAGGATGCCGGTTGGGTTACTGGAGTGGGATTGCCGGTTGATGGGGGGTATAGCAGTATGTAAGAAGGGGAAATCTTGTGAGAGTGATGGAAGGGATAATCAATGTATGACGAAGAAAAGTGGAGGATATTGAGATTTGATTGAAGGGGAAACGCTATGCTGCATCAGTAATGTGCTATGCCCCTGAATGCCGAAGATGCCTATATGCGATCCTATAATCTTGCGTTCTCGAAACTCGTCCGTGTGCTGTCCTTCCTCGTGTCTTCAAACTTCTCGTTGCTGGCGGTCTTGATGAGCACAGGAGGTGCAGTCTCAAGACCAAGATCAACGACCATCTTCTCCCACCCGATCGCGCACCGTGAAGCTAGCTCCTCGACAACGGCATGTTCTTTCCTCTCCATGGCACGGTTGAACAGCTCGAAGCTGACCCAGCCGTCATAGCCGATCTCGTTGATGATAGCGTTCGCGACATCTTGGACTGGCAGATAGGCACCATATGATGTCTCGCCATAGAATAGTCTGCAGTTCCTGCTCCAGCTCATACGGCTCGGTTGCTCGGCATTGTAAAATGCATGGCCTGACTTTAAGGGGGTTTCCAACCTCTCGGCGTCGACGATCTGGATGAAAAAGATCTTCTCGCGGTGTGGCTTGATCTGCGCCACGAGTCTTTTTATTGACGCGGCGACGATCTCCTCTGCATCCTCGTTGCATCCTGTTTCTGATGTGGGGTCTGCGTATATCCTGCCAAGGATGTTGAAACTATCAAGACAGATGCCGAAGTTCGGGCGGTCGACGAGCTGTACAATCTCCCAGCAGCGTTCCCACTTGTCGCAATATGTGCCCCAGCATAGGCTCTCGTATGCGAAGCGGATTACTGGCTTTTGTTGTAGGCCCATGTCTGCTATTTGCTGGAGGTCGGAGACGATGAGGCTGAGGTCTGACGAGATCTCAGACTTGGGGAGGAACGATGAGGGGACCTGGACAATGTCGGTGCCGAGGACGTGTGCCAGCTCAAACCAGAACTTCATCTCGTCTACCCTTTCATCATGCTTTTTTCGGTCCAGGAGGCCTTCGTAGTGCATGAATGGCTGCAGGCAGATGATCTCGAGGCCGAGGGAATCGCACAGATCTCGTACGTAGGCGGCTGCTGTGAGAAGATCCGGTGCTGACTTTGAGGGCGCAAGGTCGCAAAGGTCCTCGTAGAAGACTTCGATGCCTTGGAGACCGTATTTCGCTGCCATGGCCATCTTGTGCTCGAAGCTGTGGCCAGCGTAGCACCGCCCTAACGACATCGACGAGATACCTGGTCGGCAAACCATGGTGGATAATGTGAATTTAATGCGCAACAAAGGCTAAACAAGAGCAATGACCAGGAAGTTGCTTCCCGGTGTGATGAATGGACGTAGTAAAGACCACAAGGTATTGATGGAGAATACTGTTCTATACCGATGCAAAAAGAATATATTTACGCTTTTGAGGTCGAGTTGGACTGTATTAGCGGCTCTAGACTTTACGCGGACGATGTTCGATGAAACGTCTCTAAGATCATCCTGGGTTGCGTGTTGATAAGATCTCTCGAGTTAGCCATGGGTAGCCGTGCTCAGCCATGGCGATGATTCGCCACATGGATGTGACTTTAAGCGTGGCGTAGCGGCTGCAGTCAAGCGGGCTAGACTCGCGGGGTATATTCGGCTGTGCAAGAATGACGCGCTGCAAATGGCTGGTCGCGTTATTTGACTAGAATGGGCTTTGAAGCTTGGATGCATCGTAGTTGTCGCTGCTGTTGCTATGCGGAGGTGCGCGTTCTGTTCGAAAATGGACCGATCGACAGCTTCAAATTTACTTCATTGATTACGCCCCCAGGCGTGAGTAATCTAGGTTGCGGACACGTCGCCACACTTCTCTGACAGTCCTCTCTTGACTTTGGCGTCCGGTCTCGGTGGCTGAAGGTCCGGCTGGTCTGTAAACATGTTATCAGCGAAATCAGTTAGGCTTGGTCATTGGGCTGCATACCGAATGGCGAGGTATAATCGACTACCCAATTTGACATCTGGTATCAGGCATGTAGCTTCGTCTGGAGGTGGGTTTGCAGTTGTCATCAGGCCTCCTGCCTCGAGCAGAATGGCGACTCCGGCCGCAACGTCCCTGTCAATTGTCAGTGAGTCCAACCGATCGCTTGGCGACTACTCACCACTCCCAACAGCCACCTTCCCACCAGATGTCGAAGGAACCCATCGCAACGTAGGCCAGATCTAATGTCGCGCTTCCAAGACTCCTGACACCGTGCACCATGCCGCCCCTGCCTGACCGTCCGCCAAGCTCAGCTGCCATGTTGACGAAGCTCTCAATCTTGCGATGCATATTGCCGTCCGGAATATCTCGCCTGTCCTTGCCCCATTCGCAGGAGAATACGCAGCCTGCTGGAGCCTTTTCTGGCATTGGTGCAATTGGGTTGCGGATAAGCGGGAGTTTCTGCGTTTCGTTCAGGAATGCTCCGCGGCCAGCGCAGGAGGAGAAGAATTGGTTGATGAATGGGGCATAAATGACTCCGATGAGAGGCTTGTTCTTATGTATAAAGGCGATCGAGACACAAAACATCGGGAAGAGATGGATGTAGTTGACGGTGCCGTCCAGCGGATCAACGCACCACGTAGGGTTTTCATCAATGAGATAGTCACGGCGGACACCCTTTGAGTACGATTCCTCACCAACAAACCTGAGATGTGTCAATAAGAGCAGCTTGTTGCGGCATGCCGGACTGACTTGTGTGAAGGGTATTTGTTTGTGATTTCAGTCTTGACGAAAGCTTCGACGTCCTCGTCCGTTTCGGTGACCAGATCGACAGCGTTCATCTTTTGCACATGCTCATCCTGCGCTTTGGTCCTGCTGCTGCCGTCCATTCTCAGTTGCGCAGCATCCTTCAGCATCTGCCCCGCCCGCTTCCCCAGATCCACGGCGAATGCGTAGATCTCATCTAGCTCTTCTCTCGAAATCTCGGACATTGTGTGGTTGCGTCGCGATATGAAGATGGATGACAGGTGCTCACTGATGACTCCATATTGATGGATCGTGCTGATGACTCGGCAGCATTGCCGTCTCAATCCGCCACTTAGCGGCGGAGATACGCTCGGGAGATAAGGAGGCTGAAGCTGGGGCAGGGTGCATTCAGACAATGCGGCTGCAGTATATCCACATCTCAATCAACACATAAACCCTCCTTTCGGACACTCACAAGCAGCTCAGCTCAAATTGTATCGTGGATTGACCAACGGCTTCGGCTACAGGAGGAAAGTCGCGTTCACTGAGTTCATCCGCTCTGTCAGTTCGATTTTCCCCAGTGTGGGGCCAGGCCAAGCCAGCCTCTTCTACTGCTGGAAAAGAACTTTGCCGGGGCGGAACACTCTTCCGCTCGATCAACATCGGCTTGTGCACCGCGATACTTACTTGCGCAACTACCCTACACAGATATCGACGATACCCAAAGACATTCTAAACATTCAAAGTCATATTCGATCACAATTGGAATACGCTATGGCCAAGTCGATCCTCCTCATCAACGGTCCCAACCTCAACCTGCTGGGTACTCGTGAGCCCGCTACATACGGTTCTACCACATTACCTCAAGTCGTTGAAGCCGCAGAAAAGCAATGCACTGAGAAGTTAATCACGTTTGCGCACTTGCAGTCCAACCACGAAGGTGTGATTCTGGATCGTATCCACGAAGCCCGTGGAAACGTTGACGCCATCATCATCAACCCTGGAGCTTTCACACATACCAGCGTCGCGATAAGAGATGCTCTTTTGGGTGTAGACATCCCTTTCATCGAAGTCCACATCAGTAATGTTCACGCACGGGAATCTTTCCGTCACCGCAGCTACCTAAGCGACAAGGCTGTCGCAGTGGTCTGCGGGTTGGGGATTTTCGGGTACGAGACTGCAATCGAGTATGCATCTAGGCATATCAAGCCGAAGGGGAAGGTGTAGAGAAAAAATAACTGCTAGAAGAATACAGCATCTTATATCAAGTCCTCACTGTCTCCAGGCAGTCAAAACCTTGCGCAAGGATCGCTCGCTTATGGTGGCCCGGCTGTCAGATGATTCCCGCCTTCTCAGAGTCATTCCCCGATTTGTGACGAAGATCACCATCAAAAATTCTAGAATTGAGCAATGTATATGTCCGACGTATGGGCTTGCATCCGAAGTGCGAATACATATGCTGAAATAGTCGTGACCCTACAAACGACCAACAATACCTAGGTACACATCGTTGCCCCAGCACATGATGCGCCGAGAGGTCCGACCAGGATTTCTAGAATGATGCACCGTATCTCTAGGTACTTTACTAGAGACCAAGGTAGATGAATGGGCAGCTGATGCTGGACAAAGGGGTTATTCGCGTAATGGACGAAAGACAGGTGGTGTTTGGGAACGGGAGCTAATTGTGCACGCAGCAAGTAGATTAATATGATCTCTCTATTGCCAATTACACGAGCCTCCCTGACTATGGCAATGGTTCACCGGTTTCTAAGACCGTGTCCCCAGGAGAAAATTTTAAGAATTGTGTCAGTCGCCCCAGCCAGAACGCTAGGCGTCAGCGGCACCGAGTATCGTACCTTTGCAGCACATCAAGCAAGCCAGCACTTGACGATAAAAGAGAATCCGATATGTCACTTCGTGCAAGCTCCCATCATCTGTCCCCCCATTCGTGTACTTCGGCGCTCCTGGCATTACAGTCCACATAAAGTCAGTCTGACGTTCAACCCACAGTTGTGGATTTTCTCTCCAGAAGGGGAGAAAGCCAAGGACACGGCTTGGTGAAAGAGCAGCGCTCATACGCTGCTCGCGTAAGACTGAGGATCGTATCGATGTATTTGAGCGTTCAGGAAGAGATCGCAAGAACTGCATGCAGAGAGCAGCAGCAGAGATTGTAAGGACCAGTGGGTTACTATGATCGGCTCCGTCGCTGGTCGCAATACCTACATCATGCTCTAGGCCGACCAGATCTTGCGTCTCTGGAATATCCCATGAATCCAATCTCGTAGGAGGGAAGACGATGTTTTGCACGAAGCCCGCGGGTGAGGGGACTGCAGCATCTTTTCCCCCAATAAACTTTCCTTCATCAATAGATAGCAGCAAGGTAAGTATGTGCTGTTCCTCAGGAGGGCACCTGAGCATTTCGGATCCTGTAATTTTCGTCTCGTCACATGCCGTTTTAAGAACGGCATTGAGGGCGCTAAAGAGCTCGCCCCACACCCCGCAGAAGCCGCAAGACGGACCCATGCAACTGGGGCTGTGCGGTGGCGGCTGCCCGGCATTACAACAGCTCGACCGCTCGAGCTTCTTCTCTCCTACGCACGCCTCCAGGCTGCAACAACCGCGATATTTTCTGAATATCAGCCCCTTTACGTTCCGTTATACCTAGGAATCACCTAACTTTGTAGCCTACGAAGGAGGGATTTGTTTCTTGGTAGTCCGTCATCATGCCTGCGCCACTTGCGAAAGGTGAGTACAAGCTCTCATCTCCACTAATGCATGTCTCTGCTGTGTAGCCTATCCCCTCTCACATCTCCTCTTTTTACGTTGTGTTACTTGTTCAAATGTCAACCTGCTTGCAGGCCCCGGCTCGCGCTCTCCCTCGCCCAGCTTTCAGCGTAATCACCCTCGATCCCCTCCGCACCGGCCTAACCACCCCTTTGGTACAGGCCTTATAATCGCCGCGTCTGTTCTAGTCGCCGCCGGAATCGCCATATACGAAAGTCCTCAAGTACGACAATGGGTTGACCAATCTCGCCGCAAGATCGCCGTGGCCCTACATTCTCTGGGCGACGACATCCAGCCGCGCCGGCAGAGCGAGTCTTCCGATGACTTTGAAGAGAGGAAGAGAAGACGCGAAGAGCTGATACGAAGAAACCGTAATGAGTTGATTAGGCGAGCTCGTGAGGAAGGCATAGCAGTCGACCTGGACGAGCTGGCCAGGATCGGCACTGAAGATGCCGCGCTCGCTGAGAGACGGTCACCCGCCAATAGGGCGAAGAGCTTTGACGAGCTGGTCGGCAGTGACGGCATGCTGAGACAGGGCGTAACTGCAACAGGCACCGAGTCTACGAACAATGGAGTTAGGAAGCGTGGTGCAGCTGGCTTTGCAGCTGGCGCCGCCGCTGCGGCAGCCATGGCCAATCCCTTCGATGACGAGAACGTTCTGTTCGATGTCGGCGATGACGACGAGGCCCCTTCTCCCAAGCCTTTTATCTGCGAAGAACCTACTCCTCGCTCGCGCTCCGCCACTCTCGAAGCTGGCACACCACCAATCGAGGCGCCCATTGACCCTTCCTCTGCAGTTCCCCTCATCGACCTGACTTCTGAGCCTCAGTCCGTCTACTTGCACCCCGAGACCCATCTGCCATCTCCCGCTGCACCGCTGCAAACATCTGAGAGCGACCAAGCTGCCCAGTCGTTCTACTCTTTCACCTCTTCCAACGACGGCGACGAAGAGTTCGAACAAATGTCAGCCGGTACATTAACACCGCGCTCCGATCGGTCTGGCACCACAGGCGCCTCCGTTGTGCCCAGCCACACCGACGACGTTGCAGTCCTGAGCATGCAGAACGACGCAGACCATGACGCACGCTCAGAAGTTTTTTCTGAAAGTGGCTTCACAGATGCTGGATACAGTGACTTTGAGCTCGGCGATAGGACTGGTGTCATGACGCCCAACTCGTGGACAGATGTCGGTAGCGACAACGAGAGCGAGTGGGGCGGGCCTCAGGGCAACGGCCAGGTGAGCCAGATCCACCAGTAGGCGTTTCTTATTTCCATCACTTTTTCGTGGCAAAAGATTGATTGCAAGGCGTCTTGGAAGATTCACAGGCAGGAACGGGAAGGATACCTACGGCGTTACACGGTGCGGTCTCAATGACACCTTCACATTGCTCCGCACATATCCTTCTCTTCATATCATCACTCTACTTCACCACCTCATCCATATCCGATGTTCCTTCCCCGCTTAACGTTTCGAAGACCTCGTGCCAGTTTACACCGATATTCTCCAAGGCTTCTCTAGCTGCGTTGATTACCGCTTCTACTGCAGGATCAAGGCATCCATCGCCGCCGCCTAGAACAAAGTGCAAGAATTCGGTTGCGCTTGAGCTTGACAGCAGGGCCTCTTGCCTGATCGACGGAGTAGGTTCAGACGGAATAGTACCTTGCATGAATGGATCTTGTGGGCGTGTCATTTGGCTGCTGTCGAGTCCTTGTGCATCGCGGAGTTTGATGAGGTCTGCAATAGAGGGTTCATTGTTGGCAGTGAAGAAGGGATGCAGGGAATCGAAGAGCTGGGAGTACAATTGACCCATATTCTTCCACTGTCTGGACTTCGAAAGGAGTTTGTGAACTCACAATGCCAGGGACGATTGTTTTTTTTTAACACAATCTAGGGATTCTCAATTGTTTGCTGACACGTTGACAGGCTATGGCCTTGAGCCGTGGTCGCTCAGATGGTACGCTACGTCTTCCGATTCATCACATCCTCCTCGATAACTCGGTGAGTTGATACATGACCAGGGCTAAGTCCCCATCCAAGCTCTCCTTCTGCTCACTTAAGCCTCCTCAGGTAAGCGAACCAGTTGTCTAGGCCTTTCATCCCCTTCTCTGCATAATGCCACTGAGGACGGACTCTATGAAAGCCGCTAGATCGCCAAGCCTTACCCTCAACTCATTAACGTCGTGAGAGAGCATACCGAGGATTGTTTCCAAGTGGGTGGTGACTCTGTTCTCAAGACCTTGGATTGTACCATCTATACTCCAAGAATCAAGGGTTGCAGCTCTGAGATTAGGGAGCAGATCTCGATGATCCTTGCTATGGGAGACTGTTTCGTTGTGCGGAAATCCAGTGCCGCTTGACATTGTGGAGATGAAGTAAAGTGAAGTGCCGATAATCATACGAAGGCCTGCTATTAGCAAAATCGTACAGCGAGCTGAGGTGTGCTTAAAATGACGAGTGTTTGTAGTATCTATAAGTGTGGTGAGGTGGTGGTACAGCACTGTGCAGAGGAAATCTCAAACACCTGGTTCGGACCCACGAAATCGTGCAGTAATCTGTGTCGTTTGGATTTAGATTTTCTGAGCTCTAGATGCTGGTCTCCTGGAAGTGCTCGTCCATGTTTAGGTTTACAAACGCCGTCAGACTCTGAAGGTCTTCTGATATGGCGTCTACTGTGCCTGCTAGCAAAGACAGCTTTTTCATCAAGTACCTGATGTCCTCGGCATCTTTCATCGAAGTGTCTCCCAGACAGTTGGTGACCGTGTTCAAGTTTCTGGAATTGGAAGAGCAGTCATGCTTGAGACCTGTGTATTTATCATTGAGATTCCCTCTTTGCCTGTCATACTCCATGACAAAGTGAGCGAGATCGTCATTCGTTCGCTCCTGGAGGTCTTCAAGGCGTGCAATGCGCTGTAATAAGTGGGTAAAGGGAGCCAAGAAGAGCGATGGCGGTGGTGGTACGTTGGGGCATGCCATTTTAGCTCGATGATGATGAGATGCCAGTGAAGTGCTAGTGAGAGCGATAGTGTGCGAAGACTTATGTATTAGTCTGAGAATCAGTCCGTTTGATAGTGATTGGCAGCTGCTTCACCATCAAACGCGTACCGTTGGTTGACGATGTGTGGCTGACAACTCGACAGACCGCATACGTATCTAGGCAGAGAGAAGACTGAAATCACACACGATGTTACGAATGATGCGTCTCTCTATAGTAGCCTCTCCTCTCCTAGTTCTCATTGCGCTTACTCGCTGACTGGAAGCTACTAGGCTCGCCCATAGCGATCATCCGCGTTTCCGTCCTCCATGAAGGCGCTCAGGGCTGCTCTCGAGGATTGCTCGGTCTCCCCATGCACCTGTCTGGCTCCTGAGCACGGTCCTTCAATTTCTCAACACGATCTTGGACTTTCATCATGCACACCTTTGCAATCTCGTGTCTGTTCTGAGTGCGTGTGTCTAATGTCTCCAGCCTTTTTTGGGGTTGGAGAACTTGGCGGAAAGTTCGAAGAGTCTGATGACAGGATTGAGGTCCAGTCTTTTCTCGAGTGCTTCAACATTGTTGATCAGATCCTGCATACTGACGCTTGCAGAGTCAGTGTCTTTCTCTTCGTCATGGCGAGCTTCCGCTGGCTGCTTCTCAGCATGGGTGTTTCCGCTTTGTTGACGATTAGGCATGATTTGATGATTGGCGTTCTTGATACTAGCATGCTCCTTGAAGAGACGGGAGCTAGTTTGGTATGCTTATCCCATCATGGGATGTCTTGGCCATGGCGTTCGTTGGTGACTGTTGGCATATACCGAGATGCCATGTTGCAAACGAAATGACCCTGTGCCGTTTCCAAGCTACGAACGCCAAAAGACGTGTCCGATGAGAGGCTGCCGAATTTTTCTCACAGTTTTTATGCAGGAAACAGTCGAAAAGATGTGTGGATCCACAGAGGCTGTGCATAGCATGATACAGTAAACCATATCTCATCCAAGTTGGTCCTTCTCCGAGCCTAACTTTTTCCATAATCGAAGCACAGAACTGAGTCCACACTCGCCATGGCTCACGAAGTTGCATCCATATCTTCCACAGAAGGCAGTGACCTAGTTAAGAGGCAAGATGACAGCAAGGACCTCTCGGAAGTACTGAAGATAAAACCCCCAAAGCCGAATCCGGAGCAAGTCGATCTATCGATACCAAACACTACAGGGGTTCGTGATAACCGGAAATACCCCGTTCTCAGTACTGCGATCGAACACAGGAACCGCGAAGTAACAGCCCATGAGCTCACAGAGCGAGCCATCGCCATCCGCCAAAGGACGTTACGGACAGACCGACTGCGACGACAGGCAGAAAGAAAGAAAAAGCCAATAATTTCTCCCAGCAAGACGACCTGAGCAATTCACAGCGTGATCACGCGCGCAAGTCCACGGCTCAGTCATCTACCCACGCCCGTCGACTTTCCCTCCACAGCAGCGCTTCCTTTGGTGTCTAAGGCGGTGGATGACTTGTCGGCGTTGTTTGATTGGGATGTCGTGACAAGGTTTGCTGGTCGTGAAGTGAGGCTGTAAGGCTACGAGATGTTTGGGAGGTGTAGTGTCTTGGTGTACCCCAGTATTGACTTTTGCTAAGACATGTGGGATTCAGGACAGATGTAGCATTTTGAGCAGAGACGAGACTGTAGAACTGCTACCTCCATGTTACGGAGGATGATTCACAATGGAAACCTCGCTCGGCCATGCGTACTTTCTCGCCCAGACCTTCAAAGGGTAAGAACACACCATGTTTGCACCTGGAGCCTGAGACTTCGTTTCGCGTCACAAGACCTGCGGTGGAAATCTAACACTGAGCGTTCTGTCTCCTGCACATGTCTTAGATATTCCAAGTCTATCACTACACTAACGATTTAAAACCACGACGACATTTGCTCGACCACAACCACCAAACAAACCCCCATCAGGCAATCACAATGCCATCACCAACCCCCTCACCACTAGCATCACTTAAGAAATCTCACCGCGACTCAGCATCCATACCCACATCCGCGCCAACGCCAACGCTCTCTTTGCCCTATCGGCCCCGTCCCCCAAACGCCCCCACCACCATCCGAGCCCCCGGCCTCGCAACCATACGCTGCGTCACAGATCTCCCTTGGCCTCAACGCCTCGCGCCAGCGCGCGCGCTCTCGAAAGCCGGCGCAGCAATCGAATGCTCTTACCGGCCTTCGTCGCCGAGCATCGAGACGTCCGCGGAAGCACGCGCGCGGCTCGAGCTTGGATGTACGCAGATGATTGCAGAGAGGAGGGCGGAGGTTCGCGCGCTGCAGAGGGCCTATTTTGGGGACGTGTGGGCGGATGCGCGGGAGAGGGAGACAGCAGGGGATACGGGTTAGGGGCCTGCATCGCTGGGTTCCTCTGGGATGGCGCCTGAGGGTCCCAGGTCACTGGCTACGAGGTCGCCGAGCATTGATGAGAGGGGTGCGAGGGAGAGTGCACAGGCGAGTCGGGGGCGGTCGATGTCGTGTGGGAGTTTTGTGTTTGTGGAAAGAGAGGATGGGGAACGTGGTGTGAGGACCTAGGGAGGGTATAGAGCAGGGTGACTCATGCAGACGCCGCGAAGAACGTCAGTGGAAGAGCATGAGTGCACCATGCCGTGCAAGAACAAAGACAGACAGCCGAACATGATACCATCTCATCTCACTCCCAAGCACCTCTCTCCATTCCACACTTCTCCCCTCCACCTCATCCGCCACACTACACCCCTCGAATTGACGGTGCGGATGCGGGCTCTGTGTTGTCGCTGGTCGTTTGGAGACAGCGGGGCGCGTGCTCTGCTGCATGCAGTGAAGTGCTGGTGCGCGATACTCCGGCGACTCGCGGACTTGCTGCTTCATACAACATACATACATACATACATACATACATACACACCCGACCATGTCGCGCCTCACACGCAGAGCCAGCGCAATCCAGCTCCTCTCGCTCAACGCCGAGCAGGCGCAGACGGAGCAGCAGGCGCTGCACGCCGAGGTCAACAGCCTCAAAGACGCGCTGAAGCGGAGTCACACTGCGTACAGCATGCTGCGCGACGATGTGGAGCGGTTCAAGGGTGTTGTACGGACGCAGAACGTTGCGCTGACAGGATTGCGGGAGGAGGTGGCGGGTATGAGGCGTGAAGTCGCTGCTCTGAGAGGCCCACCGGCAGCTGAGAAGCCTGCCAGCACGCCAGCGGAGGGGAGAGGGAGGGATCATGTAAGGAGACGATGAGATGTAGATTGATGGGATATCGACTGCAGGCATATGACCATCTCCACCTAGTCTATAGTCAATATTGAAACCAAATCCTACTAGGCGTCGCGGTGCCTCTCATGCTCTTCCAGCGCCGCTCTCTTCCTTGCGTGTTCGCTGTGAATACCCCAGAGGCACACGGCAATGCCCAACAAACTAGACAGCAGTGTGACGTAGTATGCACGCTGATAGCACTGCAGCCCTTCCTCGCAGCTGCGGTTGCCATCTGGTTCGACCACAGATTCCGAGTCGTACACAGACCCGTAGAAGAGGTTGAAGACATTGCCGCTGACCACAGGAGCCCAGGTCAAGAAACCCCAGTTGACCGAAAAGCCGTCCGGTCCAAAGGTGTCGACCACCACGGCTGGAAGGACACCGAACGTGAGGCCGTAAGCGAGACCGCAGAGGCCGGACACGACCCACAGGTAGTTTGGATTGTCGATGCGAGTCGCAAAGAGCTGGTCGATGGCGAAGACAAAGGCTGCAATGACGACACACCAGAAGCGAGAGTGTCCAAGGCGCTTGACGACGAAGTCGGAGCCAATGCCTGATGAAAGGCGACCGAAGAACGAGCCAAGGGAGATGATCGAGACGTGCCAAAGCTGGCGGTGTGCAATGAAATCTTTGCTCGTAGACTTGTCAAAGTGGCTCCAGAGTGCTTGCACATTGTGGCCAATGTTACTAGACAAGTCAGCACTAGCAAGCACATGCCATCAGTCAGGCACCTACTTGATCGTCATGATGCCAACACCCGTCAACAGGCCCATGAGTATCCAAATCTGCCAGAATTCCGGTTTATACAGAAGCGCAAATCCAGTGATGTCTAGGCAGTGTGAGTGAGAGGACTTCTTGCTAGATCTGCTTGCAGCATCATCCTCGGGATCGATGTCTCCAGGGCCAGAAAGGAGTGAAGAAGTTTCGGTCGACGATCGGCTTGGGTCATCTTCATCTGTTGGGTGTGGTTGGTATATATGGTAGGGGGGGGTATATAATCTACACGTATGGTCCAAAAAAAAAAGAGACAGTACTTACTGACTTCCTGCGGAGGCAAGGCGGTCGCGCTGTACTTTGTGCGATCAGAGTTGGTTCGATGCAGAAGATTAGAGTTTCGGCGAGTCCGCTCGATTGTAGGGAGTGCGCTGTAGCTGGTTCCACTCTTGTGGTCGACAACAATGAGGAAGGGTATTGAAACAAGGACAAGCAACGAGGTCGCTAGCGAAAGCATGGTAAGCAGACCAGAGGTGTTCCCGGGGAAGGCAATGCCGGCAATGAGTGTGTAGAAGAAGGCGCTCAATCCAAACGCTGCCAAGGGGAATGCCGTCGCCGTCCCGCGGTGAGAGGGCCAGTTCAAAGTTGCTACAGACATCAGTAGACGCCGGACGATGGCACATGGCTGGCCTACCTGTTTTCAGAGCAGCCTGGAACGCAGCACAGCTGCCCACTCCAGAAACAAAAGAATAGAAAGAAATCATGGCCACGCTCATGGATGCGGGCCCGCCATCGTAGGCTGTCGAGCGTCAGGTGCATTCAGCTCGGGAGTTGTGTAAGACGAACCCATTTTGATAGGATAGTATCCGAGCACAAGGCAGAACATTCCAATAATGGCAGACAGGCGAGGGTTCACTCTGTCTGTTATGAGGCCAACAGGTATGCCCGAGGCGTACATGCCCATGTTCGCTGCTGTTCCCTGTCACGTGTAAGAAGGACGAGGGCGCTCGACAAAGGCGGCTGGGAGACGCGTACGATGACATTGCTCTGGGTGGCCGAGAGCTGGAGCCTATCGGCAAACTGAGGAGCCCAGGCAGAGTATGCATACTGGGGGGTGTCAGCTCGAAGCAGTGCCAGCGAGAGCGGTCAGAGGGACGACATGCGTTGGTTCCACAGGCCAGCGCAATGGCGGTCGCAGCGACGACGGACACAACGCGCGTCTTCTTGTGCGGCGTGGTCTTGTCCAAGTCGAGCATGGCAGTGGGAGCGTGGAGCGTGGGTTAAGGAGTCGCGGCGGTCATGGAGATTGAGATGGGGAGGGTTGCGCAATGGCAGCAAGTGGGTCGGACAGATAACGGTAATGCTCGGGATCCGAGGGCGGGCGAGACAGGCTGGAGCACGGCAATGTCGAGCAGAGAGACGTGGATATGGACGGGGACCATTGGAACCATTCGAACCACCCGGTGCAGATGGTGAGCAGCAGGAGGCGGCGGCGGCGGCGGCGGCTCAGGGCGTTGTCCGAGCTGCCGGCCCATGTTCGGGCGCGGTTGAGGCTGGACGCTGGCATGTCGGCGGAGACGCGCTGGGCTGCCAAGCCCGGCCAGACGTGGACGTGGGCGTGGACGTGAACGTCAACGTGAACGTCGTCACTGGCCGCGCCTGTAACCTGCATCACCAACCCACCACCAACCCGCGACCAACCCGCAACCAGCCCGCGACCAGCCGGCGACACGCAACCATGGGCGCCGCACTGTCGCTCCCGTTCCTGGCCCTGCCCGCCATGGGCACTGTGAGTGCCGCAGCACGCAAACATGCCTCTCCCCCCAAAATGCTAACGCCGCCAGGTCTGGAGCATCGCCGCCTCCTGCTGTGGCGCGGCCACCTGCAGCGCCGTCATGGGCTCCTGCGGTGGCAAGTGCGGCAACAGCATCGCGACGCGCATCGCCTACGCGCTCATCCTGCTCGTCAACTCGGTCGTCTCGTGGATCATGCTCACGGACTGGGCCATGAAGAAGCTCAGCAAGCTCACGCTCGACTACGTCGACATCACGTGCCACGGCGAGCAGTGCTACGGCTTCGTCGCCGTCCAGCGCATCAACTTTGCCCTCGGCCTCTTCCACGTCCTCATGGCCCTCATGCTCGTTGGCGTGCGCTCCTCCAAGGACGGCCGCGCCAAGATACAGAACGGCTTCTGGGGCCCCAAGATCCTGGGCTGGATCGGCATGATCGTCTTGACCTTTTTCATCCCCAACCCGTTCTTCATCGTCTGGGGCAACTACTTCGCCATGGCCGGCGCCTGTCTGTTCCTGCTCGTCGGCCTGATTCTGCTCGTCGACCTGGCCCACAACTGGGCCGAGTACTGCCAGGAGAAGATTGAGACGTCCGAGTCGCCCGTGTGGACTGGCATGCTCGTGGGCTCGGCCCTGTTCATGTACCTGGCCTCGTTCGCCATGACGGTTGTCATGTACATCTACTTCGCCAAGAGCGGCTGTGGCATGAACCAGGCAGCCATCACGGTACGTCTCTTGGGTGTGCACCACGACTTCCCGCTGACATGCACAGATCAATCTGCTACTGCTCCTCGTCACCTCGGTCATCTCCATCCACCCCGCCGTCCAGAATGTCAACCCCCGCGCCGGCCTCGCCCAGTCTGCCATCGTCGCCATCTACTGCACCTACCTGACCCTCTCCGCCGTGGGCATGGAGCCCGACGACCACCAGTGCAACCCGCTGATCCGCGCGCGCGGCACCCGCAAGGCCACCATCATCATCGGCGCCATCGTCACCTTCATCACCGTTGCCTACACCACGACCCGCGCCGCCACCTACGGCCTGGCCCTCGGCTCACAAGGCAACTCGTACGGCAACGGCTACGCGCAGGTCGGCGCCGAAGACTACGAGCACGGCCTTGTGACCCAGCAGCCCGAGTCGCGCCGCGACATGCGCCAGGCCGCCCTCCGCGCCGCCGTTGAATCCGGGTCCCTCCCTGCCTCGGCACTCGACGACGACGACTCGGAAGACGAGGACGATTCGCCTTCCAAGGCACCCCGCGACGATGAGCGCAACGCCACACAGTACAACTACAGTCTCTTCCACGTCATCTTCTTCCTGAGCGCATGCTGGGTCGCTACATTGCTCACCAGCAACTTTGACGAAAAGGCCATGACCGATTTCGTGCCCGTGGGACGCACCTACTGGGCTAGTTGGGCCAAAATCATCAGCGCATGGGTGTGCTACGCAATTTATGGATGGAGTCTTGTCGCGCCGCTCGTGCTGCCCGACCGGTTTGATTACTAGGAGTACCGGTGTACTGCAGAGTTGGCGTAGTGAATTCTAGTATTGAATGTATTTGTACCGTTCATTGTCGTCAACGTTGGGATGGTGAATATAGGCATTCGTTCGACCCGTCCTCCTCTTCTCCGCGGCGGTGACGGCAGGCAACGTCGCAGGACTCTTGGCGCTGACTATGCACCCACTGTCGAAATGTTTCATTAGTCGTGCACTCTGCACACATGTCTACATCTTGCAACCAGACACTGAGCAGCTTGCGGTCGGATAAACGCCGCTTCGATCCGAAGTGTGGGCAGTTGGGCCAACAATCTTCATGGCTATATTTGCAGTGGCTGGGATGAAGGCATAGGCGGCACATGTCTGAAGAAGAGTGTACTTATAGTCTCAGTGGTATATATATCTACATTCAGTCCCTCCCGGGTCGTTCAGGGCGCACATGTGCTTGCTGCGGCCGCGTCGTCTCACGCTGCATCTGCCGCTTTCGCGCTGTGGCCTCTGCTACGTCTTTTTTCCGCTGCCTGGTGGCAGTCTCGTGCTTCTTTTGTCGCCGCCAGTGCAATGCGTCGGAACTGTAGATGACAGGAAGCATCAGTGCGGCTGAGATTGTGCCAAAGACCATGAATGCGATGTAGATCTTGTATGCGGCTGTGTCGTAATCGCGTAGCGATTCAGCGCCGGGATACGTTGTGTTTTGTCCTACAGAGATGTTTGTGTAATTCGTACTGTTGTGAAAATCCTCTCGCGCGATGATGGGAGGTAAGGGAGGTGTCAAGCTGGCTTGAGCAAGTGTCGCGAACAATATGAGGAGTGTTGTAGTAGCCATGATTGCAAAAGCTGGGCAATACGGATTTCAGGGATAATATGAAGACAGCAAAAGATGGATATAGAGACATATGGTAGACATGTATTATGTGCACGGACTCTTGCCCGCGAAGTCGTGCATAGTTGACCAACAACGCGCCGTGCGTGCGAATCCACAGTGTACGTGTCCTACACAGTATCACACTGACATGGGTTTCGTCGAGGACTCTATAGTGCATGGTACAGTCTGTTGTTGACTACGTACTGAGAATGGCTAAGGACATGCTTGCATCTCAACCTGGAGTATTAGCTCACTACTGCTCAGGGCCCATGTCGAACAACAAAAACTCAGCCGGCTTGTCTCCCACACTCTCAATCTCGATACTAGCGGGTCCCTTGACATTGTCGATGTATGCACCATCGCCCTCACCAAGCACCGTCTCGCCAATCTTGATCTGCGCCCCGCCAGTCTTAGGCTGCGCTCTCTTGCCCATGATAACTTGCACGAAAAGCTTCCTCGGCCCTTGAGCAACAACCTCATGCGTGACCTTCTTGCCCGGCGACAAGATGCTCGCATCCATGCTCAAATCAGCCTGGAGGCCGATGGCATGCTTTTCCTCGCCAAGACGGTCCGTCGACTCCATGATCCTACACAACTTATCTGTCTTCTGCTCATCGGTAAACTTCTTGGTCTCGTAATGCGGGCTAAGACCCTTCTTGTTTGGCTTGGCCCAGATCTGCAAAAAGTGCACCTCGTCGTCCTTATTCCTGTTGTACTCGGAGTGTCTGATGCCCGTTCCCGCGCTTGTGAATTGCACCTCCCCGCGCTTCAGATTCTCCAGGTTGCCCATGCTGTCCTTGTGCTCAAGCGTGCCGTTCACGATATAGCTGAAGATCAGGAACTCGGCGTGCGAGTGTGCGCCGAACCCGGTGCCGGGCTTGACGCGATCTTCGTTGATGACTCGCAGAGGACCCCAGGACTCGTGGCGCGGGTCGTAGTAGGACGCGAAAGAGAAGGTGTGGTATGAGTACAGCCAGTCGTGGTCGGCGTGGCCGCGATGCGACCATGGGCGCTTGGTGATTTTCATGCTTGCTGGTGCGGCAGCGGTGGACATTGTGCGTGCGGTAGGCTTCGTGAGAACGGTGGTGAGGGTATTACGGAAGGAGCTAGAGAACGCCAGGATTATTGCTGCTATTGCGACAAGCGCAGTGAATGATTTGGTAGATGTGAAGGAAGTAGTGGATATAGTCTGCTCTGGCAGTGTAGTGTCTGACATCAGAAAGAGGCGTTCTTGTCAGCCCGGCGGTGCAAGCGATCTTTATACGGATCTGAGTTAGCCAAGGCAGCGATTAGTGAGGAGGTTCTACAGCTAGGCTTGTTCATTCCATCCTGTATTTGCAATGGTGAGTAAGACGTTGCTAACAGCTCAGGCGAGGTGGGGATCCTTAGTGTGCTTAGTGGCTTACTGATCGATGACGAGATTCGTGGGGTGAACTTGTCAGCTGTCTGTCATTGGTTGCAGCCACCGGAAGCGGGTCGCCGTTTGAAATGGATTTCTCGAAAACACCATCATGTTGAAGCCACTCATCCGTCTGCCAATTGTGAATTGCTGGGTTTGGCGAGTAGAAAGAGCTAGTCTGGGGCCTTGACTTGCGAATCTTGACAGCAGAAGCATCATCATTTAGTCGCTAGCGGGGTTCCACAAAAACGTCGAGGTTCACTCGAGTCACATACATGATTGACATGGCTCTTGAGAACTTCGACCCAGAGGCTTTTTTTAAAAAGTGGTCTGATGAAGAATTCAATCCAATCCACAGCGGCAAGCCCCTTGCACGATGTATAGGCGAAGCTTTCGACATACCCCCAACGGATCAATACATCTACCGCGCCCAAGGAGAGACTACGCTGCATATCACTGAGCGAGCAATATCAGGGAAGCGAGCTCATGGCATGCACGACTGGTACCACGATGAAGTAGGGAAGCCTATTGAGCCACAACATCCCGCGTCCGAAGAGGTCACAGCATACACATCCCTCTTCGATCCCTCCAACAACCTGCCCAAAACTCTGAACGGCTTAAAATCCAATTCGAAAGCCAACACCATCCTTAAAAAAGTCGCCGAGCACCTGAGCTCCCGATACCACAACACCACGGCCGGCCTGCTGCCCTCCAAGAAGGACCGCAATCACGTCAACCCCTACCTCAGCCTGTGGACCTACAGCTGTCAGGAGCTAGAATGGTGCGGTCCAATCCCAGCAACAACATACACCGAAATCTCGCACCACATCCTGCCGCTGTTCTACCACCACTTCGGCTGCATCGTGCCGTCATACGCGGCCCTGCACATTCTGGCGAAACTCTCGCAGCCCGCGAAGCCCTCGAAAGAATCCGTGCTGCCGATTCTGGATGTCGGGAGTGGGAATGGATACTGGACGTATATACTGCGGCATCTACCATTACCTGTGCCGGAATGGAAGGCTTTGGATGTTCGGCCCATTGACTCTGGGTTGAGCGAGTACAGGGTCACGTGGGTCAAAGATACAATTAAGATGGATGGCAAGGAATATCTGAGGCGCAATACGAATGGCAAGGGGGCTATCTTGTTGCTAGTGTATCCGCAGGCGACGGGGGACTTCACAGGGCCAATCTTGAAGATGTTTGAGGGCAATACGATTGTTGTTGCGGGCACGCAGAACGGCAATGGGTTCACAGCATTTCAAGATCAAGGGGTTGATAGGTGGGTGGAGAAGAACTTGAAGGCATTTGAGTTGACGCTCAGGATGCCGTTGCCGAGTTTCGCGGGGAAGGACGAGGCGCTTTTCGTGTTTCAGAGGACGAAGACTTGAAGTTGGAGATTGGTGGGATCCGACTGAGCGATGTGGCCGCGGATGCTAGAAGCTGCGGGCAGATGAGGCGGGACTGTTGGTGGCCGGTATGATTCAACAGGGAAAGGTCAGCACAGCAGAAGTGTCGTAAAGGATATTGGCACATCGTGTAGATCCCACAAATATGCAGCTGCACGCTTCTAATCGGCATCAAGTCCAATGCCAGTCGCATCAAGAAGAAAGATATTTTGTGCATGCAAAGCGTTCATTGTGTCGACAGCAGTCCAGTGCCCTCTGATTCATATCATAACAACATATCTACCACTTAGCCTCCTTCCTGGCCAAGAACTGGTTCAATGTAGCAACAATCTTCTCCAATGCAGAAAGGTAGCTCTCAAGCTGCTGCTGGACCTTGGCCTCATCGCTACCGAGCTTGGCGTAGAAGTCCTTCCTGTACGGTGTGGCGCTCATGGCGGCGCTGAACAGCGGCTTGACGACGAACGAGTGGTGGGGCTTGAGGGTGTTCCCGTAGGCGTCGCGGAAGGAGTCGGCAAGCTCCTTGTTGGGGTTCGAGATGTTGTGGCGGAGGGCTTGGGCGGTAAAGTCGAGTCCGCTGTAGGTGTGTGTCAGCGAATGGATTAAGGATTGATGACAGAGACGTACCGGTTGAGCCAGACGAGGCCCTCGCTGGCTGTGTGCTTCTTCTCCTTGAGCTCGTTGAGGACGAGGTCCTGGAGGGTCTCGGAGAGTGTGGGGGCAGCGAGCTGGCGATCACGGATTTTCTGTGGCATATCAGGTACAGTTCCTGGATTGGAATACGTATGATCCATACCTTAACGTTGCCGGACATGTCGTTCTTGACGGGCTTGAATGCTGCGGAACCTAGGACATCTGCAGCATATTAGCAAGGGACACCACTGCAAGCTATTCAGAAGTTGAACGTACCGAACAATGTGGTCAGGCTCTCAGCAGCCTCGAGGAACTCTGTGGTGGAGATAGCATTGTCCTTGGTAGCGTCAACAGGGACGTCCTCCCAGCTCTTCTTGACACCGTCGAAGAAAGTTGCCATGTTGTCTGGTTGTGTTTGTAGGTGATAGAGCTGCTTGAGTGCTCAAGGTACAGGATTTGAGGTGTAGAGGGAAGGAGAAGTGAAGTACGTTGAGGAGAGACAGCTCGAGCAGCACGAAGATGGTCTCGTCTCGTCTAGCGGTGAGCTTCGTGGCTTCCTGCGTGAACGTGGGGCGCTTCGATGCATAGCGGGGCAGCCAGGGTCTGGCTTACAGGGGTGCATGCGCCATCCCGCAAGAGGCATGGTCAGCGATCTCGGAGCTGCTGAATGATTCCGGAGGAGCATTTAATTCGTGCGGCCTTTGAATGTCCGGAGGGGATGGTAGCCTGTACAGCAGTATATAAGAAGAGCTGTTGAAGCTATCACCCTGAAGCACACAATCAACACAGTACAGCTCTCAGCATGCCTTCTCACGTTCACGAAATTGGCAAAGTCCATCGAATCGCCTGCATTCCAGGTGACGGCATTGGCGTGGACATTACGGAAGCAGCCGTCCAGGTCCTCACCAAGCTATCAGAGGTCATGGGAGGATTCCAGTTCGACTTCACCACGTTCGACTGGTCATCAAAGAAGTACCTCGAGCGCGGCTGGTACATGCCGCCTGACGGCATCGAGCAGCTCAAGAAGTTCGACGCTATCTACTTTGGTGCCGTTGGCTGGCCAGACGTCCCAGACCACATCTCCCTCTGGAACCTGATCCTACCCATTCGCAAAGAGCTCAACCAGTATGTCAACAGGCGACCCAACAGGATTTTTGAGGGTACCAAAAGCCCGCTGGAGGGGTGCCAAGTTGGCGACCTGGACTGGATGTTCATCCGCGAGAACAGCGAGGGCGAGTACTCTGGCCAGGGCGGTGTCAGCAACGAGAGTGCACCACACGCCATGGCCACCGAAATCACCGTCTACACACGCGTAGGGACAGAACGCATCATGCGCTTTGCCTTCGAGACTGCGCGCTCTCGGCCAAAGAAGCATCTCATCCTCTGCACAAAGTCGAATGCAATGAGGCACGGCATGGTGTTTTGGGACAAGATCTTCTACGAGATCGCCAAGGAGTACCCAGACGTCAAGACAGAGAAGATGCTTGTTGATGCCATTACCGTTCGCATGGTCTTGCATCCCAAGTCAATGGACACAATTGTGGCGACCAACTTGCATGCAGACATTCTGACCGATCTGGCTGCAGCCTTATCCGGCGGTATCGGTATTGCACCGTCCAGCAATCTTGACCCTACACGAACCAACCCTTCTATGTTCGAGCCTATTCACGGATCTGCGCCAGATATTGCCGGCAAGGGCATTGCGAACCCGGTCGGAGCCTTCTGGAGTGCAGCTGAGATGGTTCGGTGGGTTGGCGAAGAGCAGGGAGCCGATGCTCTCATGAAAGCTGTAGAAAACGTGACGGCAAGAGGTGTCAAGACCAAGGATCTGGGCGGCAGCGAGAGCACCAAAGGCGTTACCGACGCTGTGTGCAAGGAGATCAAGGCTCTGTTTGGTAGCTCCTAGGCTCGCATTAGTACTTCAACCACAGTAACGAACACATACGTACCTGGTCACACCATATCTAAACAAATGTTGTCTCCAGGCTCACTCCAAGAAGACCTTCGGCACCTCTCCCCTCCCCTTCATAACCCTACTCCTCCCCCTCTTCTCTCGCTCATCCTCAACGTCCCTCCAATCGAACCATCCCCGCCAAATCTTAACCGCTCTCCCCTCAATCAGCCCCTTCGCAATCGGACCAAAGTCCCTGCTATCGAAGCTATTCCGCCAATTGTCCCCTTCAACCCACACATGTCCAAATGGTACCACTACTCTCCCCAGCGCGAGCTCCTCCAAACTCCCCCCAACCGCGTCCTCATCCGCCTCCGGCAGCCCATCAAGCGTGTGCGCGCGCCTGAGCCTCACGGTCTCAGAATCGAGCGCATACCCTCTCTTGGGATACACCACATCCCCCGGCAACCCTACGACGCGCTTGATGCTGATTTCCTCAGGCCGGTGCGGTTTCCAGAACGTCACGACGTCGCCTCTCCGAACACCCTCGCCGTCTTTTTGTTCTTGCTCCTCGACAAACGCACGGCCGTCTTGGTATTGTATCTTGGGAGGACGTTCACGCACAGGGGCTATGACGACCCAGTCCTCAACGCCGGTTTCATGTACGGTAGGCGAGAGCGTGGGAGACATCGAGGAGCCGCGGATTACGTCGATGCGGACTAGGTTATCGCGGATGAAGGTTATGGCGCAGAGGCCGGCAACGACATTGGTGCTCCATGCTACAATACGGGCGGTGCGGCGGAGAGTGGGAGATTGCGTCCAGCTGGGTGGTGGTGAAGGCGGAGGAGTTGCGGAAGCTTGTGTCGGTGTGGAACGTGGTGGAGCTTGTCGTGCACGTAGAATGGGAGTAGGCTTCGTTTTTAATGTGGCATACGCTCTTGTAGCTATTCGGAATGGCAATCGAGGATGCATGTCGTGCCCCGCCACTTGGTGAGTAAGCGAGCCCCAAACGTTGCATGAGTGAACAAAGTCCAGTGTGCTTGACGCGATTGTGCCGAGGTCGGCCCATCTTCAGATGGCCTTGCAGAGCCCTGTCACGTGTAGATCAAACTCAATCAGAAAGATAAGATGCGGATAATATGAATACGGATATCAACTGTCTAGCAATATCAAATGGCAGCTTTAATGTACAATGACTGGTACATATCCAGAAATATGCAATCGCTACCGTCCCATCATTCTTAAATGCTCATAAATCACGTCAAATCTAGTTCAGGGCCTTGATGACAGCGTCGGTGTACTCGTATGTCTTGGCCTTGCCGCCGAGATCACCAGTGATGTACTGCAGGAACGTTAGTGGACTGCTCCCTTATTCTGTAGATTAATATCCGTTGGACGTACCTTGCCAGCAGCGATGGTCTTGAAGATAGCCTGCTCGATGTTGGCGGCCTCAGTGTTGAGACCCATGTGTCGCAGCATCATGATGGAGGAGAGGAGGAGAGCAGTTGGGTTGGCGAGCTGCTTGCCGGCGATATCAGGTGCGGAACCGTGGACAGCCTCGAAGATGGAGCACTCGTCACCAATGTTACCGGAGGGGGTAAGACCAAGACCACCGATCAGGCCGGCGCACATGTCGGAAAGAATATCTCCGTACAAGTTGGGCATGACGAGGACCTTGTCATTGTAGGGAAGAGGGTCGGTGACCATCTTCAAGCAGGTGTTGTCGAGTAGCTCAGCGTCAAACTCAATGTCGGGGTACTCCCTGGCGAGCTCGCGGGCTGTGCTCAGGAAAAGACCGTCAGACATCTTCATGATGGTGGCCTTGTGGACAGCGCGGACCTTCTTCCTGCCTATGTCGCGGGCGTGCTGGAAGGCGTAGCGGAGCACGCGCTCAGAAGCCTCACGGGTGATGAGCTTGATGGACTGGACGACGCCATCGACAACAACGTGCTCAATACCCGAGTACTCGCCCTCGGTGTTCTCACGGATGAGGACGGTGTCGACGTTGTCGTATGGGGTCTTGAAACCCTCGATCGACCTGCAGGGACGAACATTGGCGAACAAGTTGAAGGTACGGCGGAGCGTCAGGTTGAGCGAAACGTGACCCTTGCCGATGGGGGTCGCGAGGGGGCCCTTGAGGGCAACGTAGTTCCTGTTGATGCTCTCGATGGACTCGTCGGGGATGACCGTCTTGCCGTCGGGGTTCAGGCGGGGTGTAACGTCGCATGTCTCCCACTTGATCGGCACGTTCGCGGCCGAGTAGATGTCCTTCACCGACTGAGCGATCTCTGGGCCAATACCGTCACCCTCGATGAACGAGACGGTGTACTTGCCGTCGTTGGCCTTGGTGCCCTTGAACTTGGCGACCTCGGAGGGCGCGGAGGCATAGGTGCGGAATGCAGGCTGTGGCCATGTCAGTCAAATTGCCTGCACAATCTCTCGACAGCGCCAGACATGTCCGCGGGCGCCGCCGACTGCAGCGTGAGAGCTCACTTGTGCGAATGCGGGCCGGGCCTGGCGCAGGCATTGGCGCGCGGGTGCGGCGAAGGAGCGAGCAGCCAGCATTTTGACCGATTATGCGTGTCCCTACGACTCGATTGCAGCTACACAGACGCAGTGTAGCAGGTGGAGAGGCTGATGTGGAGGCCGGAGGTGATGGAGGTGCAGGCGCAAAGCTCGGGAGCAGAAAGAAAGCTCCGCAGCGCCAAGAACAGACGTCTTTCTGCTGCAGCTAGCATTCACCCGAATACCACAACTTCATCATTCATGAACGACACTGGCAGGTGTCTGAAGGTAGTGTAGAGCACGAAAAAGGCTGCACTGCATTTCTAGTTCATAGCTTGTTCAAATGCTGTGCTGCGACTGTTAACAGATCTTGAGATGCACGCCAAGTTGTCACATGTTCAACGTCGACTCGTTCCGGGACATCCTCGTGCTTGCTCCGCAAACGTCCTTGCTACTTCCACCAGCAGGACAAGATGTTCATCGTACTATTGTCCTGTAAAGTGCAATTAAAGCAGACCTAGCATGTAAGCACCTGACCACCACTTCGCAATGCCCGACTTGCACATACTCGGCCAAACACTCGGGGCGCACGCACGGATACAAGCATGCGCATGCAGTGCTTTCCATTGCGACGCTCTTTACGATATCGTCTTCATTGTAGCTTGACGATTACAAAGCTGATCCTTGATCAAAGCCAGGGCCGTTGGCGTTTCAGGCAGTGACGAGCTTCACAATAAGCATGACACAGCAATCCTGCTGACTGCCTCGATACACTTGTAGCGTTTCCTGCGCCTACAGATAGGCTGAGAGCGGTGCAACAGATCAACATGCTCTGAGACCCAAGGGGGACTGCAAGCAGTGCCCTTCAGTATTCCAACGTGTTTCATAGCCAGCATACGGTTTGCGCGAGCTTCCCGCAGCGCCGCCAGGCAGCACAGCACATACCTAACTTTTACTATCACATCAGTTTGCCCTGCTCCAATACATGCGGCGAGCCAGGAGCCCGAGCCGTGGCTGAGGAAGAACAGCTTCGAACATCTACACTTATGGTTGGTCTAAGAATCTGCGGCATATCGAGGCATACGACGTGGGACGTCTGATAGAGATGGCCATCTCTGACCGGCCGCAGCGAAAGAATAACGACGTGTGCTGGGCGCAAAGTCTTGGTCTGTTTGGGTGGTGGATGGGAACTCGTGGTTGGGTGGATGCAGTCAGCTTGACTCTACTCAGTTTTGGAAGCCCACGATTGGAACTCGTGTCGCAGGCGTACGGCATTCTTGCTTAAGGTAGCCTGCAAGTTGATCCGGTGTGCAGTTGCCGCGTCATTTTGTACTGTCCGTGGCCGCGCGTTTGGCAGGCAACCAGAACTGCACCTCTGGGCGCACATCGAAGTTCGAATGCTGCAGTCTCGCTGGATACTTGGGCTGGGCCCGTAGTCTAGGCATGCGGGCTTGCGCATGTTGGGTACGACATTCGAGTATCCGGTGCGCTTGGCGGGGACTGATGTTAGTTTCGCAAGCAGGATCAGCGGGCACAGTGGAGGGTGGCAGACGTTGTGTGGCTGAAGATGGAGAGAAAGCGCATGTGTAAGATCTCAATTCTGTTAGCCACCAATAGAACAGGCGTGAAGTGCGCGCGGAGCCGCCGCAGAAGGCATCGAGACCGCAAATGGCAGCTGCTGGTCCAAAGCGCTAGTCTGAGGCCTTTAGACGACAAACAGGCCGAAAGACTACAGCGTTCCTTCGGGCAGACCGTACAAGGTACGGTATCTTGACTGGAAATTGATTGTGATGTCCGGCAAGCTGTCTCGATAGTGTCTCAGCAGCAGCAGTTTAGGGAAACAAAACCGGATGGATAGCAGCCAAGATGGAAGAATCTGTAGAGGCGATCGGATTCCATGGCGATGTTGAAATTGCGCCGCGGCAAGCAGGCGGCCTGGCAAAGCACGCATCGGGCACGCCTTCTTGAGATGGCTCGCTTGAACCAAGGATGACATCAGATTCAGCACTCTAATACCGTGTGGGGGCCGAGAATCAAGGCAAATTGAAGCTGTTGGCGTTTGGCTGGACTGATTTGGAACGCGGCTTCCCCAGCGCCAAGACCGCCATTGCCGTGTTGGCGGCTCTTCCCTGCCTATTTGCCAGAAGTACCAATCTCTCATCCACGTCGTCACGTTGCCGACTTCCATTGCCACGGCTGCAGCAAAGTCAAAATCTCCTGAACCTGCCTCGGAGTTCGGGGGATCGTCTGGCGCATACCTAGAGCATAATCTCCCCGAGACTCGTTCGAGCGCTTTGATGCCGCAATGACATCATGGTTACAGATGGAACTGTTTCATACCTTGAGCAAGCCGGAAGCGATGCAGTCTTCTCCGCCCCTTGATGCACCTGTGGCTCGGGTTTTCCTCAAATGAAGTAGATCTACACCCGTACTTTCGCATCCAGCTGTGGAAAAACGCTCATTGTTTCATATTGGCTGGATCGTCAGTGGCTTGCGCCGCTGTAAATAGCAGCTTAGGCGGGAAAAACAGTGGACTGCCTAAGGTGTACTGTCTGAGCTGCCATCCGCTTCTGAAAGGGCGATTGAACGCCCCAAAGGTCTGGATCTGACGAGACTCAGCCTGAGGAGGCTTAGCAGCTGGTTGGAATGTATTCTCGTCAGTTGTGCACATTTTGCCGCTTGACGCGTAACATTGCGCCATGGGCGACCAACAGTGCACGGCAGCCGCATTCTCGCCTTCATTGTCCAAGCAACGTAAGCGGTGTTAGCATCAACAACTCGTCATGGCCAGAAGACGGCGGTGGTCAGTGAGCTGATCCCCAGATCAAGCTTTCTCATGCAGCTCCTCACAAAAGGCGACGGGTAAGTAAGGAACGCTCCAATCACGCTCTTTCACTGCAGTATGCAATTACCGCAAGCGGCAAGGTGCCGTACTGGAAGAACTGGCTGTGGCGGCGCTAGCCAGTGACCGTACTTGCAGTTACGTAGTAGAAACGAAAGGAGGCGGTGCCATGCGGTGCAGCAAGGGAGTCCCGTTTGTTTGTTGCTGAAGCTTTGGGCAAGCTATGACGCTGTAATGTGGAGCCAAGGCCATGCTGTGCTGCCGATATAAGAAAGAGCCCTCGCCTTGCCTTACCTACCTCTTCCTCCACGACCAAACAATCACTTTCATCAACTCAACCACTTCACTCACTCACCCAAACTTAACCCAATTCACACACTCAACATGCGTTTCTCCACCATCGCCATGATCGCCGGTGCCGGCCTCGCCTCCGCCCAGGTTGAGTCTCTCATCTCCTCGGTTGCCTCCTCCATTGGTGGCGAGATCTCCTCTGCTCTTCCCGGCGGTGCCTCCTCCGCCTTGAGCTCCGTCCAGTCTTCTATCGGCTCCCAGATCTCCTCCGCCAACAGCGCTGCCTCTTCCGCCATCTCCTCCATCGAGGGTGGTGCATCCTCCGCTCTTGCCAGCATCAGCTCTGAGGCCGCTACCGCAACTGGCAGTGCCGCTGCATCTCTCTCCGGTGCTGCCTCTTCCCTCCGCTCCTCCGCCAGCGCGGCTGCCAGCTCTGCTCGCGCCTCCGGCTCTTCGGCTGCCTCCTCCGGCATGGCCGCTGCTACTCAGGCTCCCGTTGCCATGGGTGCCCTTGCTGGTGGTCTTTTCCTTGCTGCCGGTCTTTTGTAAGCACCTAGCATTGTCGACTACACGTCGACGATCAGCTCAAAAGTTCAATAATGGCTCTTTCGAATGGATTACACTGTGCTTTGTCTCGTTTGAGACAAGTACACCCGGGTACGGAACGATACACGGTGTTGGGATACCTCGATCACAATGATCATACTTTTGTAATATGAACTTCATGGAATGTATTCTCGGCTACAACATTAGCTTACAAACTCCAAAACTATTCTCTGATCTGCTGTGACTACTTGTGTGATATGCGACGCGCTCTTGCGCTTCATCTTGCGGAATTGACTTTCTCCCAGATCCTGAGCCATATTATCATGCCGTCCGTCCTTGTTGAAGCATTTCCTCTACGCAGATGATGTGATCCGTCTTATCCGTCCCGCAGGTCATTTCCGATCTTTTCCCATACAAAACTTCCAATTGCCATCGAACGCACTGCCATTGACTCTCTTCCCCCGTTGCCGCAGCTCAAAGAACCTCTTCCACGGCAACAAATCCTCACAAACAGCCACCTTCAGCTCAGGTTTCACGGCATCTATCACCACGCTGATGCTCCTTGGTATGACGTGATGTCCATCAGGGCCGCGCGTCGCGCAAATCTAAGCCTCTCCAGGCTAGCACCGATCACCCGGTTAAGACGGCTGCTGTTTGCAGGCATCTCAATCCACCGGCTACATCCTTGCAGAGAGCATCGAAGGTGTGTGAATCACCCAACAGTCTCGCACGCAAGCCTTTGTCAATTAGATAGTGTTGCACGTTGCAACCATGCAGGCACCAGCTTGGCGGGTGCGGCGGGTGCGGCGGGTGCGGAAACCCATACCAGGAACGATCGCCAGGCAGCATTCAATCCTCGTGCGCATCACGCAACGTCAAAGGATTCTCGGGATACGAGCCCGTCGTGTCAGCAGAGCGCGTCTGCATTTCTTGCACAACGTCACTAGTTTCAAGTTCTTCGCAATGCATCAGATGTCGACCACTGCCAACAGGAGACGATCTCGACATCAAAGCATCACACTGCGGTTGCTGCGACGGCCCGATAGGGATACCTTGAAAGATCGACTACAGGGAAGGGCATGTTATCCGACTATGATAAGACGCGACAGAGCTACATGGCTGTCACTGGCACTGCTTCGCTCGTGGTACCGTGTGCTCTTTCCTCCCAAGCTCTCTCGCTTTTGCCTTCACCTGTACCTTGAATACCTCGTCTTTCTCGCATTCTGAGGTCTTGAAGATGATGGTAAGGCGAAAAAAGTAAGGGTACGGCAAGGACGATATCGTGAAGTATGACGATGTACAAGATCGTATTGCTGCGTATCATGTTGCCGAGCTAAGGCTGCTTGGATCAAAGATAAGAGCGCAAGTTGTTATGACCCTGATCACAATCCAAGTGGTCTTCACATTGCGATTCTGATATGTTTTAGTTACATGTTATCAAAGCACTGTATGAAGCAGATAGCGACATCAACTTCATAGCGGACTAGCTCTACGTATTGGGACAGCTTGTCATCCTTACTTCCTCTGGTCGCTTGGGGTAAAAGTACCCGTCCGCACGCTTCTCCAACTCCGCATTATTTGGCACCCGAACGTCACGCTCGTAACCCTCATACAGAGGCACGGGAACGAAAGCGCGTGGAAGAGGAGCAAGCTCGGCATCGTGATCACCAGGGTATCGATGGGGCTGCACAAATGGGGTCGCTGATCGCGCACGGGTCCTGGGCTTGGAGCAGCAGCACCAGGCGAGGGAAACGATCAGGAGGACACCTACGATAACCCAAGCGATGATTTCGAACTTGCGGGCTTTCCAATAAGCTGTCATATTGGCGTTGCGTCAAGTATGAAAAGGACGCGGTCTCTGCTTAAGAATGCGCGGTGTGGCATGTGTCGGCCGTAAATTGAGGTTTGAGCGACGACTACCTGTCCTAACAAACGCTTGCTTTGGTCGCCAAACAACGCGCTCCAGTGAGCTTGCTGTAGCCTTGCAGGTCCATCGCTGTAAATTTAGTAGAGAACACCATTTCAAGTGGTTTGTCAGAACCCACCGTGGTCTCTCCCGTCGACATCGTAATCACCAAGATGAGCTGGTCTCGAATGGACATATCTAAGCCATGCTAGAGCGTGTAAGATTAAGTGCCACAGCACTAGCCGACTCAAAACAAGGAATACCAGCTGGACTTCTGACATGGCACTCGATATAGATGCAGGTGGAGTGACGAAGATGCTGTCTGAATGTCAGAGTGGCTGTTCAATAGATTCAATCTACCCAGCATATATGCTGACGACAATCAGGCAAACGATATCGGACATAATGGCAATTGACGTGGCGCTTAGCCTACGTGTTGATCGATTACTGTAAACGCAAAATCGGCGAAGAGCCCTTATGTACAAGTGTTTGACGATGAATATAGTCTCATTTTCAGATGGTGTTCTGCCTAACAGCCATAGAAGTTCAGCATTATAAGTACTAAGCCTGTTGAATTGAATTGCACATCTGGCATCTCAGTTGTACTTTTGATTGACTGCTAACCCTAAGGACAGTTTTCATCTTCGACATAATAGTGATCGATAGGTGTTTACTTATCGTTGTGTCAGATCAACTCTTGCACGGCGGAATACACAACTCTTTCATCAGGATTGTTGCATGAACAATTCCTTCCCTTGTCGACGGGACAAATGATCCCATGCAGTCATTTCATTGCCCTTTTACCTACTCGTATCATTCAGTATGTTTGCGACTTGCTGGACCAGGCGTACTTGATGAAGGGTACATTCTAGCATCCACTACCTTCGTGCACGGCGGTCCGACTAACAGAAGTATAGAATTCCACTGTCCAAATTACCGACGATGATTATGGTGACGCGTCTTTTGGTAGTGTAAACAACTCCCACCATCACCCATCCAGCCATCCGGACAGTTGCAGAAATACGTGTACCGGGAGTCATACGGATCATGAGTATGTGGGTCTCCTGCTACCGACCGGTCTTTTGTGCGCGACTCAAGCTGGACACCTGGTTGCGATGGATCACCGGTAGGGAATTGTATGTTAAGTGTAGCCTGTGAGTTACGGTCCTGGTCTTCCTGTGTGCGGGCGATACATCGTTGATATGCTCTGGCTAGTTGTGATTGGAATAGGAAGGGAAGGAACATGACTACTAGAGCGAGGAGGACAAGGATGCTTAGCAACACCCATAATATAATGTGCCTGGTGCTTTCCATTTTGATAATGCTGAAGCTGTGGATGAATGCACGAATAGTATCTGCCAGGACAACTGCAAGACATCCAGATGGGAGCAGTGTTCAGACGGACTGTATATGATATGATGCTTAGTGACAAACAGGACGAGCAATGTCGATTGCTTGACGTTGTGGAATAACCCAGTCCTGGCAACAAACGACACACTTGAGAATTTAGACGCGTGTTATGCGTTAGAGCCACAGCTCCTTGTCCAGCAGTTGACAGTTTTCGCTCGGCGGCCGGACGCATCGACGAACAGCTCGCTCAGGCTGATACCGTGGCACGTTACGCTCCACCCTCCCAGTCTCAATGAAAAGATAGATAAGCATAAACGTGGAAATGACGATCAAGATAGCAGCAACAGTGATAAGAAAATAAATGCTCTAATGTTTCTCAAATTGTACCTTGAGGGTTCTGGGCCGACAATGTGTTGTGTCAAGATATTAGCGTACGTACGGATGTATAGCAGTTCTAATATTTGGCTCGTGTACGCATTGCATGCGGACGGCAAGGAAAGCCTCTTGTACATCGCTGCTGTCTTCTATCATAGCCTTCAATCGGTTGATGTCTGTCGCCGTATTGAGATTGGTTTGCTGACTCTCGCGGTGGGAGGGAAAGGGGGCTTCACAGACTAAGTTGTGACCCAAGTGTGACCTCTAAAAGCTGTGGCGGCGTAGACCGTCATGCCATTCCTTGCGCGTTGGGCGCGTTACGAAGATGAAGCCGATGAGGCTCCAGTGTTGACGAATCATCTCGACCCGCTTGTGGCGACGGCAGTAACAGGGTAGGAAGAACGGCGTACTAGTGGTGGTGCAGAAGGCGAAACAAGGCAATAACTTGACTTGGTCGACAACCTCTTGTGGTACTTCCGCAAGGAATGCCTAGGGTTTAAGGTTCTTGATGTGAAGCGCGAGCACCTGCCATGCCATCAAGTCGATCTGCTCTCTTAGATGCACGTCATGGTAGGCGTCCTGCATATAATCCTCGCAGACATGTTCCTTTGGCTTGTCTTTGTAGTCGGCCTTGAAGAAGAGCCTATAGGCGGCACTTATGAGGGAGGGTAATTACTTTGCCATTCGATGCGCGGCAAAAGCCCGGTGGTAGCGTGGGGCGGCGCACTTTGTTGAGACGCATGCGCTTGGTCCTTGAAGATGGCTTGACTATGTGCATGGCCCCCGCATGCTTCCTCTTCGGTGTCATTGGCCGAGGTTGTACGTCTTGGGCTACAACATCGATATCCGTTTGCAGCGACACCTCCTCGTCTTCCTACTCTGGGTCACTGTCGACGGGCGTGTCAACGCGAACAAGCAGGCCACTCGGGTCACAACACGATCGGACGTCAACGCAGAAAAGGCTCGTCAGAAGCTCTCAGAGCTAATGACCGCGAACATACGACCAAAGAGAAGCTACAGGAGGAGAGCGACGCAGAGGCATCCGCTCGCCATGTGCAGCGATAGGTTGAGGAAGCCTTCTAGGATAAGTACCGCAAGGCTGTTGCGGAGTGCAAGCCCGATAAGGAGGAGCTGATAGATAAGGAGAGTCGATCAGAAGTTCGGGGAAGACAACACTACTGCAGGAATAAAGAAGGGTTTCAAGGTTGCGGTGAAGCTCCACAAGGTCCAGGTTCCAAGCAGCTTCAAGAGGACAAATACGACGCGTCTCTTTCTTTCTTTCAGACCACTGACAGGTTGCAGGGACGCCGATAACGCGTACGAATAGAGTCGTCGATCATCTACTGCCGTACTTCGCAAGCAGGGGTTACTTCTGCCATTCGAGGGCCCATGTGTCATCCCCACTGCGGCCAGCACACTCTTACCCACCAGATCTCGACGCCTTTCCTACGCCGCCAGCGCATCAGATACCCCGTTAGGACGTCGAAGTTCGCTGCGAAAGCGACAGCGACAGCAACAGCAATGGTGCCAGGAGGGTTGTGTTGCTATCTTGCAGACGTTGTGTGCTCCACGTAGCGATGGCAACGCAGCCAACTCAGACATCTTACGCTGGGAGCACACAACTAACCAAGTCGATTGTCGTTGTGACGGTAGAAGTGATGCGCTCGAAAGAAGTTGCGGCTCGAGCACGTGCCGTTGCGGCGCTAGCGCGAGCCACCTACCACAACTGTGGTCTCTCTCCTTCACGGCTGTACTTCCTATTTGCACCTTCATCGCCACTACCCTCCGCTCTGAGCGGCTTTTTCTGCTACTGCTTGTCGGTCTTCCAGAGCGTTGAAGCAGGCTCGCGCTCCCAAGGAACGAGTCGATTGGAACGAACAGCAACGAGCGTCACTACAAGCCGTGGACCACAGCCGGCTGCAATCGGCAAACTGCCAACCAACAAACACTTCATCACTGCGAACTGCGACAGAAGGGCAGCCTGAAGTAGAGAATGTATGGGCTACCGCTAAAGGGAGCAATATGTAACCTATTGTGCCTTTGGCCCCCATAATTCATCATTAGACTCGGCCGGCTGGCGCAATGGTAGCGCGCAGCCCTCCTAAGGCTGAGGCTGTGAGTTCGAGTCTCACGTCGGTCGAAGGTTATTTTTGCTCTTGCGAACTGCAGAGTGCTCAAGCCTCCCGTACTGCTGTAGAACTTTCTTTCTGATCACAAAATGCACGGAAGGCCCAGCTCTTGTGAAGTGTTGACTCATTTCCTCGCTATTATAGATACAGCCTATGGCATGCCAGCCTCGGTACTCGAATAATCCCACTTGGGCAACTTCATAGTGCCGTGCTCATTCAAATGCTTGTGCATATCGTACGCATTCCAAAGCAAATGCGGCTGGTGACCCCATCCCTTCCTCAGGCACTCGAACTCCGCCTTGTCGAAGTAGTCCTGCAGGATAGGCTTGTAGTCAGGATGTGCACACTTGTTGATGATGACCCGGGCGCGCTCGCGAGGAGACATGCCACGGACGTCGGCGAGACCTTGCTCGGTGACGACAACGTCGAGGTCGTGCTCGGTCTGATCGACATGCGTGGCCTTGGGCACGATGCACGATACTCCAGTGGGGTCAATCTTGGAGGGACGGGTCGAGGGCGTGTGCATGATGGAGTATTTGGCAGAGCGGAGGAAGTCGGCTGAGCCGCCGAGACCATTCAGGATGCGTGAGCCCATGACACAGGTCGAGTTGGCGTGGGCGTAGATGTCGACTTCGACGGGGGTGTTCATACTAAAACAGTCAATATAGATCGAATGCTTCCGCAAGGCGTGTGCTTACCCAATGACACCAAGACGGCGGATGATCTCAGGAGAGTTGGAAACCTGCTGCGAACGGAGCAACAGCTTCGGTGCGTACTCCTCCCAACCCTTGTAGAAGCGCTCGAATCCATCGGGCGAGAAGCGAATAGACGTAGCAGTAGCAAAGTCAAGATTTCCGGAGTCGAACAGATCAAGGAAGGAGTCCTGGAGAACCTCGGTCCAGACCTTCAGGTTCTTGAAGTTGGCACCTCCTGTTGCGAGGCCCTCAATGACAGCGTTCGCTATATTTCCAATCCCTGATTGCAAAGGTAGAAGGTTCTTAGGAAGGCGTCCCTTGCTAACCTCGTGTTCCAGAAATTCGATGAGATTACCAGCAATGGCCTTGGAGGTGTCATCTGCGGGAGCGTTGGGCTGTGTCTGATCGGCGTAGTCACTCTCAACGATGGCAACAACCTTCTCCGGATCGACTGGGACGTGAGGTGTACCAATGCGGTCCTCGGGAGACATGACAAGGTATGGCTTTCGGTTGGGCGGCAAATCTGTCATTGTGATGTCGTGAAGACCCTCGTAGTTGGGGCTGGCAGTGTTGACTTCGATGATGATCTTGTCGGCCATCTGGACAAGCTCGGGTGTCGCCCCAACTGACGCACCCGGGATGATGCCACCATCTTCTGTAATTGCTGAGGCCTCTACGATGGTAACATCCAGGCGGTTTTGTGGCTTCTCGAGAGTGTAGAAACCGTACATCAAGTCCACAGGAAACATGCTCAAATGCTTGTCCCAGAACTTGATGTTGCCGTTGTTGATTCCCTTGGCAATATCCTTACCGACCTGGTGCGGCGAGCGGCGATTGATCATGTTGTTTCTCGCCCATCGATTCTCAGTCTCTGCGCCAGACGATGCACCGACGAACAGGTTGTACTTGAGCTTGCCCTGAAGACTGTTCTTCTCGACATGTTCTGCGAGGGCAATTGGGATCTTCCTGAAAGTGCATTATTAGCCTCCCTGGAATTATGACTGCTCGATGCGAGACCAAGTCGCCGCACTTTCTCGATGCAACGTGTGGAGTCGGAGATGTCTCGGCGATCTTGCTCGTCTTCAACTTCTGTTCCACCGTGGCGTACGCTCAGCTCCAAACCACGTCACATCTCCACAAAAGTGACTCCAAATATTCCTCCTCTTCCAAACGAACTGCCTAGTCCTTTCTAATTGAGTCGCTAACGTGGAAAAGAGCTCCACTCACTTGGGGTAACCAACACCTGTGAAGCCAGACCACCCAATGTACGCATCGTTGGGGAAGTGGTGAATCAGATCCTCCGCCTTTGCGATCTTCTTCAGATAGCTGGGCCTCCTGACCCTAGCCTTTAGCGCCGCAGAAACCGACATATCGTCGCTCTTGTCGGTGAAACGTTTGTCGATTGCTCTGCGATCGGAGGTCGGTGGTGGTCCGCGCTCAAGCTCCCTCAGAAAAGGTGTGAGCTCAGCAACGCGTGAGGCTTGTCGAATACTGGTCCTGGAACAAAGAGAACGGGGAGCAAAAAGTCAATTGAGAAGCGCAGGTGGCACTCTAGAGGTTTTAAACGTTTTGCAACAATGACTAAGACTGCTGCGGGCACGCGAAGCCGGAGCGTCTGTGGGCTGATGTGCTGCTTTAGTCGATGCGACCCACTGAGCAAGGATGACCTCATAAGCGGACTCCCGCACGACCATGGCAGGAGCGGCCATGCAGGAACACCGATCAGAAGGTGGGACTGACGTGCGTATGGATTGGTCTTGTATAGGAAGAAAACAAGTTGAGGCTCTTGAGATGTCTGGGCAACGGCTCTTGTGTCTTGGCCGGAAATGGCAGTGGTGAGATGGTGTTGAGGCAGAATGCATTCGAGATGTCCTCCACGAGCTCTGTGGGAATTGGAACCTGCAATTGAAGTTGACACTTGAGCCTCAGACCGCGCGTCGCAATCGAGCAGGTACTCTGGGGTACGACCACACCGTGATTACTCTCTGTTGAGGATCTGCGGTTCGTTACGTAGGCGCAAGGTCGGAGTAGATTCGGCGAAGCATTCGTATCGCCAAAAGCCCAGGCCCCATCAACATGGTGCAACTGTCTTAAGTCGTCTGGAAGGCTAGAAACATATTCTGAATTTAGAGTAGATGGGCGGTCTTTAGCGATGAATTGTACAATTTCTGCGGATTGACAGGGTTTCTGGGCACAACAGTTATATGTGCTAAAACATCCAACTTGTCACGCAACATGAAGACACAGAAAAACCAGAATGTACTTCATCATGTCGTTAAGTGTCGTTGCTACTTCTACAATGCTCGCTTGATTCACAATCAGACCTATGGGCTCTGAATCTTAATAGTAGACAACAGTGCAATGCTCAAGAATAACATAAGAGTCTCCAAAAAGGGACAATAATTGCAAGGAAGCGTCCTGACAGTCTCCCTGTCATGTTGGAGTAAAAATACGTCTTTGATGCAACAAAGTAAGTGGGTATCACCGCACCACAACGCCGTCAATGCAATGCATTCACCAAGCCATAGAGATGAGGGGTTGAAAGGTCCTAGGGGGTTGCAGGATGGCTTCACTGCCGACTACCGCGCCGGCTGCGGTGCGTATGGTCCGGTTGTGTAGTGGCTTGAGGTGGGCATAGGAGACTGATACGCCATTCGTCTGTCTTGTGGGGGGTATGCTTCGAACATGACGCGTCGTTGAGGGGCTCCTTCTCGTAGCGTGCTGTGTCCGGCCTGGCTGGTGTGTGGGAAATGCTGAGAGTTCTTCGGGCTGCTCATGAACAACAGTGTATCTACGGCGTCCTTCTCTGCTTGCTGACTCGGCATTCGAAGGATTCCTGCTCGAGGTGTTGTCGGGGCTCGTTGACTGGCACCCACATCACTGTGGTGCTTTCTTTGTGCTGAACCAAGCAGAGATGGAGGTGGATGTGTGGTGCTCGATCTACGCCTCCTTACAAACTCGAACTCGGAAGCCGGGGCAAGTGCATTGCCACCTGTGATAGATATCAGATTGGCGGCGGCATTTATTGCTGGCTTGTTAGTCAATCGCCAGTATGCTAAGGAGTGTCAGTACAAGAACGTATCACTAAGGTTGCAAGACTCACCTGAGTTGACTGCATGTGACTGCGCCGACTCAGAAGCTGGAGATATCATCATGTAGTCAGAGTTGTCAGAGATAGCGCTTGGCCTTCGTCGATAGTCTGTGGTAGAGGGTGAGCCAAATGCGGCTCGAGAATCACCACCAGGTGCAGAGTTGGGTGATCCACGTTGCGAGTGCACTTCTTCCAGCTCCTCCAGAGACTGCTTCTCCCAGCCATTCTGCACCTTGACCATTGCATATGAGAGACGAGTCTTGAGTTGGGCGGATAGCTCCATATAGGTTAGCTGCATACAGGCCGTGTGTTGGAAGGCTTCACGCACCTCTCCAATTCGAGTGTTTGAATGTGTATCCATACTCTTATTCCGCTTGTGTGCAGAATTTCTTTCCGTAGGACTTGTAGATGACCTGTCACCCTTCATTAACCCATCTGCACTCCTTTTGAAACCCTGAGCGGTAGGGGACACCAGCGACATGGGGATCGCTGTTGTGTGACCGGTTTGCGGCGCGTTCGCAGCGGCTGTGTCGATCTGGGGTGCATCTACTCTTGCGACGTGACCATAGATGCGGCTTGGTGAGGTTGACATTGGCTCTTGCACAGGGTTACTGTAGACTGCTTGGCCATTGGACTTAGACGATGAAGCTACATCTTGATCTGAGGATAGGTTACTCGAGGTCGATGCTAGAGCTGGTCCAGAGAAAGTGCTTGAGATCGTAGATGCTACACTCTCTTGCGATTCGGGCACATCCAATATATGTGGCTTGGCTATATCTATAGAGTGAGCGGCGTCGGTCTCTGTGATGCATGTCGTAAGTGGACGCTCATCGCGATCGTGCTAGAGACGCGACTTACGCATCGTGGCGGCGGGGTAGGGTCCCAATGTGATATAACGCAAGATACAACTGATCCGGATCCAAGAGGTAATACAGGAACAATAGAATAACTGGGCAGTGTACGCAGACAAGGAGCAGATACCCTGATGGCGGGGTGATTGATTGGGAGGGTTGGTCCACGGACGTGTTCTCGGAGGCTTGGGCGCGTGCTGATGAGTTAGGACAAGCCGTTCGCGTCACCCTAGAAAGGACCGAGCCCCAAACAACCGAACAGAGAGGCAGAGCAAAGAACACAAGGAAGCGCAGAGCACCCAGGAGGAGGATTCAGCGGCGCGTCGCGTACAGGTGAAGAGGGGAAGAGTGGTCCCCAACGTCGAGCGTGCCTGAAGGGTGCCGCGCGATCACGAGTGCCCCAGAAAACGCGCGTGCTTATTAGCGGTGGCGAGCTCCCGGCGCGGGTGCACGCGCGAGCAAGTGATTTGACCAGATGCCTGGCTAAGCGCATGCAATGCAGCCGCTGCCACGGCTCGTGAAAGTCTTGCAGCATATGTGCTGGGCCGCTCCTCCAGGCTGCTGCATGTCAGAGCGTCAAGCAGGAGGCGCTGTTTTTCTTGCGTTGTTGTCCGGTTTATGTGTGCCTGAATTACAGACGCTATCAGTCAACGATGCTCCACACTCGCGTTTCCAAGTGATTCAGGCACATGGCAACCACCGTTTCGGGAGTTGGAACGCGGCAGCCGGCGTGAACGCGTGTTTGTGAGAAGGCTTTGAGTTGGTGTCGTGGGACTGTGCTGCCTGCTGACTGACTCTGGCAGATTTCCAAGGTCATTGCGCTGTCCTGTATCACAAAGTCCAGTCACGTCGTCGTTTAGAAGAGCCGAGGTTTGAATTCGAAACAACCAATGCATTCGTCACGTCTCGCCTGCTGCAGCGCTATGTAAATCCTGATCTCATGTACAAACATCTTATCTCCATTTCCAAGGTATTCCGAACATTTGCAGTTCCGTCAAATCATACAAGCACATTTCCGTGACGCCAGTTGCGAACAGGTATATGCGCGACTAAAAAGCGTAGCCAACGCCGCTGGCCTTGCGGTGCGTTAATCCAGTGTTGCTCCATGCTCCTCCACGACCCTCTTCTGCAATTTTCCCACTGGCATCGCGTCTACGGCCTGGGGTACCGAGATCTGAATCGTCGAATTCATAGGGGTTGACGTAGTCGATGCCAGACCTGCTCACTACGCGGGGCGAAACCGCCTTTACAGGTGTGTGGTTGAATTCGCCGGTCTTGCGCACGCTTGTGTACGACTTCTTGTCAAGGCTGAAGGGTGTGTTCTGCGCCAGGCCGTTCTTGACAGAAGAAGTATTGACTGTGTACTGTGCAGTTGCACTCGGGAGGTGATTAGGCTGATTCTTGAGCGAGCCCTTCTTCGGTGAAGTCGCAGGAGAGTTCGAAGTCGAGCCGCTGTTCTTGACACCGGCCGTTGCAGCCTTCAGGTCACCGTAGTACCGCGACTTTGGTGTGTTGCCACGTGAGTGGGAGCGGTTGAAGGTGGCTTCGGTGGATATCGAGGTCGTTGTCTGCGTGCGCTTGAGATTGGAGGGAGGCGGTGTGTTCTTCTTGCTGTCGAAGTTCGGAACCGGAGGAGGTGTAGGATGGGGAGTTGGTGGATTCATGCGCAGAGGCTGAGGGATCATCGGTCGGTCAATCTCATCCTCGACATCTGATACATCGTAAGGAGAAACGGCGGCGTAGCCCTTCTTTTGAGCGAAGGTTGACTGCTTGGGAGCCAAGTAACGAGTATCGTTGCCTTGCTCGTCATCGTCGTCAGGATGAATAATCCAGTTGTCATCGTGTAAATCTTCACGACTGATCCTTTGGAGGGCGATGTCACCAACGGCAGCAGGCTTTTCACTACGGGCGGTCGTGGGAGGTGTGTAGAAGTCCTGGTTGGACGAGGACGTAACATTGTAGTTGTTCCTGTCGTGTTGATGTATCTTCGCCTGCTGTGCAAGGAAGGCTTTACGCTGAGCTAAAGTCTCATTGTCGACACTGTCATCTCGGCGGTAGATGTCATCACGGTGCGCCAGGCTTGTGCGAGACTGGCGAGCGGTCTGGGGTTGCGAGTACATCGAGAAGCGCTCCTTAGACTCACGAGCTGACTGAGGCGTGTGCGGCGAGTAGGCTGTCTCCGAGTCGCTACGAGTATGCATAAACGACATTTGAGTCTTAGTGGGGCTTGGGACGTCGTGCGATAGCAATGGGTCCGACTGCGAATTCCTGTCAACTGAAGTCGTGCTCTGCCCACTCAATCGCTTGTCATTGTCGAGGAAGGGTGTGATAGCGGAGATCGACGAGTTCTTGGCCTTGTGCTTCGACTTTCTGCGAGTCAGATTGTCCTCGAGCGGGTTCATGTCAGGTGGCAGCTTGGAGATCTTCCTGAAGATGACGATGAGGTACATATCGAGGAACGCGGAAATCAAATGAAGTCCTGCCGCAGTCGTCGCAGTCAGCCAGGTTGTGAGGAGGATGATATTCGTCTCGTCATCAGTAGGAAATAAGGTCCTCCAGCGTCCAGTAGTTCCAGCTTCCATTTCGGCATTTCGGCGCGAAAGAAGAAGAGTGTAGACGTAGAAAGGGATGAAGCCAGCGTCGGTGACCAAGGCGAAGAAGTGGTAGCTGGCTGAGCTAGCCGGAGGGCGCGATTTGGGACTACGAACGAGATGGTAGATAGCATACAGGCATGCTACGATATCGACACCGGGCTACACTTGTCAGTCACTTGATCGCACATGTCCAACAATTTCACATACGGGAATCCTCATGATCCACCCCTCAGTGTCCTGAGCACCCTTGATGAAGATGGCACAGAGCAGCAGTCCTACAGCACCAAAGAGACTGCATACACGGAAGAACAGCTGAGTCCATCGCGCAATCTTGATCCAGAGCTTCGTCTTTGGGCTCATGGGCTTGACGTCCGTCTTTCCATAAGGCAGGACGAGGTAGCTATCAGGATGCTTGTTGAAGTCCAGCAGGGGGCCATCACGCTTCTTCTTCGGTGGCGACGGTGGCATGCGACTGGCCATGGTCACAGCCTTGGGGTTGAAGCTGTCCCGAGGGTCGTTCATCGACTGCCTCTCCGGCGCCGAGTAGAGATAGGGCTGCCAGCGGCCCATGTTGGCAATTCCGGCAGGCAAGGAATGAGGGCCTTCCTTGCGCGACCTTCGGAAAGGAAAGTGAGAGCGTTCGCTTAGCAAAGGAATGCTTGCGATGGACGCGTTAGCTGCGCGAGGATCTGAGGAGCTATGTAGTAAATACCTCGTTGCCGGGACAACGCTTGGCTGCGAACTTCCCGCGCGATAGCGTGCCGTATTGCCCATGACATGCTGATACGCGGGTAGGACGGACGTGTTCCTGAATTGGCTGAGCTTGCTTCAACGCTTTCAAGTTCTAGTTCTTTGGGAACATGTGGGGCACCGGCGATACTCGTGCCTTGGTGGAGTGCATGTCAAGGTACGTGCCATGGTTGTCGGTCGTTCTGCGCGCGAAAAGGCCGAGCCGCCCAGCTTTACAAACCGAGATGGCGGTGACTTGAGTAGGAATCGGAGTGGATCTGACATGAAACCTATGCGAATACAGCTGAGTTGTATCTACGACAATTAAAGGGAAGCGTTGAAGTCCATCTTGAGATTCGGCAGATTATTAGTCATCCTGAAGTGTTCGGTTGATGACATCGCACATGTACCTCACTCTTCACAAGATGATAACCAACAAAAGCATACTTCCATCGCCTTACGTCTGTGCCAGCTGCGCTAGGCGTGTATCAGCTCAAGCTGCGCGTATCACACGTGAAGATGGCATACTCCAGGCCCGAAGCCACAGTAGCTTCACCGCATCCCCACCACGACCTTTGAGGAGCATTCCGAAGTCAGCGATAAGGTCTCCACCCATCCAGCGCCATGCACATAGCACTGCAGTACCTCCTCGAAACGGCTTTCGTATAGCCATTATAGGCTCTGGGCCTGCCGGTTTCTATACAGCACATCGCCTCCTACACAAAGTGCAAGATGCTATCGTCGACATGTATGAGCAATTGCCAGTGCCCTACGGCCTGGTCAGGTTTGGTGTAGCACCAGACCATCCGGAGGTCAAGAACTGTCAGGGCACATTCGAGGAGGTAGCGCAGTCGCCGCGCTTCAACTACATTGGCAATGTGCGTGTAGGCCACGACATCGAGCTGCTGAAGATGAAGCCTCACTACGATGCTATGCTGTTCTCGTACGGTGCAGATGAGGACAGAAGACTGGGCATACCTGGAGAGGATCTGAACGGCGTTTTCTCTGCGAGAGCATTTGTGGGGTGGTACAACGGGCTGCCGCAGTTTCAGAACTTGCAGCCAGACCTGCAGAGCGGAGAGCACGCCGTAGTTGTTGGACAAGGAAATGTGGCATTAGATGTTGCGCGCATTCTCCTGGCGCCCTTGGATCATCTCAGGAAAACAGACATTACAGAGCAGGCCATTCAGACCTTGGCAGAGAGCAAGATCAAGCACGTCAGGGTAGTTGGCAGGCGGGGGCCTCTACAAGTAAGTGCTTTTTCCCCACCAGATCATTTCCACGCTGACATTTCGAGGTTGCGTTCACAGTCAAAGAAGCTCGCGAGCTCATGAAAATTCCTTATGTTGCCTTCCACAACATCGATCGATCCTTCTACCCCGCCGAAATCAAGAAGCTGCCTCGAGTGCAGAAGCGCACCGCCGAAGTCCTGCTAAAAGGCAGCATAGCCACACCAGAGGAGGTTGAACGATCATGGACACTTGACTTCTTGAAGGCACCTCGCTCAATGAATGCTGAAGAAGGATCGAATCACCTCTCGTCCATGACGTTCTGGAGGCAGCAATTCCTACCCGATGCCGATCCACTCGACCCCTCTGCACGTGTACAAGCCACAGAAGAGGAAATGACAGTTCCTGCCTCGCTCGCATTTCGATCAGTGGGCTACAAGTCTACGGCTATACCTGGCCTTTCCGATTTAGGCGTGCCCTTTGACTCAAAACTTGGCATCATACCGAACGATATCCACGGGCGAATTGTCTCACCGAGTGTCGGCCCTGGTAGTCTGACTGCTGGTCACATTCCCGGTCTGTACTGTGCAGGATGGGTGAAGCGCGGTCCCACTGGAGTCATTGCCAGCACAATGCAAGACGCTTTTACGTCTGCGGACATTATTGCGCACGACTGGGAGAACAATGCGAAGTTTCTGAACGATTCAAATGGTCCAGACAAGAGCACACACCTAGGCTGGGTTGGTGTGAAGGCCGAGGTCGAGTCCAAAGGCGTGCGACCTCTGAGCTGGGCTGATTGGAAGAAAATCGATGAAGCAGAAAGAGTGCGCGGAAAAGAGAAGGGCAAAGAACGGGAGAAGTTTGCGAGTGTCGCTGAGATGCTGAAAGCTCTCGACGCTTAGGTGATTACTTGAGCAATACGATCTGATCGAAGTTGACGACAGTCGCAAGACAACAGTTGTAAGCAACTGTTGAACAAATTGGCAGGACAAATAGTGATGGAGCTGACACCAACTTGCATGTACCTACCCCGCCCAGTCCTGGCGGCTATGCAGCACCGTTCCATGCTGTCAAGGCAGACGTATAATGATGGGATCATACGCTTTCCTTGTGGCTTTAAACCGGTGGAAGACTATCAGCACCGCAGACAGTTGCGAATACAAGCCTTATAGTGCCAGGTCTGCGATGTTTTCGTAGGAGATTACAGTATACATGCTAGCCATTCAACTACTAGGCACCGAAACATGCCATTAAGGGTGGCAGTCCCGCGGCGTCCCAGGAATAATTTCAAATCGCTTGCTTTGCCCTTGCTCAGTTTGCCAGACAAGCAAAAGACATGTTTCCAGCTGGCGGCTGCAACCCACCCCACATGGATCGCGATCACGATTGTTTTCCGGCTCTTGTTGGCCACTTTGAGGATCCTGCGGCTGGTCGTTAGGCACAGGAGCTCATCACGGGAGGTGACAATACTCCTCAGCAGAGCTCTGGGCATGTATGCTGATGCCACTTCCAGCGAAGACGATTGAGCACGGTCTCAGAGCCAGCCTTCTCATGGTGCGACCGCCATGGAAAATATCATTACTGGAACTGGAACTCTTCTTCTACCATGGGACTTGCACACCAGGCAGCATTCCCATACCCGACCTCACCAAATTTACCCTACGCCGCAAGAGGAATCTATCTAAGCGCAAGAGCTGCAGGGATGTCTTTACTACTCTTACGCTGACGCCTGCATATCTGGTACAGGCGGTATTTACTCTGTATTTGATTGCTCGACGTGCTCGTTCGAACGCAAACATCCGGCGGGTCATGACTCATGAGCCTTCCGATTGTTGTCCAAGAGCGATCCAGTACCACCATATTTGCAGACACGCAATCTTTCAGCTTTCAAACCCAGGCGTAACTGTCGCCTGTATGTATTCAATGCTTCAACTATGGGACCTTCGATGGGAGTATGTCGACAAGAACCAGCTTTGGAGCTTTGAGCTGCACGAAGAACTTGCAGTCGCTGCGACACCGTTGGGTGTCAGCGTAGTACTGTTCGTGGATTCGACCATGTGTTTGGCCATCAGCGCTCATGCCTGCCAGAATGTTGGACCTCTGACCGCAACCAGTTTGTGCTTTGGCCCGCTAAGAGAGTGGCTGGGAACGAGAGACCACAAGGGCACCTTGTTCTTCCGGATGCTGCCACGCCGGCTAAGACAACCCGTGAAAAATCTGGTCACGATGTTTCTGTTCTTTCCTAGAATTACTTCGTCAGCAGCAAGCTCACTGGCAGCCGCGCCACGAGAATTTCCAGCCAGCAGGCAAAATTCAGGTATGCTGCCTACCTCTTTGCGTACTTCACGCCCGGCATCGCACTTTTCACATCCCAGCTTATCGGCTTCTCCTAGGCCCTCAGGCGGCACTCTGGGATATCCGTCCCTGCAGTCACTGCACGTTCAGGCTGCATTCGTACCATACCGCTTTATCTCTGGATGTGGAAGGACCCACTGGCTGACCGGCTGCGAGCATTCTAGATAGTAGAATCCTGATTGCATTCGACGTGTCTGAGATAGCCGTCCTCACGGAAGGGTTTCATGCAGGTGAATAGTTCTTGATGTGCGTTAACGATCAGAGAAGCAACGATAGAGTCTACAGAATGACTGACTACTACTCGTTTCAGAAATGCCAGACAGGAAAAGGAGCATCACTGGAGACCTCCGGGACTCACGTGGAGCATCAAGAGGTGCATGAACGATGCATTGATTATGCTAGATCTACATCGGTGTGCCGGCAAAGGGCACACCAAGATTGAGTCAAATGACATCCATGTTCCTGCAAATCATAGTCTCCAGATATCACCGAATGCCTCCAAGACTTCCCGTCTTGCCACTAGAGCTGCCGCTACCGCCTGAACCTAATTAAGATAGCGCGACTTCTCCGGACACTTGTCGAACTCGCCATGACACTTCTTACACTGCAAACATATCAGTGATGTCTTTACCTTGCCGTAAATCAGACTTACCTCAGGAGTACGGTGGCACACGTGCTCACGGCAGCTCTGCTTGCATCCTTCTTGGCCTCGAGTGTGCCCGTTCTGCATCACGGTCAGTGTTGCAATTCGATGAAACATGTATATGCGTGAGCCTACCTTGAGGCAGAAGTCGAGCATGCCGGTGCAGAAGTTGCAATCGATGGTGCTGGTGGGCGTGTCGCGAACGGCGAGCTCGAGCGCAGCCTGCATAGCTGGGACGGCGGACACGGCAGCGCTGAGGGCGAAGGCGAGCGACAAGATCGTGGTTTTCATGTTGTAAGATGTATGAGCGGTTGTTTTGCTGTTGTTAGGTATTTGAGGGCTTCCAAGAAGTCAAGAAGTCAAGTGAAGATTGATGATAGCTGGGGCTGGAAACGAGTGTGGTTGTCGATTGACAGTGAGCGAGCGTGAATCTAGCGAAGGGAGTGTGGGCGCGCAGTGCAAATGGGAGGTGAGGTTCGAGGCGACACTAGTGGGTCTGTAAACAAACGAGCGTGGAAGAAAGCAGGTGAAGGCGGTCGCTGCTGGCACTCTTTGTCTCCGCATGGCAGTGACGTTGCAAGCTACAACCTCGACAGAACGCAACAGGGCATAGTTTTCTGCAAGCTCGCCTTAATAATATTGTCGACTATGGGTGCGGTGGTGAATGGACATAACTTTTGTCAGGAATGAAAGCCTCGACTGTACACCGGCTGCTCCAGCATCATCTGGCGCCTGCGCAACGCGACAATCGCGAATGACCCAAGAAAATCGAGTCTCAAGGCACCAATCATTTCATTATATCTACGTGGCATCTATCTGAGGTTGACGAGTTCGTGTCGTGCCTGTGACACTTATTGTGATCATTGCTGTTTTCACATGATGAGAGCGTCGCACACTGCGCTTGAGCAACCCCCCAGAACTCAGGGTTGGAAACTTTAAGGGACGGTAGGCAACTTGTATACTTTATGATGGTATCTTTCCATCTTAGAACCGAGTCTGACACAGTTCGCGAAACTGCTACAACCCTCATTGCTTCGACCTCGAAACAGAAGACCAGATCCTCGTATACAATGGCGCAGCGAGAAGGGACGAAACTTGACCAGAATGTACTTCAGGCAAAAATGTCCCGATGACTGCAATACGCGACCCTGAGAATCATGCTCACGACGCTGGTTGGCTACCTTGTTGGGGTCAGGGACGATATGTCGAACTCCGGTTCGTAAGGAGGAAAAAAAGACCCACGCACATATAATAATATCTTCTCAGACACAACCATAACGACAGACACACCATGTTCTCTTCCTTCGTCAAGTTCTTTCGCGGTCGCAGCGTGGAATGCGACTGCTGCAACCACGATATTGACATAGCAGCCCTCCTCGATGATGAAAACGGATCGGAGGAACGCCAGACGATGAAGGAAAAGCTCGACAAGGTTTTCGCTTCTCTTCCATGGAAGAGGTTCAAGCAGAGATACCTGCTACGCAAAGTCACTGCCAGGAAGACCATCAGAGAGCGTTTCAAGCATGTTTACAAGAGGGTTCAACGCACTGGAAAGAAGAGAAGCTTCGAAGTACGCCGCGGGCGATTTCCTCAGGCTAGGAACGCTGTAACGAACACAGTTGAACAAGCAGGTAAGCAGCTCCCGACATCCAATCTCAAAGTCGCAAATACTGACCTGCCAGACGCCTTGAAGTCCGCAGTCCGCCAACTCCTCGCCACCATGTTCGCAGACATCGTGGAGAAAGACCGCACTCTCGCAAAATGGACAGACGAAACCACACAGTGTTTTCTCGTGCACCTAATCTCAGACCTCGACCTTGACGGCTCCTTCCTAACCCGCTACGTGCACCCCTCGCCGCAGATCTTCGACATGGACTTCAACCTCGGCCTCGGCTTTGTATCGAATTGGCTGCAAGGCTCACTCACCAACATCAAGATCTCTTATGCGGAAGGCGATGTCGATCTGCAGATGCCGTTCTGCGTCCTGGAGACTACTCAGAGCAGAGCCAACAAGCGTGCCAGAGCACTGCAGCTCTTCAACCCTGGTGAGAAAGTGGGCATTGCCACGCTGGACTTTGTGGCGCTGAAGAGCGCAAAGCTGGTGGCGAGCGCTGAACATACGTTCGACTTCCTCCGGGTTTCAAGAGAAGGCTTTCGCTGCGGGAAGAAGCTACTAGCGTGGACTGAGAATGATGAAGACGGCCAGTCCGCAAAGGCTTTGCGGAGCGCGGTGCTGACAGTCGTTGAATGGGAAGATTCAGGTGAAGATCCCACGGCAGAGAGCGAAGAGGAAGAGCTGCGTATGGCGGCACAGAAGCCTTTGCCAGACGACAAAAGTGAAGAGCAGTGGGCCAAGTGGGCCAACCCTTCAGAGAAGAAGGATTCCGGCACCATAAGTCGAACTGCATCGCGAAGTTCGAAAGATGTGAAGCTAGACTCGGTGGGAGTTTCGTTCGCTGACTATGAAGGGTATCCGAGGTTTCGCTCCTTGTGATGAGGTCCTCTTACAGTTGCTGCTGTCTTGCGACGTGAGTCAACACACACCTGTATACAACACGTACCAACCTAGATTCCCCTACAATAGAAAATTACAACTCGATAATCTCCTGCACTACGTCCTCCACGACCTTCTTCCAGCTCTCCGTCGGCGGCACAAACCACTCGCTGAACACATCCTTCAGTACCTTTTCGCCCAGCGTCATATGCTCGCCCTTGGTCGTCTTGAAGTGCAACCCACCCTTCTTGTCCAGCTTCTTCAGCCCAATCCAATCTTCCTTGTAAATCTCCCGGTCCCTCAACTCCACAACATCGCCGCTCGTCAGGTTGGTGTACGCAAACCAGCCTGTCTCCTTGGGTACAACCGTCGTATCGTTCTCAAAGACGTACATAACGAAATTGTCCAGCTGCGCCAGATTTTGGGCGTAGGTAACGTTCTTCAGCGCGCGCTCGTTGTTGATGTCCGCCATGAAATTGCTATTGAGCAGGTACTCCTCCGTCGGCTCGCCCGTCTCCTCATCCGTCGCCTTGAAGTACTGCGCAGGCACGAGATGGCCCTGCACCCATGCACCCCATGTATTCGCTTTGAGCAGCCCGATGTACCCCTTGCACAGCCAGTCTGTCGGCTTGCAGAGCTGGTACTTCGCGATGCCGTTGTGTTGGCTACCGAAGGTGACTAGGTTGCGGACCTTGATCCCATTCTCGCCGCCGCAGCGCTCTACCAGTCCTCGAAGAAACTGTCCACCCTGCGAAAATCCGAGCGCGTTGACGCCCGGCGCGCTGGACAGGATGGGGTCGGCGTGGATCGCGGCGCAGACGCTGGCGATCTGCTCGGTGACGTTGCCGAGGAAAGTTGCTGTACGGTCGGAGGAGACGTCTTCGTCGAGCCGGATGATGTATGTGTATGTCCCTGGATTGACTTCCTCGGCGAGCGAGGCGACTTCTGCGAGGCCGTCGGCGGCGTAGTTGTCGCCCAAGCCATGCCAGATGAGAAGGGGGAGGGGATCAGAGTTGGGCCTTGAGTATGGAGAGGCGAGCACTTGAGTGCTGATCAAGAGCGCTGAGAGCGATAGTGAGTGCAACATTGTGGTAGATTATGATGTGAGTTGTGTTGCCTGGAAGCGCAACGAAGGCGTGAATGTAAGCAATGTCGTCAGCGACGCGCTTCGGCCAATTGCAGCCGAGCCACGTCCGCGGTTTGGAGCTTACTTGACCACACATGCTCTCTGGACTGGCATAGGACGCGGTTGCCAATTCAGACATAATAACGCGTGGACTGAAGACGAGAGATATGGAAACGTTGATTACGATGATACTGTCTTGTTGGTTTCTTTACTGACTTGCAAAAGCAGCGTACAGTTGCAGTGTATACGGTAGATTAGAAGGAATACCACGAGGATGAAGACGGCACTGTAGAGCAAATCGCTGACCTCCAGAGTCAAGTTCGCGGTCTCTCAATACCTTCGACGAACGCGTGAAGACTTTAAGCTGGCGTACTGATATCTAAATGAAGCATGAGACAGACCAAGTCGATCAGAAGAGCTGCCAAATTTCGTTCACATAGTTGCAAACGCTCCACGTTTCCAAATCGCCTCAAACTTGCACATTACACTTCGACGCACTGGAGGAATCGACGACAAGTATTTTGGAAAACCTACAGGTGTTGTCGTTGTAGTATGCATGTGATCGAATGCAGAAAATGATCTTTGGATTCACAATGGTATTCTGCCCAACATGCAACATATTTTTGAGCCCCCTAACGCCGATGCGCCGTCCTATGCAAATACTCATATCTTCACAGCTCATGCAATCAGCGGTGTCTGTACCGACGAAAGCGCATCCGCCTTCAGGGCTTTCTTCTTTTCCTTGCTCAACGAGCTCTTCTTCGCAGGTGCGGCCTTCTTCGCCTTCTTGGCTTCCCTCTTAGCCTTCTTCTCTGCCAGCTCGGTCTCGTCGAGCAGCTCGTCCTCCCACTCCTCCCACTTGCGCTTGGTCTGTGCAGTCTTGCCCTCGCCAATGCTCTTCTTCTGGAACGGCTCATCCAGCACCTGCGAGTCGTCGACCCACAGCTCGTCCGCGAGCCAGATGGGCAGAGCCTTGGTTGCAGGGCCCTTGATGTGCAAGCTGCGAACGTTTCGCCAGCCCTGCTCGATATGCTTGGGAATGATGGCGGCGATGACGGCCTCGGTGTTCTCCTTGATCTGTGCGCCGGACTGAGAGAGGTTGGCGATCTTGATCGAGGTGTTGGCAGAAGCGCTCATGCTGAGGTATGTCGATTGCAGCGCAGTCTCAATCTCCTTTGCGATGCCCTGTGCTGTGCCGACCACGTTCTGAGGCTCCTTGTCCTTCTTCGCGGTCTTGTGAACAAATGCGCCGGCAGTCAGCCTGATTGGGATCGGACGCTTCGCCTTGCTGCTGTAGAAGATCTTGCCGAGGAAGTCGGCGACAATCTTGATGACACGGTCATCCACCATGAAGATATCGTAGTCTGCAAGGAGAGCGCGCTTCTGCTCGAACGACTTAAACTTCTTCTTCAGCTTCTCGATGCCGATCACACGACCGACTCGTTCGCGGAGTGTGGCAGGAAATGCGTCCGAGGCGACTAGGTCCTTGTATGCGCGCTGTGGGTCTTTGGTGAAGATACAGATCTTGGCATCGCTCGCAATGATGGGGTGAGGCAGGACGCTGTGCAGCTGTTAGTAAACATAGCTTGGCACGTTCGTGGCGTGCAAACTGACATCTTCGTAGGCTTCAGGCTGTTGCTGTTGCTGACGTGCTTCTTGGTGGAGATGCTGAGGAAGATAGGCTGATCGTTCTCCTCAGCCTCGTCCTCGTCAGCCATCAGGTCCTTGGTGCCGACGGTCTCCTTCTCCTCCTTGTGCTTCTTCATGTGTGCAACAAGCGCATTCGCCGCTCGCTCAACTTGCGCCGGATCCAGCTGGTAGGGGGTCTCATTTTGCTTCTTGGTGGTGAGAGGCGCATCGACCTTCTTTTCGACCTTCTTTGTGACTTGCTTCGATCTGGCCATTGTTGAGGTATATTGTTTTGGAAAAGTTCGATCTTCGAATTTGGCGGCGGCCGACCAGGGTCTAGTCGGTCGCACCTTCCAACTTTTTCGCGGCGTCGGAAAAACCCAGGAAGCCGCGATCCACTTGAGCGGGGCTGGTTCGCGCCTATTTGGGGCAGCTTGTAAAGGCCTCTGGCGAATCAGCGCGTCGAAAATTTAGCGCGCAAGCACATGACCGTTCAACCGCTCACATGCATGTAGTCGTTCTATGCATCTGTTTTCAGGCGTTGTTCTCCTATGAATTGAGGAACAAGACACACGTTCATGCCTCCGGCCCTCATCATGCTCGGGTCACCGACTGGTATCAGCAAACATGCCTGTGACTCGTGAACGACTGAAGTGTGGGGTAGCAGCTCAGACCTCGAAGCAATATTTTAGACGTCTGCAAGCAGCTCCTGGATGAAAGGAATACACATGTCAAAGAACCTGTGTTATTTTGCAGACAAATCAAAAGCTCGCAGACGTTTTACACGCCTGTCCTACTCCGCTCAGCCGAAACGATGGCGGCACCGTGCACCGGCCTTGCCAAAGTTTCTCGACGCGTTTATACCGCCCGTCGCGTCAGCCTCATAGCTCAAAGATACGTGTTTTGCGCGCCTACTCCGCGTTCAGCTCACGGCCCGACGCAGAGAAGTTTTTGCAATGCGTGACGTTTGCTCTGCATGCGTCTAGTCCTGCCAGTTCCACTTAGGCTAAGCAAGACGTTGGCCTACTGGAGCGCAATAAATTATCGACTGATCCAACTGTACATGCTACGGCTTGACTACGTATGTCTAAAGTGAGCTTCGCCGGGCTGACGGCTTGACTGCTTTGCTTCTTGCGTTACAGCAGGGTGCCCTGGACAGGGCACACAACACGCGTTGAGAGCTTTGCTTTCCGTATCGATACCAAGAGGATTCATTCGGAAATTGGCTTCTCAGAACTTCAAACCACAGTGGCATTAGGGCCCAAGTGACATCTACGTGCTGTTACGTGGAGGACGATTATTCAACGCGTAGAGTGCTGCCAATTGAGAGCGGTGATTTATCAGATACATGCAGCACAGAGGGGCTGGTACACGGAGAGAAAATCAAGTTGAAGACACAACCGAGCGAGAACCTGCTGTAATAGGCGTGTTTTCTTGTGCTCGTGCACAGGCTTATGAACGAACGGGTAGTGCTCGCCGAGGACCGCTGAACAGCGCGTGCGAGCAGATGTAGAGAGCCAAACGAGTAGCAGTTATTCGATGCGAAGCCAGAAAAGACACAACAGTCGATTGGAATCAACTCCAGACCTGCAATTGGCAGCATTGTGAGGGAGGCGGTGGTGCTGGGAGAATTCCTGGTTCACCACACGGTCTGAGCTTATCCTACGCGCTACTGTACCGAGACCTGACCTCTCTTGTCTCCACACCCGTGAACCGCGTCGACGTGCCTCAAAATCGTGTCTGACCTGATGGCCGCTTCTCTCTGACCTGCTTCTAGCCCTGCACGAGTCTTTTCTCAACCCTCACTCCTTCAACAGCGTGCAGTGCTCCCGACATCACGCTCGGCTAGCCGCCCTCGAACACCTCCACGCAGGCCCTATAGACGTCGACACGCCGCGTGCCTCGCGTCTCGAGCACCGCAGCAGGCAGGATGGACTCCAGCCCGAGGAAGTTGGCCCAGCAGCTGTCCGCCGCAGGTACGCCCAAGTCGCTGTTGTCCTCGTCGCACTCGCAGAAGCCGTCGCTGCTCCCCGCATTTGGCGAGGACAGCTTCTCGTCATCGCCGTTCCCGCGTCCGGGCTCCTCCAAACGCAAGTTTGAGGAAGATTCACCCTCGTTCGCGAAGCAGCTCAAGTACTATCCCACCCCCGTCCCCACCTCGTCGACCGGCATCCTCAACTTCTCGTCGCCGCGTCACGTACGGCCGGCCCTGCAGCGCGCCGTGTCGGCCCTCTCAGAAAGGACCCCTCTCGGTGCGGTGCCCACCGTCGACCTGCCTGCGAATGGCGAGCTGCTTCGTATGGGACGGTCGTCCAACTCTGCCGACTACCAGCTGTCCACCAACCGCCTCATCTCACGCGTCCACGTCCAAGCCGCGTATCACGCGCCTGACTCCACCTACCCCCGCGGCCACATCGATGTCGAGTGCTTGGGATGGAACGGTGCGAAGATCCACTGCGGTGGCGCTGTGTTCGAACTTGCAAAGGGAGACACGTACGTCTCAGAGAATCCGGAATCGGAGATCATGTTGGATGTTCAGGACACCCGTGTCGTGATTGCTTGGCCCATCATCCCAGTATCCAAGTTCTCGTGGGAGTCTGAAGAGGAGGACATGCCAACACCCACACGCGGTAACACGCAGGGTGCCTTTGACTCTAGCCCTCCTGTCGTTCCCCGCTCTCCTGTCTCGCAGAGCCCAATGCGTCAACCATGTTTCGAGGCACTCGGTCCTAATGCCCCTACTGGTGGTGTTCAGGTGTTCGAGGATGCAGATGCACAGGACGAGGGCTCGACGCTTCTAGACCCAGAGAAGACATTCATTCGTCCTACCGTTTCGCCCATTGGCTCGAGCCAGGAGGCTGACGCAAAGGACAAAGACCCCAAAGCCAGCTTCACATCGTCGTTTGGCGAAGATGACTATTCTGATAATGACGAGGAGAATGATCCTGTCATCCACTCCTTTGGACCCTTTGGCCAGAACATCCTCAACGGCCTCGAGTCGTTCTCAACTGCCACACCTGGCCTCGGCAATACGCCACGACCTCCTCGCAAGCCATTGGCTCCGCCGTCAAAACGCCTGTCCGCCGAGGCTGTCCGCTTCAAGGAGTCACCCATCAAGAACCACGTCATCAACCAGCTGGCGTACTCGCGTGTCCACTCGCACCCTCTCTCAACAATTCACAGCAACCTTCCCGCTGAGCTCAAGGCTTGTGCGAGCAAGCCAAAGAGCGCTCAAAGTGCGGAAGGGCGCAGTGGCTCGACTACACCGCTGCCTGAATTGTCGCAGTCCGATCTGAGGATGATCCTGGAACAAACCCCATGCGTAGGAGAAATCCCCCGCATTGGTAAGGACGCTGCCGGCAAGCCGCTTGAGAGCGAGTACTATTACGTCCCCGAGATGGACCCCGACCAGATGAGGCGCGAGACCATCACCGCCGGCATGCGCAGCACCGGCCTCCGCTCTGTCCGAAAAACACATAAGGTACTCTACTCCACACTCACTACGCAACAGCGATACTGACTGCTCGTAGCAATACTACTGGAAGAAACCCCGCGCCTGAGCCCTCCACCTTCCTCACCCACCCTCTGGCCGCACGACCCGCGGCTCGCAAACACCTCCTCAAATCACACGATGTTCCGATCTTCATGCATAGCGAGGCGTTCACGATACCATTTTTCTTGCCTGGTGTCTGCTCTCGATTTCTGTATTTTCTGCTTTATGTACCACCATCTACCAAATTGTATAATTGGATCATCGTTTCTGTTGGATCGAGCACGTACATCTTTCGTAAGTTGCAATCACTGCGGCATAACAACGTTCGCTAACTCTGAGCAGGATGTTTCAATTCCCCTTTGCGCCTTTTTTGACGCGGAGCAGTGGAGCGGGCACTTACATTCTTCGACGCGGGTCGTGTCGCTCAGGTTGGGGTAGAGAGCATGCACGGAGGGCGACCTCTGAGTGTAGGTTTCAATGTTTGGACGAGTTATGAGGCGGCGGTATATGGCGGGAAGGTCGTTTTGGGAGGATTCTGTGATGAGGTGAGCTGCGTAGGGTTCAGTGCACATTCAGTATTTCGAATGCTACTTGATTGTCATACTCCTGCTCCATGACATGGTGGTAAGAGGTTGGGCGATCATTAAAGAGACTCCACGACCAGATGTGGCCTCATCAGGTCCACAATCACGCTTCTTTTCGAGGCTGATTCCGCGAAAGACATAACAGGCGAAGGATGCAGGATATTTGTGACGTCACAACGGCACATTACGCTACATTCTGCATCCTACGCTCGGAAACTCACGTGACAGCATTACGCAAAGACATAAAGGCCCTGAGGTGGTGGTGATTGCTTCATGGTATTCCTAGCTCGGAACCTAGGGACAGTAGTGTGCGCTTAGGAAAGGTAGAATCGTATTCACTCTACAAGCCCCAATCCCATCATCATGCTCCTTAGCCGTGTGATAAAAGCGAACAGCACGGGGTTTTCGGTCCGCGCTCGTCCGTCGCATGCATTCGTCGCATTCGTTCCACCGACCCCATGACCTCCAAACGCCGTAATGCGAGTAGTTTACTTGAGCTTCTTCTTGGGGCGGAGCTGGTTGGTGTGACCGCACTTCTTCTTGCGCTGTGCGTTGTTAGTACAGGGTGTCTGGGCAGGTGTATATCACGCCGGGGTGATGGGGTGACGACGTACGCAGTTGACAGCCCTCGGGGGCAGGCGGGCGTAGCACTTGCGGCAGATCATCTTGTCGCAGTTGTACTTGGAGGCCAGAGCCTTGAGCGAGGGCTCGATGATACCACCGCGGAGGCGGAGGACCAAGTGGAGAGTCGACTCCTTCTGGATGTTGTAGTCCGAGAGGGTGCGGCCGTCCTCGAGCTGCTTGCCGGCGAAGATCAAGCGCTGCTGGTCCGGGGGAATGCCCTCCTTGTCCTGGATCTTGGACTTGACATTGTCTATCCGAAGTCAGCGCCGCTCCTTCAATTTTCCCCAGCCACCAATAACTCCAGAGATGCGTCGGGTGTTGTTGCGCGGTGTGTGTGCGGTGGCGGCCGGCTCAGAAGATGTGCGTACCGATGGTGTCAGAAGACTCGACCTCAAGGGTGATGGTCTTGCCCGTCACTGCGATCAATTAGTACGTGCGACATGCGCCTGGCTTCAAAAGGGCAGCGTACGGGTCTTGACGAAGATCTGCATGGTGAACCTTCGACGTGTATGCTGGGGGTTAGTAGCAAGTCGAAGACGAGGTTAAAATCGTGAGGGCGAAGGCGCAAGTGAGTGCGCGGGCACCTTCCGTAAGCGAAGCTACCGGCGCTAGGGCCCGAACAGGCAGGGTCGCCACATCCATCATGAACATCAAACGTCTGCACCCTTCAAGCACCCTTGACCGGCAGATTGAATAGATGCAAACAACGTTCGTGTGCATCCGAGATGTACTGACTACTGTTACAGTGGTAGATTGACGCCATTGCGAAGCTGTCGGTGGCTCTAAGTCTCGGTAACAGAGCCTCTTGCAAGTGGCTGGTGACAATTTCGCAAGCAACTACAGCATCATAACGCGTCTAAGGGCTACAATCAAATTTGCTGGCTTCATCGTCTACTGTAGCTGCTATCGACTATTGATGAACCTGCTCTTATATTGAGTTCGTTTGCCAATGACAAATCAAGCGGCAAACCTGACATCGTCAAGCAGTATAATTTCAGGAGACTCGTGGCATGTGAACGATGCAGCGACACCTCACGCATCGGTTTAGCTCTGCTTCTCCGTCTCCCTCTGTTTCCTGCGCCACTTCTCGATTCTCGCCTCCGTAGAGAAGATAGCCAGCAACAACATATCCATTGACAAGCCTGCCAGCTTTGCGACGCGGTCATAAACTGCCTTCGCGGACTCCGGTAGATCCTCCTCTTTCTTGTAGATCTGATACGACTGCCCGGGTCTAAGCACACCATCACCGACCTCGTTGTCGGGTATTGCAGACCTGGCCTGCATAGAACTGTGCACCGCTCTGACTGTCGCTAAGTCGTCTTTGCTTGAGATTCCGCTCACACCTGTGTATGCAGTCTCCTTTGGAGCGCCCTTGACGGGGAACATGTTGTAGATCGCGTTGCGGAAGTCGTCCGTATCCTTCATGCGCTGTACCTCAGCATCATCCAGGAATGTGTCAGCGTAGAAGTCAAGATACTGATCAAGCTGATCAGGCGTCATCTCGAACGCTTCCTTTTCCTCAAGCTTCGTCAGCTTCTCAACCGTGAAGTATTCATGACTGTCTTCGGACTCGGCCTTTGCGCCTTGCATCTGTTCGAGCCAGCGTTTCCAGTTCATCACTGAGGCTGCGGGCTCGGAAGCCAGACGCGGATACCGTCTCTCGCCGTCGAACGGGTACAGTAATCTCACGCAGACGATTAGGCAGCCGGCTAGCTGCGCCTCTGGGAGGGGTCTGATGCTAAGCCTCTTGTTCCCGACCTGGTGTGCTACGAAGTCGTATTCGAGGAGCTTACTCAGTCGCAGAGTGATGTCATAGACTTCGAGAGGTAGGGCCAGCTCTTTGAGATATCGAAACAGTAGAAGGCGGTGGTTGAGTGGTGGCCATACTATCTTGTGATCGTTTGTGAAGCTGACTTGCAGATCGGCAACTACCGCGTAGAACCGCTTGTATCTCAGCAGTGCATTCGGGTTTAGAGTTGCATGGTAGGATGGCGGCAGTCGATCTCGCATTGTCAGAGGCAAGAGCTTGATGGCTCCTCTGTACGGTAGCTTTCCTTCTGTTACCCAGTGATAGATGTCTCCTGGTGTGATTGGCAGCCTCAAAGTTAGCATGCCCAGATAGCATATGGCTAGAGCGTCAAGAAGATTTGGGACGCCGCTGAGCTTCTTCTCTCGCCCACTCGGTTTCCGAAATGCGCCTCTTGCGTCATCGGTCTCTTCGTCGTCGGCTTCCAGGGTACTGAAGACTTGTGACTGTGTTTGCGAGTCGGCACGAATATCGCTGGTAATCCTATCACCAAATTGAGCGATTCGAAGGGCCCACAGATCCAGGGTGATCAGCTCCAGCTCTGCTGGAAGTCCCTTCTCTTTGATCAAATACCACAGTTGGTGTCGCAAGATGAGTTGGAGGCTCTTGAGATATAAGTCCAAACCTTGCCGCCCGCTGAAGTCTAAGTCATGATGTGAGCATACGGTAGAGATATGGGACACAGCGTCTTTTACTTACGTTTAGCAACCTTGATCTGGTCATCCGTATCCTTCTTTTTGCGCGTTCTGGTAGTAGTCGCAAGTGTGAAGTCGTCGTCATCGTCTGCAGCGCGCACTAAGCCCTTCAAATATCAGGGACAGATAATTATTGACTCAAAGATGTTACTCACAAACTGCTGGTGCCCGTTTTGGCAGTAACGGTAGCCGTCTTCACCTTCTTCGTACCAGCGTGATCGACAATTTTCAACGCCGCACACGGGTCCTTTCTCCAGTCGAGAATCCATGAGTCAAGGCCGCACAGTGACTCCTGGCAGACGTTGTGTTGTCCCGTTAAATATGCTTCACATCGAACTCGAGTGTAAAGGCTGGTAGGTAGCAGGATCCAGATACTTTCAGCCAATGACAGCACACCTCACGACGCGTTGGCGCGGGCTGCAGCGCAGCTTTCGGCGGTTATCAAATTCCGTAAGGCAAACAGTTCCACTGTCGACAGACACAGTCTGTAGCTTTCTTTGCAGAAACGGCATAAGGCCACAAGTGCATGTCTTAATATTTGGTGAAGGTTGATGCTGCACAACTCGAAGTTCGCCCACTAGCGTCAAATTGGCACACATTCATCACGTTCACCAATTGAAAAGCAGGCATTTGCCGTAACATCATCACCTTTTATTTCGTTTGTCGTAAGGGATATATCTAGAAAGGGAAACAGATTCGTAAATAGTTTCCCACACATGGCAATGCAAGACCCCAAAATCCGTCCGAAGAACCACAAGCATTGGGAACCATCAGCGCAGGGTTTCGCACTGAGGAATCCAAAGTGACCGCAGAAGCTGCAGCTTTGCTCGAGACCAGAAGCCTCAAACAGTCTGATTTCCGGTCGGAGCCCGTCAAATCTCCGCGACTTGCCCTCTGCTGACAGTCGATGTATCCAACGCTAATTTATTTAGGAGCCTCCTTGGCGTCAATGGCAGCCTCTTCACCCATGGCGGTGAGGACAATGACGCCTGTTTCTAGTTAGTGTTTGTTCAAGCTAATTCGAGACGGGGTTTGACGTACTGGTGTCCTTGCCTTCCTCAGTGAAGAGCTTGTTGATCTTGTCGCCAACCTCACCATCGGGGACCTTGACGTCGTCCTTGGTGGAGCCATCGTCGGACATGAGGGAAAGGAAGCCATCCTCAGAAACATCGACCTATGATGCCTTGTGAGTCTTGGCGTTCTCGCACGACAGCCGGTCCGGCACTTACGAGGAGGTACTCCTGGCGGCGGACGTTGGGGACATCCATGTTGTGGGTGGAGGGGCAGAGCTCTTCAAGCTTCTTGGAGGTGAAGATGTCGATGGCGACCAAGTGAACCTTGGCGTGACCGTGCTTGCCGGTCTTGGAGGTGGTCATTTCGACGATCTTGCAAGGGCGGTTCTTGATGCACACGAAACCGTTCTTCCTCAGAGCAGAGCACTGCATAGGGTAGGTGGTGGAGGCACCGGCATCGGCGCTCTCGAAGGTGTGCTCATGCTACACATTGAAGTCAGCATTGTGTTGCGGGGGCGCATTGTGGGCATCGTGATGCCTGCGCAGAGGACAGCGGCGAGCCGAAAGGTGGGGTAAGGCCACATGCAGGCGCCGTGATGAACGTACCTGCGCGTCGTCGGCCATGGTGATGAATGAGAGTTGTTGCGACGGGTGAGGAAGAAGCTGTTGTTTGGTCGGGTGTCTGGGGGTGGGGTGGTTGGAAGACTTAAAAGGAAGAGGAATCTTCACTCTCGAGGGTGATTTTGGATTTGGCCCCGCCTCTCGACTCGGAAGGCCAAGGTCACACACCCCTGCGCGGAGTGGGTTTCGCCGATTCGCCGACGACAGCTGCGCGTTGGTAGCTTGATCGTCAACCATAACGCGCCCTCAGTAGACGTGACGCATCATGTGGGGACTAGACAGAATATCGCAGTACTCGACGCCCACGGGCACGCCTCCTCCGCGCCGTGACTCATACTCGCCAGCTCCTCGAAGGGGTTATCCAGGGCCGGGCCCTTTACCCATGAGACCGGGCCTGCAGCCTCGAACGTCGTCATTGTCTCTCGTGTCGCCAGGAGCTTCGAATGTGAGCTTACCATTGACGGCTCGTGGGCCGAATGGAGCACCACTGCGTCGCCGTCCAACAGGAGGTATTTCACCGAATGTTCCAGACCCAGTACACGTGCTGGCGAACATCATGGGAGGACCACCGCGGAAGCCGCTTGGTCCCACCAGCAACCGTGAAGCTGAGCAACCTAAGCCAGATGAGGTGAATGCGGACATCGATTTTGGGGAGCTTAGCCTCCAGGACTTCGCCGAGGCCGATGTGCCCGAGCGGCGGCAGAGCACGTCTGTACATACATATAGCGCACAATCAGTCGAAGAATGTACGTCGTTGTCTTCTGTCCTCGTGTCTTTCGCTCATCGTGCCTGCAGACGACAAGGAGAAAGACAAGTTCGAGGACCTGCACAAGTCAATCATAGCGTGTGACGAGGTGCTGAAATCCGTGGAAACATACCTCACGAACTTCCAGGCAGACCTTGAAGCAGTCTCCGCGGAGATAGAGTCTCTGCAGAACCGTTCGGTAGCCTTGAACACCAAGCTCGAGAATCGAACGACCGTGGAGAAGCTGCTAGGTCCCGCAGTCGAAGATATCAGCATATCGCCAGCAGTCGTGCGCAAGATTGCAGAGGGTCCGGTCGACGAAGGCTTCGTGCGCGCCTTGTGCGAGATTGAGAAACGCTCGAAGATCATCAACGCCAAGGTTAAAGAACAGCCAGACTTGGGTGCCCTGTCTGACATAAAACCACTTCTCGACAATCTTACCAACCGCGCTGTCGAACGGATACGAGACTACATCGTTGCTCAGATCAAAGCCATTCGCTCACCATCGATCAATGCACAGATTATACAACAACAAGCTTTCTTCAAGTATAAGGATCTGTACGCTTTCCTCGCGAGACATCAATTGGAACTGGCCCAACAAATCAGCCAGGCCTATATTTATACAATGCGCTGGTACTACCTGAACAACTTCACACGATACCGCACGTCTCTGGAGAAGCTGAAGATTCATGCTTTGGACAAGTACGACGTTCTAGGTGAAGATCCCAACGCGAAGCGGGGCGGCACTTTACTTGGGCAATCACGCAATGCGCCGGCCGCCTACGATGCGTTCTCACTCGGGCGGCGTCGAGATGCATTGAAAGGCTCCTCCACCAACGCTCTCACATCACATGTTCTGGAAGAAGAGAAGTCCTCACATTATCTCGAGGTGCCCTTTCGAAGTTTCAACCGCGCCTTGGTCGACAATGCGTCATACGAGTACACATTCCTGTCGACATATTTCGCACCATCACAAAACTTCCATGCAATCTCCCGGACATTCGCCGCAATCTTCGAGCCTACGTTGGCGATGAGCCAGACATTGACGAAGCAACTTATCGAAACGACGACAGACACGTTGGGCATACTCTTGTGCGTACGGCTGAACCAGCGCTTTGCGTTCGAGCTGCAACGGAGGAAGGTGCCATCTCTAGACGGGTACATCAACGCCACGAACATGCTTTTATGGCCACGCTTCCAGCAGATACTCGATCTGCACTGCACCTCACTGCAGAAGCTGACCAGCTCCTTGCCAAACCGACCAAGCACAGGTGCAGCACTGCTTGGTGGAAGCTCCGCGAATGCGAACACGACCGCGCCAACGCCGCTTACACAGCGATTCGCAAACTTGTTGCACGGCATACTGGCGCTGTCGTCACAAGCCGGTGACGATGGGCCGGTGGGTGTGTCGGTTGGCAGGTTGAGGAGCGAGTACGAGGCATATCTTAACAAGTTCAGCAAAGCTGTCAGCGATGCGAGGAAGAAGGAGAGGTTTCTGTGTAATAATTACAGTCTTGTGTGTACCATATTGGCAGACGTAGAAGGCAGGCTTGGGGAAGAGACCAGGACGCACTTTGAGAAGCTGCGAGATGCGCATGACAAGTGAGCGCGATCGACGCTTCTTGCTATAGAGCATTTCAATCTGGCCGTTCATAGACTACAACAAACTGTTCAGACATTGTCTTGTATACTCAAATTCGTTTTGCTGCGAGGTTCGACTTTGGGCATAGATTTGTCGTGCGGGCCCGCTCATGCCTTAAATTCCATCAGCAACAAGTGACATGGTCGGGACAGAGAATGTGTCTGTGTCGGCTTTCAGCCATGAGGGATCTCTGGAATAGTATTACTTCTTCTTCCGGATAAGACAAGTTGATCTTCTTTCCCGTTCATTCATCATCCCAGGTATCCCACTCCAGACTTAGACCGAGCCTTGTAGCCTGGATCGCACAACCACTGCTCATACGGGATGCTGACCCTGTCTGCATAAGGTTCGTGGGTAATTGCTGTAACACTCGGTTGCCAGCCAGTCATTGTCTCGAAAGCCGGAGTTGCGGATTATTGAATTTTCGCGAAGTTGTGTAACCCTCAATGTGCGGCGCTAGGCTGACCGAACAACTGCACCTGTCCCTATTCTGTCTTGAACTCAAATGTTGGGTCGGCCGCTTGCGCTTCACCATCCCAAATGAACGGTACTGCGATATCTGAATCGACACTGCTCCATCTTGTTGAGATATCAGCCCAACTATTCGAACAAGTCGATGTCGTTGTCAAACAATGGCGCGCGCTTATAGCAAAACACAGGCATAGCGTCTTGGATCAGGCTGCACTTGTACGTAGGAAATATTCTTTCAAGTACGCACAGTTACTCCAACCGACTGCCAAAAGTATAGTCCGGTCCATGCCGCGAGGCACCTTGGTCTGTGCCTGCCTGCTTCTGCCTAGCTTTAGCCTGCCGCCTCGCCCGGCCACTGTTTTTCGAAGGAAGGACCGAAGAAGCTATGAGCTCGCGACGCTGTGCGTTGACTTGGTGTGCGCCTAATAGGTCGTCTTTGTCGGTGCTCGGATATTGCAAGCTCATGGGCATGTTCGTGGTGTTTGCTGGAGTAGCAGAGGGTACTAGAAGCTCACGGCGTTCGGCGTGGACTTGGTGTGACCCAGACGAATCGTTCTGGCTGCCTCCGAGATATGGTAGAATTGTTGGAGTTGCACTGTCGGAAAATCGATCTTGCAGTTCCTCTGCGGGCGGGGTGCTATCATCGTCGCTCTTGCCCTTCGCCACCGCACGAGCATGCTTGTGCTCCCTGAACTTTTGCCAGTAGCTCTTACTGCGCTCTTCTTTCTTGTCCTGTGGTGGGCACTTAGTCTCTGCAAGGGCAGTGCAACAACCTCATAAAAGCAGAATCCAAAGTAATGAAGTTCAGCGCGAAATCCAGTAGCATACTCAACGCACCCTCCTCCTGTCTCTGTCCCCGTCTTCGGCCTTATCGTTGGGAACTTCGACCTCGTACTCTTCTTCTTCGACTTTGTAGTACTTCTCGACCTCTGCCCGCTCGTCCCTGGCGCGCGCTGCATCAAGCATGAACCTTACTGTCCCATTTTGTCCTCGCACCCCAATTACACTGGCGTCTGGTTGACTAGGCGAGATGGTGCCTGGCGTGGCAGGCGTGTTCGGACTCGTTGTATCAACGCCTTTGCGTGATTTCAGACCGTTCACAGCTGCTGGTGTAGCAGGTGAGATAGTCGTGGAAGGCGTCTCGGAGGCGTAGTGAGTGAAGCGTGGGAGCGAAAGGCGCGAGGCTTCGGTATTGAGGGTGATGCGAATGTTGATGAACGTTTCGAGGGTGTAGAGAGGGCCGATCGAGGTAGCTGAGCGGTTATGCGTGTAGAGGTCGAGGAGGTCGAGAAGTGTTTCTGCGGCAGGTCAGCATGCTATGAAATTGTAAGGACGGCAATGATCGAAACGCACCCATGACCTCTCCTCGACTCGTCCCCCACTTTGCATACCTACATGCGCCTCTATCCACCAGCGCCTCAGCGTCCCTCTCATGCAGACGCGCGGCCAATTCTAAGCACGCAATCGCCAGCGTCGGCGTGTTCTGCTTGAGCGGCGCAAACGTCCTATATAGATCCACGCTCAGATTCCACGCCGTCTTGCCCTCGTTATTCTGATCAAATTTCACAGCCCTCGCAAGCTTAACCATGAGCTTCTGCGGATATCGGTTCCTAAAGTCGAACCCCGCACTCTCCAGCATAAGTCTCTCCAGCCCAATGATCTGTTTGGAATGTATGTCGAACCGGGGATCGTCGCTGCTCAACGCTTCTCCAGGCCCAACCTTCAGGTTCCAGTTTGCGCACAGGATTTCTCTACTCTTCTTGAGCGTGTCTTCGATTTTGCACGCTGTGAAGAGCGCCGCCGCGCTTGCGTCGGCCCAATTGTACTCATTGTCGGCGTGTAGCAGCCGGAACTTGTGGTAGTAAATGACGGCGGTGTTGAAGGTGCGAATCGGCAGCGACAAGGCGCGTCGTACCGTGTCGATCCAAGACACGCCTTGCAGCCGCACAGAGTCTTCTTTGGCGTCAGACATCTGAATGGACGAAAGACAAGCCTGTATGCGTGACTGGAGAATGTACGGCTTCGCGATCTCGATGTAGGACGGGTGTGGGCCGATCCGTGCAGAGCCCTGCTCTGAAGGGGTAGCGGACGGTGCCATGCTCGAGTTGGAGGTAAGTGAGGGCGGAGAAGAGGAGTCTGTGTTGTAGCGCCGTGCTGTAGGTATGTCTGGCGGGTGTTGCGAGTACGGCCCCAGGCGGGGAAGTGGTTTATCCGACGAGTCTCCTATGGTTCGGCGAATAGTTACAATGCATTTGCGAGAATAATGCGTATGGGTCCTGCGCGGTAGAAATGTCGTCTCCGGTACGGTGCGGAGTGGATTCGAGAAGCAATGACGGAGGCGCGTCCAAATTTCCGTCATAGCTCGAAGCTGACATGCTTGGCATATGCATCACTTGCACATGACAATCACTCAGCCAGTGAAACATGGGTTACAAGCCACATAGTAACACTTAGATAGCTTGTTTAAACGTTGGAGCTTTTGCTCCATATCATCTACTACTTCTGCCATTACCTCCTCGTCCCCAACCTCTACCATTCCTGCGTGCAGTACGCGTATTCGTAGCTCTGTACCATAAGCCCTATATCGTCTCAAAAACCCTTGCGACCCTTCGAGAGGTGGCAGGGTATACAATCATTACATCTAAAGTGGGCCAGAACAAAGAGACTTTCGTACAGCCAGAAGGAACCAAGAAGTCGCGCCGAATGCAAATGCAGAGAATCGCTAAAGTTGCGCATCACGAACAGACAGTATCTGTCTATACTGCTGCTCGCTTCTTGAATGTGAGAAGGCAATCGTCCTGTCACATGTTAGTATGCACCCCTAGGTCGATGTTGAGTAACGTTACTTACCATGGGGAAGATGGTGGCAAACACCTTGATCTCCTCACTCAGATCAGTGACCTTGTGGTCCCAGTCTAGCATCATACTGGCCTTGCCAATCATGAGCATCAGGTTGGCCTGTGCATATGTCTGACCCAGGCAGTAATGCGGCCCGGTACCGAACACGAGCCAGTTCTTGGTCTGCTGATCCGCATCACCGTCGATCCATCGCTCAGGCTCGTACGAGTCAGGGTTGGGGTAAGCCTCAACGTCGTGCAGAGCCATGTAGGTGGTGGGGATGACCATGGAGCCCTTAGGGACGGTGTACTCCGGGGTGATAGGAAAGTCCTTCTTGACGAGGTAGGGAACCATGATTACGGGAGGGCGGTAGCGGAGGGTCTCCTTGACGACCGCACGGGTCCATGGCAGCTTCTCAAGGGCATCAAGCGAGATCTCGGCGTGAATGTCACCGTTACGGGCCTCAATGTTCTCCTGGCGGACCTTGTCGAGGAACTCAGGGCGGTCAGCCATGATCTGGAAGAGCCATGTAGCAGCAGAAGAGGTGGCGTCCTGCGAGGCGAAGAGGAAGGTGAACAGCGTCATGGAAATCTCGAGGTCGCTGAACCAGCGGATCAGCATGACAGGCTTCTCGGGAGTTTCGCCCTTCTCGACCGCCTTACGGTAGTTCTCGGACTCGATCATGTGAGCAACCCAGAAGTCAAGAATGCACTCCTTCTTGCCGCCAGCCTGCATGCGCACCTTGGCCTTTGCGGCGCACTTGGAGAACTCGTCCAGAACCATGTCGGCGCACTTCTTGCCATACCAGCTCTTGGTGAAGGGCAGGATGATGGGGAAGTTGACGAGCTCGAGCGCAGCAGTGATGAGGTAATAGTCGTCGGCGATCTTCTTGACGGCCTCCTCAGAGCAGTAGTGTCCAACGAAGGTCCTGCAGCTGATAGCGGTGATCAAAAGACGGAATTCCTGCATGAAGGGAACGTGCTCGCCCTTGTTCTTCACCTGGGAGAGCTCGACGAAGCGCTTGTAGTACTCGTTGTAGATCTCCTCCTGGCCAGGCAGGTACTGCTCGAGCGCCTGGCGGGTGAACAGGCCATTGAGGCCCTTGCGGTAGTCGGCGTGGGCCTTGCCGTCGAGGAAGACCCAATTGTCGGGGCGGAGGAGCTTGTAGGCGGCATCGACGACGCAGGGCTTGACGAAGTTGGGCGAATTGAAAATTTTGCGGGCCATGTCACGGGTCGAGGCGATGACGACGAACCTGGGGTGCGATTGTCAGCATGCGTGGGAAAAGAGCACACGACCAGCGCGTGATGGCGCATCGATCGTTGGAGGCATACTTGTGGAAGACGGAGACGCAGCTGAGCGCGCCGGACAACCACTTTGCGTGGTACTTTGTGAAGCTGGGGTTGACCGAGTCGAGGAACGGCCCCATGAACGGAGTCTTCATGGCCGGTCCCACGATGGAGCCCTTCTGCCAGATGTACATGACTGCGTCGCCGTCAGCTAGTTGCTTTGCACCACGGTGCGCCCACACCTACACTGGTCGTAGACGACAGCACCAACCAGCAGCGCAAGCACCGCCTTCCAGAACGTGAGGCCATTGACGATTGTCGAGAGCAGGCCAGCCGTGTCGAACTGGGTCATCATGTGGGCGACCTTCGCGTCGGCCGTGGGCGAAACGAAACTCGCGTTCAGCGCCATGGTGATTATCGCAGAGCGCTGCTGGGCACTGTGCAACAATTCCGTGGGTGGCGACAGGTGCTTTGAGGTGGTCGGAGGCGTGAAGACCGGAATCGATGCTGTCAACACTCGAGGGCCCTCCAATCTTTAATTGCCTCCTTGGCGGCATAACCTTGTCCCTTCATCATTGCTCAAAGGGGCGTTTTTGCAGCCCTGTCGCCAATCTACGCCTAGTGCAGTTTAGTCGCCGAAGTCTGCTCTGCCGGGGCTTCCACGGATCCCGGCTCGTACAGTTTCCGCTAGAAAGCGTTGACCGCCCATGCATGCTGCGTGCTGCAGTCGCGGTGCGAGCGCGGTGATGCGTCGCGGTAGTGTCACGACCATGTTGCAGCAAGTGACATTCGCCAGACATGTGTTTGACGTGAGGCTCAAGAGAAAGTCTTGACGTGCGCGATGATGATCGCGGCAATGTCTCACCCCGACCCTCGGTTTTCAATTTTCAGGCACGCCCAGCCGGTAATTGGCCGCAGGCATATTCGCTGGCTGATGGTAGATTGCCCGTTTCTCGTGTCACTCCAGCGTGTCACATCTTCTCCACTAATAGGAGCGAGTTACCGTATGATCATAGATACGTGCCCGACATGTTGTACGGCACTTTGCGCTCGCTGCATACTATCGCTTGAGGACTGACCGCACAGAGCAGACTGTTATTGGTGCACAGGCGTGATCTATACCCGAACGAAGAAGCTCGTTTTTTTGGGGAATCAAGTGGCTCGTGCGCGATCGTGCCTCATCAACACATGCAACCACCTATACTTCTATATAGCAAAACAACCACAACAATGCCTGCAGAGTCAATTGCGCGTCTCCAAAAAACTCAAATATAAGCAGTACAAGCTTATCCAACTTCTAAAAACAAATTGCACCGAGCTGGCGAAGATTGAACGCGCATCTGCGGTAGGTGCTCTCACAGAACTTTGAGGTGACTATGTCACCCAACGAGACCTTGCAACCACAATAGGACGACAGCAAGGTAGACTCTCAAAGCTGCTGCGTTGGGTTGAGGCAAAGGCAAATAACCATAATGTTGCTTTGTGGGACGAAATTCTGTATGAGAATGATCTGGGACGCGGAAGAAGTTGGTTGTTAACTCAAAAACAAAAGGACGCGATTATCCACATTGCAACTGCCCCACGCGACGCACGCGAGAGAGAGAGAGCTGGCAGTCAATTGAAAATGGTGATTTTAAAGAGATTGTACCTAAAATTAGCGTAACAACGTTTGAAAACGTCATGTATGAGGCTGGATACGCGCGGCGTTGTCCAGGTTGGAGACCTTACCTCAATGCTGAACAAGAGAAGGAGAGATATAAGTGGGCAGTCGCCCACAACTCAGATAAAGAGCTATTCGACAACAAAAACTTTAGTTTCTAACAGGCTGTCTTTTCCAGCAAGACTCCTGCTCAAATTGGTGAATAGCAGGGCATGATACGCATATAGTGCTTTGAAGGAGAGCGCTGGCATAACAACGTCAAGCACAATCGTCACCAAAAGGACTGTTGCCTGCAATTTTACGCCTGTTTCTGTAAGAAACTGAGCAAGAGAAGGTGGTTGCTAACGCTTATATTTGGGACCTCAATGCTAGCCAAGAGACCTGAGACAACAAGCTACAAATCTACGCACGACAAGCTCTTAATGGACTTAGCAGCAGCAATATTAACAGCCGTTACAACACCAGAAAGAAGCAATATGTGCCAAGCTCTATAGACTATGAATGTAGCAACTGTGCGCGTGGAGGAGTGGATAGTTATTGGCACTGTGAAGGTGCACTAAAAAAGGTCGTCCTATGGATCCACAACCTTGAAAAACGCAGAATTAAGTGCACATTGCAATCTACCTTATAGGGCTTGAGCATCGGGTGATTTTCTAATTACTAAGCACATTAATAGGTTGTGGTGGCTAGGTTACTCACCTAAGGCCAATGCAATTGAACACCCATGGCCATGGATTTAGCAGCACGTGACAAAGCAATTCACTCCTTCTTGCACACAGAAAGTGAGTGCGAGAGGTAATAGGTAAAATCCTGGGAGGATATGCCTATAGAGGTTATTAATCGTTGGGTGGACGCAATTCCAGAACAGGTGCGGAAGATTATTCGGGCAGGTGGAGGTAACAACTTTCATGGGTAAAGCGCAGACCTCTCCTGTTACTGCAACGCCACAAAAATCTCGTGATAGGTTAATTATGTGTCTTTCAATAGCCTCACAACGTCAGAATAGTTATAAATGCGTTGCGTTCATTGTTTTGGTGGCGATTACTATGGGCGTTGCGAACGGAAATCATGTTCGTGGACCGTGCGCGTTGCTTGATTCCTCAAAAAAATGAGCTTCTTCGTAAAGCGAGTACGCCTCTTGTATCCCCTCGTACAAGGTTGTGCATGTTTTGGAAATATGAACAGTGAAGGCATCGCTAAGAATGCAGTTTATTAGACCCCGTCAGCCTTCAGCGGACTCTATGCTTCTTCAAAAACCGTGCCCAGTCCGCCTTCTCACCCCGCAGGTCAGCGCCAGCAACGCCGTCCCCCTCGTTCCACCCCTGCCACTTCTCCAGCCCGTACAAGTGCCTCATCGTCGGACGCCCATGAGGACAGCTCCATGGCTTATCCATGCTGCCCATGTGTCTCACAATGTTCTCCATCTGCGCGTTCTGCAGCGTCTTTCCAATCATCACAGAGCTTCTGCATGCGCGACTAGCCAACAGTTTCCTCACCTTACTAGGCCTCGGAATGTACGGCGATGTGGACGTCGACGACGACGGTGGGTTGTCCATGACAAGAGCTAGTAGCTCTTCGAGGTCTGTCGGTGTGAACGTTACTTCCTTCGACATGGGCAAACTTGTGAGTTTAGCGCGACGCTCTTCGTAGGAGGTATCCAACTCGACAACGAAACCATTAGCTGTCAATGAGTGCTCGTTGGCCAGAATTATCTCCTCCTCGACAGCAGTGAGCTCGAGGGGGTGCGGATGCACGAGTCGCTGGGAGACAAGCACGGTAGTAGCGGAGAGGCGCTCGAAGTTGTACTTCTCGTCTGAAGCGTGCTGATCAATGATGAAGAGGTCGGAGGTGGGCGATGTCAAGGTAGGAGGTCGAACAGCGATAATGAAACCGAGATTGAATTGGCCAATGATCTGCATCTCGTTGAAGTCTCTCTTCGTCACGGTGAGACTGAGTCGTTCTTCAGGATCCTCTTTGTTAAACTGCATGCTTGTAGGCAGCATTGCCCCTGCGTCAAACTTCGCATCTGCCTCATCAAGACTAGTCTGGATGTTGTGCAGGTGCCGCGCTATCAATTCAACCTTGGTTTCCACGACGCGGTCCAGATAAATGATGGAGTGTTTGCTGTGGGATACTTTGAAAAGCTTGCTTGCCCGCTTGACGTTGATATCTGTTGGGCGAGCAGCCGCCTCTTCAGCCTCAGCAATGAGACGCGCTATTCTGGCATCTTCGCGAGCCTTCTTCGTTTCTTCGTCGACGTACTCTTTGTCGGAGGCATCCACCTCCTCAGCGTCAGGCATCAGCGAGTCGCGATCAGGCGGGTTTGCGACGGGTTCACGGGGTGGCGGCGCGCTTGAAGATCCCAACAGTTCATCAGCAAGAGGCTCCTCAAATGCCCTCGAGGTTGCCTTAGCGTTTCGAGAAGGTGTGCGATCTGTCGTCGGCATACTGCTGTTTTGTTCGTCATCATCCTCCTCTTCACTGACCTCTGCTTGTGTACCAGGTGCTGCAAATCCCCGAAGGCCTTTCGTAAACAGCGAGATCTTGAGATCTTGGCTGAGGGGCGTCCCGTTTAATGAGGACTTTGGTGTATGGATTCTGGCGCGCTTGGCAGATCTAGACTGACTGCCGATTCCTATAGCGGTCGTTGTTGTGGTGCCTCCAATAGTAATCGTCGCTTGCTGAAGGGGAGTCCGCATAGGGCGCATGCGGTCGAAGGCATTTTGTATGCTATTTTGAGACAATGCCTTATGAGGGGTTTGCTTGATCGCCGAAATGGGTTCCTCGTCGCCATCAGCATCCGCTGAAGTAGGACCTGGGGATCTCGGCGATCGTTGACGCTCGACTTGTCGGGCATGAATGGACGCTATACGAGCATTGAAGTCCTGTACCGCTTTCGAAGGCGGTTCAATATTCATGCGAGATGGCGATGTTGGCTGCTCGGGTTCAAAAAGCGGCGATTGAGATCTGGATTGTGGCACGTTCGTGGCACCATCAGGCTCCTCCATTGCACTTTGCCGCCTAACGCTCGGGTGGAATATGCGCTCCTCGATCACGTTGTTATTTTCCTGAGAGCTGCTCCTCCGAAGTCTGGGTAGCCGTTTAGCCACTCGGTCTTGAGCATCACGCTCCGCGAAACTCTCGATCAGGCTGGCTTTCACAAACCCTGGAAGAGCGTCGCCTGGCGTCTCAGGTATGGGCACGCCAAATCTTTTTCTTGCATCAGATGGAGCTCCAACTGCCCCATCTGCAATGCCACTGTCGTCGCCCGCGATAGATAATGTGCTTCCTCGAGATTGCATCAAAGGTGGCTTAAAAGTGGTCTGCTGCTTGCCAAGAAGCTGCCCTTGTGGAACACTCTGATCATGACCGGCAAAGAGCTCAGCCAAAGATTCCTTGATGCTTTCGAGGAGCACAGTCTGATCGTGCAGCATGATTGTTCGCTTGTCTGGACTAGCATTGACGTCGTAGGCCTCAGTGTCTAGCTGGATATCTGCAAAGATGAAGGGCGACTGCGTTACGTTGTAGGATTTGTAGACTTCATTAAACGCCTTTGCTACCTGGGGCAGGTTGCAAGGCCGCGAGTTGACGAAAAACATCTGCCGGTCTGGGGTCTGTCGTCCCTCGCCAACAACTGGACGTGAGATGTGACCAACGATCCTGACCTTTCGAGAATCTGAGTCATCCTGGGTACTTCGGTTCTTCGCACTTTGTGTAGCGCCTGGCTGATGGGACGGGTTCATCTCAAAGTCGAGATCGAGAGGAATTAAGGCGGCAATTGTCTTAGCTCCATACACGTTCGAGATGTTGCCTCTTGTGCTAGGGTTACCGTTCGTAGCGAAAGCGATTATCTTCTTGCCCTTGGGAATCAGGTTGGTAACGGAGAATTTGACGCCTACACTGATGCACGCATATGCGTTCAATAGCGCCAGCACCTTGTTGTACTCCCTCTTGACGTTCTTCTCTAATTCCTTGCGTCGCACAGGCAGGTTGTAGAAGAGTGTCTCCACCACTACTGTCGTGCCCTGCTTAGCGGCCACCACCGAGGTCCCCTTCAGCTTTCCTGATTGCTCGAAGTCGAGCCTCGTACCTTTCGGCCCATCGCTTGCTCGGGCCGTGACGATGTGGAATTTGGAGAGGGCACATAATGACGACAGGGCCTCACCGCGGAAGCCAAACGTCTTTAGGGAGGAGAGGTCGTCGTAAGTGGACAGCTTGGAAGTGTAGTGCTTGAGCGCGATCGTGTCGTAGTCGGCTGGTGCGATGCCGCCGCCGTTGTCTTGCACTTCGATGGCGTCGAGACCGTTGTTCTTGAAACGGACCTCTGCGTCACAAGTCAGCCATTCTGTCATCCGTCGATTGCAGTGTGACGGCGCAACCGCATACCCACAGAGGTGGCGCCCGCATCGATGCTGTTCTCGACGAGCTCTTTGCAAACAGACTGCAAGTCAACGATGACCTGGCCCGACTGGATCTGGTGGACTGAACGCCCCTCAATGGGCTTGATCGTAGCCATGTCAAACCATGGTGTGTGTCTGCAGAAAGTTACAACGACGTCACACGGGGTTGATCAGGGCGCGACGCGTTGTGACCCGGCCAATCATACACATGCACTAGTTGTGTCTTCCACAATTGGACTGCACCACTTTGCTCCTTCGACGACACTCGAAGATTAGTGTAGGCCTCGAAACTCTCGGTCCGGCTTCAGATACTCCTCCGAATATTTTTTTTTGGCTACCTCAGATCGACTATACCCACATAGCTACACATCCACCACGACTAACATAGTTCCGATGGAAAGATCAGGCGTAGTGGATGCGAGGGCAAAGACCTCACTTCAAATTTTGGAACAGTAATCCCGCTCTATTGCCCTAAGTTGAATACGGACTGATGTTCTGTTTACCAGGATAGATGCGGCAACCATGGTGGCTCAATCCGAGTGTCTCGAATTCAGCCAATTGATGTATGAGAAGCTGCCCAAGGAGCTGCGAGATCTGGTGTACAGCTACATCTGTCTCGAAGATCGACAGATTCCAATCGGACCATACTATCACTTTCGAAAGTATGAGTCGTCTGTAGAGAGGAGAATGGCGTACTCAGACACCCAGTATTGTCCCAGGAGTGGGGACCTCCAGACCGAGCTCGCAGATGGAAAGACGAGGATCGACCACGACATCTACCCGGAAGAGGACCTTATCCTACCAAAATATCACATCTTCAGTTCGAGCTATATGGGCCAAGATGTAGCTCTAGAGATGCTGAAGAAGTACTATCAAAGCAACAGCTTCTCAGTGTGTAGCGTCGAAGGCGGCCTGGATGATCTGTGCACAGCTATCTCGTTCGGTCCCGAGCCTTCAAGGTCTGGCTTTATCCCGCTCGACTATATTCGAGATCTACAGCTGCGGCTGAAATTTGAACACTACACGAAAGGAATCAGCGAGCTTGAGGCATACCAGGGCTTTCAAATTGAGAAGATCGCCAAGAATGAGTCCTTTCTACGAGGTACAGTAGATTCACTCAGGGCGTTTCGGATCAGGATACTAGAGTCTCCGCATGAACTGGACCTCGAGGTTGTCCTCATGACGGATCTTGCCAAGGCTCGAGGTTTTGGAGGCGCGAGGGAACATGCAGAAGCATACCTTACAAATTTCCTACAGTCCATTCGCAACATGGTCTACGAGCTGTTACACGATTGCGAGCATATAACAGTCCGGGTCACACATCAAGACGATGGTCTTATGGCGTTCCCCAAAAACTACACGGGACTATTCAATCTGACAAATGAGCAATGGCAACATGTAAGTGCATCGCACAGATCGTGGATGTGCAATCGCTCTAGGTACTAAAGGTCAGCAGGAGACGTCCAGACAACTTCCAGGTTATGACTGGGCCGGAGACTTTTGGGTCTTCCCTGTCGAGAGGCAAACCCTGCCCGAGTGCGACCAAGCCCGACTTGGAGGGTACTACATTGACTCTCTGAATGAGTTTCTCCGCTCGCGGTGGGGTGTCGACGATATCCTCCACGAAACCGTCAGCGCCAAACCTATTGTCGAGGGCCCATACTGGCCCGTCGGACGTCCGGTCGACCTTTCATTTGCAGAACAGCTGCATGCCAAGCCCACGCGCTGAGTCTTCTGAAACATGAGCAACGAAGCTGGCCTTGAAGCGTCGTTTCTGTGCTAAAATGCCACATCAATAGACACGCAGAATCCCAGGCGGGTCTGGCGACACATCAACGGACGTAAATACCAGATGCGCACAACTCTTGGGCATAAGTTCTAGCCACCCAGAGAATAACAACCTGATAGCTTCAGCTTGAACACAGTCCTTGCAGGTAATTGTCTGTATCGGACTGCACTGATAGATGCTACCAGACCCGCACATACCAAACACTTACCACACCCACTCTAACAGCCGAGGTCACGACGCCCCACCTCACGAAGCCTTTGATTAAAAACCTCCTCGCTAATTCCTCAATCGCCCTCTCATCGTCAATCCTTGGAAACTCCATATCCGGCACTGCCTTCTCTAAAACCCTACATAATGGCTCCCACCCCTCCTTTACATCATAGAAAATCAGCCTATCATCTGGAACGACACACTTCAAATACTCCATATGCCTCACCCAATGCTCCTTGGTCGCTGGTTCGGGTTTCATATACAACACAATCCACTGCTTGCGTAACAGATCGATATAAGCAGGGAAGCGTCGCATACCCGGCAGCCAGAAGAGATGAAGCGTAAGAACCGGAGCGTAGTGGCGTTGGCAACGCTGGCCATACTCCGAGCCCACGCGTCAGGATCGCGCACCGTGCATATCACGATAGCGTTGGGGTATAGCGTGAGTAGCTCTGATACCAGGCCATTACAGGGCGAGCCCGTCACTACTGCGTAGCCGTCGAGGCTGGTTCTAAGCTGGGTATCGATGAATGCTGTGTCGGAGGGTGAGCGGGGAGGCCAGTGAGAGAGGCGGTCTATCCAAGATTTGATGTGTGAAGGTGAACCGACAGTCGCTTGGGTGCCACCATGGTAAATTGGTGCGTCGAGGAGGATATCTACGGCGCCGCTGAAGGAGGCTGTTCCTGTGCGGGGAGTCCTGCGCCGATGACTTGGATTGTGGTGCCAGGTCTTGGTGAAGATGGTTGGGCGCCGCTTATTAAACGAAGTGAGTCAGAATTGAGACTATGTTAGATGGAGGTGTACGACAGATATATACCAGAAGCCGTGCTGACAAGCTAACGTAAGCCGCCACGTAGGACCAGTCTGTATGGAGATGGCGCGTTCTACGGTCCAGCATTGGAGCAGTGTGTCGATGTTCTTTCAAGATATTCGGCAATGTTGGTGTGATGTCTGTAGAGGTCGGTAAATGAACGTTCGTTTTCGTTTTGCGTAACTTGCTGAGCAGCACGGTGCCACCAAAGCAATTAAATTCAGAGTAACATTACTGATTGGAATCCATTCAACGAAGAGTCTCCGCTGGTAGCAGACAAAAGAGGTTAGAAATACTGCTCGACTTAAGCTGGCTGACCTTAATTGAAGCATGTCCGAATCGTCAGAAGTATTGGGCTCTTTTGAAGAACGGTGTGATTCGCATGACAGTACTCAAGCCACCAATGTTGCTAAACAACGGGGAAATTGGAACTGTTCGGCAGCAAAAAAAAAAGCAAGATAGGTAGCGAAGAAGCCGGCTGCAATATGCGATGCCCGAAAACATGAGAGGCCTCAGTTGCTGTCCTGCAGATACGCTGCGCTCAAGCAGGACGTCAGAACATTACAGTCATCGTGTATTTTGAGTCAGCTTCTTCTGTAACCTGTGGAAAGACAATCAGTCTAATATTGATTGATCACACAGAATCGACTGTGACGTTGCGTCGTATCCATCATGGTGTGCTACAAAGTGTGGAGAAGTCAGTGTTGTGGGGCTGGAGCTGCCGGGACAGGCGAAAGGGTAAACAACACAGCCATGCAGCCATTGGCAACGCTGTACAGCACTATTGGTGCACCATATGCAACATAGTGTCAATGAGAGAGGAGAACTGCCCGCGGCTCCGCTGACAGAGTGATAAGATTGTTGGCGAGGCGATCTCGGGAGGAATTGGAAGCAGCAGCACCTAGTCACGTGGAGAAAAGCACGGTGCAGCATCCGGTTACGGTAAGGCGTCTGCGAGCTTGCCCTTCTGAAAACCTCTCAATCGCAGCTTCCTCTCATCACCATCCACCTCCTCATCAATTTCATCTCCACTCAACGATCAACACCATCACCATGGTTGCCATCGCTCGCTCTTTCGGTGCCGCCCGTGTGGCCGGCCGCAGCCTCACCACCGCTGGTATGTCGCGAGCCTGATCGCAACCGCCTGCACCCGCAGGCATTGCATCAAGTCCATCAATTCGAGCCATTGAGCTCTATCAGACAGCCATTGACATGTACCCTGCAGCCCGCCCCCAGAACAGCCTCGTTGCTGCCCGCTCCGCTTTCCGCAACAACGCCGCCCGTAACGTCATCCAGAAGCGTGGCATCGTCGCCGAGTCTACCGCTGCCGCCATGGTCGCTGCCGCTAAGATCCAGGGTGCTGGTCTCGCTACCATCGGTCTTGCCGGTGCTGGTGTCGGTATCGGCACAGTTTTCGGTGGCCTCATCCAGGGTGTTGCCCGCAACCCTTCCCTCAGGGGTCAGCTCTTCCAGTACGCCGTTCTCGGTTTCGCCTTCGCTGAGGCTACTGGTCTCTTCGCCCTCATGATGTCCTTCTTGCTCCTCTACGTCGCATAGATATGTGCATCAGAGTGGGCTGTGTTGACATCGGGTCAACGGTCTGGGTCGCTGGATGGAAATTTTCGTGGATGGGTGTGTGCATAGGGACGACCTCCTTTCTACCTCTAGTGGCCGGTCAGATTGTGTAAAACATGTACTTTAGACGAGCAATCTGAAGAGCAAGCTACCACTGAACGAACTTTTCTTCCAAACCGAGTCTACCCTGCCGAAGCTCTAGCAGGAGCAGTGAAGCGCGCAGAGAGCTAACACCCATCTCAATGAACTCAACTGAACCTTCAAAAAACATGCCGGACCTTTTTGACGTGACCATGATGATGTACGGGCCGCAATGGATGCTGAAGCTCGGTAGCTGATGCCAGCTGCTAACCGCCAAGCTTCTTCAACCTCAGTTCAACAACGCGCCGACGGAAAACGATTTCCACCGCCCAACACAACGTCCTATATGATGGCTGGCTATCTCAATGTCTTCGTCGCCGTCTCAGATACCTCCTTGGCAGGCGTATAGATGTCAATGGGGTGCCCTGCAGCTGTAATGGAGCTCTGCCAGCCTCGCTCACCTCCAGTTCAGTCGTATACTTACAACCACAAACCCGGACAGCCCTAAGCAAATGTCCAGACCATGAGCGCTCGACAGACGTAGCGTTCAAGGCACCGTCTGCGCTTCATTGGTGTCTTCTCATATGCTTGTGACCGTGTTGTGTGCTCACCTCATCGACTCTACATCTTCAACAATAGCATACCTAAACGTTCTTACACTCGTAAGTACAAGCTCTCCAGTTCAACCAGCTTAATTGATCCCGGCTTCATTATAGTCATAGCTCGCCGCAAAATCATGACTCCCATCGATACTTCTTACCGTGAACGACCGACTCCCTTTCCCACACTCGACGGACGCAGCGAGCGCAATATTGCCCACGCACCCAATCGAAACAGAAAATATTCCGATCTCAAAGCAGACGACCACAACATATGGATGTAGAACGCACATCACACAGCATTAAGATCTGGATCCGTCCCCATAGGCGGCGCAGCAAGTCTCGGCTGAAACAAGGGAAGACGCAGCAACTACACAAGCTTTGCGACCAGGTCCATCGTGACTACGTACGTGCGATGATGGTATGGTCGCCTTGTGCAGCTGTGTTTTGTGTGCACATCGAAGCTGCGATGTTTCAGAGCTGGTTTCGAGCTATGGTGAGGCTGCTCCCGAAACAAGCACGCCATGAGCATTCCAAAATCAGGAACCACACGACACCAGCACTCTACATCTGCAACGGGTGATGCGCTACCCGGCCTAGCTGGGCCTCACTTTCGCTGCAAAGACTGTCGCAGCATGCTGATGCTGTGCTAGTCCCTAATACCTATTACCAAGCTTCAACTTTCGTTGCAGCAAAGCTTAGCAATGCGCGACTGTGCGGGAGGTGTATATATCGCCAATTCTCTGAGTACAACTGGCACAGTTTCTCGATCATTCGTACTATCTTGTAATCTTTGTGCCGGTCACGCCCCATTCTCTATTCTTCCCCATCCACGTCATCCACGTCCACTCAGTCAACATGAAGTTCACTACTATCATCGCCGCCGCGACTTGCTCCAGCGCTGTCTTTGCCTGGTCTTGTACGTGATGGTCAATCAACCTTGAATCACACTCGTTAACATATCACAGTCAAGCGCGACCCTCAAGCTGACGTCGCCTCTATTCTCGAGGCTCTTCGCGAGAACAACCCCGAGGATGCCGAAGCTGCCGCAGCCGTCATGAACGTCAAGCTTCGAGCTCGCGCCCCGGAGCCTCAGAACGACCTTGCCTCGATCTTGGCCGCTCTCGAGGCCAACAACCCCGACGATGCTGCCGCCGCTCGCCAGGGCGCCTCGTCCGCAGCCACCAAGCGTCAGTCTCAGAGCGATATTGACTCCATACTTGCCGCCCTTGAGGCCAACAACCCCAGTGACGCTGCTGCGGCACGCCAGGGCGCAGGCAAGGCTGCCCCTACCAAGCGCGAGCCTCAGGATGATGTTGCCTCTATTCTCGCGGCGTTGGCCGAGAACAACCCTGAGGACGCGGCGGCGGCCAAGGGTGCGATCCAAAAGAGGCAGGCAGAGGCGGCTCAGGGCCAGGCCAAGCGCTGGTTCGCTTAGATGTCTGCAAAGTGGTAGGCGAGGCGGCTTAATGGTGTTGCTAATTGCCATTTGACTTTGGATACGATCGTACATAGGGCTTTCTTGTGAATGGGAATGACGTTGAGCTCTACCACTGCTTAACACCACTGCTCGTAGTTATATTTTGATGCTGACCTGCGAGGCGGCCATTTCAGTTATGCGTCAGACGATGATTTGAGCGGCAATTCTTCTCTTTCCCTTTTCCTTCTCTCTTTGTAATGTACCGGGCGGTTAATGGCTCAATTGATTCCACGTATTATGATCAAAATGAACACGCAGTACTTCACTGTTAAGTTGCTGATAAAAAGCACGCAGCAAGGTGCTATTTAGCTCGCATGCCTTGTGCAAGCAGCAAGTAGACTTAATTAATTTTGAGCCCGGTCTCACTTTTGCACCCGCGACCTGCAAGTATGTGACTACCATGATGGTTGTCGTTGTATCTTGACTCTTCACTACCATCAAGTCAATTCTGAATCTAAAAGCGGGCTTAGCGGAGATAGATGACGGCAAGCTGATTGTTGATCTTGCGGTGCATGTGACCTTCATCAAGCTCTCACACATCAAGGCTCCACACCAAGCCAGACCAGCCCACACCGCACTTGAGGCAATATTGAAAGTCAGAAAGCTGTGCACAAGGCGCAAGTACAAGGCAGCGAATCGGTATCCAAATTGATGTAATGCCCATTCAAGATCGCAACTGCAATGTGATGCCCATCTGTGACTATCTCCGAGTCGATGAAGCTCGTACCGGTAGCATGAGCATGTCGAACGACGATCGTGCCTCCGCATCGATACCCAATCAAGTATTGGGCCGTTGCACGTACTCTGGTCGCGGAGTCAAGCCTACCACAACCGAGTCGAAAGGACTCATGAAGGCGAGTCATAAGGGTAGTGCACCTTATAAAGAGCATCGCTGCGACGGAGAGCTTCACCCTCCGTACGCTCACCCATGGCGCAGAAAAGGGCGGCTGTCTGCCGCTGTCGAGAATGCGCGGTTACGCTCACGGCGATTGGCGAGAAATTGCGGGGCTCAAAGTGGAAAGCGCCTTCCACTCGCGAAAGTTAGCGCGAGCAGTGATTGCCCCGCTTCATAAAGCTTTGCAGCAGCACCCGTCCACTTTCTTTTCTCGTTGCAACGCACGCCAACGTCAAAGCCTCTATCTTGCAGAGAGCGCTCCGTGTCCTGGTCCACTCCCAGAGACATCTCCTGCAACCCTTCGAGAACCGAAACCTCCCGTGCGGGGTATTCGTCCACTACACCGTTGAATTTTCAAAAGAGAAGACAGCCACAACACCGCCAAAATGGTTAAGTGAGTACCGCCACGCCACTGCCGCCGCTCGAGATGTCAAGATCTTAGACGAGCATGTAAGAATCGATAGGACACGATGCTAACATTGCTCCAGCTTCACCACCGAGGAGGTACGTTGCGCGCACACATGCCCCGCATTATGCGACGATATTCGAGTCTACACCAGCAATGCAGGATACTGACTATATTTTCAGCTTCGTGCCCTCATGGACAACCCAAAGAACATTCGTAATATGTCCGTCATTGCCCACGGTAAGCAGCATTCTCCCAGCTCGCGTGCATGCAAGGACTGATCGCTGACCAACCCTGCCACAGTCGACCACGGCAAGTCAACCCTCACCGACTCGCTCGTTCAGCGTGCTGGTATTATCTCGGCCGCCAACGCCGGTTCCGCCCGTTTCACCGATACCCGTGCCGACGAGCAGGAGCGTGGTGTCACCATCAAGTCCACTGCCATCTCTCTGTTCGCTGAGCTCAACGACCCCGAGGACCTCAAGGACATCGCCATCCCCACCGAGAAGAACGAGTTCCTGATCAACTTGATCGACTCGCCCGGTCACGTTGATTTCTCCTCCGAAGTCACCGCTGCTCTCCGTGTCACCGATGGTGCCCTCGTCGTCGTCGACACCATCGAAGGTGTCTGCGTCCAGACCGAGACTGTGCTTCGCCAGGCTCTCGGTGAGCGCATCAAGCCCGTCGTGGTCGTCAACAAGGTCGACCGTGCTCTTCTCGAGCTCCAGGTCTCCAAGGAGGACCTGTACCAGAACTTCTCTCGTGTCATCGAGTCCGTCAACGTCGTCATCGCCACCTACTACGACAAGTCTCTTGGTGACGTCCAGGTCTACCCCGAGAAGGGTACCATTGCTTTTGGTTCCGGTCTGCACGGATGGGCCTTCACTGTGCGCCAGTTCGCTACCCGTTACGCTAAGAAGTTTGGTGTCGACAAGACCAAGATGTGCGAGCGTCTGTGGGGTGACTCTTACTTCAACCCCAAGACCAAGAAGTGGACCAAGGTTGGCACACATGAGGGTAAGCCCCTTGAGCGTGCTTTCAACCAGTTCATCTTGGACCCCATCTTCCGCATCTTCAACGCGGTCATGAACTTCAAGACCGATGAGATCCCCACTCTTCTCGAGAAGCTCGAGATCAAGCTCACCTCCGATGAGAAGGACCTCGAGGGCAAGCAGCTCCTCAAGGTTGTCATGCGCAAGTTCCTTCCCGCTGCCGACGCTCTCCTCGAGATGATGATTCTCCACCTTCCTTCTCCTGCTGTTGCCCAGAAGTACCGCATGGAGACTCTTTACGAGGGTCCCCATGACGACGTCAACGCCATCGCTATCCGCGACTGTGATGCCAAGGGTCCCCTCATGTTGTACGTCTCCAAGATGGTTCCCACCTCCGACAAGGGCCGTTTCTACGCCTTCGGTCGTGTCTTTGCCGGAACCGCCCGCTCCGGTCTGAAGGTCCGTATCCAGGGCCCCAACTACGTCCCTGGCAAGAAGGAGGACCTGTTCATCAAGGCCATTCAGCGTACCATCCTTATGATGGGTCGTTTCGTCGAGCCCATCGACGATGTCCCTGCCGGTAACATTCTTGGTCTTGTCGGTGTTGACCAGTTCTTGCTCAAGTCTGGTACCCTCACCACCAACGAGACTGCCCACAACCTCAAGGTTATGAAGTTCTCCGTCTCCCCCGTCGTTCAGCGTTCCGTCGAGGTCAAGAACGCCCAGGATCTTCCCAAGCTTGTCGAGGGTCTCAAGCGTCTCTCCAAGTCTGACCCTTGTGTCCTGACTTTCATCTCCGACTCTGGTGAGCACGTTGTTGCCGGTGCCGGTGAGCTCCACTTGGAGATTTGCCTGAAGGATCTCGAGGAGGACCACGCCGGTGTCCCTCTCCGTATCTCCGACCCCGTTGTCCAGTACCGTGAGACCGTTGCCGGCAAGTCCAGCATGACTGCTCTGTCCAAGTCGCCCAACAAGCACAACCGTCTTTACGTCACCGCAGAGCCCCTTGATGAGGAGGTCTCTCTGGCCATCGAGGCCGGCAAGATTGCTCCCCGTGACGATCTCAAGGCTCGTGCCCGTATCCTTGCCGACGAGCACGGCTGGGATGTCACCGATGCCCGTAAGATCTGGTGCTTCGGTCCTGACACCACCGGTGCAAACTTGCTTGTCGACCAGACCAAGGCCGTCCAGTACCTCAACGAAATCAAGGACTCCGTCGTCTCTGGTTTCCAGTGGGCCACCAAGGAAGGTCCCGTTGCTGAGGAGCCCATGCGTTCCGTCCGCTTCAACATCATGGATGTCACTCTCCACGCTGATGCAATTCACCGCGGTGGTGGTCAGATCATTCCTACCGCTCGTCGTGTCCTGTACGCTGCTACTCTTCTTGCCGAGCCTGCTCTCCAGGAGCCCGTCTACCTCGTCGAGATCCAGGTTCCCGAGCAGGCCATGGGTGGTATCTACGGTGTCCTTACCCGCAGGAGAGGTCACGTCTTCGAGGAGAACCAGCGTGTCGGTACTCCCCTCTTCAACATCAAGGCTTACCTGCCCGTCAACGAGTCTTTCGGTTTCACTGCCGATCTCCGCTCCAACACCGCCGGTCAGGCCTTCCCCCAGTTGGTCTTCGACCACTGGCAGATCCTCCAGGGTGGCTCGCCGCTTGACAACACCACCCTGCCCGGTAAGATCGTTGCTGATATGCGTAAGCGCAAGGGTATCAAGATTGATGTACCCGACGTCAACAACTACTACGACAAGTTGTAAGCGAAGGATATCAAAAGTGTTAGATTTCCTTTCGTTTCGACCTTGTCGAGTTCGACAGTCGTGGGCCTGTCCGAGGTCGCTGGTCGCTGTATGACACGCATGGTTCCCCTTTGGAGCACCAGAGCTAGATAAATGTCGGTCCGGGCAGTTTGCCCATTGATCTAGTCGGGTTTTTGGGCTTCGGACCAAGTTACGGATGATGACCCTTTTCCTTGCCGTTCAGCGTATAGTGTAGTTTGCAAGAATCGAACTAGACTGCGCATACAATTCACGTTCTAATCCTGCTTGTGACTGAGCTTGCTGACATGTCATCTTTTACCCACAAGGATTGCTGCTTGCTTGCTTGCGTGAATGCGGAGCTAGGCGAACGCGGGACCTTGCTGTCGCGCTAAAAGTACGCGCTGAATCTTTGGAGCTCCGCGTTGCTAGATTTCCACAATCACGACCAACAACAGGATCAGGACGCATGCTACGTGTGAGGGAACTGGCGATTGCGCGACCATGTTGCTGCCAGAGGAAGACTCGGAAGTGTTCAAACGCTGGGTGCTTCCCAAGCTAGAGACAATGTAGGCCTGCACAGTGCATGCTCGAATTCGCGCTGACTGACGCACAGCTCCGACGCCGATGGGGAGGTTCTTGCCGACTACGTGGTCGCGCTTGTCACAACGAAAGAAACAGATGCTAACATCAGGCGCAACTGTCTAGAAAGTCTCTCGGACTTCTTGCAGGATCGTAGGTATTACGCATGGTGCTTACTGCTCGAGTACTGGTAGCTGACCTGCCCAGACACTGCGAGCTTCGTCGATGAAGTCATTCGAACTCTAAAGAGCAAGAGCTATGCTAGCGCGAATACAAACGTAAGGATCGAAGCGCCAGCGCAAATTCCTTCTATAGTCGGCACGTCGACCGCCGAGTACCTTCCACACCCCGCAAACGCATCCAACACTGCTCCTCTGCATGCGCCGAGAGGTCCCGCAGCGAGTCGAGCGTCGAACGGCCACCGCTTGCTGGACCGCCCTACTGGAGTAGCACCAGGCGCAAACGTACAGCAAGACGGCCAAAGGTCTCGGAAGCGCAAGCAGGACGAGCGAGATACAAGCCAATCGAGGGAAGGCCTCGACCGTCGTGCTGGCAATGACCGACCTCTCAAGCAGGCTGCGCGCAGAGGGAAGAATGGCCGCGCTGGAGGGCTGAACGCCCAAGCAGCTGCGTTTGCGCCCATGCCGAACATGCCGCCGTTCAATCCGTCGTTTGGCGAGATCCCTCCGTTCGACCCTGGCAACCCCATGGCCTTCCTGGCCATGGCTGCAGCTTTTGGGATTAACCTGCCGGGCATGCCACCGATGCCAGCCTTCAACGCGGAGACCAGCAATATCAGGTGCGCAGACTACGACACAAAGGGCTTCTGTGCGGCTGGGAGTACCTGCCCATATCGACATAACCTAGAGTACGATCCGGATCAGCCTGCGCAGGGAGATGCCAATTACACACAGACTAACAGGACCTACTACGGACGACCAAACGGCGGTCGTGCCCGTGCCCCTTTCTCGCTGCCCGGATCAACGCGCGATCGCGCCAACACCACGATCGTCGTTGAGCAGATCCCAGAAGACAACTTTAGCGAAGAAGACGTGCGATACTTCTTTGGAACGTTCGGCACCATACTCGACATACGCATGCAAGCCTACAAACGCCTCGCCGTGGTCAAGTATGAAACACATGATGCTGCAAGCGCCGCCTACAACAGTCCCAAAGCGGTCTTCGACAACCGCTTCGTCAAGGTGTACTGGCACAGGTCTGACGCCGATCTTGACGCAGAGGGTCAAGGGAGCTACGACGAAACTGAGATGCTGGACCCGGAGGAGGTTGAGCGCCGTCAAGCTGAGGCCCAGAAGGCGTTTGAAGAGCGCCGCAAGAAAGAAGAGGAGGCAGCAGCCAAAGCAGACGAAGTCGATCGCAAGTTGCAGGAGACCAATACTGAGATCCTGCGTATACGCCGCGAACTCGCCAGGGTGTCCGGAAAAGGCAACGGCGATGTGGAAGAGGACTTCTCGCAGGACCTGGCGATCTTGCAAGCGGAAGCCGAGAATCTTTTCGCACAGCAGGATGCTGCGGCCGAGTCCTGGCGTGGCAGCGGTCGTGGCGGGTACAGAGGCGCCCACCGCGGTCGTGGGTATGCACCACGAGCAAGAGGGTTCAGAGGCGGATACCGTGGGCGTGGAGCATTCGCTGGCGCCAGGACAGGCGTGAAGAGACTTGATAATCGCCCTAGGAGGATCGCTATCAAGGGTGTGGAACCTGGAAGCAGGAAGGACGAGGCACTCAGGCAGCACCTTTTCGTGAGTAGCTTCACATTGGTAGTGTGGAGATTTGAGCTAACACCGCGTAGAATGTCCCTGATGTTGTCAGCACCGAGCACTACCCAGAACACGCCAACATCCTTGTCATCAACTTCGACGAACGGTATCAAGCTGAAGCAGTGAGTGCCTTGCTCTCTTTTGTATTTGTTGCTGACAATTCTAGTTCATCGACACCGCACACCAGATCCCGGACGCTGGCAAGCTAGAGATGGAATGGGTACCTAACGACGCTTTCGGCGGTGCGAAGGCTGCAGAAGGAGACGCTGGGGGTCACGACAGTGATAGCGAGTCGGCCACAGTCGAAGTCAAGCAGGAAAACGCTGCCACGGATGAGCCAGTCGGAGCTGCGGCAGACGCGGATATGGATGTTGCTGAGGATGAAGATCAGTGGCTGTAGGGCTGATTGGAGACAAGCAGAGATTCAAGCACAACACGGCGTTCGAAGCATAGTATAGGCATGAGAGACATTTAAAAAATTACACAAAGACCATCACAAACGCTGTTCTAGTAGTCAGATTCTTACTCTCTTTCGTCATGGTGGACATGAAGCTGGAGGTCTCCTATGTAGGTGTGTGGACAGCAAGCATTACAAGCACAGCTAAAGGACCACCAGGCCGCTTATTCACCTTGAGTCAATAAAGGCAATGTGAACGCTGCTCGCATAATCGCCAGTCTAAGAGTACATGAAGGTGCGAAGTCCCTATTGAGTTGCTCTTTTCTCCACGCCTGTGCAGAGCCTCTGCAGGTAATCGTCCTTGCAGTCACAGACTATAGTTAAAGAACTGACTCTTGCACTGCAAGTATTATTGTAAGACTCCTGGTGCAAGATCCTTCGCCACATAGCCCGCCTACAAATCCTCGACTACCCCCATGTTGCACTTTTGCTGGTTTCTCAATCTCACTACTTACATCGATTCAATTCAACTACAACCACCATGTCATCCAACTACTCCAACCGGCTCACTAAAAACGAGCTCGAGGCCGCATATAAGCGGTTCATGTACGACTCTGCGACGGCGAAGCACTACGATTCTGTGCAGACCATTTAGACCGAGATGGTGGCTGCTGAGTAGGACCTTGTACAAGTGAAGGAGGAGATAGTAGGCCAGGACGAGGAGATAGCGAGTAAGGAGCGCATAATTCAGGGCCTAAAGATTCACACTAAGAGACCTTACATGATCATGTAGCAAGATTTCGAGCAAAAAAAGAGAACTGTTACGCGTCCCGGGCACTGCGCATTTGTCGCAAGCCGTGAAAATCGAGTGACAGTAGAGCATTCATGTAGACCTCTTTGCTCTAAGATGTATAGTAGAGGAGCCACAGTCGATGCAGTGGAAAGAGCTAGATGTTGGTAGAAACATGCAAGAACCAAAAGCGATGCTCTTCCCACTGTTTGTATCTAGCTATTCTGCAACGACGGTCCCGTAAGCCACGATCGTGGAATATCCCGGTCGAGTGAGCGCACTAATTGTCCGAAAAAGTCATGTTTGCGGTCGTAGTTCAGAAGTCGGCCACTGCTAAGCTGGAGGACTTTTTGGAACCTGTCAAAGCCTCTGGCGACTACATTGTCTCCTGTCTTGTTACGAGAAGCCCTAAATTCGTTCAAGTGCTCAATATCTTAAGTGAGCAGACTTTCTATCTATCGCCAAAGGTCAGTGGTTCAGCATTCCAGATTTGGAGACGCTTATACAACGTATGAATGCATTCCACCAAGCCGATCACACCCAAAGTTTGCCAACTGCAACTTAACTTGTCTCAAAAACACCACAACTGATAACTACAGTACAGAGGGAGATTACAGCTTACCCTCTAGGCTTATGGCGTACCCTACGGTCGAGTCGTTCACTCAGGCAAGTTGTTTGCACTGCAAGCCCTCGCCCACACAACGCTGACTACCTCCTCGCCGGGCTTTCTCGATGTCACACCAAGCCATCTACCATCATGTCGTCCCGAATGACCCAGAAAGAGCTGAGGGCCGCCTACGATACCTTCCTCATGGCGGAGGCCTGTGATGATCACCAGCCGCTGCTTGCTGAGTTGGCATTGCAGAGGAACTCAGCTCGGGAGAAACTCAAGAAAATGCGCATCCAACACCAGTCAGCCAGTCAACTTTCGAACAGCCACTAAGTCCATCTCACGGATCTCGACCAGCGCTACCAGGATTGCAACCACGCGACACGGGACGCTCATGTTGATAAACTCACATGCATGCAACAGCAGATTGGGCTGGCGAACGAACGGACCGAGGCAGCCAACAGACGCCTGGACGAAACACTCCGTCTCTATCAGATGCAAGAATGACTTGAACAGACAGCTCGCGAGAACGAACTGCTCCGTGGCGAGATTCCTCGTCTTGACAAGAAGCGTAAGCAGAAGTGCATATCGGGGTGGATGCGCGCACTGAACTTGAAGAGGACGATTGAGCAATGATCTTCAGGCCACGAATCCGAGAGTGAGTTTGTATCAAGTCGGGAGTGGCGGAGAGACCGGAGCAGTGGAAGTGTAGGAGGCGAGGAATGTACAGCGGATTGAAGCACAGCAATGACACATTTCGGAGCACAACGAAGAGCTGGATCCCGGGCTGGGCAAGAATGACTTCAGATCGTACTGACGTCGTTAGGATTAGCATTGACAGGTCTGTCTACTTCCGAACGTCAACCTTGAGGACGAACAGCTCCACTGACTATCTTCAACCTCTTTGAGCTGTTCTGGACAACGATCTGTGTCCCGAGGACGTCGTTGAATCGACGATGTCCTTCTCCATCGATACATGCAGTGTGCAAGTACGATGAGTGTCTCTTTCTAACTTTCTGCGAGCGACACTGTGGCAGATGTTCAGGATCGAGGGAGGGGCTTGACCGCGGTGACCGCACCAAGCCACATCTCTAGTCCGAGACCACGTTCGAAGGAAGGCTGGACAGTTTAAGTCTTCTGAAGGGAGCAAGTTACACATGCCACAACCGGCTGCTACAGAAGGAAAGCGAAACATTCCAAAAAAAGAAGCCGCAGAAGAGAATCGATGCTACGCAAAGAGAAGAGAATCGATGCTACGCAAAGAGAAGAGAAGAGAAGAGAAGTGAAGGAAAAGCGAAGCAAGTGCAGAGAACTGCAGGCCAGAACATCACATGAAACGTACACAGAAGTCAAACGTCGATTCCAACGAACCAGCTTCACCATTGCATCTCGAGTTGTAAATTTCTAAGAACCACGTTACCCGGGCGAACAATCTCACTTCAGCTGTCGTTCATCTTAGCGCAGTCGCTGATTGGCTTTGACTGCGGGCGCCGAGTGTTGCAACTTGCGCGCTGCAATCGCCACTTTCCGAAACCTACCCGATTGGGAAGGTTGGCCAAATTCGCCACAAGTGTCACGCTCGTCTCTTATTAGATGAATCAACGTTGCTGCACATGCCCACCCTTCTAAATAGTAATGTGCAACTTGCGCGGTCACAACTTGCGCTGCAATAGCCACCTTCTGGATATTACACAATTAGGACGGTTGACTGATCCTGCCACTCGTCTCTCATTGGACGACTGGACGGCGCTGCACATGCCCGGCTACTCGCCCAGAGGGCAATGTGAAGTTGCTACATAGGGAAGGTTGTCTTGATGTGCTGGACAGCCATCAATGATGGAGCAGTCGCACGTTGAATGTGCAAGTGACGAGCTCTGATGATGACTCCACTGCAGCCAGCGGCATGATAGCTTACACGGCTGAGTCCATTGTGAAGAAGAGGAAAGCCAGTACTCCATACTTAGTCACTAGCAAGATGATGTCGATACCGCATTTCCCATCCCCAATCATCCAAGCCTCACTCACAGCACATTCGTCTACACTCCCAAGCGAAGAAAACAAACTCATTCATCTCATCAATTCATTTCACCCCTATCATGCTAAACAAACTTTTGATCCCAGACCCATTACCCATCCCTCCGTCCGCACCATGCAGCCGTCGTCCACACCCTGGTATCATCGCGAAGCATTACTAAATACAGAATTCCGCGAGCGGACAGAGGAGAAGAGAAGTGGTATTCAGACATTACAGGGTCGTTGTGTCCCAGGGACGAGTCGAGCACCCACGGGCGGGTTTTGATGATTGTGAGGGGATCATCTGGCGGCCAAGCAGACAAAACAGCGCAGCATCATGGCAGTAGAGGATCGATCGACGTGCTTAGCGATAGAAACTCCAGATATTCAGCGGCCCTCGGCGGATTCTACTCCACCATGGAGCTGATTGGCGACCCCGCGCGGCTCTCGTCGACCAGGTCGCTCATCCTCATCTTCTTGTGCCGTGGGCTCTCCTCCTCGATCTCCTCAATGCGCCGCTTCAGGGCCTGCTCGCGCTGCTGGGTGGCCTCGAGCTCGGCTCTCAGTGCCTGCTCGGTGGCGCGGGCCTGGCCTTCGCTGGTCTCGAGCTCGCTGACGCGGTTGCGGAAGAGGTCGTTGATGAGCTCCATCTCGGAGACGCGCGTCTTCAGCGCGGTGTTCTGGGCGGCGAGCGAGTCGTATGAGAGCGGCGGCTCGAGGTGCGAGCCGTTGATCGAGGACAGAGAGCTGGGCGAGGGCTGGCGTGGGATGCCGAAGCCGTGCATGGAGGGCTGGAATACGGCGTCCCCGTTCAGCGCCTGCTCGAACATGTGCTGGGGCGCGATGTTGGAGGGGTGGGCAAAGTTGGGCGTGCCGGTGCGCGAGATGGGCGACTGCGAGCGATCGGAGAGGCCGGACGAGATCTTGCCAGAGGCGCGGCGGTGCTGAGCGAGGCCCAGCTGACCGTCGGCGTCGGGGTGGGCGGCAGCAAGGCCGTTGATTCCCTCGCCCTGGTCAGTCAGCGAGGATGTAGGGGGAGGATATAGCTGCACACCTTCTTGCGCCCTGGCCCACCCGTCTTGACGCGGTTGCGGCTCTTGATGACATCCGTCTTGAGCGAGATTGGGCGTGGGCGGCCGTGCAGCTTCAGGAACAGCCCGCAGGCGTTGCAAAGCACGGCGCCGGACTCATCGCGGCGCCAGAGCGGTGTCGTGCTCGTGGTGCAGTTCTGGCAGACAGGCTGCGTCGTGTTAGCTGCATTGAACAGTGACGAGCGATGATGCAGTTATCGATTGCAAAGATAAGGATAAGAGCAAGATTTCTCTGCAGCAGCATCGCGCCTGTGCGACGCACAACACCAGGAGTGAAACGTACCGGCGAGTTGCTCTGTCCGCCAGGAGTTGCGGGCGCGGCGGTCGCGTAGGTCATGCTGAGGCCATTGGAGGGTTTGCTGGGCGACGTGTCAGTGGGAAACGAAAATGAGGTGCAAACGCCAAGCTCTGCGATAAGCAGGGCTGCCCGGACCACGGCTGGCGACATGAGCCACAGCCGCAACTCTTCCGCCCACCGCTCACTGGCTGGCGCTGCACGTACCTTGGTGGAGACGGCATCTTCATCGACGGCGAGTCTCTCCTTGTGCGTTCATTACTGTCGTGGTCCTGTGCGGGGCTGATTGATGCTAGCGAAGCGAGAGTCGACAGTGCGGGCAGCTGCAACGATGCGTTGCTGCCCTGCTGTTGCAGTGGCTGGTGTGTGAACGACGCCACGGTCGAGCAGCTCGACGACGGCCGTGATATGTCGCGCCCAGCGAGCTCCGGGCTGATCGATGGGAGTGTCGTGCGGTCGAACGCCGCCGGGGACGTCGTCCTGATTGACGGCAGATCGAAGACTTGCAGTATCGACGGTCTGCGGAACGTGTCGTGGGCCTGCGGCCGGGGGAGGATCGAGGTAGCCAGCGCGGAAGCCGTGGTGAAGTATAAGGAGAAACGCGGTGCGCTTCTCAATCGACGACGTGACGGAATGTAATATAACGCGTAGTGAGCGACTGGGGTGGACGGTGAGTAAAGAGAGACAGCAAAACAATCAAAAGCGTCGAAAGGAGCGTGTGGTCTTCACAAAGAACGACGAAGAACGAGTGCACAGAACCAGAACGTTCAGCACCACAAGCACAGTTGCGAAGTGATTACTGTACCACCATAGCATCCTCTATCCACATCTAGCTCTGGCCTTGCGCCTGCCCCTTATCCACCTGTGCAAGGCTACCCATCCCTAACATCCCGTCTATCGATACCCACCCATCGTAATTTCTGCTAATTAAGGTACCTGCAAGACCTCAGCCCAGTCCCGTTGGAGCTGGTATCGCAAGCGGTCGCGGGATCTGCAACCATCATCGAGCAGATATCTCTCCAGCCCATATCAAACACCAGCGTCTCCGAAATCGTGAAGAGTGCTTGTTCCACCCAATCGGCAGCGCCGCCCCCTCCCACCACGCCCTCTTCTGGAAGACAAGGCGCCTGTTCAGAGAACTATCGCTGTCGTTGTGGTTCGTCGCGCTACCCGCTGAGCCTCCAGCCTTGTCTCGCTTCAGCGCCATCAGTAGCCTCAGGGGCAAAACGATACGCTAGCCCCACAACGGCAGCACCCCATGCGCGTTCGCATGCCCGTGCGACGACGGTAAGCTGGCCAATCAGTGTCGGTGCAGGTACAATCTGGGGGCGTCGCGATAGCACCGTTGTGATGGTGAGCGACGTCCGGGGTCTGGCTGAGCTTGTCGATTGGCGCCTGAACGACTGGAGAACGGTGGCTTGGGGGATGCTGTTGCGGCGATTCGAGGACCTGAGATGGCCGAATCACTACGATGAACCACTCGCGCTGACTCTCGGAGGAAATGTGCCGTCTTACGTACGGTCTCCACGCGCTCGATGCTGGGCGGCGGATCCCATATTCTGACACTACAGTCACCTAGGTACTCCGTTATTGCTCGACGAGAAGAACTCCGTATTGGGTACAACACTCTATTGCTAACATTCTCCGTATTTTACATACCTACATCTCAAAGACACTATCGTACACATCGTACACTATCTATCCTAACTCCGCACCTCCTCGAGGTACCTCTCCTGTATCTTGTCGTTTGTCCTGGGCATAGTCTCCACGGCCCGACACACATTCGGCGCCTGTTCCTCGAGAATCTCCCTCGCCCACTTCGCCTCCTTCTCCACATACCCCACGCCATTCCTCTCGTCCTCCTTGACCACCGCAAATGCCTTGGCCAGCACAACAAGCGTTTTGTACCGCGGCAGCACCGTGTTCCTCTTAATGTCGTAGTGCCGCAGCTCCATCCACTGATACCCCTTGCGGTCGTGGCGGATGTAGAAGGGCGCGAGATTGCGCCAGCCGGGGAAGCGCGGCATCAGGTATGTTTCTGCGATGGTGAAGGCGGATACTACCTGTCCGTTCTGGGCGAGGGCGACGACGAACTCGTTCCAGGTGAAGTTGTCGATCACGAAGCCGTTGACGAGCAGGTCGCGGATGGCGTGCTGCGCCTTGGCGAGAAGCTCGCGGGTCGGGCTCATCTTGGGGTTGCGGTTGATGAGCGAGCGGATGTAGATGCGCGTGGCTTTGACAATGACTTGGCGGCGGTTGAGCGCGATGCTGGACTCTTCGAAGCGCTGGATGACCGTGCCGTCGGTCAGCGATGTTGAGCCATCGTCGCCTGATGGTGCAGGGTTCATGACCTGCCGGAAGGTCTTGACCAGCTTGGACGAAGACTGGCGGACGAGGTCCCAGCACTTCTGCACTTCATCCCACTCTTTGGCACGGTAGTGAGACTCCATGATGGCAGTGAGGAAAGTCGTAGGGGCTTCGTAGTCTTGCGGCTCCGTGCTGGCATCGGCCTTGGCAAAGAGCTCCTTGCAGATTGCGTAGGCCCCACGAGCGTTGTAGAGCGTGATGAGGAGACCATAGTAGGAAGCTGGGACGACCGACTGGGTCTGCGCATCGATGTGGCGGTTGTGGTTCGGCTGACGATGCGCAATGTCTTGCCCAACGTCGCCGCTCGTCAGCATGCCGCGAAGCAGTTTCTCAACATGCTTGAGCTGCTGACGAGGGTCGTTGTTCCGCGCGCGCATCAGCCTGACCAGCTCGGACATGCCAACGGTGTTGATGGCTGCCCGGCGCGAGCTGATGGTCTGGTTCACATTCCGTTCAACCATGCGCTCGTACGCCTCCAGCGCCTTGTCGTACTGCCCTTCCTTGAGAAAGCCAGTCATGACGATCGCGTAGTGGATGGCCTCGACACGCATGTTGTTGACGGGGAGGGTCTTTCTGAGGATCCTGTACGCTGCGTTCGTCTGCTTGATCTCGACTAGAGCACGCATCAGACTGCCAAAAGTGATGTTGTCCAGCGGGATCTTGTTGTCGACCATGTCCCGGTACAGCCTTCTGCTGTTGGCTACGTCTCCCCTCAGGGCATAGTACTGGATCATGATGTTCCAGGTGTGAGTCAACGGATGTCCGACGAGGATGCCGGCCTTCCACTGCTGCAGCATGCCCCGCGCAATCTCCTCGGCGGCCTCTATGTCATCGGCGCCGAGGAACGCCTGCACATAACCGGATCGAGCGCGGACGTCCGTGTCTACTGGAACGCCCATCTGCTTTGCTCTCGAATAGAGTGACTCAAAAGCCTCAATGTCGCCCCTGTTGGCGCACATGTTGAGCATGGGTCCAAATGTGTAGACGTCGGGCGTCATGCCAGCATCCAGGGCATGGTTGAAAGCCTCGAGCGCTCCATCAAGGTCGTCCGCACGAACGTAGGCAAGGAGAAGGGTGTTCCACATCTGCAAGTCGGGTGTGATGCCGAGTTCCTCGCGGATGCGGCGAAATGCTGCCAGTGCACCGGGGACATCAGCGCGCCGAGCCTGAACGTATATCAGAGACTGGGCCTGCTTGGGGGTGATTTCGTAAGTGTCCTTGAACTCGGCGAAATACTTGTCGACATTCTCGACATCGCCGTGCTCAGCGTAGACGAGCAGCAGAGACTGCAAGATGGGGATAGTAAGCGGTCTGTCTGGATAAAAGGTGCGCACGTCTTGCACTACATCTTCGACACGATGCCAACTGTCGTGGTTCCCGTGAGCGGTGATGACCGCCGTCAACATGGGCAGCTGGGGCGGCAGTGTCTTCCACTTGGGATCATCGACGCGCTCGTAGAGGTACCACTGTCGATATCTGCGATAGAGCTCAAGGTGGAGCTTTCGCTGGTTCGTGTATGCGCGATAACGGTCCATTTGCATCATCGTGTTTATAGCATAGTCGTAGCTCGCATCGGGAGGGATGCCCAGCGAGGTCATGTCCTCGAACAGCTTGGTGAACCAGTCCCAGATGTCGTCTTCGTTCGGCTTCCGCACCAGCAAGACTCGATCCATAACGTTGGGGAGAAAGCTCTGGACAAAGGCAACGAATAGCTCCTTCTTCTTCGGCTTTAACATGTGCGCGTACTTGTTCTCGCGAATGTACACGAGAAGAGACTGCACATGCTCCTTGATCTCTGGAAGTTGGGCGGCTTCGTGCCAGATCTCAGGCAGGGTGGTTTGGCCCCACCGGATGCGGTATGTTGTCCGCTGGCGGTTTATGCTGAACCGAGTCTCCGAGACGTATTCCGAGAAGGCGCGGATGGCCAGGTCCCATTGCTCATCGGCCACAAGTCGTCGCAAAAGGACGTCGGTTCCAACGTTGGGCACGTGGTCCTCGTACTCGACAAAGCGCCCGCTTCCGACCGCAAGACCGTGCAGGTGCAGAGCTGGCCCAGGCTGTCGAAGGGCGACTTGGGCGATTATGGCGGCTCGAAACGACGATGCTGTGCGAGCCTGGCCCGGCAGCTGCTCAAACAGTCGTATGATGCGGGTCGGTATGGCCGGCTCGGTGTCTGCGGAGAGGTATTCGAGCAGGGACAGGATCAGATCAGGGGGTCTGCTGGACAAGGCTCGGGCAGGAATGGCGTTGTACAGCTGCCACGCCAGCTCTTGCTTGCCCGGCTCCTGTCTGCGCAACAGCTCGCTCAGAGAGTCGTGCGCAGAGGACCCCATCAGCCGCTCGTGCATCTCCCGCTTCGCTTCCTTTGCCTCTGCAACGTCTACCCCGTCCTCTTGCCCGTCCAGCTCTGCAGCAGCGCCTTGCGAATCCAGACGTCGGGCCGTAGCATAGCTCCGAACTGGCTGCCGCTGCAGTTGCAGTCGTCTGCCGTCCGGAGCACCGTCACTCCGCACAGAGAGCGTCCGCAGCAGCGCCAGAGTTTTGTCGGGATACAGAAAGTCCAGCGGCGGCCCGTCGCTGCTCGGCGCCGGCTGCTCAGCGCCCGTGGATGCCGGATTGATGGCCCACCATAGTGGCAGACTCAGGTCGCTCGCACCGTGGTGCCAAAAGGTCGAGTGCAGCTTGCGGCGACTGCGCAGAGCTGGCTTGGGGGCGCGAAAGAGCTGGCGGCCGCCGGATTCAAGGCATGACGAAGCGCGCTCGAGCATCACCTGGAGCCAAACTTGCAGGAGACGCAGGCAGGAGCTGTGGGCTGCGGTTCGAATGGCGGTGGTGCAGCAATTGCGCAGCTATCTGAGACAAGCAGGAGCGATGGAGGCAACGAGGGTCGACTGCGCAAGACAAAAACTCCAGCAATGCAAGGGGGGAGGAAATGAGAGCAATGTGCACAGCAGAAAGATTGCGTGCGTGCGAATTACACAGAAGAGAAAGTGCGTGCGTGCGAATTACACAGAAGAGAAATTGCGTGCGTACGAATTGCACAGAAGAGAGATTGCGTGCGGCGTGGTGGCAACGGCGCGTGCAAACGTCTATGATCTCTAGACAAATTCTGGAAACGCGCTGTCAGGTTATCTGATCTGATCTAGGTATCAATCACTCCCGAAGTTGTCCCGCGTCGACGCGGCGATGCGACCCCACACTACTGCACAGTGCTGAGCTCCAGGTCACGACGCCACCATGGATCTCACAAAGTATGTCGTCGAGTACCGCGAGGCCGCCTTCCTCCTGGGCGACTACGGTAGTTACCGTGCGCAATTGACCCGCCGCCTGCGCACCGTGCAGAAGAAGCTGGGCAGGGCGACGCCCAAGAATGCCAAGTATGCTGCAAAGCCCGCCGTGACGGCCGAGGACATGTCGAAGAACGTCGAGTGCGTACAGCCGTGAGAGCGCAGGAGCGTGTTTGCTGACGGCCAAGGTTCCTCCACCTGCTGCTGCTCACCTCGGAGCGGGCTTGGGCGCAGGCAATGGCCATGAAGGCCCTCCATTCCGAGGACAACGCTGACAAGAACATCACCGGCTCGACGCGCCAGCACATCATCTCGCGGCTGCACAAGGCCGTGCAGAGCGCCAGGGAGGTCGTCGCGCTGCTGTCCGACTCGGCCAGTGGCGCTTCAGAGACGGACGTGCTGGAGGCCAAGGCGTACGTGTATGCTCTGGCTGGGGCGCAGGAGTTTGAGAAGCAGGCCGAGGGCGTCAAGGAAAAGGGCGCCTCGCCCCAGCGCTGGGACGCCTGTCTCACCAACTTCGCTGCGGCCCGCGTTCTGTACAGCGCCCTGCACAAGGCCACCAAGAAGGACCTCTTCAAGGACGTCCTGACTGGCACCATTGACCCCAGCATTCGGTACGCCGCCTACCAGAACCGCATCCCCCGCACTGTGGGTGTGTCTGCTGTTGCGCGGAAGTACTTCCCCAAGGATGAGCAGCTCTCCAAGGCAGTGCAGCAGATCGATCCCTCAGCGCTGCACGAGGAGGAGGCCACGGCGTTGAGTGCGTACACCAGACGATGAACACGTATAGGAAACTGACAGTTGCAGGCTCCCAGATCACCTGGCGCGGCCGCACCGCCAACATTGTCGATGCTGCTATTGGCCAAGCTCTCGTCTCGATCGAATCTGCGTCCAGCAACCTCGACCGGTCCAGCGCCTCGTCTTCGCCAAAAGACCGCGCCAACGCCTACGACGACATCCTCATCGCGAGCCAGGACGCCGTTGACGCTACAAGGAGAGCCATCGAGGAGCTGGAGAAGGAGGGCGTGGACGAGGGAGATGCGCGCATGCAGGATCTTCGCGTCACTAACCTGGCCGTGAACTACGACCTGATCTCATGGCGCATTGGCAGGAACAGGGTGCTCATTGGCACTGATGACGGCCTGGCATTCGCACCCAACCCACCTCAGAAGCCGAGAAGGCCGCGCAAGGACGGAAAGGAGTGGGCTGAGCGTGAAGAGCCAACAGGCCGTAAGCTCGCCAGGCTACGAGAGCGCGTTGCTCTGTACGATGCCATCCTGCAGAGTATCGACTCGATCAAGGACCTGCGTGGCGCAGCACGCGACACTGGCTTCATCGCCGAGCTCGACGGCCAGCGCGCCTACTTCCAGGCCCTGAAGTGCCTCAACCTGTCACACTCGCACGCTCTACTCGCCGCACCAAGGCAAGCCCTCGCTCTCTGCAGCCGCGCGCTGTCCCTCTCTTCGCAAGCGACGTCCGCACCGACCTCAACATCGACCACGACCTCAAACGCCACCAAACTCGTCGTCTCCGAACATCAAGCCTCGGCTCTGAAATCGGCCCTCGAGAACCTCAACTCGCACTACCGTGGCGTCGTCGCCCTGTCCCAGCTCTCTGCCAGCTTACAGACCGCCGCCAAGGCCGGCCTGTCCAACGCCGCGCCTGTCGTCGAGAGGCTCAACGAGTACCCGTCGTCCGGCTCCGTCGATCTCAAGAATCTGGTCACGTGGCCGCCGAAGCTGAGGCCCGTGCCTGTGAAGCCGCTGTTCCTCGATGTGGCGTGGAATTACGTCGAGTATCCAGGGCGGACGCAGCGGGTCGAGGTGGAGGAGAAGGTGGAGGAGAAGGAGGAGAAGATGGAGGAGGAGGAGGAGAGGCCAAAGGCTAAAAAGGGCTGGTTTGGCTTTGGACGGTAGATGGATGACGTGCGCATGCATGGCAACGGGACTTCGCTCTTGAGATGCGCGGAGACGCTTAGACGCTCAGATCCATGGATCTTTGTCCTAACAGCAATGTCGATTCTGAATCCCCGTCTCATACGCGGACTTGATGTTGCTTCAGTTGTTCCCTGCTCCTTGCTTGGTCGGCCTGCTGCTGCGACGTCCAAAGTCTAGACACTCGGCCAGTCCAAGTGCAATCCCAAGTTCTCCTCCCCTTTATCAGAGCTATGTGTTCTGCAATAGCGAGCACTTACTACCTATGTGTTCTGCGATAGCGAGCACTTACTGCCTATGTGCTAGCTGTCCCTGTTAACAGCTTCAACTGCTCCTTAGCCGTCTTAGGCCTCCTCTAGAAACGGGACGACTTGACGCGAGATGTTACGTCTGGAGTTACGAGAGCCAAAGTCGCCAAATGCATGTAGTATGAGACCTTCGGCGACGGCTACAGTTGTGGACTGCGGGGGCAGCGTGGAGGAGTTGGATCGTGGCTTAGCGTAGCGGAGGTGGGGTGGGAGGGGGTTGTGTAGTGCACTACTGTTGCTGTGGTGAATATACAGTGCTGCACACGGCCGTGGGAGCTATGGCTGCTCGGTATTACTAAAGTTTATGGCAATTGACTCGATTGCTCCACAAGTATCTGGAGGGTTTCCAGATGCCCCCACATCGGGCGGCTACCCCGATGAGACGCCGTGCATACTTGACCGGTGTGTTCTTTCCGTCCTCTTCGGACATCGATGATAGAAGAAGGTGTAGCGCTGCCACTTGTTCATTTCTGACAGCATAGTAGATTGGTAGCTGCACCCCTTGGCTCTGCTGATAGAATGCTGCTGGGTCGCTGGTGAGGATCGACTGAAGAATTGGGACTTGCCCAATCTTAGCAGCGGCCACGGCAAATTCAGAGGCTTTTGATGTTGAATCTTATCTCGTTAAGCTGTCCGCTCTTATGGCAGTCTCTACAAGAGATATGTCGCCGATCCGAATGACGTGATCTGCAAAGCACAGTCGAGTCGCACTATAATGTTGGCAAAAGTGGCTGATAGTCGCTTTTGCGTCCAACAGCCTCGAGATACACTCCGACGATCCGCCCACTGCAGCTTCGAAAAGAGCTGTCTCGTCACGGTTGTTGAGAAGGTTGAGGCTGGCACCTTTGTGGAGCAGGGACTCTACGGCCGCTAGTTGACTTCCATGAGCGGCGCAATGTAGTGCAGTATTACGGTCTGATGCTTGAGAATTCATGTCGAAACCCATGGTCAACATGCTCTCCAGTGTAGATATATGGCCAGATCTCGCCGAATGCCACCAATCAAATATGGCTTGTGGCTTAGTCGGGGTCGATGGGGAGGCTTCGATCGTGTCGCTGCTCTTGGGATCTGCACTGCGCGATGTCTTTTGGCGTCGCGCTTTGTACTCGAGCGGATGGTACATCTTGAGGTGGTTTGCGACATTGTCTTTCCGCGAAAATATTCTATGACAGCGTGGTACTTTGCACGGAAACCTCTCATTACCCAAACGATGTCGAGATGCGACATGTCGATTGAGATCCGCGAGAAGGCCGAACCCTTTCTTACATAATTCACATTGGAAAGGCTTCGTATGTGTTTTATGGTGCTGGCTGCGCCCTGTTAGGTCCTGTGCATTGGTGTAGAAATAGCTAACCTACTTGAATCTCGAACGAGTGTTGTATTGTTTCCCACAGTCCACACACCCGAATACTTCAAGGGAGGCCATAGCTGAGGACTACGCAAGCGTCTGCGATAAGGACGATGAGACAGGTGGTGGTATGATGATATTATGATTCTATAGAGGAGTGCACTATCTATATAGATGTACGAAGTAAAGGAGCGGGAACTAACAAGCTGGCTGATTACGGGGCAACAGCCTCAAACAGTCTTCGTAGGTGTTACACAAAACGACAGATGCCACCATCCATGAAAGACATAGTCGCAGGGCAAAGCATCGACCGGGGATCCCGGTCGCATCCCTATTGTCTGCTCGTATAGGGCTCCGTGGCGAAGCGACCTCTCCCACCTAAAAAACAACGAGTATCCCCCAGCTTTGAAGAATCAATCCAACAAATTGGTCTTCACAAGATTGATATCGAACCCTCGCGTCTCGCGACAGCAAGCACCCAGCTAAATAAAACGCAATATACTCCTCGACACTGTTTGTTTGCAGTCGCGAAACCATGGACCACGACCAGTACCGATATTCATCGCAGAGTATGGGGGGTATCAACCAGCAGCTCTTCAGAAGCTACTTCGCCAACGCTCCATCCGAGCATGTTCCCAACCATGGGTGAGTTTTTTCTAACACCATGCAGCTATGCCTTCCCAAGACAGTGGGAAGTGCGGGATTTGGCTAGATCCCTACCGATTACGACACTGTCTTGGCTAACCACGCCTTCCAATCCGATCCGACTTTGGTTGGGTACGGTCAAACTCCATTTGGTCAGGATCCGATCCCCGTCGAGAAATGGCCTTTGCAACAGGACTTTCTCATCGATATCAACATCCAAGGAATCAACGACCCACACGGTTACTTCCCGGGCCTCCTTTGGCAGAGTGGATTGAACCATGGCCAACAGGTTCCCCCGAACTTCAGCACGCCGACTGTACAGGCTTTGGACCCAGGTGCTGCACAGCAGATGCCCATCACCGTGGAAGTAGAGGTCAGGCAGTTAGACGACGGTGTTTTCTTTTGCTCCCTTGGTTGCAATGCAACTTATTCTCGCATATGTGATTGTCGCCGTCACCTCAAGAAGCACAACGGCCCTTTCTTTCACTGCAACCAGCGCGGCTGTGGCATGTACTTCTACAGACACGATAAGCTGCGCGCTCACATGCAGCAGTGTCATGGTGTTGCTATCCCGCCGCCCGGAAACAGGCGCCGTCAGAGGAGCAGCGCCGCTGGCCAGTAAGCGAGGCCACCCAGTAGTGTGCTTCTTAAACCATCATGGTTCGGTTCCGTCTGTCTCTCTCTTTCGTGTTTGATTGTTTCTCTTGTGCGGTCGATAGCTAGGTAACAAACGATGGCGTTTAGTATCGTGCTTCGCTCCAATCTGATGCTGTGAAGTCGCAACAGTAGCGCCGGCCTAGCCCATTGAATGCCTAGTCTCGAACCTGATCCACATTTCCTGGCTCTCTTCCAACGTCTCGCCTTTTTCAGCATTATCCCAGACTCATCGCTGTTGCTCATTCTTCGCAAAAAAGTGAGGAGCTGCGGAATGAAGCGCGAGCAAAGCCTCAGCCTTGTGTTGTTACCGACACTGCACCACGACCCAGCCTAATGCAATGCAATGCCAGCTCATCACGCACTTGCCAAATTGCCTGCTTTGCCTTGTGTGCGCCTCTCCTGGATATACGCATATCATTGGTAATCTCAGATTAGGCGGATATGTTGAACTTGCCCTCTGCCCTTCGGTGCCTGCTGTGCCTTGTTTCAACGCCACCCACAGCAGCAAGACGATTGGTGCCGCTATGAAAGCCCCTCTCTACGCTACCTTTCCTTGCCCCTCGAGATTCTCCCTAGGGCAGGTGACAATTACGTGTCACAGGAAGAGCTGAGCACAACTGCGATGAGACTCGACTGTAGAGATGCACTGAGCGCCACAGGCTAATGCGTCGACGCAGGGTTATTCGAGCCAGTTGCATGATTGCCTTGGGATTTTACAGTGAGCGAAAAGCGAATGCGAAGCTCCTTAAAGCCTGAGGAGATCCATGAGAGCTATAGTCGTTGTGGTCTACGAAGGCATATAGACCAAGACTGCAAGGTCCATTGTTTGTAGCAGTGAAAAGCTGACTAGTTTACGGTTGCAATTCATCTACGTGTACATCGTACCGTGTTCGAGAAAGACAAAGACAATTTTGGTATGATCTCAAATTTCGCAATACCCATCGGTGTCTGTATGCCTTTGTCGTTGCCGAAGTAGTAGCTCAGATAATTCTGCCCTGGCTTGAGATCCCCATGGCTCAGCAAGCGTTGCATCAGATCCACTTCGTTGTTCTCCGCAGCGTAGTGCAGTGAGGTCTTACCTTCTGGTGTTTGAGTATTGGCAGAGATGATACCATCCTTCAAGAGCTTTTGCAAAGATGATGTGGTATTCTAGCAGCCGGTGTGTCCACATTGCCATTGGATGATTCGCATTGCTCTGGGATCGGAGGACCAGAGGCTGGCTGGTATATCAGTGTTCTCGCGACTCAAGAGCGGCTCAAAAGAAAGCCAGTGTCCATACTTCTTCAGCATCCCAAGCAACTGCGACAAGACCCTCTACCGCGCTGACAAGACGCGTGACCACGCTAGGCAAGGCCTATGTCGCTGACTCGGAGTGTCGCAGTGTTCGTCTGGACATGGAGTATGGTCTTGGGCTTGAGCATTGCATATCTCCTTGCGTATCAATCTGTCCTTTTAATGATGTCTTCATCACAGTATAGTGTTTCCATGCGAGAGTCATTACGTAGTCAATATACGTTGGGCTGTTTTTCGGACGACTCCTCTCGTGCTTACCACATGATGCCGTGATACGAACCCAGTGCTGTCGTCTTGCTGTACGGCCCACCTTCCCCCAAAGCAGCCAGGACGCAACCGCGTTGCAATCCTCGAAAGACTTCAGGAAGTATGGACCACCCGCAGATCGGCACTGAATACCACCGGCTTTCACTTCCATGGATGTGCTACTGCATAAAACCAAATCCCTAAATTCAAATTCATGCAATACAAGTGTGAGAAGCAGTGCATATATGCAAGTCAGAAGTAAATTTGGGTATCACAGTGAACATAAACGCATCGAGGCTGCACCAGCTCACGACGCTAACTCAGATGCCGCAGAACGGATCAACGACCACCAGCCCGCACGCTGCGCGGCCTCGGGAACTTCAACCTGCTGCCCCGCGCGCTGCACCTCCTCGACCTCCGCCTGCCAGTTGCCAATCGCATCCTTCTCATCACGAATACTCGTATCGTTCGGCGCCAACGTCGCCGCCTGCTCAATAAGCGTCACAGCCCTGACGACATTGGCACTCCGCCTCATCAGCCTCTCACACCTCGCCTGCCTATACAGCATCTTGCTCGCCTGCTCGTTGCTCGGCGTCCACGTAGCATCCGCGTGCTGCGCAAATCGTGCGCTCGCAGTCTCGCACTTCCACAGGTAAAGTAGACTCATCTCGCCATTCCTTGTTACAAGCGCGCGACTCGTCTGCTCGCCAGCTATGTCGACCTGCAGGAACGTCGCTCGCAGCAGGTTTAGTGTGAAGTACAGATCGGCGGTTGCGTTGACAAAGTCCGTGCCGCCCGAGGCTTTAAGGCTGAGCCAGGACGAGCTGTGGCGCATGCGCTCGAGGGTGCGCATCGAGTATGCCCAGGACTCGGCAGCGGTGTAGTAGTCGTGGTTCTGCCACTGGCGCTTGCCAACGTCGGTGCCGGTGTGGATGGAGTCGAGGGTCGCTTTGGGGTCTGTCCAGCGCGGTTGGGCGACTCGCGACTTGACCGCTTGTGCAAGTTGTGTGGAGACGGGCCCGCTGATGCTGAGGTCTGCGATACCGCGGAGGTGGGCGGCGATGGGCTCGAGGAGGTGTTGCTGAATCGCGGGAGTGAACACTTCTGCGTGAGACGGGTCGAAGGAGACGGTTGCGTGGATAGAGAGGTGCTCGCTCGCTGTGGCGTTGACGCTAGACATTGCACTCTCGATGTCGAGCTGTCGGCAGAGTGAGGGAAGGTCAGACCGCAACATCATGATCTCGTTCTCGGAGAAGTCAAGGGGCCCGGACGAGAGCGCGGGCTTCGACAGGGTGAAGTGCATCATGTACCCCGGGAACTGCCTCGCCTTGCGTGCGTCTGTCGTGACGGCTGCGATCATCTCGTCGCCCAGGAAGAGTGTGTTGGCATTGAGCCCCCGGCAGGTGACGCGCACGAACTGATTGCGCTTCATCATATCATCGAACGCCTCCTCGTGAATCTGCTTGTTTGTTCGCAGCAGCGCCAAGGCATCGTAGCTGGCTGACCGCTTGCGCAATCCTCCAACGAACCTGGGCTCGTACTCGGGCTCATCGTCCCATGAGCACAACAGCAGATCGTAGATGTTGTTGCGGAGTTCGCCTGGCAGGTCCAGGAAGCGGAAGGGTTGCATGGATAGGGCAGACATATCGCAAGGTATACCGCAGTCGCAGTGGTGGGCAGATGTTGCAATGGCAGTCGTGGATGTTGCAATAGAAGATGCTGCGAGGGTGGTGATGTCGACAGCAGTCGCTAGGAATCAATGTCAAGTCGCTTGGATTGTCGCTATGGAGGATCTCGCACTTGTAGAACGGTAACGTCGGTGAACTAGGTGTTGATTGTTGTGATGTACGGACAGAAATTTCGTGACAAAGCTCACGACGCAAAACTGGGCGGTTCGCATAAATCTCGCACGACGTCGGGAGCACGACATCTCTGATGTTTCAACACGCTTCTCGCCTAGCGTGCTGTTCCTCAGCTCACTGGCTGGGTTCTCGGTTCTGGCAGACGCGCAGCAGGGCAATGGGGAAGGGCGTGCGGAGAAATGAGGAATTGACGCTATGACGACGGTCAAGATGGCGCTTGCTCCAGCTGGGTTGGGTTTGCCCCAACTTTTCCCGTCGGGCAATCATCCGCTCCCGCGGCCCACGGTTTTTCTTCGACGTCAGCTCGGAGACGGGAGATTGTGGGGAGATTGTCAGGAGACCGTTCGGGGTAATTTTGTCAGCCTTGATCTCGAGCATTGACTCGAACAGAGTGCTGTAGCCACAAAGGCAGACCGATGCCAACGGCAACCCTCGTAAGCCCGAGAACAACATTTACTCCATCGTGAGGGGCACAGAAAAGAGCCATAAAGATTGACGTCCGAGGCCAGAGTCAGTCAAGCACGTCGGGAGCAGCTGACTACTTTGACCGGATCCGCATTGTGGTGTTGAAAGTACGGCAATGAGCTAAGTCGCATGATCGATCCGACTTCATCAATCTGGCTTTGTCGCTCCAAGGATCAACCCGCGTCATCGCAAGTACCCGCGGATCCGCACGTGTTCACGATGACAAGCTCGACAGGCTACCGGCCGAAAGACATGGAGAGGGTGACAGTTGAGCCAGGGGAACACATTTGCACTGTGAAAGTGTCAGATCGAATCGTGGTATCTCATTGCTCAATATAAGGCACTATCCAAAACGCTGCTCTAACACCAACATATCGTCATGCAACACACCACCCATCTAAATCTTGTACACTATACCGCCAGAGTACATGATCTTGTTCCGCTCGCTAAGCGTCTCAAGCGCCTTCTCGGCCTCGTCGGCATCGAACGGATGCCTCCCAGTTCCACTGCCTAGCCTTGCGTTGACAGCAGCGACGAGTGGCTCGACGTCGGCAGCATCGTTGGCGAACAGAGGACCGTCGATGAGCTGTCCAAGAGCGGTCTGGAAGACCTGCAGACGCGCTGGGGCGAGGTCTTGCGACTCCTGGGAATCGTCCTGTGTGGCTGGGAGCTGTGATTCTGGACGTGACGATGCCGCGCTGACCTGTGACGAGGGTCCGGCTCGGGAGGACTGATTACGGCCTGTGGTGCGTTGTGTTGTGCGTTGCGTCCTAGGTGTGACGCGGTAAAGCTCATCGTCCTCCTCTTCATCGTCGTCAGCGGGTGCCGGTGTGCGTGTGGCCGTCGTTGTGCGTTGACTGCGTGTGGGCGGACCGCCAGTGCGAGGTGTGGCTGTGGTCTCTTGTTCGTCTCCACCCTTGTCGTCGTCGTCGGATTCGCCCTCGTCAGTAGACATGGCGTCAGGATCACGTACAGTCCTCCTACGTTTGCGACGGTCATCCTCAACAACTTCTTTGAAGAGCGCAAAGCGCAGGATCTGCTCAGCGACCTCTGCATCTTTCTGATCGACCCTCTTTGACAGGCGAGACTTTGCGTGTGCAGTCGAGAGACGAATGAGCGTTTCCAGTGTACGTGCAGTGATGGGCGAGGTACGGCGGGTGCCCGCGTCGAGCTCATCGTTACGCAGCGCCGAGTAGGCTGCGACGATGTGGTCTGCGGCGCCCTTGGTGAGGATTGGCTTCTCACGCTTGGCGTACTGGATGTACTTCTTAATGAAGGGAATGCTGAGAACCTCGGTTCGTTTGCTGCTCCCTCGGCCGACTGTGATGGTGACTCCAGAGTGGAGCATGGGGTTGAACTTCTCGTACACTTCTGTCGGGCGATTGGCATCAGCCTCGGTGTCGAGTCCCACACCAAGGAGCTGTGTACCGTCCTCGCGAACGGGTGCACCCTCTTCAGTACCCGCCTGGCGAAATCGGTGCATGCGGAGAACGTGCTCCGAGATCTGTCTGTCGCGAGCGTCCTCGATGTCGTCGGTGACAACGAAGAGCAAATCGAAGCGAGAGAGGAGAGAGTCGGGCAGGGCGATGTTGCGGTGCGGGTCCTTGTGGATGTCGTACTGGCCGAAGATGGGGTTGGCGGCTGCAATAACACTGCAGCGAGCGTTGAGCGAGGTGTGGATACCAGCTTTGGCAATGGTGACCGTCTGCTGCTCCATGACTTCGTGGATTGCTACTCGATCAACATCAGACATTTTGTCGAACTCATCAATACAGACGACACCTCGGTCGGCTAGGACCATGGCACCAGCTTCCAGACGACGCTCGCCAGTCTCCTTGTCTGATGTGACGGCAGCTGTGAGACCGACACCGGAGGATCCTCGACCAGTTGTGGCGATGGCGAGAGGCGCGGTGTTGAGGACGAAGCGGAGCAACTGCGACTTGGCTGTCGACGGGTCGCCGACCATGAGAATGTTTATGTCTCCCCTCAAATGTGTTCCATTCTCGAGGTTCTTCTCCTGTCCTCCTAGCAACAGCAACAAGATGGCCTTCTTGATGTAGTCATGCCCGTAGATGGATGGCGCGAGCGATTGCGAGAGGAGGTCGAATAGCCGCCTGGTCTTTGCGACTTTGTTGATGTTGCGAATGTCGGTGTCGGTGATGCTGACTTGTGCAATACCGCCGCCAGACTTGGAGGAGAGGAGGATGATGTTGTTGGCGAGGATGAGCGTGCGGAAGGTCGAGCTGCCTGAGCCGGCATTGCGGTTGCCGAGCGAGCGGTATATGCCAACGAGCTGAATGCGGTCTCCAGGCTTTACGCGGTCAACGAGGTCGTCGTCCATGATGACGTCGACGGAGCGCGGCAGCTGACCGGCAGGCGCGCGCTCGGGCATCTCTTGGATGGAGATGGTCTGGTGGTCTCTGTAGATACAATAGCCGTACTCAGTGACGAGCTGCTTTTGTCAGTCATCTATTTGCAACTCTCGTGCCTTCCGGAGCTTACAGGGTTGCCCTCCTCGTCTTCTGTGGGGTACACGCTTGTGCTCGCCGCACCTGTTGTCATGGTCTGATCCCTGTACTCGCGGAAGTGGAACTTCTGCTTGGTCTCATTGTAATGCACACTCTTAACCACCTTCGGCCTGACGAGCGAGGTCTTTGTGACGATACCCTCCAGTGACACCATGTGGTTGAGCTGGTTGGAACTGAGCGTGCGCGGGTTGCACGAGTATTCGCCGAAGCTGCCAATGTAGGCGCAGTAGTATACAACATCGGGGCCGGACTCGTGTTTGGGACGGTCGGTGAAGGCTTCAACGACACTCTTGAGGGCGCGGTCGAAAGCCTCTGCAAAGTCAAAGGGCTGGTTGAGGAGGCCGTCGGCCAGCTCGCGGTGGTGGGCTCGGATCTCATCAATGCTGACCTGGAGAAGTCAGTATAAGATCGTATACTGAACTAACGTCTGACCCACTGTGAGTCTCCTCTGTCCTCTGTTGAGCATCACCAGGATATCTGGGCGGTAGCTGCGAAGGTCAGTACCGCTTTGTTTACGGTCTTCCATACGGCGTATTACCTTCGCTGGGAAACATCATCTGCGCAATCGTGAGCATTCAAGTAGTCTGCATATATTGAGGAGGCGTACCTGGGTCCAAGAACTCTTGTGCAAGACGGATGCGCCTGCGCACTTCCTCGTCTCTGATCACCTCGGTCATGGTGGGCTGTACTGTTTGTGAACGCGGAGGGCGGCTACTACACTATCCACCACTTTGCGATGCGTTTCAGTCGACTCGAGCGGTGATTATGGGTATCTCGCAAAAAGCACAGTCGTTGTTGACAGGGTGGATCTGAGGGGTCGATCAGAAACCTGGGCAACGACGCGAGTCGCGCCTGTCGTTTTCGCGTCGGGTCTAACCGCTTCTGGCGCCTTCAATTACTCACCCCCATTGGGCGTAGTCGCTTTCTCAATCCGTCGACTATCGTCTCCGCGATCGCATGCAGCTTCGTTCAATGTCTTACTCGTCGTTCAATGTCATCTCACTCGACGTCTCTCTGATCTTGCCCAACACAACCGGCTGCCCCTGCTCGAGCATGTTCACGAGAGGCCGTGTACTATGTAGCATCCGCACACCTCCGGGCAAGCCTCATGCTCAGAGCGAAGGATGCATGCTGCGGTGGGCAGCTGCATATTCACACAGCCGAGGTGAATGAGACTCACGGAGATAGAATGGAATTAGCTGCCCAAACACCGACGTCACCCCATTTTTGGCGCGTTGCGATTTGTGTTCGCCGTTGAGCATTGGTCTGCCATTGGCCAGCAAGGTGCTCTAGACACAACCATCTGCATGGCTTCATCTCGAGTTCGGTGGTTCTTGACGTAAGTGCGCTGTTGACGTAGGTTAGTGACAGACAGCATAAAGAGCGGTCCGGTCGCTGTACCAGACGACGTACAAAGCTAGATCAGCTGCCCAACACCACATGGCCCCCCGCGTTTTCCTCATCACCGGTACTTCGACTGGCTTCGGAGAAGAGCTAGTCAAGATTGTCCTCAAGAATGGCGACTATGCTGTTGCTACCGCCCGCAACAGCTTAAAGCTGAAGTTCGATGGCGCGAACGACTCCAACAGTCTTATGGTCGACCTTGATGTCACCGACAAGAGCTCGATTGACAAGGCCTTCGAAGCTGCGGTGGAGAAATTTAAGCGCGTCGACGTCGTTGTGAACAATGCTGGCTACGGATTGAGCGGGGTATTTGAGACGCTTTCTGACGCCCAGATAAGGAAGCAGATGGACATCAACTTCTTCGGATTGATGGACGTCACAAGAAAGGCTTTGGAGACCATGCGAGAGCTCAAGACTGGTGGTGTCATCCAGCAGGTTACCTCAATTGGAGGTCAGCTTGGTAAGTACGATCCGTTAGACATTGAGACGACAAGCTTACAGATCAGGTGTACCTACCTTCTCCGTCTACTGCGCGTCAAAGTGGGCAGTAGAAGGCTTCACAGAATCTCTGTCGAGAGAGCTGAAGCCAGAGTGGGGTATCAAGCTCACATGCATCGAGCCCGGAGGCTTCCGAACCGACTGGTCGGGTCGCAGCATGGAGTTCGGCGAAGTCAAGAACGACGCATACGACCACATCGACCCCAAGAAGAACGCACAGGGCAGGCACAACAACCAGCCTGGTGACCCAGTAAAGGCAGCCAAGGTCTTCTACGACTTGGCCGTCATGAAGGACCCTCCTCTTCGCTGCGCGGTCGGCACCGATGCGTTTAAGGCTATGACGGCTAAGATGGGGCAAACGAAGGAGAATGTGGAGAAGTTCAAGGACTGGACAAACAGCACCGATGTCGACGATCAATAGGACTCCTGCTGAGCCCAATAAAAGACCACAATCCATAGAGACAAGTCTGTAAAAGTCGCGCCGGCTTGCGGGCGACTTCAGCACTCCAGCAACGACAATAAACGGATCAAACTACCTCAAAGCCCGATTGATGGCCCACTCTAACAGACCGAGGGCCAGACTCTACACTCACCAATGCATACTGACATAACTGAGCCATCTTCTGACTTACATGACCTCCATAATGCGGCGGATGCTCCCTTAGCCGCGGCATGGCGCCGGAACAGGCATTTAGTACTACGACGCTGCTGTCGTGATCAGAGCCACGTTGTGCCCAACCCGCACTCGCTGCATGTTTCAGATCGACCCCGAGAAGATCTCCCGACCACGCGAGATGTGATCAATAATGACGCGAATCTTATCACCCACCGAGCGCTCGAGCCCGATCATACAAGACTCAAAAATCACTGTCAATCTACATGTTACAGTAAGCCACCAGCCTCTGCTTTTGCACAACACGACACAGCGAGCTCTGATGTATGGCAACATCTACGACATCACATGTGGCGCTACTGTGTAGCCCCAGATTGGCCATGCATCTTCGACAATTTTTGTGCGAATCGGAGACTCGACAGATCGAGACTGGCTTTCGATAGCTACCTACAGCAAATGCTGAGACCGGATGAACACTGAGCATACCAGCGGATGGAGAGTTTCAAGGTATCGTTTCGACGATTGAGCAGTACCTACGGTTGAATGGTCGTCCGGCCGCGACATCTCCAGAGAGCGGCTGAGCCATCTAATGTCAATCATATCGCCCAAATTCCAGAATGTACCCTAGATTGTGACGAACAGCAGCTGACTGTATGCTCACGAGAGTACACTGGCTGCCTCATGACTGACTCAGAGCCTCGAAACAAACAATGGGGCTTACATCTAGGGCTAGAAACAGCATGCACGGCCAAGTCAGCGCCAGCTAATGGATGGCCAACAGATGTACCGCTAGGTTCCAGGACGTCCACTCGGAACCGGCCCCTGTTATAGTACTTCACATACTACGAGGAAAGCGCGATCAGCGCGAACAATCGCACACCTTGGCAACTGCTTGTCGCTCCACCACGGCGTTCATCAGTACTGCGCCAGCGTTCGCAGCCGTACAGCGGCGGCACCGGCATGACCCTGTTTCACAGTTATTTCTGTTATAAGTACAGTGCAATGGTCTTGGTAGCTTGATCTTTTCTGTCTCCCGGTACATCGTGTGCAGCGAGGGTTTGCATCGCATACGCCGCACTCATCCCACTACAGGGCTCTCCATTTTTTTTATAGCCATGGGCATCTCGACAATTGTCACCCTCGCAACCTTTTTGCCTCTTCTCTTCCGCTTCGGTCTGCCCTCGCCAATACCTGAAGGTGATACAAACAACTACTACCCTTCTCATTATCCTGATCCATATCCATGCTCCGGGAACAATTCCTGGATTCACGATCCCAGCATTATCTATGAGGACGGCACGTACTGGCGCTTCTCCACAAGTGGCAACATAGCTGTCGCTACTGCTCCTGCAATGAAAGGCCCATGGACGTACAAGGGTCCTCTGCTACCAAAGGGCACGAAGATTCGTGTCGCTGATAACCAAGATATATGGGTAAAGGATCCAATTACCGGTCCCCAGCAGCAGCGCTGACACACGCAGGCCCCATCAGCATCCAAATTCAATGACCAATATTTCGTCCACTACTCCGTAAGCACCATGGGCTCACAAGACTCTCAAATCGGCGTTGCCACCTCTTCCTCCCTGTCAGGGCCCTGGATAGACCACGGCTCTCTCAACCTCCCGCAGCACCCCACATACAACCTAATCGATCCTTCTATCTACCAGGATTCGCCTGACGACACTCTCTACTTCACATTTGGCTCCTACTGGTCCGGGATCCAGCAATTCGCCCTCCCCTCACACGAATATCTGATGGCCGTCGACGGCACACAGACACGCAGCGAAGACATACACACGATTGTGACCAACACAACAGTCGCCGCTGCAGTCGTCGAAGGCGCAGTAACTTTCAAGCACGGTGGTTGTTACTACCTCTTCTTCTCCGTGGGCCTGTGCTGCAACACACCGACCGTTGGCCTCGCGGCTCCGGGCGACGAGTACAGGATCGCCGTATGTCGGGCTGAGAAAGTCACCGGGCCGTATGTTGATCGTGACGGGAGGGATTGTAGACAGAGTGGAGGCTCGACGGTCTTGGCAAGCCATGGGGATGTTTATGCGCCGGGCGGCCAGGGGGTTTTGGGAATGGATGATGGGTGGGATGTGATGTACTATCATTATGTGCGGCCGAGTGTGGGATATGCGGCGGATCAGTTCTTTTTCGGGTGGAACTATTTGGAGTGGAGAGAGGGCTGGCCTGTAGTTGTCTGAGGCCTCTGGTAATGCTGGCGATTGAGGACGACAACCTTTGAAGGCTGGCGGGAATGGAGGCTTGAAGTGAGTGCTATCTTTTGGCTGAAGGAGACATTCGACTATACTGTATTGCTCAGCGTTCCTTGTTACATTCATCGTTTTCATGACGGTATATCAAGAGGGTAGTATTTAACACTGTACGATAAGCTATCCCTAGTAAAACCCACACTGCTCCTTCTTACAAGCTCGACTTTGCTGCAGATTAAAGACGAAAGCGCTCGTATAAGTTGTAAGCTAGTGCCGGTACGAGATCGCTTCGTGCACTAGATTGCCGGTATAGTGAGCTGCATACTTAGACGCCAAAGAGCACGCGCTGATCATGTTGCATCCGCGGAGGGTTCTGTGGCTCGTCGTGGCTCATGGTGGCTCAACCCGGGATATGTGCTCTCCGTAAGTTAAAGCGGGGATCTGGCAGAAAGCTTATTTCGAGCGGACGAAGCTTGGTCTTTCATTCGCAATCAATTGCGGCTTTCAGAGCCTGCGTTCAGCCTCAAATGAGCGCCGTCGGTGATGACAAGAGCATCTACCGTGTCTGTCCATACGTCTGCCTTGTTAGGATGAACAGGGCAGAGCTCGCGTGCTCCAGCCCCTCCAGATCCTTCATGCGTCCCGCTAGTCCAATCACATGCAGTGCTCGAAATCATGCCGCGCAAGGATCGGACCGAGTTCCATCCAGAGACGTTCGATCTCTCGCAAGCGCGTTCGACAACATCTGTAAGAACCACACGCAGGGTGCGCGCGAAAGACATAACAATTGTCGTGGCAGCGCGCGGTAGATTGACACATGAAACGATTGCGAATCTCATAGAATAGCCCTAGATGCGGCGCCAGCCTGAGTGTGGCTAAAGTTCCTTGGCGCACGTAATCCTTCCTCTCCCGCTCACGCGTCGCTGCAAAGACTCGACAGTGAATACCGGTTTGCCCTGTGCTACACCAGTGTACAAGACCGGTTCCTGTGCTGCGATCTTCTTCACTGCAAAGCCTCGCCCCTCAGCCTCTTTCTGCGCCTCAATTTTCGCATTGCGCCGTCATTAGCACCGCAGCGTTCGTGCGCCTCAAATATGTCTGATGCGGGGAAGCAGAAGGGACTGAAGAAGTTCTTCCACCCTTTCAACCACAAGGCCAGCGAGAAACTCCAGGAGCTGCAGGAGAAGCTCGAACATACTAAGCTGAGAGAAGCGCACATCAAGGCTGTGCATGTCAGCCACAAAGTGGGCAAGTTCAAGAATCTGTTCAACACCAACCACCGTCACGACGAGGACCATGAGCAGGCGACCGATGACAAGCGCACGAGGGTCGGAGAGAACCATCGCTTCCATTCATTTGCGCCGGAAAGAGAAGGCAACATAGTGAAGTGGTATGTTGATGGTCGAGACTACTTTTGGGCTGTTGCCGAGGCACTGGAGAAGGCGCAAGAGACCATCTACATCGCAGACTGGTGGTTGTCGCCTGAGCTGTTCCTCAAGCGCCCTCCTTTCTATAATCAGAAATGGCGACTGGACCAGATTCTCAAGCGCCGGGCGCAGGCTGGTGTGAAGATCTACGTTTCCGTATACAAAGAGGTGTGCAAATCATCGATTCAAAATGCGCGCGAAGCTGACGTATCCAGGTTTCCGCTGCACTTACATGTAACAGCCAGCACACCAAGAAAGCGCTAAGTGGTCTCATCAAAGAAGGCGAGCCAGGGTATGGGAATATCAACGTGATGAGACATCCGGATCATAATGTATTTGAGAACGCCTCTGATATGACCTTCTACTGGGCGCATCATGAGAAGTTTATTGTGATCGACTACGCTATGGCATTCATTGGCGGTCTCGACTTGTGCTATGGGCGATGGGACAACAAGCAGCATCCGCTGGCGGATGTTCATCCCTCTGGAATCCAGAACCAGATCTTCCCCGGCCAAGACTTCAACAACAATCGCATTCTGGACTTTGAGGGCGTTGAGGACTGGAAGTCGAATAAGCTGAACAAGCTCGAATATGGTCGCATGCCATGGCACGATGTCGCTATGGGCGTCATTGGCCCGGCTGTGTATGATATCGCCGAACACTTCGCCCTCCGCTGGAACTTCGTCAAGCGCGACAAGTACAAGCGTGATGAGCGATATGACTGGATCACGATGGAAGGACGAGAAGGCGAGGACGAGGATTTGATTGGCGTACAAAGACCGAAGTTTCCCGTTGGGGACTACGTACATCACCCGAAGACACCGCTCTCCCAGAAGAACCTGGACAACCGCGGCACAGTACACGCTCAGCTAGTACGAAGTAGTTGTGACTGGAGTATGGGCATCTTACCTGAGGAGCATAGCATCCAGAACGCCTACATTGAGCTCATCAGGAACGCACAGCATTACGTGTACATCGAGAACCAATTCTTCATAACCAACACACGGAAAGACGACAGTAGCCCTGTCCACAACCAAATTGGTGCTGCCATTGTCGAAGCTGTTGTGAAAGCCGGAAAAGAAGGTCGCAAGTTCCGAGTCATCATCGTCATTCCAGCTATCCCGGGTTTCGCTGGCGATCTCCGAGACAACGCTGCCGCCGGAACTCGTGCGATCATGGACTACCAATTTAAGAGCATCTGCCGTGGCGAGGACAGTATCTTTGAGCGGGTCAAGGCGCAGGGAATCGATCCTAACGAGCATATCTTCTTTTTCAACCTTCGATCGTACGACCGCATTAATGTCACTCCCACGCTTAAGAAGCGCGAGGAGGAATCAGGGACATCGTACATGGATCTCGAGCAAGCTGAGATTGAGGAGCTAGAAGCACCCCTCGAAAACGGTGAAGCGGCAAGAGCGAAAGCCAAGGAGCTTAGAGACAAGTTCATGGGCCAGGAAGTTGACGTCGGGAAGGGCGATCAGGGAGGGGTTATCGATCCTGACTCGATAGCAGATGACGCTATGCTCAACGACAAGAAGCCCAGCAACGAAGAGTGGGAAGGCGACCCCGAGGAGGAGAAGAAGCATTTCTTCCAGGAAGAGCTCTACATCCACGCTAAACTGTGCATCATCGACGACAAGTACGTAATCTGCGGCTCCTCCAACATCAACGACCGCTCGCAGCTGGGCCTGCACGACTCAGAGCTGTCGATCGTTCTGCAAGACAGAGACGAGATTGATATCCAGATGGATGGGAAGCCCTACAAAGCCGCCCGCCTTGCACACGACCTGCGCTCCAACCTCTGGCGCGAACACCTGGGTCTCCTCCCCGCGCAAGCACTCGAAGCCTCCGATGACCCCAACGCACAGCCTCCCGGCGAGAATTCCCCCAACGACCCCCAGCCCGGGCCGGAAGCAGAGTTTGTCGCCGACCCACTCTCAGAAAAGCTCTGGGACGAGTGGTGCGGCCGCGCAACCGTCAATACAGAAGTCTTCCGCACGCTCTTCCACGCAGATCCCGACGACAACATCCTCACCTTTGAGGACTACGATAACTTCACGCCGAACCCGAAGAAGGACAAGGAACACAAGCAAGGTCACCTGTACGATATGGTGCGCCCGGTGGCGGAGATCAGACAGGAGTTGGATCGTATTCAGGGCCATCTCGTCTGGATGCAGTTGAGGTTCATGGAGAAGGCGGATCTGGCGGAACGTGGCTTGCAGGTCAACTCGTTCACGGAGTCGGTCTACACATAGACGAGAGGTTGTAGATGTAGAGCAGCGCTGGTGTGTTGGTCTGCTTATGTTTGTACGTGGAGATGATATTACGTGCTATGATGGAGCCTGGGTGAGCTGGCGGTGTGTTGGCGTCTGGATTCCCTATTGTCGCTAATATCGATACCGCATAATTCAAATATTGTCGTGACACGGTACGTCCCCGGCTGTAGTTTCAAGTCGGATATCCAATAACATCCGCACAGAAGACGAAAAGACCGCTGTGACCGCTCATCTTCAAACGCCAGCCATCTCTACACCTCGTCCCCACCCGCACTCATCCTGAACGCCTCTTCTGCCGCTTCACGCCCTCAGCAGTCTTCTCCTGCTCCTCGGCCAACCACCTACTCCTGCGCCTCGTCGCCCGCGTACTCATCTGCAATGTCTTCTCCGCATTCTGGACGTCCCTCCTCTCTGCCAGCGGTCCAGCAAGGACCTGCGCAGGAGTTAGACCGTGCCACCAGTCCGCGCCGAAGCCACCTCGGAAAGGTGCAACGGGAGGAGGTGCGCCGACTGTGTAGACCTCGGTGATGTCTGTACTGCGAGCGAGCTGTGCGTGGCCGGCGCGGACTGCGTCGCGGAGCATCAAGCAGGATGGTGAGGGTGGGGAGGCAAGCGTGGTTATGTTGCACAATGTGATGAGAGGGCGTGGTGGCGTGGAGATGAGGCATTCGCGGGTGTAAGTGACGAACTCTGCGATTTGGTCGTCAGTGTACCACTCCCGGATCGAGTCAGGATGCCCAAGCTCCTGGTCAGTCTCGCTGTCAAACTCGCGGTTGTCTTGCTCGCATTGATCAAATTCAACTCCGCTGTGTTCAGCTTGTAGTCCTCGCGGAATCCCAACATACTGGAATCCGCGCCGTAGATGGACCGGGTTCAAGGCGATATTGAAGACTAGCATTTTTGACCCTGTCTCAGGTTTGTCTCTCGATTTGCGAGATGGGTTGGTGTCGACGCCTTGCTGATTGTCTCCAGCTCCTTCAACTTCGGCCGAGGGAATGGGTATTCCAATCCGGAACTGGGAATACTGTGCTCCGCGCCGCAAGTTGATAGGATTCAGAAGCGTCTTGAGGCTTAAGAACCCAGGTTCTGACATCTCGTGCAGTGTTGAACAGTGGATGTCGATGACTGAGTTGCCGATGTGTGGTTGACTTGCGCGCTTACGGAGACGGTGCGCGATCGTCCGTTGTGTAAGCTTCGACATGAGTGTATAGTGTTCGATCTATACTATATTGTGTGGGATGAATGTTCGGACAGACGAGATGCACAACGCACTGCAGCCTGCACTCACGATGTCGCTAGTGAATGTATATCCTCAAGCTCGCGGAAAGCACCAGCTACTCCCAACCACTCATTGTTTCCTGCCAAATACTTGCATTACTCCTTCCTCTCGCCAGTGACCATGCATTTCACTCACTCCGTTGCTTGTTTGCTGGCTGCTGGCAGCCTTGCCTATTTCCAGCTCGGAACATCCTTGCACATCAGCAGTACCAACAACAACAGCATTGCATTCAACTTTGGCGCCGCGTCAGGAATGAGGCTGGATACCACCGTCCTCTGCTCCAGTCTGGTCGGCTCCCGTACCAGCCTTTAACGCTCCACCGTCTGCCGTCGCAACTTCCATCTCATATTCCTACACAAACATGCCGTCCGCGACTGCTTCAATCGACGCGCAGGAAGACAGCATATATCACGTACCACGAGATCGATTTGGAACTATAGCAGTTCTTGCAACCTGCGCTGTGATTGGTATCGTAATGTTTGTCATCACGGTATGGGCTTTCATCGCACATCGCAACGGTCGCCGCCCATGCGCTTGTTTCGGTGGCTGTGGTGGACGCAAAAAGAATTCTCGGAAATATAGAGACGGCTCTGTGAATTCAGAATTGGCATTTGCTGGTGCTGGTCGCCATTTTGATCGACGGCCGATGTCCATGCAGCCGCAACCGTTCACCATGGCGGCACCTCAGCGACCTCGGCCGGTGCGGTCTCAGATGCGCGGTCAATCGGACGCTGATTGGGTTGCTATGTTCAAAGGGACTAAATAGCTGAGTTTGTTCGGTATTTTCTCAGATCTAGAAAAGTTACTGCGTTTATCCTTCCCAAAACTCCTCACAGCCCGTGACTTCCTGTGACTCAAGTGCATACAGAGATAGAGAGAGCCGCCACTTGTTCACTTTGACTGCTAAATTTTCGTGCTACGTCTACGGTGCAGATTCTCGCGTTTTTGACTATTGATTGCTTTGCACGCCTAAGGCAACACTGTGCATTCACACAGCACGACGATGTACAGAAACACACTCTAATATCCTAGTTATATCATGTCTCACATTCACCGTTGAAATTCCTTGTTCAACTCACCACTACTCAGACTGTCTTTGTGCTCAGACACGATATCTCACGCAGGTCTTTCTAACTTCAACTGGCCGACCACAGCGCCTGGAGCCCCGAATCTGCCCAAATTTACTTTGGATCCAGCACCTACACTCTCAACAGTCCCGTTTATGGGGGCATCCACCATAAATCTGTCAATGGCAACACAGCCAGCGGGAACTGGCGTGATGAAGACTGTTTATACCATGTTGACTTCAACCGTTCCCCATGACCCAGCTGTCGATACTGCAACGGCCTCGCTAATCTATCAGACGAAGCCACTGGGCTTTGTAGCGCCAGTCCGACCCACCAAGATCCTCACACCCGTACCCAAGATAACTGTAGCAGCTTTCGAACTCCACACGCCCCCGGCAGGTCTTGCTGTGTCCAACATCGCAGAGCCACTGCCTGCAAAGTCGAACTCCAGTCCAACGCCAAACCCGTCGTCAACAGATGCCAGCACCACCTTTGCCTCGGACAACTTTAGCACAAAGATCACAGGCATCGTTGTCGGCGCGGTAGTACTTGTGCTTCTCGTCGGTCTCGCACTGGCATGCTGGCGAGCGCGCCGGTCCAAAGTCCAAGACTCTGAATCAGCACCCGCAGATGTGGCTGCCGTGCTCGACGCAAAGCGACAGCGTGCGGAATATCTAGGCGTGCAGCGATGGTCTCGCTGCGATATCCAGGCGAACATGCACCGATTTCAAGCAGTCCGGGCCAGCATGGCTGCAAGGGGGGCCGCAAAGGAGGGTGGAGTTGTAGAGGCTGAAGGTGAGGTGTTTGAGATGCAGGAACCGCTTGTGCAGTCCCGTCGACCTTCGGGTCTGGCGATGCATCCGCCGACGCCTGTGATGTCGGAGTACAAGAAGGGTGATGGGAAGGATGGAGGCCGAGCTTTGTAGGCAAAGATGTGACGTGCACTGACGCTGTGAGAGGACTGTATGCACATGATCGTAATTTGTCCAACTAGAACTTACTGTGTCGATTGATCCACGTCTTGTCACCCAGCTTGTATGTCGCTCGTTCCTACAAGTTCCACGCGTTGCTGGACTTTGACAGTGCTATCGATATCTGTCTGCTCGCATTGTGACCGCACAACCACTGTCCCAACGGCTGCTCATCTACGATACGTGTGTATCCATTATTCACGCTCGCATACATGACCGCAAATACGCATCCCACCTTCTCCCCACAATCAGCAAACACCAAATTATCAACCAACCAAACAACCACCTAAACTACACACCATGTCCTCCTCAACCCCCGTTGAAGCCCCAGACCCCAAAATTGATCCCATCACCCTCCCCCTGCTCATCGCACTATGCATCTTCACGCCCTCGCTGCTGGCCATCACGGGCTACTTCATCTATCTGCACACGGTGAAGAAGTGCGAGGACAAGAAGCAGCGGGCGAAGCAGGACGACAAGGCTGCTACCGGGATCGTGAGGGAGATGCAGCCGCGAGGTGGAGTGGCAGGTGCGTAAGTTTATTGATGTGCCTTTGTTGAAGTGAGGGGGAGGGTAGGGGGGGGAGGGGGGTGTAGTACAGCAGTATGTATAAAATGATGCTGAATAAAGACTTGTTCAGCAGATGATTGATGCAGAAATAAGGTGGAGAAATGTAGTAGAATGATGTAGAGACAAGGTAGACGGTACGATAGTAATGATGTAGAGACAAGGTAGACAGTACGATAATAATGATGTAGAAGCAAGGCAGACAGTACAATAGTAATGATGTAGAAGCAAGGTAGACAGTACAATAGTAAGGCATTCCGTACAACATTATGCCCAATGAAGATTTGTTCAGCAGAAAATTAGGTCGATCTGCGTGATCCTTGACACGCCATCTTATCCGGAGTGGACGACAGTAGCGCTTCGTCCGGGAGATTGAGTGGCACCACCAGCGAATGAGCATAACATGTCCAAGGATCAAGGCGGTACAGCAGAAGAAGGAAGTTCGCTGTCGTCAAAGGGTATGTGACTTGCAAGTCTAAAGGCCACATTAAAGCTACACAAATAGTCTCCAACGCTGCAGGACCTTGCACCCTACAACCGACCCGTCGCTCTGCGGTCCACATCCCTCGTCTCCCGCATCTCCTCAAGCATGACGCGGTTGAACTGCTCCCACCCATCGAGATAAACGTGATGCCCCGCCTTGTGGATGATGACGACCTTGGCCTGAGCCTGGTCTTTCTCCCTCTGCTCTCTGCTCTGTGCCTTCAGGACGCGCTCGCGCTCCTCGCTGATCCTCTGCTCCGCTGCGTGGCCGCCCGCGACGTCCATCCAGTCATTCTCGCCGTACATGAAGACGACCGGGAATCCGTTCTCGCGGGTGGGTTGCGAGCCGGAGTGGGAGAGGGAGACGGACTCGGGCGGCGTGTCGCCGTCGACGCTGGGCGTGGCGTGCGGGCCGATCCACTGCCGTCCCAGGCCGTGGATGCGGCGGATGAGGGGCGAACGCGCAAACGCGCCGGGCGCGAGCAGGTAGCTGAGGGCGTACTCGCTGCTGCCCCGCTGGCGGAAGAGTGCGTAGCTGTAGTCGTGCAGCGCCTGCGCCTCTTCTTCCGGCAGGTGGCTGAAGCGTCGACTCGTCCACCCCGACACGAGACGCGGGCCCAGCGGACCACTCCAGCGCACAAAGGTGAACGGGGAGAGCATGTTGGCTTCCCAGAGGTACGTGAGCCAGCCAGGCATGCGACGACGGGGTGGCTGGTTTGGCTTCTCGGCCCTCTTCTTCGCTTGGTTGAGGAAGTTGTTGTTGTCTGCGGTCGAGGGCGGGACGCCGTTGCGGGTTGAGGCTGCGTCCTGGGTGAATTCGTTGGCCATGGTGGAGTCGCTTGGATCGGGCATTTCTTCGCTGACGGCGTATGGGTCCTCTGGTATCCCCACGGGACTCGCGAGGATGAGCTTGTTGAGGTGGCCTGGATACTTCAGGGCGTAGGCAACGGCGAGGTAGCCGCCCAGACTGTGGCCCAGCAGCGTGAACTTGTCCAGCCCACGCTTGATGCGCCACTCCTCCAGGGCGTCGATGAAGAACGACTCGGCTTCGGCGATCTTACCGTCCTTGTCCTTGGCGTGGATCTTGAACGTCGAGCGGCTGCTGCGGCCCATGCCGAGCAGGTCCAGCGCGTACACCTTCCAGCCTTCGGCCCGCGAAAGGCCCTCAAAGTTGCGGTAGAAGAAGCCCAGCCCGGCGCCGTAGCCGTGCAGCATGACGAGGTGCTCCTCGACGTCCTCGCCCAGTCGCTCGACGCTGAACTCGTTCAAAGCGCGCCCCTTGCCGCTCAGCTCGACCATCTGCGAGTTCCACCGGCGCGGGCCGTACGGATCCGCGAGGGCGTCAGTCGTGGTGTGGTCCTCCGACTTCTTCGGCGGCGCTGCGAGATCCGCCGTTGACGGTGACGTCGACGGTGACGTCGACGTCGGCGCTGACGCCGAGCCAGTCTGTGTGTGTGTCGGCGGCCTCTGCAGGTAGGGAATGAAGGACATGACGCGGTGCTCCGTGGCCATGGGGGACAGGCCGGCCCACTGTCGCACGTTAGGGGAGCGCCCACCGTCACACCAGGCAGGAATCGCAACTCACCCACTGCGAGAAGCCGTCGCTCGCGCTCAGCGGGAACCACTTTGCGATGCGGCCCGGCGCCTGTCCCTCGGCCCGCTGCGAGGCGAGCGGGCTCTGCTGCGTCTTCGTCCTCAGCTCGCCGCTCGCCTCGTCCTCGTCGCGCGCAGCCACGGTGCTACTGTTCTTCTCGCCCATCTTAATTGGGGTGCTCAGACTGAGGCTGATGTAGCTCGCGCCTCCAAAGCCAACCGTCTTCTGAAGCGCGCCACGTGCGGCGGGTCTTGTCCGTAAGTACAGCCTCAGCATGCGTAGCTGGGCAAAAAGAGAAGCCGCGCTGGAAATGGTGGCGGTCTTGCGTTGCAGGACACCTCGAACGCTGGGGCGCGTTGCGAGGCGCTGCACGGCACTTTTGTATGTGCTGACGTACTGGAGCGATGCGGCGGACGACGGGCGGCGAATCGCTGGTTATGCGCCCGTGGTGATTATGGCAACCGGCCTTAGGCGTTAAGAAACCGGACGAGTCTCGCCGCTGCGCCGTCCTGAGAGCTGCTGCCTGGGAATCTGTCTGGAAACTGCCCGCAGCCCGTGGCCAGTAATCGAGCGTCGTGAGGGAGGTCGCAGTCGAGCAGAATGTTGTGCATCACAGCAGGAGGGGCACTGCCTTGAGGGGCATCGAGTCGTATTGAAAGTACCTGGGGCGCCGGCGCGTTGAGGAGGGCACATACATATCGGCGCCGTACCTTCCTTTCAACATTGCCCAGGTGACCTTCAATTGGCTTCTCAAATGCATCTCTCAGACGCGTTTTGGCCGACTTGCCCCACCTCGCGATGCGGTGAACGCGTGGTGGCGCCTCAGATTGCTGTGTTCTTGGTGTGGTGGCATTAGCGCTGCTGATTGGACAGCATTCAATTCACGGGAAGGTGCAACCCGGCCCTTGCAACGAGACATTTAGATGGTTAGTGCAATCTACACAGCTGACGGCAAGGATAGTCAATCATTAATCGTTTAGGTATCATTACACGTTGGTAGTACCCGGCATGCAGCATGTGCAGAGCCTCATCTCACTCCATGTAAAGATCTGCACCACTCGAAACCCCAGACGTCTCAACCCTGTCCGTCGTCGCACATGTGCCGATCACACAGTACAGCCCACTTGCACCTCTGACATCTCCGCTTCAGACTCCCGAGGACGAGAAAGCGGCGACGAGGTGCACGCTGATGTCCGCAAACAGCACACAACGCCTGGACCCTTGGCGTGCGAAGCGAGAGTGGGTCCGGGGTCTGTAGCCTGTAATCTGTAACCCCGGTCTCCCGAGGTAGTGGATGCGAGATCTCCAAGAACGCATTCCTGCCATGCGCGTGGTGCCGGAGGCGGCGGCTTCAACACCAACGCCACCGTCGTGAACAAAGGACATGCACCTTGGCGGAGCGAAGCGCGAGCTTGGCGAACATGCCGGAGTTGGCGGATCTGTGCTGGTGCTGCTCTTGGCGTGGTTTATGTGGTGCTGCGTGCATACGAGCGATGCTGCCGAGAATCCGTGGTCGGGTTGCCACCGAGTGAAGCAGTGTCCTGGCTTCACATTCATTTCGGAGTTCGGCGAAATGAGAATCGGAGCTTCGCTGGCAACAACGTGTCCAGAGGATCCAGTGGAATCGCGAAGAGCCATGATTTCGGTTTGTTAAGGCGGTAGTATGGTTTCGGTTTGTTGTTGTAATGCTGTATTACAAGCACGCGGTGATGTGGTGCTGTGAAGTCCAAATACCTTCACACCATCTGCTTGAGCTCCTGCACAACAGGAACGGTGGGGGGTGCTGTCAAGTCCACATCCCTTCATACCATCTGCTTGGGCTCCTGCACAACAGGAACGGTGCTGTTGCTGCTCCACTGGCTCTGGATGCTCTCCCTGGCGTGGTGCTTCTTCAAAGTTCCCCTGTTGTCTCTCGGTCGCTCGCTGGAAGATCCACTCTCGGTCCTCCAGGCGGGATCTGGTCGCTGCGGCATGGTGTAGTCGTGCTTCTCATTCAGCGTGTCCGCACCGGAAAGGCTCTCGACTGCTGCAGGCTCCGATTTGGCTGTCTTGCGGCGCATGCAGCAGCAGTTGCGTCCGCTGCTGTAGAAGAAGAGCAGCCATATGCAGACCCAGATGAGGGCGATGACAGGGATGATGCCGACCACGACAAGCACGGCGATGGCGGTCCCAGATATGCCTCCAGTAGAGCCTCCTTCGAGGAAGCGAGGTGCAAGGTGGGCGATGGCAGGCATGTTGTTTTAGGACTTGGAATGTAGAGGTTGCAAAAGTAGTAGCAACAACGATATGATATTGAAAGGTCGGCGGCTGCAACGCTCTTGAAGTGGATATAGCAGTGACAGGTGAAACACAAGCGAGTGGAGGTTTTGTTGAAAGCGGGTCTTGGAACAGCAAATCCGAGAACAAAGGCCGTCTGTAAATTTTACGAGAGCATGGATGCAGACCGCAGTGAAGCGCGCAGGTGGGCTTTGTATCCGGTGCGTCCGCTTTGGGACGTCATGAGAGGGTCAAAAGCAGGTGACGCACCAGGCCACCGAGACATCTTGGAACCCGCCAGCGCTTGGAAGTAGCGGGCTTCGTAAGATCCTTGGCTCACACCGTCGCATTAATCATGCATTGCTTTTGCAGACGTCGCGTCGTTGCCGCTTTGCTACGAACCGCGAGCCTGAGGCTGTCTGCGTTACAAAATGCTGGCATAGCCTCTGAGAGCGCGAATAGCTGAGGCGGCTCGCTGTGTGTTGCACGACGATGTTCCTCACGAGCACGGAAGAGTCGGTAAGTGATCGTATAATTACGCAAATAGACCTAGACCCAAGACCCTACAGGCGCGTGGTCGAAGCCGTCAATCCGAAAGTCTGGAGAATCGCAAGGGCGATTGGATTCCATGTCATCATCTGGTTGTGGTCTAGAAGAATGTAGTTAGCCTCTTGCGGTTAGATGCCGTGCCGGCTGCCGCGAAGTGAAGTCATTGTGCTTGTGCGCTTTGAACCTTTCGTAGGCGGTGTCGATGCCTTCAAGAAGTTCAAGAACATCGGCATCGTTTGTCTTCGGAAATAGAAGATGCGAACTGACGCAGTCTGGAGCACGGTAGGTTCGGCAAAGTTTTTAGTAGCCTACGGAAGATCGCCAGGGACATCTACGATCTCCAAAAGCGATCTCGAAGCGCGCCACGGGCACGCCAACTCCTTGGGCTTCTTTGTAATGGGCGGGGTATTGCTTACCTCCATGCTTGGCTATGAGCTTTTCGATGCGCGCGGTATCGGTTTCCCAGACTTCCTGCCTGCCAGCCTCGCCCAGATCAGCCGCCTCGTACTTTGGCGTTGGCGCACTCCAGGCATCGTCATCGGTACTTGGTTCGGTTGCAGCCCGGAGTGTGGACTTGAACAGCTCCTCGGTCTGATTCCAGGGCATGGTGCTGTCGTTCTCAGCATGCACGAAGACTAGTCGCAGTCTGGAATACTTGTCTGTTGGTCATGAGTTAGTCGCAATCCGGCCTTCAGTAGTCTATGACACGCAGCACCACAATGTGTACCGTATTCACAACTTCAAGCGGCTCTTCAACTTACGGGTAAGCGCAGCCAAGCGGACATCAGACCGCCACGTGTCTCTGATTTTGCGACTGAACCAGCTCTGGATAGCTGGGATCATCTTGACGGGAGCGAGCACTGGCACGACGCCACCGATCGAGTACGAGGCGAACGCATTGCCAGCGTTCGTGAAGGCAGCACACAGGATGATGCCTGCAAATTCCACGCCCAGCTCAACGTACTGCAATGCTACGGCCGCTACGACCGCTGTGCCTAGTGAGTGGCCGAGAAGAACAATGCGCTGTGGAGGGATCATTGCGACATTCAATGCCCAATCGACCACAGCCTCTGCATCATTTCGAAGTCCGGCTTCTGAAGGCACGCCCTTTGATTTCCCAAACCCGCGATAGTCAAACGCGAGCACAAAAACCTTTTCGCACGCCCCAGATGCATATGAGCGGTACTCTTCGGTGCGTCTCTGCTGCCCAAGTGTCGCCGCGTTGCCGTGAAAGTATATCAGCAGCCGCGCTTCCGGATCATCTCGCAATAGACGGAACGCAAGCTTCTCGGTGACATCGTCGTCCCCAGACCGCTCGTTTAGAAAGTCGCGCAGGTGTCTGGCATATACACCAAGCGGTGCGACGAGCCACGTAAACAGTCTGTGACCATCTTTGGTTGCAATGCGGAAAGGCATGACCTGGTTTTCTACGGCGCATGAGCGTTGAACATCATAATTCATAACTGGTTCTCGTGCACGCACTCAGAAACCCAGCTCTTTCAGGCTCATCAAGCCATTTCCCTGGGAACAAGGTGACCCAGTGTAGGTACAGCATTTCTGGGTATCCTTTAGTTTTGCACGTGACTGAATCTGCAGGACTGCTGCGCTCACTCACGTCTCTGTATCCATGGTAAGCAACAAAGCAGGGTGGCAGGCAGCCATATGCAGCTGATGAACGAAAGTGTCACGGCGATGCCGCTGCCGATACCCATGTCGACAAGAGTGTTGATGCAGGGAAAGAGCTCAGTGGATTGGGGCCGCAATTACTTCTTTGGGCGAGGCCGGTGTGCTTGGCATCCGACCACCGAGGCTACGAAGTACTTCCGTTGCTGCATTCCGTCCCTCCTTCATCATCAACACAGAGCATTGCATGATCATGCCGTTTTTCCATCACTTTGCGTCGGTCGGCCTGGTTCAAATTCCGAATAGGGATCCGCACTGAAGTACCAAAACAGCGCTGTTAGCAAAGTGACCGACTACGCGCAGCGAATTAAAGTAAAGATCTATGCTCCTATAGTTACTCGTGTACGAAGCCTCCGAGGATTTGATCGCAATAACAAACCCAAGTAAGAGCTGCAAGTAGAGCAAGCTGTCGCGGGGACGCACTTGCTACATTCTCAATAAGCGAAACTGATGCGTATTATCGCCCTCGAAGATCTAACCTGGATCATGTCACTCCGGCATGTAGAGCAAGGACATAAACCTGGGTTTTCTGTTCCATCAAGGATACCCACAACACTGACATGTACGTAGACATATAGCAGTTCGCATGACACCAACCTCCCAATCCAACACAGTCACCTAGCCAGAGCATCACAGTCAAAGCAAACATGTAAAATCCACAATCAAATACTCCCATGATACGACTGCGTCGCAAGACTAAACCGCTCCTTGAACCGCGACCCGCCGTCCCTTCGCGGCGCAGCCGCTGCCTTCTTCTCGGCAACACGCGCGTGCAACCCCACCGTCTTCGCGCTCGCCCTGGCCGCCGCGCGCGCAACCACAGACCCGCGGGTGTGGGGGTCATCAGCAGCACTGAGCCAGACGACAATCTCTTCCATTTTGCGCGCGCGCTCGCAGTCTTCGTACATCCCGCTGAAGTCAGGGTTGCAGAGTGCCGGGTCGAAGGGGGGCGCGTGCTCGTCGCGGCTGGCTGGCGCGCGGAGGTGGGCAGGCGTCGACTTTCGCACGGGCTGCGGGACGTGGATTTGGGCCTGCTTGTGCTGCATCTCCCAGTCCGCCGACTCTTCATCGATGGTCGCTTCGCGCGGTACCGCGCTATCCGCACGCCGCGTCTGCGAGTGGCGGAGCCGCTTCGGCGCGCGATGCTCTTGCGTCGACTCCGGAGTGAGGCCCTCAAGGCGCGCCAGCGACTCGGCGCGCTGGCGCATCTTGTAGTCGTTCGCCTGCGGGTCGGGCGGGCTGCCCTGTTTGAGATCGTAGACACGCGGCCGCGAGACGTGCTTCGGGCTGTCGTTGTTGTGCTTGTCCAGCTCGTGCTTGGTGTGCGGCCATTTCGAACGTCTGCGGCGGCAGCGCAGGAAGATGATGAAGCAGAGTCCTAAGAACACAATCAGAGCGGAGAGGGTGATGACTAGTAGAGCCACGAGTGCGATGGGGGGAGTGTGCGTCTTGCCGACTGCGAGAGGAGAGCCAGACGCTGGGGGTAGAGGTGGGATGCCGGTCGCGAGAGGAGCCTCGAACGCTGAGGGTAGCGGCAGAATGCCTGTCACGAGAGCAGCCTCAAACGCCGAGGACAGCGGCGGGAAGCCGATTGACGTTGGAAGGGCGGCCAGGGAATCCGCCAGCGTCGATGCTATTGAAGTCGAAGCCGCCGGCGAGATCTTGGTGGCGAGCGTTGTGACAGTCGACGCGAGGAGCGTATAAACATCTGTGTGAAACACGGGGACATTGATGATTGAGGGCTCGAGAGAGGCCATGTTTGTTTCTTGCTGTAGGTTCTGGACGCGGGTTGTCTGCCTCAGTGAGTGATCTGCCTCCAGACGAAAAGGGCAGCGAGCCGTGATAACGACCGGCGGCTGGATAAAAACGCAGATTCTACATTGTTGGACAGTCGTTGGGCGAGGGCAGTGTTGGTGTACGTCCTTGAACACTGCCATGCGCACAATGCATCTGAACAGCAGCCTTCACACTGACACCATCCACCATCCACCTTTTCACAGCGCGCACTCAACACCTCTATTCCACCATATCCCCCCTTGAGATTCCCCCCCAGCACATTCCCACCCACACAGCACCGCAAGCCCACCATGCCATCAAACCTCTCAACAACATCAAACCTCTCAGCAACACCAAACCTCCCAGCAACACCAACCCCCATCCTTCTAACCTCTCAGCTCAACATTTCCCTGCCAACAGGGACACACTACTTGCACACGCTCCCCCCGACGACCTTGCAGGAGGAACGCATCCACAACGACGAGCTGATCGGGCAGGCATCCTTCATCCTCGCCGCCGTCTTGTACGCCTTGCACAATGTCTACCGCCTCGTGGCGCACAGCCTGGCTGAGCGCAGGGAGAAGGATAAAAAGGCGCGGCTTGATGCTGAGGCGGTTGAGCTGTTCGAATGGGCGGGCGTCATGGAGACGGGGCCTAGCGATGGGGAGGTGACGGGGTTGTTTGACTCGCCAGGCACGATGCTTGAGGGGAGTCGCGGGAGTGCGGGGACGGGAGAGGTTCGCACGGTGGAACGCCGTCTGAGAAGTGCAAGTGTTTTGCGGCTCGAGGATTCCGGGTGTGTGTCGTCCAGTAATTCGTGGTCAACGCTCTTTCTCATGAAGCGTAACGTGGTATCATCGATCAATCAAATCCAACCCCCCAACCTCGACCTTCGAGCCTCAAGCACTCGCGGCCTCCTTCCCGCTCCCACTCCCGCTCTCGCGACTGCCCTTCCGCCTTAGCTGCGGCCGCGGCTTGCTCTCGTTGGTGGCTTCGTATCCGTCCTCCATCTCGCTGAGACTGGACGCGTTGCTGAGCATGCTGGTGCGCGTCCCCGCTCGATTCCCGCTCCCAGTGGCACCGGGCATTTGCGGTCTCAAGGGCGGCTGGCGCGCAGACGCAGCAGTGCCCTGCGTGACTGGTTTCCCTCTGGGCGCCGAGGTCGAGCGGCTGGATCCCGCAGTGCTGGAGCTCCATCTGCGCTCCCTGCTCTCCAGCGGACGGAGACGCTCGTCGTCTGGCCCGGGGGTGGAGCTGCGGCTCGACGTGCGCGAGTGGCTGCCGTCCATGCCGTGGGTGAGCGTGCTCGTTCTGCGCCGGCGGTGAGAGCTGCTCGCGCTCAGACTGTGGCTGTGACTGTGGCTGTGGCTGTGGCTGTGGCTGTGGCTGTGGCTTGATTTCTCGACGTCGGCGCGCGACGAGAAGCCCCTCGCACGCTTCCAGCCGCGCCAGCCAGTCCACCAGAGCATCCCGCCTTCTTCGCGCGCAATCTCGCGCTGGCGGGCGCGGACACGCGTTCTAAGCTCGAGGCGGCGCTCGTTCTCGCGCTCCCAGTACTCGGTGCGGTACATTTCCCAGTTCTGCCTGAAGTCGGGGGTGAAGGGCTTGGGGAGCAGCAGGAGCTTGATGTAGTCGCCGCCCGGGGCGATGTCCTCCTCGGCGTACTCCTTGCCGTCCTCGACGATGCGTTGGCGCGGGCGGCCCGAGTCGAGGGCGTGCGACTTCTCCTGCATGACGTTGATGAAGTGATAGCTGCTGCCGCCCTGCTCGCCACCCCACAGGCCGCCGCTGAAGGGCAGCAGGAAGCGCGCCCACTCGGCCAGCTCGTGCCACCAGGGGCCGCGGATGACGACGATCTTGGCGTTCATCCCGCGCAGGCCGCGGTTGGCAACGCCGATCCAGCGCCGCGGCCAGCGCACGCCGCGCTCCCACTGGCCGGTTGCCCAGAAGAGCAGCGCCGTGACGCCGCCGGTGATGAAGCCGACCTTCTGCAGCATGTCGAGCAGCCAGTACTGACTGCCGCCGATGCCCTTGCCGTCCTCGCGCGGCCGCAGCCACAGCAGGTAGAAGAAGAAGGCGATCCACACGCCCAGCAGCGTCAGCACAAACGTGTTCTGCCGGCGGCGCGCACGCAGGGTGAGGTACTGGCTGCGCAGGCTCGCCTCGAGGATGAGCAGGTTGAGGTAGATCTGTGGCGGCGAGCTGGGCAGCAGCGACGTTGGGTCACTGAGCGGCGCGCGCCGCGTCTTCGCGTCCGGGACGGGGTGGGGGAGCGCGAGCGCCGAGGCGGCGACGTCGTTGACCGAAGTGCCCGGTGGCGGGGCGCCTTTCACCATCTGGTCGAGTGTCGGCATCGTGGCGCACTCCGCTCGGCTTCGCTGTGTGGTGGCCGTGTTATAGTCCAGCCGCTTGCATGTGGTGGCCGTATTACAGGCCAAGCCTATTGCATGTGACGGTCGCCAAAGTCGCACGGCAGCAGCACGTGCCAGTGTCTTCCTGCGCGCCGGAGCGAATGTCGGCGCTGCTCGTCCTCGTCAGCGCGCCACAATGCACAGCTCCGCGTTGCGTGAGGGGGCAGCGAGAGACGTGTGTCGTCTGTCGACGGCCGTCCGGAGTGGCATGGGCTGGTGCGACGGGCCGGAACGCTCGCTTAGCTCTGGCGGTGAGGCCCAGGGTCTGCTGGCATGGCCACGAACCCCACAAACTCTGTGGATCGTGCATACTTCGTACGTCGACACGTCATGCAGGTGTGCTGCGTCGATGCGTGCCTTGCAGTACCGGTAGTAGCTCGGCCGCCAGAGTGTGAAGAGTGGGGAACGGCTGCATCGCAGCAAGAGAAGGGATTGTGAACCTTCTCAACGGCTGCATGTATATATCCACGTGAACACATCACATCTGCGTCTATCTAAGCCTGCACCTTGCAGCTCTCCTGCGCCCTGACCCTGGGGTCGCTCTCACTCGTCACAGTCAGCTTCACCGTGGCCGTGTCCACGGCTCCATACCCGCTGCGCACAGCGACCTTGACGTGCGTGCTCGCACCAAACTTGGCGTGCGCAACGGCATTAGGCACACCAACCTCCCAGCCCTCTCCCTCGACGTCCGCATCGATACGAAAAATGTCCGACCCAAGGAACGCAGACAGGTCCTGAGGGTGGGCGCTCGTGGTGTTGGCGCCAGCCGTGCCCGTGTTGTCGAGCTGGAACGTGCACCACACGCCCTCTGACGACGAGGTACCAGATACGGTGCCCTCTGACGACGAGGTACCAGATACGGTGCCCTGGCGCAGCTTGACGTCGTGTTTGGCCGTCAGAGTGTCGTTGGTCGAGCGAACGCCAACCGTGTACTTCAAGGTCCCAGATGCATCTCTGTTGATATCCAGCACGTACAAGTGCAAGCCATTCGCCTCGTCGACGTGCTCAAACGCACTGCCCGAGTTTGTGCCGGCGTGGAACAGCGCGTCGACTAGCTGTCTGTAATCACCGATGCTCCAGTACCGTGCCGTGCCGTTGGGCAGGTAAAAGTCCACAACGTGTGCGTCTTGTGGGTTGGCGTCGATGACCCACTGGAATGGCTGCGTGCGGTCGCTGTTCTTGGTCTTGCTGATCATGACCCCGGAGTCGGGGCAGAAGGAGTCGGCGCCCATCCGGTCGACCACTTCGATGTTGTAGTTGTTGTACCCGCCGCCGTCGCAGAGCGCGTCGAGAGACGTGTTGCATGCGCGTGCCAGGTCGCCAGAGCCGCCGAAGGTGATGTTCAGGCCCATGAGGCCGCTGCCGGGATCGACGGAGCGCGCAGTAATCTCAGCCACCACCGGACCAGACGTCGCAAGCCCAGAGCGCGACACTTGCAACACGGGTGTGTTGTCGATCAGCCCGATCTGGTGCTTGTCGCGCATCGTGTGGAGGGACCCCATGGATGCGCCCTGCACAGGAGGAATTTGCCAGCGTGTGTGAGGGCCGCCGGGGCCGTTGAAGGATCCGCGATCCAGCATGCTGAACGGTCCAGTGTACGCGCGGCGAGGAGGGACGCTGTAGGGGTTGTTGTAGTTGTCGCCGATGCCGAGGAGATGAGACAGCTCGTGCGCAAAGGTAGCCATACCACTCGATTCACCCTGAGTGGAGGAGCCTCCGCCAGCGTTGGGCCAGATGGTGGAAGCTGCAGCCCACGAAGTCCATTCAACATAGCGAGTGTTGGCGTGGTTGGGGAGCGAGCTGTTGGCTGGCGGTCCAAACTCCTCAGGAACGTCCTCCTTGCTCAGGAATTTCATCTCTCCAAACTCTTGCCACGTCGACGACTCATCCTGTCCCGCAGAAAGGATGAAAGCCAGTTCGTATGCATCAGCTGTCGCATTGCCAACATCACTACGCCATGCGCCGAGCGCGTCTGTTCGAAGGTCCACCGAGCATGGTGGGCCCTCGGGGCAGGCATCTTCGTTGAATCCACCTTCTTCGTCATCGATACCGTACTGATAGCTCTTGGCTGGCATGCGGTAGGGCCCGAAGACTGTCAAATCCACACCGTACTTGCCGAATGAGTCGCCCATCCAGTACTCGTGCAGAGTGTGGCCCTCATTGAGCTCGTTCGGCACGTTCAGCAGGTCGTGGTAGAAGTTGGGAACGTCCTCGCGCTTCAGGCCAGCGGCGAGCGGCTGCGGGTTGCCGAAGATATCAGAGTTGGCGGCCAAGGTGACAACAAACGGACTGTCTAGTAGGCGAACTTAGCAGAGCGAATCGAGGTTTCCTGAACTGTGTGCATACCAGGATAGTCGACAGCGACCATGGCGATGTTGAAGTTGCGGTCCCTCCCTTTGCGCGCAGGGTCACTCCAAGATGTGCTCGGTGGAGCAACAAAGTCGTCCCAAGTCATGTTGTCCGGATTGACCCAGTTCTGAGGGTCAATCGGCGCAAACGGAGCCGCCGCTGCTCTCGGTTTCAAATGTGCTGGGAAGGCAGACGCCGCCTCGAGCAGCGCAGCCGCGAGCACGACCAGAGAGGCCGACGAGCGGCCTTGAGGTGCCATCGTTGCGAACGTTCGATGCTGTAGAATCGAACAATGCCCTGGTCGTGCGATCAAAGAAAGGATGATGCAGACATAGAGACAGAGAGATGCGAGCACGGCAGCGACGTGATTAAGAGGAACTCCTACATCGTACCTGCGTACCCTGTCTCCCAAGCTGCAAGCTCCCCACTCACCCGTCCTACGTAACGATGGCAAATATGCTGTCCAAGAGATGGAGAAATGCTTATACAGATGCCTCTTGCAGCATAGCGTGATGCTTGAATGCAGGCCGTATTGCTTGGCTTATCGTGTCACCTGCTCGTTCCAGCAAGATGTTCGGGTCCATCCCGACGACGGCGAACTTGGCATTGTGGATTTGATGGAGAAGATGATACCCTCCAGCGGAATTCTACGGTAGAGTCTTTTCGTTGTTCAACCGCTGGTGGCTGGGTGGAGTGACCTTGGACCTGTTGTGCCGCGGGAGAAGCTTTGGCGCTGTGGACTCTGGGGGCCGGCGATGACGCAATGTCTGACATTCTGTACTGCCGCATGTCATGTAAATCTCGCAACAGTTCTAGTGAGATGAAAGGAGTGCTGGGAGTGAAGAAGTTGATGGGCGTGTTTCACAGTAACGCGTAGTTAATGTCACGCTAAGACCGCGTGCAGGGTCTGGATGGACCCAGCTGCGAAGTTGGATATCAACTTAACGACTTCCATCGCCATGAAGGGCGTGTGCTTGCTCCATTCGAAGCGCTACAGTACGTGACGTGACTTGAATTGGATTGGATTGGATTGGATTATGATACGTCCTAGGAAGCCGGGCTTTGCTCGTGTTCCCCTGTAGGCTGTCCTCTTAGGGGATACAAGGGACGCGCTCCACTTAGGTCTTAAGAGGGTTTAGCTCTATCTTTAGTAGCCATGTTCGTAGTTGTGGCTTTATATTAGGAACGATCTAAGGTTAGGTAGTTCCCTGCTGCCAATTAAAGGTGCGCTTGTGTAGATTCGAAGTCCAACTGGGCACTACAGTACGTGCCGATGCACCGACGACCATCATCTCGATCACAACACAGCTAACTAATTAACCACTCTGCCTTATCCTTCAAAATTAGGCTCGAAGTGTGATTGGCATTCATCTGACTCTGCATCGGAGGAAAATTGAGAGGCGAGAGTTGACAAAGGCCATTACTTGGTCATGTCTTTAATGGTGTCAGCGTCCAGGTCCTCAAGGATCAGATCTTTCAGTGCAATGGGACGATCCTCTTCGTCTTCTTCCTCACTCGACTCGGTACCAGCAAGACGAGTACGGTCAAATTTTGGGCCATCTTCCTTGAGCGCCAGTCTCTGACTGAACCATGCCGTCGTAACGATCTTCAATTCGACGGCGAAAATACTGCTTTCACCCATCTTGGCTCGGAACGCAGTGGCAGCATACTTTGTCGAATCTGCAGAAAGTTTTGGATCCACTACATGGCCAATATTCACGCCAGTAGATGCCAAAACGACGTGTCCGATGGGAACTTCACCGCTTGCTTGTCGTTGGCTCGACTCCTCTACGTCTGTGCAATATTCGACGTCCTCGCAGATCATGATACCGACAACAAGGCAAACCGGCCAGTCACCTTGGCATTTGACCCATTTTGGCACGATGGTTTTGATATTGGTGTCCTCTTTGAAATCGGCCCAGAATTGTTCGAGTTGTTGAATGCGTTTGAAGCGCACGTATTTCCCAGCCAGATGTAAGCTGTCTTCTTTGTTTGCGGATACTTTGACATTTCCTATGGAGGTCAAAGAAGCGACGAACTCGTTTGACTTGCTTCCAGCTCCGTCGATCGAGAAGTCGGTAGCAGAACCGTCTTGCACGCAATGGCTCAGGCCCGGTGATTGAGGCACATAATTTGTGGTCGGACTCAGAGGCTCCTTGACGATTGCACCGAGGATGGTGTCTTCGAAATTTGCTGACTTCATCCATGCCTGGTGTTTCAGAATGACGAACTGGGGGTCGCCCTTCATGCTGAGCGAATGATAGACAGCACCTCCGTGATTTCGATGATACGGAGCGTGAGGTGCCCTTGTGAGAGTATGTTTGGGTTGCTCTTTGCGGTCTGCCGGACGCAGATTAGATTGAATATGGTTCAGTAACCCAACAAGAACGTGTGTAGATTACCCCGCACATCAGCAGCGCCACATGCATGCATGGTGACCTGGCACAAAACACGGACCAGAGATGCCTGAAATGGAGTTTCTAGACGAGGAACTAGAACTGGTCACTGGGTCTCGGGCATCGTGTGGTCAGGTATATCGCATGTCGATGGCTAAAAGAGCTATTTGCAATATCACGTCTTTGCGTAGTGACAGTGTACCAAGAAATATAGACAAGTGCTATTGGGCTGTACATCGGCAAACTTGACATAAGGCTGAGTGGCGTGCAAGCACTCTGATTGCATGGAACGGCTGAACCACTATTAGTTGGCGCTGGAACCAGGTTGGGATCTGCTGATGGCCTAATAGACTACAGTTTGTATCCTCCCAGACCATCGCGATCGCTAATCAAGTCTGCTTTGATCCTGTCCTCCTGAAAGCGATCGAAAAAGTACTGCGGGCTCAACCAGTCATACCCATCTCCCCGGTTATGCATCATCAGCTGAAAGATCCTTCGAATACCGTCAGGGCTCGTTGGAGGAATGTTCCATCTGTATTCCGAGAGATGCGTGCGGATGTAACCAATCATGAACGCTGCGATAGACACCGCAATAGGCGTTGCGAACGAGGTTCCAGAAAGATGCTTCCAACCATCGTCCGTTCCAGATTCTTTCTTCGGAATGTCTGCAGGCCACCAGGATTTTATACATTCTCCAACAGCTGTGTAGTTCTCTTTTCCACAATCCCTGCTAGGACTGAAGGTTGATGCATTACCGGTTGGGGTTGACGAGTGAATGCAGAAGACGCCAGGATAGTTGCCGGGATATGTCCGAGGTTTATTGCCTCCCTCGTTTGATGCTGAAGCAAACACAGCTATACCCTGGCGGAGGCATTTTATGATCTCCTTGCCAACCTCATCGGGCGTACCAGGCTTACTGTAGCCGAAGGACATCGAGATCATGTCTACTTCCCACTCCCTGCGTGCACATTGAAGTGCCTACAGTCTAATTAGTTATTGACCTCGCTATACATAATTCCGGTGCACTATACCTGTACAATACTGCTTCGGACCGAGGCTTCTTCTGCCTCGCGGGCTTTAGCAGAGCTCATGACTTTGGCGACGTAGATCTTGGTCTGGGTTGTCAAGTTCAGGATGATACCGGCAACATGAGTACCGTGACCACATTCATCCCTCATAATACCACCTTCAACGAATGACTCGTATTTGATTCTATCGTGTTCGATTTCAAGTTCATCGAGGACCTTCTCATGAGTCATATCGAGACCTGAGTCTAAGATAGCTATCTTAAGTTTCGAGTGGCTATTGCGATTGGTCTTGTATTTTCGTCTCAGGGCTTTGAAGTCTTTGATCCATTTCGCGGTCTCTCGCCGTCTTCTGCTCCACGTCAGTCAAGCACATTAATTTAGACTATTCCACGAAAGGACTGAACTTACTCCTCGTCCAGTGATCCCTGCAGGTTCACACTAAAGAATCTCACAGGTGGGCGCGGAGGTACTTTCGGACGATACTTCAACCGTGGTCGCTCTCCTAAATTTAAGGATGGTGTTTTTACAGCGGAGTCGAAATGGTCAAGTTCCCCAAGTTTTTGAGTTGTGTCACACACCTTTGACGAGGGCTGCCCTGTGACCCAACCTGTAACAAAGTCGTTGTTCAGACGAGAATTACGACTGCGATCATTTGCAGAGCCCTGTCGAATGATGTGACTTGACTGCAGAGAGTCGTTGTCTGGACGTCCGATTGTCCTTTGAATGGCAGTCTCTGGGTTTGTCGGTCCGTATTTTGGGGGTGCGATACCATGCCAATGAATCTCTACCCCGTCGTTTTCGAGTCGAGTATCGAAGGCCGGTAATATTTCATAGGCGCTGTTCTCCATAGTAGGTACCAACGGTGTCCCTCTTGCGGGCGCTGGCTGGTACGCTGTCTTTTCGAAGACGATCTTGGACACTATTCTGTTCCATATGAGCTCCATGCACGTTCTTCCTTCTGATTCGCCAAAGCGCGAAAGCTGTATCCGTTCGGCATCAAGTATCTTGTGAAATCGAAGACATGCCTCTACTGCTTGGAGATACCCTTGTCTCGTCCCATCCTCAGCTTTGATGCGAAACTCGAGATGGTTCTTGACCATTAGATATTTGTCAACATCGGTCGTACTCTGTTCGATCCCAGTCGGTCGTCCATATTCGATCTCCAGAAGCAATTCTGCAAGTTCCGTAAATGCGTCCAAGCGGGACAGATCCTTGGCCTCGCTGAACATTTCTACTGAAGGCTCGCCGATGTTGTACTGTATGTACGGTGTCGCTCGGTCATACGGTTTGGAAGACGTTCCAAGAAATTGAACACAATCACGGTTCCACGGTTGAGATGTATGCTGAGAATAGCAGCATAGGGCCAGATGCAGGGCCAGTTTGGCAGCCAAAGCCCGCCGTTCTTCGATCTTAAACGGCTCTCTTTGCTGCGCTGACCACGAGTAACCATCGAACACCTTATCTACTTCTATCAGATCTCTAAGAGACTTGATCGGAAATCTGTTCGGATCTGTTTCAGGAAGTTTGGGGGCATCTTGACTTGGAAGAAAGGTTGATGTCGCTGTGTTGTAGAAGAGCATCAACCCCTCTTGATCTCTCAACGACGATCGTACATACTTGCATAATTGACTGCAGTCGAAGCCATTCTGAGATCCGCTGTGATATGATCAGCATGCTTACGAAGCAAATGTAGAAGATATATGGACATATCCACACCTCTCTAGACGACATTGAACACTCTGCCAGAGCTCAGTTGCTGGAGACTGACTGGCTACGGGGCAATAGAGAAAGACATCGACACCCACTGACTGAGAAATGTCTTTTCCAATGGCATCTTGGAGCCGAAGCATCAGCTTATGCGACGATTTGCAGGATGGATTCTTGCAGCCTGTAGCCTCACTGATGAATTTGTCGCAGGCTAAGGCATTGCAAGATGGAATCCTGCAGGCTTTGAATGCACTGTTGACCGAGTGCAGTAGTCTTTCGATGAACTCGTAATGATTGTCATAGAAGAAAGGTGTTGGATTGTCAATTTTGGGCTCCTGAGAACCTCTGACTTGGCTTGGTCTCCGGCGATCCAGGCCCGATGAGAATCGAAGACCATCTAAGAGGCGGTTGAGTTCCTGCACAGATGAAAGAGCTTGCGCTCCCAGATCATCCTGATCAAGGAGGAACAATAAGGGGTCGTGGCCAGTTGCAATATACAGGGACCCCTCAAAGCTGTCCAGAAAGGCCAATAGCATTTGCAGCCGTGGGTAGTCCTCTTCTCGGTCTGATACATTAGCTGGGAGGGGTACATCGTGTATCAGAGCTGGATTCACGACCTTGTCGAGAAGAGTCAGGAGCGTAGCAAGCTTGCCGTCTTCGCTTTCGTCAATATCTGTCGATTCGAGCCCCGCACAGCTCAACAAAATACTAAGGAAGCCACTCTCGAACAGTTGCAAACGGTTCAAGCGTGTCCTCTTATCAGCTGTGCCCGGAGTTCTCAAGCTGAGAACCTCGCCCGTATCGGCTTTTCGGTCATACTTCCTCTTGTGATTCCCAAGTCGCTTCAGAACCTCCATATTACGATAGCTGATCTTGCCTTGCGAGGGGCGAGGCTCCGGACTTGTGATGGCGCCTTGTCAGCAAGGTCACGCGATATGTCGAGTTTTGGCCCTTGGTGGCTAGTCACAGATCCAGTTCGAAGTCGCAGTCGTGTTTAGGAGTCGTGGGGAAGCATACAGACATATAGATGTCTTTGGGAAGGTGCATCGTGGAAACTTAAACGCGGAGCGGCTGTCGCAACGTGGTGGCATATTAGATTAGGCTGCATCTGCACGAGGTCTTAGGTACCCCGCCATTTTTCAGCTGGATGAGTAGTCTGACTCTCAGAGCTGAGAATGTGGATTTGCAAGACAATACCTAATAAGCCAAAGTCGCAGAGATATCCAGTACGGAAGCGTAACTAGGTGACAGCTACGCCTGTGACATCCAACCAACGTCCCCAACATTGCAGTTACCTGCACTGAACCTCCCAAGATCGGTATTACAGTTCCATCACGCTAGAACTCTGCAATGCACTGAGGACCCCGAAGGCTTTGCTTGATCACCGTATTTGCTTTTTGAGCGTTTCACACGGTGCACGAGATACTGACGAGAGTTGGAGTACCACCAAAGTTGTTAAGGCGGCCTCTAGGGTTATATCATGTGTGCGGCAAAGACCGCACATGGAACACCCGAAGGTCCGATTCTCTCGCTGGCTTGGGACTGCGATGAGTATTTCCAGAAATTCTTCAAGAAAACCAACACATCATCGTTGCCATTCAGGACACGACTCGACAACTACGGACTTCGATTCACCGCCTGGCGGGAACATCTAGGGGTCTTCGCAGGTCCAAAAGCCGACCTAGACTGCCAACTGCAACGTCACCCGGAAGTTCAAGACATAATTGTACGTCTTTTGCTGACTTTGAGACGAAACTTAATCCAATGTACGTATATACCTCCCGAGGTCATGATGGACACTGCGAACTAACGCATACAGTGGACGTGGACTGGGAGCTTGTATTGCAGAGCTCTTCAAATCACATCATCGCCAACAGATCATGGAGTCAAGATGCAGAAGGAGAGCATCAAGATGCCACCAATGCCGATAATCTCCTCAGGGGTACTTTCCAGGCCATCGACGAGTCGCTAGAGCAACTTCATCGAGTGGGGACCGCTATTCGACAATCAGCACGAAGTACTGAGATAGCACGGGCGAGGGCTTACGCCTCGGCACATCTGGATCTCGAGAATTTTGAGGCAATGGCCTTAGCCGCATTGCATCTGTTGTATCCGAATGCTGCAGAAAGCCTGATCGTTCAATTAAGCGAGAGCATGAAAGACCGCTTTGCTGTCATACAGTATAAAGCATCGCGCCAAGGAGTTAAAAGCAGAGATCAAAGGCCTCTGTCCCGTCCGAAGATAGAGCATCGTACCCATCAGGAACAAGTGCAGAAGCCACAAATGATTGAGCACGCCGTCCAACCAGTCCAGAAAACCGCAGTCACCCATACTGTGCTCTCAGATAACAAGCCGACTACCATTGGCACATGCAACCTCCGAGAACGATTTAAGCAAATACACACCCACAGAAGTCGACCAAGCACGACCATCGCACACATCGCATCTACGAACGAACCAACACCACCACGATTCCGTGACAGCAATGGCGCGATACTGGCGTGCCCATGGTGCTCCATGAAGACAAGCGATGAGCTGACCAAAAATGGTCGGTGGACGGACAAAGGAAGGCGCGTGGTTGACTGTGTGCTACCACGATATTTATTTTACTGACAGTGTGACAGGAACCACTATCGTGTAGACTTGAAGCCATTTCCATGCCTTTCCGAGAAATGTATCGGTTTGGAAAACAGTTTTGCAACGACGAGTGAATGGTCTGCACATATGTTCAAACACGATCAACTTTGGGCGCAACATATCCACTACAGCCCGATGTGGATTTGCAGTCAACACCCAAGCCCAGCGCTCTTTGAAACTGACCAGCATGTTGACAACCACCTTACCTCAATGCATCAGATCTCTTCTCGAGGTGAAGTCAATCTGGGCGAATCTCCAGCCGAGATGACTTTTGTCGATGAACACCGTGGGAGGGAGGTGTGCCCTTTGTGCGGCTTTCGATTAGAAGGAGACATCAGGCCTGAAAACATGAACAAGGTGCCAGCGCCAATGATTGGACACATCGCCGACCATCTCCAGATCTTGATGAATCTTTCTCTCCGCTTCATCCAGTTGCAGGAGAGACGTGACGATCAGGATAAGGTCAGTGAGAATGGCGACAGCGACCAAACAGTGGCGGTGACCGAAAACTCTCAGAAGCCTACCGATCATCCACCTCTATCACCCTTTCCGTCATCGCCTGCAAGTATAGTTCAGGAATATTCGGGAACACAGAGTGGAGAAGAAGAGCAGGAAACCGAGAACGATGTCAGAATTGACAACAGCAAACTGGCAACAGACTCAATTCCTTCAGCAGATGAATCCAAGCCAGGTTCTCCATCTCTTTGGGAGCCTCTATCCGACAGCCATTCTGATGAGACTGGCCCGGAGGGACCAGCCAAGATTGCTCAAACGACAACTTTGAACACAACAATGCTTCGAGCGAGGAAACGCCCCAGTGCATCACTAGAAGTGTCACTTGTTGAGGCTTTCGAGAGATCGAACTTTTTTGATCCAGAACTGGACTAATGTCCCGCACGACGCCTGAGGGGGATCATCACACGTGATGCAATTGAAAAAGAACTTGCAAAGTCGAAGAGAGATCTGAACAAATTGGACGACGAGACCGAAGACAGAGAGTTCTGGAAAACCTTCCAGGACTACGACAGTGAACTTCTGACCAATTGGGTCCTGAAACGCGCTACTAAAACATTTGCCACTGCGGTCGCCATCAGCCTGACGTCGCTTGAGCTACTCGCCTGCATGGTCGAGTCTAATAGCCAGGATTTATCCGATGAAGACCTGCCCACAAGTGCGATGCAACGACTGACAGGCGAAGTCACCTTGAGACCATCTCTTGAAAACAGATTCAGCAGCGTGCGTTGGACGTTCATGACACCGGTGTTCTCGGACAAGCAGTATGACTATGACTTACCGAGCGATTGTATTCTGCCTTTCACCAAGGATTACGATGCCTCAAAAACCGGGGCTTTCGCATCGGTTTCAAAGATTCGAATCCATCCAGAAAACCAAGAAGGTTTGGAAACACAGCATGTAAGTCCGAAGACTCTTCCTCAGCATTGCACGCTGACGTGTTGCGGGTCGCGGTCAAAGAATTCCTGCCGACAGATAACGGGAGCGACTCCACCACAGAAAAAGCCTGGGAAGATGAGACAAGAGCACTGAGGCATATCAGAAGGTTCCAGCATCACAATATCGTGCCCTGTCTTGCAGCCATAAGAAGAGGCAAACGCAGATACGTCATGTTCCCCTGGGCAGACGGTGGCAACCTGGAAGAGTATTGGGAGGAAACTGCTCAACAGAGTCCCAATGCGGTGGCAATCAGTCAGGCGATCGAACAACTGAGAGGCCTCGCCGATGGTCTGGATCACCTTCACAATCCCAGAATAGCTGAAAAGGACCTGGAGGTGCCTCGAAATTCTCCCGATGTAGATCGCGTTGACAGCATCAGACACGGTGATCTTAAACCACAGAATATCCTCCGGTTCTTGGACAAAAGAAGTATGGGACACGCACGAACACGATCAGAGCTCGGGGTCCTGAAAATAGCTGATATGGGTCTTGCGAAGCGGCATACCATCGTGACAGAACTCCGAGATCAGGACACAAGTCAAAGATATGGCACAATTCGATATGAAGCACCCGAAGTTCTATCTAAACGAGGTCGGTCACGGCTGTATGATGTATGGTCCATGGGTTGTCTCACTTTGGAGTATATCATATGGCTCCTTCATGGTCACGACACTCTCGAGAAGTTTCGCTTTCAAATCATAGGAGATACGCAGTATTCTTCGACACAGTTCTTCCAGATCTCTGGGGCAGGGGAAGCGCCACAAATTCACCCAGTTGTGGCTGCTTGGATCGATCATATACTACGTTTCGACCCAGAATGTTCACAGGATAGTGCTATCAAAGATCTCCTGGAGATAGTTCGCAAAAAGTTGTTGGTCGTCACTTTGAAACCAAACAGAATGGGTGACAGGGATAGCTCAATGTTTCTTCGACCAAAGCGCGATGGCGACGAGAATCCACTGTATCGCGCTACCGCGGCCGAATTTCGAGGATCTCTGGATAAGATTCTCAACAAAATATTAATAAAGGGAACGAAGTACGTCCTGGCTGATGGAAAAGACCGAGAAAGCATCAAACTTCCTGCACGCACGAATTCGCCTTCAGCAACTCCGCCTCTGTCAGTTGTGACAGAATCTTCGCTGGCTGCATCAGCCCGACAAGACTATTCAGTAAGTCAATTTCTCGTTCTGTTAGTTGTTGTTGAAATCAAAGAGATGCATCTCATCTCCTATAATTTGATGCATTATCTAATTGAACGGACATGTGTCTGACACACTCTGCACCTACTTCGGTTCTGCAAGAGATGCAGCCCTTGAAGGTGTCATACTAGAAAAGAGTTGCTCACGCTTCTTGCCATGTCCTTGCCGTCTGCCTCCAAAAAGTCGTCAAAATCGATTAATCTGTAATCTGCCGCTGACCACCCTAACCAGATGCCACCAGTACGTGCGGAGCGAGTGTAGAAACTCGATCAATAACTACTTTAGTTACAAATATGGGAGCATCTAGTATACAACGTATTCGCCGAAGAGTTCATCGAAAAAATCGGCGCTTCGGCCCTTGCACCCCCAGAAGGTCCTCGCGCAAGGCTTTGTCAGCGCTGCACGGACTTGGACTTTTGGATAGGAGGCTTCAGTTTCGAGGACTCGTGGACGTCTCTAGCGGAGCTAGCACAACGGTGTAATTTATGTGCGCTAATTCTTCGTGTTCAGGACGGTCGGGAACATATTACAATCGAACGGCATCAATCGACTTTGGAGTTGGCAGGATCTGAGCTCCCCATTCTCTCCATATTCAGAAGTCCAAGTAAGTACCATAAAGATGTGTGGCGCACTTGGAGTTCGTGTCGTTCGACAAAAGATCACTGATGGACAATCCAGCATCGACAATTCCACGCCGATTCAAATGGGCTCTCCTACGCTTCCCAACCCAGAAACGGATGGATTCTTTGACCTCCTTAAATTTTTGCTGGACAACTGTGATCTTAAGCATGAAGACTGCGGTCGTAAATTATCGCTACAGTCATCGTTGGATCTACCTACAAGGTTGATTGACGTCGGGACACTGAAGACCCCTCAACTACGTCTTGTCAAGAGAAGAGACGGTGCTTACACATCTGCTAGATACGTCTTTCTCTCACACATATGGGGCGACACTTCGCAGATTGTACCTTTTGTCACTCTTCGTCAAGATCCGACCTCGGGCCGCGACATCGATCACTTCAAAAAAGTTATCCCATATGATCTGCTGCCCCGCAATTTCCAAGATGCGGTCAGGTGTACGCGAGCTCTGGGGATTCGCTATCTCTGGATTGACGCGGTTTGCATCATTCAAGGACATGATGGGGATTTCCAACGAAGAAGTCAAAATTATGGAGGATACCTTTGGCGGTGCATACTGCGCGCTAGCAGCGACGCGTGCTACAGGTCAGAACGATGGCTTCCTTGGTTTCAGATTACAGAGTGCATTTGTCACAATTCAGCGCAAGGGAGAAGATCCTTTTTACATCAGTGAGTGGATTGACGACTTCCAGAGACATGTCATCGAGGGCAGTCTCCATCGACGCGGTTGGGTCCTTCAAGAACGCGCGCTCGCGCGTCGAACAATTCACTTTACAGAACGTCAGACCTACTTCGAATGCGGGAACGGCGTCCGATGCGAAACACTAGCCAGCCTGCACAAGTAAATAACCCCCAATAATCAATTTCGCATGTGACTAACGAGCATAGCACCATGACGGACTTTCTTCGAGACCCGAACTTCCCAGAGAAGATAATGCGACACTCGCGCGCTGCGCAAATCGAATCCTTCCAGAGCCTCTACAGCCTGTACTCCCGTCTCTCATTTGTAAGATGGGAGGATCGACCGGCCGGCATCGCAGGACTTGAAAAGCGGATTCTACGAGCCCTCGGCACCAAGGGGGGTTTCGGCATTTTTGACGATGGCGACAAATCCCAGCGCGAATCATTCCACCGAAGCGTACTGTGGTACCGTGGCGCAGAGGAGGAGTTCAGAGATGGCCTCAAAACCATCGACTTCCCGGCCGATAGACACATTCGTGTGCCGAGCTGGTCGTGGATGGCCTATAGCGGGGGGGTTGACTACGTCGACGTTCCCGGAGATACCGTAGACTGGGAGTTCGACAATATAGCAGGGCCCTGGACCCGAGACTCTATTACTACCTCGAATCCAGCTCTTCAAAATAGTGCTATGGCAATACCAGCCATTGTACGCGACTTCAACGTGGGTAAACAACTCAGAGGTGAAGTTGACCTCAGGTACGATATGGCAAGGACAGCTGAAGCCGATGGACATCGTCCGCAATGTGTGATTGTGGCAAAGGACAAGCGTGAAAGATCAGAAATGAAGAAACGCTATTACATGCTGCTTGTGGTACCAAAACGATCGATGGCTGGTCGTGATAGGAACTTCTACGGGCGTATCGGTGCGGGCTACATGATGGGCAAATACATCAACCTGGACTCAGGCACCAAGGTTGAGATACAGTAGAGGGAGCACATTAGTACAATTAGTGCGGAGCGGTGGACCGACAATCTTGAAGCGACATTGGGTACTGTGTGTTGTGTCGGAGCAAGTGCTTCGCTGTCAGTGGAGGGGTTTTGGCAGTGCAATTTCTCGACAAACTTTACGCTTTTCCGTGGACAAATTAGCAGGATACAGGACAAACCTCTCATATTTAATTCAGCGGAAAACTTATCAATTGCTTAGGAAGAATGTATGAGTTTATAATACTAATACCCTAGAGTTATAGGGTGTCGGAGCAAAACACATGTTTCAATCCGTGAACTGCAGGGTATATATCGCGACATAGGGTCAACTAGATTTTTGCTCCTTAGTATTTTATTGCAAGAGTCAAAGAAATAGAGACCCTAAAGCCTATCTATATTAAACCGAAAAGTATCAAGGCCTCTACCTACTGCTAGTTAGAGACTATTACTACTAAAATAGTTTCCCTTTTAAAACCCCTTCACGCTATAGCTTAGTTTCTGCTGTTGCTAGGGTTATCTAAAGCTACACAAGCTGCTAAAGCAATTGCTATACTCTATATAGTTGACTCGCCAGCTCCCTTAGTAACGAGAAGTAAGACCGCCAAAACCCCTCTAATGAGCGATGGATGTCTTCGAGGAATCTGGTAATGGGGCAGAAACACAGTCAACAGGATCTGGGCGACCGCCTGATCGGAGGCGTGTTGTACTTGCACGAAATATTTCTTCCAGCCACAATCGTAGAGTATATACCAATGCAATTCATTATCCGCACTCATTCATCGTCATGCCATTGCGCAATCGTGCAGATATGCCGTCTCATCATTACAAGCAAGGAAACTCATCGCAAACAAAACGCAATAAGGGGACCAAAAACAGCAGCCAGTCTATCCTCCTACGAAACATCCGACCAGCACGATCTTACGCTCACTCTGAGTACGCAACGACGGAAACCGGACGGGGTATAATGCCACACAGCGCGAAAAGCAAAACAGCAATCTGTACAATCTCATCCAAGACTCAGGGCCGGAACCGAGGATCAAGGCGCCTAAGCCTCGGCAACAGCCTCAGCCTTGACGCCGTTCTCCTTGGGCTTCGCAGCCGCGTCAGTCAGTTCCTTGATCTTAGCGTCCTTCTCCTTGATCTTCTCCATGACGGACTTGTTGAGGGTCTTCAGGGACTCCTGGCTCTTCTTCTCCTTCTCGACGTCCGCCTTGGCCGCTTCGAGATCCTTCTTCAGAGAAGCGAGCTCGGTGGTGCTGGCCGCGCTGGAAGCCTTGAGAGAAGCAAGTTCAGCTTCAAACTTGGCCAACTTCTCCTCCTCGGCCTTGCGGGCGGCAACAGCCTCGTCGACGGACTTAGTGCTGGCCGCTACCTTCTCTTCAGCAGCCTTGCTCTGCTGTTGCGAGAGCTCGAGTGCCTTGGTGGCTTCGAGGAGCTTGGCGTCGGACTCCTTCTTTAGCTCCTCGATGGCCTTTGCGGATTCGGCAGCCTTCTCGGATGCAGTGAGCTTAGCCTGGAGTTCGGAGACCTGAGCATCCTTCTCAGCCTTCTCCTTAGTGACAGCCTCAACGGAAGCCTGCAATTGAGCGACCTTGGCGTCGTTTGCCTTCATCTGTTCGTTGAATGTAGCCTTCTCAGATGCGGCCTTCTCGGCAACAGCGTTGTGCTCAGCGATCGCGTTCTCTAGGGAAGCTGCCTTAGCCTGTGCATCCGTGGCAGCTTTGTGCTCGTCAGCAAGCGATTTCTCGGCCTTCTCCTGTGCAAGCTTCGCAGCCTTGGCCTCTTCCTGAGCGGACGAAAGGCTAGCCTTTGTCTTGTCGTGAGCAGACGTGGCGCTCTTGACGGCGTCATCGTGAGCAGCCTTTGCGCTCCCAAGCTCCTTCTTGGTAGCCTCATGAGAGGACTCAGCCTTCTTCAAAGCAGCACTGTGGTCGGCAGTAGCCTTGTCGAGCTGGCTCTGGAGCTCAGAAGCCTTCGACCCGTTCTCCTTGGCGGCCTTGAGCTCGCTCTCAAGACCATCCTTAGTCTTCTGAAGAGTAGCTAGCTTTTCCTGAGTGGACGAAAGCGAAGACTTCGTTGCTTCGTGAGCCTTTACGGCTTCGGCCTGGGCCTGCTGTGCGGACGCAAGCTGACCCTTGCTTTCCTCCTGTGCGGAAGTGCTAGCCTTCTGAGCGGCTTCCAATTCGGCAATACGGCTGTTGAGCTTCTCAACCTCCTTCAGGGCCTCAGTCTTAGCGGCAAGGTCCTTCTCGAGGGCGGCAACCTTCTCTCCAGCGGTGTTGCTTGCGGTCTTGGCAGCTACTTGCGCCTTGGAAAGTTCCTCGTCCTTGCTCTTGAGCGAAGTCTGGAGGGTCTCAACTCGGGCGGCCTGCTCCTTGGCAGCAGCGAGGTCCTTCTCTAGAGAACCGATCTTCTTGGAAGATTCACTGCTGGATGCCTTCGCCGTGGAAAGCTCCTCATCCTTGCTCTTCAACGAAGCCTGGAGAGTACCGACCTGCTCAGCCTGCTGCTTAGCATCGGCGAGCTGCTTCTCGAGAGAAGAGATCTTGCTAGAAAGATCAGTGGACTCAGTCTTTGCCAAGTCACCAGCCTTGACAGCCTTGGCAAGCTCAGCGTCACGAGCTGCCAGCTTCTCTGCCGAGTCCTTCAGAGATGACTCCAATTCGGAGACCTTGGTCTGAAGACCAGTAGTCTCACCCTTGGCTGACTCGGTGGCATTGGCAGCCTCCTTCTTGGCAGCCTCGAGACTCTTCTCGAGCTCTGCAACTTGGGCAGTGGTAGTCTCCTTCAACTTATCAGCATTGGCTTGAGCAGCGGTGCTCTTCGACTGTTCGCTCGCGAGAGCGGCAACGGCGGTCGCAAGCTTCTGCTCCAACTCCTGGACCTGAGATGACGAGGACTCAGTAGCCTTCTGTGCCGTCTCCTTAGCAGCCGTTACTTCAGTGTCCTTGGCAGCAAGGTCATCAGTCGCCTTCTTCAGAGATTTTTCAAGCTCGCTGATCTTCGACGACGAGCTGGCGGTGCTCTTGGCAGCCTCCTCCTTAGCTGCTTTGAGATCCGCCTCCTTCTTCGCCAGGCTGCCCTGAGCTTCCTTCAGGAGCTTGTCGAGGTCGGCGATCTTTGCAGAGGAGACTTTAGTGGCGTCACCAACTTCAGCACGGACACTCTCGACATCCTTCTCCTTGGCTGCCAGACTGTCTTGGGCCTCCTTGAGAGATTTCTCGAGCTCGAAGATCTTCTTGGACGAAGTCTCGGTCGCTGTCGAGGCATCGGTCTGTGCTTTTTTGAGCTCCTGCTCTTTAGCAGCAAGATCGTCCTGTGCCTTCTTGAGGGATGTCTCCAACTCGGTGACGCGAGCATCGGCAGAGCCAGTGGCGCTCTCGGCCTCCTTCTTCGCTTCCGCAAGAGCTTGCTCCAGCTTAGCAACGCGAGCAGCCGATGCCTCAGATGCCTTGGAAGCATCTGCCTTAGCAGCCGCGAGTTCCTGTTCCTTAGCAGCAAGGCTGTCCTGAGCGACCTTCAGAGACTTGTCCAAGTCAGCGATCTGGGCAGTAAGAGTGTCGACACTGGCCCTGGCCTTTTCAGCAGCTTCGGCGGCGGCGCCCTTCTCAGTGGTGAGAGTGGCGATCTGGCTCTCAAGCTCAGATGTCTTGGTGGCAAGGGCATCCTGAGCCTGCTTCAAATCACCTTCCAGCTTCGAGATCTTAGTGGAAAGCTCGTCGGCGTCACCCTTTGATGCGTCCGCAGCAGCAAGCTTCTTTTCCAAGTCGCTGATCTGCTTCTTCAGGCTCTCGATTTCGCTCTTGCTCGAGTCGGTGACAGCGGCGGCATCCTTGCTGGCCTTTTCAGCTGCTTCAGACTTGCTGGCGAGCTCCTGCTTAGCAGTTTCGAGGTCGGAAGTACGGCTGGAAAGCTCCTCCTTCGCGCCAGCAAGCGCCTTCTCCAGATCAGCGACCTTAGCACTGTGCTCCTCAGATGCAGAGGCGTTGGTCGACTCGAGCTCGGAAAGCTTCAGGCCGCGAGCCTCGTGCTCCTGAGAGAGCTTGTTGTGTGCCTCTGTCCGAGCATTGAGTTTCTCGGTGGCGTCGGCGTGGTTGGTCTGGAGCTCCTCAATCTGCTTCTTCAACGAGTGGACTTCGCTCTGAAGCTGCTCAACGTTTTTGATGTTGGCCTCCTTCTCGGCGGTGAGAGCGGCGATGGTCTCGTCCTTGGTATCGAGGTCGGTCCTGGGGATGAGAGAGGCCTGGTCGGCACGGAGCTGCTCGAGCTCAGCGTTGACCTTCGAGAGAGCCTCATCGGCACTCTTCTTGTCGGTTGTAAGCTGCTCAAGCTCAGCCGTCGCCTTGGCAAGGGACTGCTCAGCAGTGCTCTTCTCCTCCGAAAGGCTCTCGATCTCCTTGTTCTTCGCCTCGAGCTCCGCCTTGGGTGCCGAGTCAGTGGTCTTGCCCTCGAGATCTGCGATGTTGCTCTTGAACTTCTCAATCTCGCTTTTCAGGCTGTCGATCTCGTTCTGGAGCTCGGTGACGCGGGCCTCATGCTCAGCGGTGGTAGAAGCCATCTTGCTGTTGAACTCGGTCTCGCACTCTTCGCGGACAGAATTGCGCTCCTTGGTCTTAGCCTCGCGCACTTGCTGCACGACAACACTGACCATGTGCTCTTCGAGATCCTTCTTGTCCTGCATGAGAGTGCTCTCACGCTCTTCGAAGGTTCTCTCACGCTCCTTGTGGTCATCCTCGAGTGTCTTGACGTGCTCATCCTGCTTGTTGGCAACAATGCGTGCCTCGTCGAGCTGTGATTCGGCATGGGCGAGCTGCTTCTTCAGGGCTTCGAGCTGGACCTCATACGAGTCGTTCGGGTTGGGCGAAGGAGGCTGAACACCTGTGTTGACGCGGCGGATTAGCGACGAGGCCGGAACATGTAGCGGCGCTGCGTGAAGAGAGAACGGGTAGAACGGACCCGAGCCTGGCACAATAGGTTATTGGGCAGGCGGGGCGAGGCGAAAGAGAGGTTGCTTACCAGCGTCTGCGCCAGAGAGAGCCTCTCTCGGCGTCTCGGGCGGTGTGTCGATGCCATTGTCACCGGTTGTGGGTCTGGACTGGCTCGGTGCCGGTGCGTGTGCTTCCGTTGTGGTGACTGCGGTTGTGGGTGAAGTCGGTGCGGCGCCGGCACTGCCAAAAAAGTAGTTGTAGGCCCTACGCATACTGCTTGTGCGCTTGGGTAGGCCGGGACGAGTTAGATTCGTCGATTTTCGTCCTCTCAAACTTGACTCCTGTGGCTCTACTGCTCCCTCGGTTGCAGCTGATATTGTATCTTCAGAGCTCCTTTGGCTCAAACCACTTTGGTTTTTGTGTGCCTGGGGCGGTCGAGCTGAGTGAAGCTTTCGACCGAACTTGGACGATCCTGATTCTATATCGGCGAGGATGCGCTTTTGCTCCTTGGCCGTTGCACTGGAGTGGACGTCAGCACACTGTTATGTCACCGTAAACAATGGCGGTGAGTTGAGCGACGGGCAGGAACATCCAAACAGTAGAATTGTTGGGAAGAATAGTGCATGTGAAACTCTGGCGTCGACGAGGGTACCAGACAGGGAGCTATCTCTTACCAGAGCGAAGCGTGAGGGCAGAGTGAAGCGCGAGTTGCAAAGGTGCGGTGAAGACGAAAAAAAATGTCAGGATGACGGAAGATCACTCACTCATAGCTTTCCCTCGAGCGCCAGCTAGGCATGATTCAGTTCTGCTATCAATGTCACGGGCTCCAGTAGCCTGCTAGCCTGTTCCGCCTTTGAAAAGATTTTTACCGGTTCTGTCAATTGGACGGGGGCGCTGTTGGTCCTTCAGCAGGAGCTTTATGTACGGTCAACGCGTGCATGTTAGCGTGCTTGTATTTGTATGCAGCCTGCAGCACCAAGGACAGCTGCTGCCCAGTCAGGATGCGCTGAATAGACGCTCTGCACGTTGCACGCCTCACATGGGGCAAAGTCGACACGCCGATTAATGCAAGCACAACACACAAGATCCCGTTGTGAGGGCTGTCCGAGGCGAAAGATGGGTCGTGCTCGAGGCGCGGCTCCACTTCATTCTTACCGCCTTGTGCAAGGGTCCGGGTCTGCGGACAACCATCGCAGCAGCAGCGTTGACGCCTGAACGCCCTGCATGACCATGTATCCTCGTCGACGATGGGTAATCGTGGTGTTGAGCTCGCTGCCTGCGATCGGTGCTTCGTCGTTGGGACGTTGTCGACGGCTCCCCATATTGATCACTACATGTTGAAGCAGACCCTGCCAGCAAACGTCGAGACGGGTACCCAATCACAGCGCTGCACGTAGTGCTACCACGTCGGCGTCGCGTGAGAGCAAAGGACGACCACCGAGGAAAGTAGAACGAGAACGGTGGTATCAACGAGGCGAGCAGGTCTCTATATTATGGTCAATTAGTTTGGATTGTTCATGTCTGACTACTGCCTGCTATCAATCGAGCGGTGCATCATTGCGGTGTCGACTTGCCAGCGCGTTGACACGACATGGACAGCTGTTGGAGCTCAAGCTTGAGCACGGATATTGCGTAACGTGGACGCGCCAGTTGCTGTGGCGCCAAATGCCGCGCCATACAGAGTCAAGTCCTGCGACATCTGCAGGCCGCCCAACACGCTGCAGGAACACCGTGTTAAGACCGGGACCCCCCGACTCGATGCCTTTCGCGAGAGGTTGCCTCGAGCAACCCGAAACATGAAGTCCAGGATAGGTAGTAGGTATCGCAAATTCAAGATCTGCCCGAGTTCACTGGACGAGGCGCATGAATCGAAGCTTCAAATGCTCGGCTTTAGGGCTCGCGGCATTTGGCTGATGCGCTGTCACTGCCAGTCAGTCACATTGCTGCTCGGGCGCTAGCCCAAGCTTCACTGCACGCACACCGCGTCTTGGGCGATCGCGTCTGTGCCTTTCTTTTCCGTCGAGAACCAACAAGAACTTTCTCGTTGACCCGGTGACCCCTCCTGACATGTGAAGTCGAAGATTTTGTCGGCGAATTGCTAGCCGAGCGATGGGCGGGCTGTGGCAGCGGTGAAGGCCGCCGCGACTCCACACGACGTCACGTCCCATATTATCTGAGTGGTGTGGGGGTATGAACGAGCATGACCCTTGGAGTGAAGATGATGAGATACGAACATCTCATTTATGTCGATTCGTGATTCTACAGAAAGCCGCCCAATGAATGCCCGATTGTAAACAGTGTAACGCCGTTGTCATGCTGTATCCAGTGTATTTAGGGGAAGAAAGGAGGATATCTACACGGCAACAAACGGACTGAAACGCCAAAGGGAACCAAGTACGCTAGGTGCAGGAGTATAGTATCAATGTGCGGAACCCGGCCAATCACTGCTATTAGACGACCGCATCATGTTTCGAAACAAGGTGTTGGACCGTGTATTCACGATGAAGATCTCGGGAGAAGATGCGGATACCGGGGGAAAGGTTGTGGCGAGTCTGTCGAGCAGGTGTTGATGCCGTGCGGCGCGACGCTGCCGATGTCTTTCACGCCGTTGCTCGTGTCGTTCGCGCAGTCTCTGCCGGCCTGTAGAAGAAAGAAGAATGTCAGCTTGGATGCCGACGGTGATGGAGATCTCAGGACTGAGAGCCAGAGGACGGACCCCTGCGTATACGGTTACCGACTCCACCTGAAGCCGCATCCGTAGCTGTGGATGTACCGGTAGCTCGGTCCTCTGCAGACCCTGGCTCTGCTGGAACGACGTATGGGCCTGATGAAGTGCCGTCATCAGCAACGTCCTCGAACGCACCGGGCATTGATCTCGACCCTGATGGTCTGGTCCCAGTAGTAGCTTGTGCACCTGATGTGGACGCCTGTGCATTGGCTCCGCCATCCAGCTGTTTGGTGATCCCCTTTCGACAGTGTGGGCATGTGTCGTGCTCAAGCAGCCATGCCGAGACGCATGTGTGGTGAAACCAATGCCTGCAGGGCAGCTCGGTGACCTCTTCACCAATGTTTACCTCGTCCATGCAAATGCTGCACTCAGCGGTGTGCTCTGTTCCAAGCATGCTCTCGTCCACCTTCTTTCGGGGTAGCGCATCGATGTCGGCTTGTGTGGCAGGTGGGGGAGCATTGCTTGTCGCTGTCTGCTCCATAAGCTGTGAGACGATGCGGTCGAGGCCTTCTTGCGAGTACACAAAGTCGCCCATTTGACCTCCACCTGGAATGAGACCAAGCGATTGGAAGAGATTCAAGAAAGGTGCAGGGACATTTTCTCCACCTGGCCCACCACGACCACTGCCATCCCCGCCCTGGGGCAAATTCTGAGCTCCAAGTGCTGCCATCAGACCAGTCATAACGCTGTCGATGGTTAGCATACACCGCATTCTATCCAGAAAATATCACTCACTTCGAAATGTCATCGACAGGTTCAACCCGTATGCCAGGCCCATCGCCACGAGGTGCCAGTCGCGCTCCACCGTGGTATGTAAACTGTCCTGAGTGCACGCCCGGTTGTCCTTGGCCTTGCGCCCCTTGGTACGCAGATAGGCCGGCACCTGAGAAGAGTCCCTCGCCCTGTCCGCGAGGCTGAGCCTGACCCGGCGCCTGTGCTTGTACAGCAGCTCGCGTCAAGCCATTGAGCATCGACATGAAGCCGCCAATCGAGCCAGGCGCATTGGCAACAGCGAGGCCTTGTGGAGGGACGGACCGTGTTATGGTAGCTTGGACGTTGAATCTGCCAGGTCCGACCCGTACGAAGTTGAAGTTGCTTATGTCCGCTTCCTCTGGGTCGTCGTTCGCAAATGGATTCTGGTGGGAATTCAGACGTGGTAGCGGGGCCTGGTCGTGGTCAGGCATGTCCTCATCATCCTGGTCGCCGTCGTGGCCGAACATGTTGCTGTCCCGGGGGTCATTCTCGTCTTCGATCTGGCGGGGTGTAAGCGCGCGCATTCGTCAATCCGGCCTCGCAGTGGTAAAGCTGAAAGCAAAGCCTTGCAGTCAACTCACAATCTCTGTGAAGTCTGAACCGCACTCCGGACACGTAAGGCCGCGCTCGTCTCGATACCACTCGTCGGCGCATTCGTGGCAGAACATCATGTCGCGGTGTCCGGGCCTCTCACTCCCCGCTGTTGCGGGCGCGTTCTGGTCCGACGGCATCTCTGTAGATTTCGTATCTGGGTCTGGCTGAGAAGAGGAATGACTGCGGTTTCATCTCAGCAAGCCAAGCGTAATGTTTGGAGCCATGCGGACTCACGAGGAACCGTCAGGAGGACGTGAGCTATGCGCGGGCGATAGCTCCGTGCTCCGCGCTGAAGGAACCGGCTGGCCTGCTATGACCGAGCACAGAGAAGTTCGAATGCGGGTAGAGTGTTGTAGCTATAAGGGTTGGCGCTGTAGGAGTTTCTAGGTTGTAGGTCGTACTGGAGTAGAATGTCGTGACGCGGGGGCAAGATCTCATTTCTGGTCGAATGCTGGCTCGTCCGGTGACGTCGGTTGTTGCCGTCTGGAGATCGTTGGCCCTGTGGCAGGGTCCAGCGAACCAACCGGTACAAGTTGACGGGCAACTCCAATCTAGAAGCTAAGAGTGTGGGAAAGTGTGGGGTTCTCAAATGAGAGAAATGTATTGTAGTTGCTGCTTAGGAACAGTCCAAGGATCTGACTGTCGGAGTCTGACTCTACGTTTGCGACCACTTGTTCGTGATTCTGCGCTGTTCTGTGCGCTTCGATCAAACCACAACCACGATTGTCAGCAACGCGCCCGGTGAAGCCATGTGTTCCAATGTGTGTAACAGCAGTTGGAAAAACCGCTTCTTGGTTCAAGCATTGTCAGTCTTGACAAAGTCGCTCAGCTTCAGGCTTCGTGATATTAGAGTCCACCAACGCCTGCGCAACAGAAATCACTCATATGTGTATCCCCATGCCCAAATCAACAGCCCAGGATGCTGGAATGCAGCTGTAGCTCATCATATCCCACCTTCTCAGCTCATCTCCTCCTTCCACTCTTCAACAAGAATGTGCCGACCAACCCCGCCGCGACTGCAATACCACCCACAATCGCCGCACCCACCAATCCCTCCTTGGCAACCTTCTCATCGATAAGCCCCTTCAAGCTGCCTGCCTGCAAATTCGCCGGCTCAAGCTCCAACAGCAACTCGTTGTACCGCCTGGCCTCCGCATAGTTGCCTAGTTTGTAGTTGCCGAGCCCAAGGTAGTAGAGACATTCGCGACGGCGCTCACGGCTTCCGCGGAAGATCTCTGACAGCAGGCGCACGCCTTCTTGCTGGTCGGGGCGGTCGTTGGACTTGATCAGGCCCTGAGGGTGTCAGTCAGGGCTGTGGTGGATGTGGAGGTGGCGGGTGTACCCAGGCGTAATTGAACTTTGTCTGCAGGCCGACGTATTCGCCTTCTTTCTCGTACTGTGCGCGAAGGACTTGCAGCTCATCCGGCTTCAGGGGCGACTCGACGTCGGCGGCGTCTGTCGCGTGTCAGCTGTTGCTGAGCGCAGTCGCAGCATGGGCGCAACTTACAGGGCAGCGACGGCGACATGTTGATATGTGATTTCGATGTCGGAACGGTTTGTGCAATGGAATATGAGGGTTGGTGGCAGCGCAAGCGCACAGCTAGATTGTCTCGTGAAAACGGTCAGTGACGTCGCCTCGTGGGTCTGCTGAGGTGTGGCGGCAGCTCTTTGCAGCCGCGGTCGAGCCCGTTGCCAGGGGCGCACGGCCGCCACAACAACAAACCGTGCCCAACACCATCACCGCATCGCGACACGCAGCACTCGAACCACGACTTATTGCAACAAAAAAACCTACAAGACTTTTTACAGTCACCTGACATCCGCACGACTCACTCAAGGCCGTCAACATGCTTCTCGACGAAGACCCCGCCGCCGTGCGCCTCCCTCAACCCTCCAACCAGCTCACAACACTAACAAATCCAGCTCATCTCACAATGCACATCACACTTCAAAATCGCCAACGACACCGCCTCTCTACTGCGAATCAGCGACTCGCTCTCCACGCTCTCACAGTTCCGTACACAGCACCTGCAATCACTGCAATCCTCTCTATCACAGCTCTCGCGCACTCACCAAACCCTCTCCGCAAACCACAGCCACACGCTGTCGCAGCACAACCCGACAAACCATGCGGCGGAGATTCTGCGACTCGACACGGAGAAGTTCAAGATTGCGAAGCAGGCCAGTGATCTCGAGATCGAGGGGGAGAGACTGCAGCAGGAGAGAGAGAGATTGAGTGGAGTAGCGCAGGACCTTGAGGCTGAAGGTGTGGAGGGCGGCGAGCGGGAGAAGGCGGAGAGCGAGGACGCTACCATGTGAGTCGTTCCACCCGCGCTGCACAGCGCTGCGACGCGATTGCGATCAAGGATTGCATGCTGACGAAGAACAGACTGAAGCTGAAGCTCTACCGCACACTCGGCATCGATGTCGAAGCCGACCCTACGACAGGCCAGTACACCAAGGCCGTTGTTCGGAACGCAGCAAAGGGCGACGTGCACGTTGTCAACATAGACCCCAAGTTCTCGCGGCATTTTTACACAAATTACTTCTGGAGGACCATGTAAAGGGTGCCTGGTGCTGGGCGGGCAATTTTTGTGCGGTTCTGAGATACCTTTTGTTTAGCGGCGTTTTGATGGGCTGGAGTACTGTGATGTACGCATGCAATGGCAATGACCTGTTTTGAGGAGAGATGTCGTCCACAAACCGTGGATTGTAGATTGTCCTACACCCGTCTCGAACACACTGCAATCATCTTTGTTTGTGAATAATACAAGGAAGACGACCAACGCGTAGAGAAGAATGCATTCGACGACAACATGTCTTATTCCATTGACTACGTAGGCTACGCATAGCCTCGGCTATCGTCGATGACATTTTCCGAATACTGCCCGCTGAGTTTCGCATATCCGTACATCAGATAGACCAACACATGCCCGTGCTGCATATATTCCAAACGTTCAGAGCGATTGTGCCCCTCAAAGTTCTGACGACAAGTCAATCTACCTCTTGCCCTTCTTCTTGCTCGGGACCACTTTGAACGCGCCAGAGTCGAGAGCAGGCTGCTGCTGCTGCTGCTGCATGCTTGCACCGCCCTTCTTTGCAACCTCAGACCAGCCGCTGCTTGCAGACTTGTTATCAGCGGGGCTGGACGTATTGCGGTCGTCGATGATGCCCTTGTCGGCAAGCTTACGGCGGCGGAGGAACTCCTCGGCGAAGTGACGAGAGTCGAGCGTGTTGCTGGCTGAGTGAACGGACTCCGTGATCAGCTCGGCGTCGGCGGGAAAGCTCAAAAGCGATGAGACGAAGTCCTCAGCTGGTGATACGTTAGCACAGAATCACTTATTGTATACAAGCACTTACTATTGATGCCCTTGTTAAGGTCAGAGCGAAGCTCGTTCACGACCCACTTGCGAAACTCCTCTTCAGCGTTGGCCTTGCCCGAAACGCCACCGAGAGTGGTAGTGCGTATAATGGCAGGCTTCTTGAGGATCGAGGGTATAACAGTCGAGCTGGTCGAGCGAACAGCAGCGGGTGCGGGACTAGCAGGAGCACCTGGGGCCTTGACCTTGCCGCTCGCGCCTACGGTGGTCCAGGGGCTAGCACCGACGGCAAGAGCACCGGCGGGCAGGACCGGAGTCTGCTTGCTGGCCAAATCGGCGTAACGCTTTCCAGCAACGGTGACTGCTGGCACAACACCAACAGCAGTAGCGGCTACCGCTACTTGAGCCGCTGCACGGTTTTTGCGGGCTTCCTCTTCCTTCTGGATCTGCTGGAGGGTCTTCTTGGAGGTGGGAGTTGGTTGAGCGGGTGGCTTGCCAGCAGCGGGCTTGGCCCAGACAGAGGCACCACCGGTAGGAGCTGGAGTAGCTGGGGAAGTACCAGTGCCGCTCGCCCAAGTAGAGCTGGACGGAAGACCAGGCTGAATTACAGGCGACTGGGTTTGAGCCAAGAGCTCCTTCTCGAATGCCTCACGGCGGGCAGCAGCGGCGAGAGCTTCGCGTTCAGCAGCCTTCTTAGCCTCTGCTTCCTGGATCTCCCTCAGAGATGGGCCCCTCGAGGCTTCGGTGGGCTCCTTCGCCCATGGTGCAATGGATGCGCTTGGTGTGTCAGCCCCAGGGGTGGCAGCACGAGAGTCAGCGTGCAAGTCTCCAGGGACGATAGCCTTCCTCTGCGCAGCCGGAGCTGGAAGAGGAGACTGCGAGGGTGCAGGCGGGAAGGGGTAGAGGGCAGGCTCCACGGGCGTCCAAGCTGACTGGGGCTGAGGCGATTGCTTAGCAGACTGTGCCTTCTGGACCTGCTCCGTCAAAGAAAGCAGCTCCTGTGAGGCAGCCGGGCCCTCAGCACTTGACTCTGGTGCTTGTTCTTGGGTGTCGTCGTATTCAGGTGATTGAGGGTCGGCTTCTTGCTCCTGTGTCTGCGCAGTAGAGGCTGACGACTTTCCAATCACGCCCTCTAGAGGAGCAGTGCGAGATTGATCGAGGTCGGTTTGCACACGCAAGTCGTTGAACTGCTGTAGGCGGTCGGCAGAAGCTTGGGTGGCCTGCTGATCGTTTAGGCCGAGCCTCTGCATGGCATCATGATCAGCCTGCTCACGCTGCAGTCGTGCTCGGTCGTTGAGCATAGCCACGACATTCTGCGCGTGTGACGCGCCTTCGGGGTGCTGTGGCGCGAACGATCCAGGGGCAGTACCGAAAGAAGGCTGTCCGCCACGGCCGAGGTTGAGGCGATCCATGAGCCCTGACACTTCTTCGTCCCGCATGTTGCCCATCATATCCATACCCGGACCGATCGGGCCCAGACCGGGCACCATGCCGGGCCTGAAGGCATTCTCCATGAGACCAGATGCAGGTGCACCGGCACCTGGTCCCTGGGTAGGAGAGGGTTGGTAACCGCCAGGCGAGGTGATACTGCCAAAGCTTGGCTGGCTGTGCAGGCTATGAGCACTGGAGTGATGTTGAAGCTGGTTCGGCATAATGCCGCCCAACTGAGCCGATCTGAGGTTGACAGATTGTTGTGCGGCCAAGTGCTCCTTTTGCCTAGCCATCAGATATTGTTCTTCTTGCTTTCTACGTTCAAGGGCGTTTTGCTGTTCCGCGGTCAAGGTAGTACCAAAGCTGGGGAAGCTGTTAGCGAATGGTGGCTGAGCGCCGGGTGTAGCGCCTGCACCGCCGGCCCAGCTGTTGCCAGGTTGAGCAGTAGCCGGTCCATGGGGTATGCCGATCTGCGGGACAAGGAATGGTTCACGAGAGTTGCCGATACGGCGGATAAGCTGGGCTAGGGGTTCGTAATCTGGCTCCTCCTGTTTCTTGACCAAAAGCTCGGGGGAGAAGAAGCCAGCCTTATACCAATCGTGCATCTCAAGTCCAGAGAACGGACCTTGCGTGTTGCCTGATGGATCACGGTAGATCCACCTCATGCGATCAGGCATGACCATGGTACGTTGCTGAGGCTGGGGAGGCTGACTCGAAGCTGGAGATCCGAGGCCAGGCGTTGACGGCTGTGCAGTCCTGGTCTGGTTGAGCGCAGCCATAGACAGCGATGTAGTTGCCAAGTTCGACTGAGCACCGGAGTTCTGACTAAAGCCGCCATGGTCATCGCTACTGGCTCCAGAGAAGTCGTCAAAGAGATTGCGGTTCGCACGGAAAGGACTATCGGTATCACGGTTGGGAATGCCGCTGCCAGGGGCTTGAGCACCAAATCTGCCAAAACCTCCGGTCATGCTGTGGTTGCGATCACCGTGTGATGAGCCCTCTTCGCCGTGCTGCTCGTTCGAACGCATCTGCTCCTGCATCGAAGCGGGGAAGAGCGATCCGAGCTTGCTAGCCCGACCAATCGATCCATGGCCCAGACCTGAGCCTGCTCCAAACAGAGAGCTGTTCCCAAGCCCAGCGAGGGATGGTGACTGAACCTCGCCGACGTTTCCAAATGCACTATCGAAGCCGAAGGGTCGCTCTCGAGAGGGAGTACCCAATCCTTGCGGGCCTGCAGACCAAGCCGAGGAACCTCCAAGTCCAGGTAGGCCTCCGAGTCCTGGCAGAGTGGGAAATCCGCGTCCGGGACCAACACTGGATGTCTGACTTCGATCACCAGGAACAGCCTCAAAGGCTCCTGACGCTCTTCCAAGGCCCCCAAGACTTCCAAATGCGTTGTGCAAGCCAGGATGGTTCGATTCAACCTGGAAGCTACCCATGCCGGGATAGTGCGTATTCGGAACGTCTGATCCTTCCGAGTCCTCCTCTTGCTGCTCACGAGCGTGATCTGGGCTCCTATAAGGGTTCGTATCCGTTGGGCTCATCTGATCATTGCCTCTTTCTCCTCCACGGTGCGGTGTCTGCTGACTGAAATTGCCAAACATGTCACGGAAGCCAGTATTGTCAGTGGTCATGCCAAATGGAGCCAGGCCGCCATCGTCCGGTCGGTGTGGCGTGCCAAAGCCGCCTAAGCCATGCCTAGGGGGGCTGACATCCTCGCCTCGAAGCGCAGCTGAGCCAGTGGGATGATCGTCGTCCAGATACGGATCAGTATCGCTGCTCAAGGGCCTGTTGGAGCGCGCCTCCATCCAGGACGGCTTCGAGGAGTCTGCTTCGCCAAGGTTGCCCAGGTTGCTGGATGATCCCTTCTCTTTTGGAGCTTTGTCAAATTCCTCAGTGCTTGCTTTTCCCATCAACCCTTTGAATCTGCTTTCACCCCGGACGCTCCCAAGTCCAGGCTTCTTCTCGGGCTGGGAAACACCAAAACTGCCAAACGCGCCCATGGGACCCGAGAATCCACCTCCTTGAGGAGCAGCCCATGGAGATGCACCGCCTGGACTGAAGGGTGCAGTTGTCGTGCGCTTCAGGTTGCTGAAAAGTACAGCGTTCTCCCCGGCGCCCTTCGCTTCTTCACTCTCTTCGCCGATAGCGGGCTCCAGGTGGCCCGTTCGGCGACGTATCAAGGAAGCCGGTGGGGTGACTGTATTAGACTCTTCGCGGGCGAAACGGGAGGTTGCAGGCGACGAAGGGAAAGGATACGCATCGCCAGTATCCCGGCGGCGGTTTCCAGGTCGCGCTGTGGTAGGCGACGACAAACCATATGGCGTGCCTGGTGTCTGCGAAATCGAGCTTTTGCGCAAGGACAAAGGCTCCTTGGAAGTGCCGTCTTTGTTTGTATTCTGCGTCGGTGGTTTGAGCGGCGAATTGACAGAAGACGAAAAGACCTGACTCAAGGGTAAGCACAAACGTCGCAGCGCGCAAAAATGGGGCATTGTACCTCTCTCTCGTCGTCTGTGAAAGCGATCAGGTGCAGTGGCTCTATGCTGCCGTCCTTGTCCCAACACTGGTCGACCCCGCTCTGAGACTCCCGTCCATGATCGTCCTTGCGCCCCCATGACGCGCCTGAGGCACCGTTTGTGGCATGAGGTTCCCAAGAGCCCATGTACAAGTGCGAGAGTCCTTCATGAATCTCGTCGGATTCGCGCTGGGACTGGAAGAGCTGCATTAACTGATCGCGGGAGTAGCTGCCCGCAACGGAGCCACCACTACGCCCCGGTTGCGCGTGCGGCGGTACATAGACTCCAGAATTTGTCGCGTGTGCAGGGGCAGGGACGTCTCGGGAGGCGGGGGCTGGTGCTGAGCCAGAGGACGTGGGCACGTGTGAGGGCCGGCGGAATGTTTGCGTAGCACCATTAGTGCGTCGAGCCCTGGTGTTCGCATTAGTATGCAGGTGGTCCTGTGGATATTCGGCCATGATGTAGCGAGCGAAGCGTTTGGCGACAGTGAGGGGGGGGGCTATGAAATATTTGTAGCGATCTAAGACAATGCCGTAGAGCTGTACAGCTAGGACGTGCTATGTGGTTGCATGGTGCAAAATGCAGGAGAGCTCGCACTTACCATTCGCCGCTCGAGTCTGTCCGCGCAGCGCCAGCGTTACTGCCTGCAGCTGCTGAAGCGAAGGAAGCAGGTGCCATTGTGGTCGTGAAGGGGTGTGGAAGGTACGATGGTGTGTCGAGGCCTTTCGTTTTGTGGAGGTGGAGCGGCAAACTGATTGGGAGCAGTTGCGAATATTCGAGGATGATGTCAAGCTGGAAGCTGGATTGGGTTAAACGGGCGGAGGAGAGTGGCACTCGAGGGTAGTGGTACAGGCGAATGGGCGCGATCGTCGTGGCGTCGTGGGTTCAGGCGAAAGGATACCGAAAATGACACACGTGACTGGCACACTAAATTTTCTCCGCAACGCCAAACGACGCGTCTTAGGTACGCGACGCAGAGCTCTCGAAGTCTTTGTCGCTGAAACGCCACTTCTCCGTTGGCACTGCACTCTTCACTTTCACCGCTCCTGGCATATTCTCTTGTGCGTGTAGTCATGACCCTGACTGCTCGCTTGCTCTCAACGACCCACAGGACGCCACTCGGGCACCTGCAGCTTTTGATAGAATGATTCCAGAATTGATGCTGTCCAGCACTCTGCATTACCCTTCGACGCGTCTCCGCTCGTGCACTTGCTCTGCGTCAAGGGTCGACCAAACTATTAACGCACTTGCAGTCCCCAAGCAAGTTGGTACGGTGGTTGTAATTACCGAGGAACAGGAGCGGGACGGCAACGCTTGTGGCAGAGAGCTACCGGTAGGTATGGTACCAAACTGTGAGGCCTGCACGCGATCTGGAAATATCACGGCACAACGCCCTCCAAGCCAGGGAGCAATATCATGCTTCGAGGATGACCATGGCCAAGTGCAACAGCGGTCGTCTGGCAGTCAGACACGAGGAGCACAGGTTTGTTTGCTCTCTTGCTGACATCTGTAAAATTGTTTGCTGTCGAAGAGGCAACGTGCGACCTTACACTGTGCTGAGCACCATTCGCTTGCATTTCTTCAACAGTCAAGCGCACCAGTCTATCGAAGCCCTCGATGTCAACTCTGCCCTCGTTAAATCGAGTCACACTGCTGAGGATTCATGACCCAGCCAGATGCGATCGTATGATGCCCCGACTGGTCACGATGCTTGCACTACCGCATGTGGTCCAAGAACAAGCACAGGTCTTCTATAAAAGCAGCCAGAAGGGCGCGTTTTCCATTCCTTTCTCATCTCATCCGCATTCGCCGGAAATCACCACGTATCAATTGACCAGTACCTTTCTTGTTTGCGATCGAAAAGGACAGTTTGCCCTCCGGTCCTACTCGTCCACTCTTTATTCCTTCGAGGATTTCAATTGAAAAGTCCTACCATCTCAGGGAGGCCCCTAGAAAATGACCAACATGCACCAATGTTGCCACGAACAAGACGATGACTCTTACGCAAGTGGCGCTGAGAATCATCGCCAGAACCTTGATCGACTCAACAGAGATGTTGCATTTTACGACCATATCAAACAGATCATCAGGGGGAGTTATGGGCCATCCTTCGGTGGGCATATATGCATGCCAGGTCACGCGTATGGCCTAGGCCACAATGGCTATGCCCATGGACCACCGTACAACCCATACGGTGGGCATTATGGACATCCAGGGTTTTCAGGATCGCGTGGTAAAAAGAGCTTCTACCCGCCGCAATACGACAATGATTCCGATTCAGGCGACGAATCTCCATCACCTTGGTACCCTTCTTCACCCCCTCCAACTTACGCGACCGGACCATTGTACACGTCAGGGCGACCTCGACGGTCGCAATGCGGCGGGCGGTATGGCCGAGGGCCCCGTAACCCATGGGCTGATGCCTTTGAGCATGACTACTATCGCTACCCGCCTATGCCACACTATCTGTGTGCGGGACATAAATATTGAGATGAGACTTATCAATTAACTTCAATAAACAAAACTACTCTGCTCTCTCAACTGTCCGCCATCGCTGATCATACCCGCCAATCCAATCATTGCTGTTTTGTTCTGCCTTGAAAGCGGAGGTCGTGAAGTGGGCAATTCAATATTGCGCATGATCAGGCTCTCTCGCCACACAAACGCGTTGCCTGCGTGAGAATATCCGTTCACTCTCAACGTGCCCAACTACCTGTCAAACCCCGAATCAAGCGTCAATGTGCAAATCGTGTACCATTAGTACGCATCCATGAAGCTGGTTGGCCCCCTTCTGTTTGCCATACCCGGCAGCCGAGCCGTTCCCCCGTGCATGTTATGATCCAGTAGCCAGTCAATCATGGACATGTGTGGCGCAAGAGCACATGGCGCGGACAGGTACGGCCGAACGCTTCGGTTGACTCTCAAACGCAATTTGCAGCCTGGCCATAAGTAAGATAAGTATGGGCAAGCAGAAGAAGAGAACGTCGACCACAAAGCCTACCCTTTGGAGTTCTGAAAAATTCGCCGAAACCGTCACCGCGTTCTTCTGGACTGAGTCACTATGTGTCTACTCTTGCATTGCTCATACACCTGTGCTCATCCGCCTGAAAGCGTTTTCAGACCTTGCTGGTCAAATCTTCGTCCTCATACAAACTTCCTCTCTGCCACTTCTCAACGCCCTTGGTCGACAAAACAAGATGTACCTCCGAAAGAATCTCCACTTCTAAGCACCGGACAAGCACCGCAGCTCGATGAAATCGTACTGTGTCCGCGGCTTTGGAAGAGAAACATTGAGTCCTCGACATGTGTTGTATGCACAGCACGAGATCTAGGAAGACCGAGGAGGAAGAAGAGGTTCTGGTGAGAAGCCAAACGGCATGAAATACCGCAGCATTCAACTCCACCCTGGTACATGAGCAAATACAGGTTCGAGCTCGATTTACCAATCCATGCGTACTAGTAGCTCCACATGATAGAACAACTGCGATCCTCTTTGCTTTGCTTCTCGAAAATACCTCCTGGATTTGTGATTGCTTACGGAGCCTTCCCGTTTCTGACCATCTCCGCCTCGGCCTGTCACTGCAGCTTCCGTAAGGCGACTCTCACGCGTTCGCTCTTTTTACCATCTCTTCCAAGCCGTTGAGTGCGTAGGTGAAGACTTCGGCGTCGCCTCACAAAGTCCCCGCGGATTCTCCCGTGGTTACTATACCGTCGCGCTCTAGGACGCTGAGGATCTGACCACGGGGTCTATTTCTTGTAGGCTGCAGCTCCATTTGCCGAATCTCAGCTACCGTGCAAGGTATATGCTATAGCTTTGAAGTTGGGCGGAGGGCTGGCTGAGCTGTCACTTTGGTTCGTTGGCTTACTCTGTTTATGGTAGAAGATTTGCGTGGGATATCTTGGGGCACGAGCGTTTGGGTCGTGGGGGATAATTATGGTGGCTGGAGAGGGGCAGAACAGCTTTGATTGAGATGATGTAGATCAAATTGTGTTTTACTTAATATTGAACAACAGTCACGTTTGAGACAATTTGAAGGCCTTGCGAAGGGGCAATCGCTTGCATAGACTATATGGGTCGTAAATCTTGGTGGTCGACGTCTCGTTTGCCCGTTGCGAGGCGCGAAACCGCATCTGACACAGTTCATGTACGACACTTCTGCGGCTCTCTCACTTTAGATCTTTCCAAAAAATTGACCAAATCACACACCTCCCAACAAACACGTGCACAGGGTAGTAACTGACAGCAGAAGATATGTAGTCATCTTGCACTAGAAACGTCACAGCAACACTTGTCTTCCAGAAGATCATATCTCCAGTTCACACGCCAGACCTGCATTTTGAAATTCTTCTGCGTATCATATTACCACGACATGAACGTTTTTTGGGTTGGTGAAAGTCAACTTGCATAGTCCAGTTTTAGTACCAAACGTACTCACTGTTTTTTTCTTTTGAGTGCTCAACAACGTAAACGCAGTAATCGCGACATACTCTACATTGCAAGATCTGCGTAGTAGAATTGAAAGTCTACTGACAGATCTGTCGTCAAACGCTTCTGCTATCTGTGTGATGAATGAACGAGCTGACAGCGACTCCGGCTCGTACTTATCGAGGCACCCAACACGAGGGTTCGGCGCGCATGAACGCTTAGAGCAGCCAGACGTTGACGGATGGTATTCTCTTTGGATATCGTTGGGCCAAGCAGTGTTTCTTCACTCGAGCACAGCGACTCCACTCTTCCGTCGAAGGCTTGCTGAATACTGTGTTCTGTGCACGCTCGGCCTCTCCGACGCCGTCAATGGCTTACATAGGAATGCTTGAGATTGCCGTATGGAGCACGGATCACGTGCAAGCGCGAAGAGGATGCGTTGTACTGTGATACCAAAGACATCACATGCCGACTTCAGCCGTATGCAAGGAGATTATGCACTCGATGATAGCCGTTGCTCGAGGGAGACGAAGCGTTGTCTGAAACAGAACCGGCGTTGGTGTTGCACTTCGGTCATTAGGAAATAAGTGTCTTGTATCGACACGTATTGAACATTCAGGGAGGCCATGAGCTCGCGAAGAGAGCGCACAAGTCGAGGCCAAAATTTGTGCCAGATAGTAAACTGCCTCATCGGTCATCGTATTTGCTCGGACGTGGGGCAGTGATTTAGCTTGCTATGGCTCGCCAATGATACGAATACTGATCTTGCGCATGCAGGTGACCCGTGGAGCTGCATGATCAGAGAGCGATCCTTCTACCCCACAGCGGGCTGTCCGGCTCATCGAACAATCTAGTCCCAGGTATTTGGGAATCAACCCTTATGTGCTACAAGGCTATGTGAGAGGTGGTAGCACGAACTGCACGAAGCACCCAGTAACCGGGTCCTGAGGGACTAGCGGCAAGCCGACTTCCGCCACGACTATCTCGGCCTCAACCGAGCTTGGAATGCACGATAACGAGAACCAATCGTCACCATCATGATGGCACTCTAATATCGAGAAGGCACTGTTGAGCGGTATAGATTTTCAAGCGGTCGATCGGAGGAACCGGATCTGTGGGAAGCCTTGCGAGTCGAAATGGACAGGTGCAGTAACCGATATTAGCAAACAGGCTGGTTGGCATGAGGTTCATCCCGGCGCTTGCATACGAACGGTGCATCCTGTATATGCCTGGAGAGGTCAGTTGTGCTGGCCGAAGTCGGGGTAAGGTCCCGTTGGTAGAATGGCTTTGTGGTAAGCTGAAGCAGATAAATCCCGTTTGAGAGTAGCAGATGTAACAATCGAAAGGAACCACACTGGTCTGTGGAACCAAGGTTAACACCCGCAGCGCCTCAAGATGATGGTGAGCACAGATTCTGTTGGTAGAGGTTGCACAGGTCATCTGCTGGCCCCGCGACTGAAGGGCAGCAGTGAGAGGGCGCGCTCTGGTGTTCTTGTGTCAAGCTAACGGCGACCAGTCTGGAGAGTCCTACAGTGGAGGGGTCGACGGGTGCTTGCAGAGCTTCAACTGTTTGTACGCAGTCGGTGTCCGTCAGACACGTTTCAGATGCTGGTTATCATGGCCCAGGGACATGGCCCGGGTCCCTTGTACATTTAAACCCCTGGTACTGAACATACCCTGGAAGAAATTTGGTCGCTGAACTAGAGCGCCAGCGACGGAAGATCCATCAGCGAGGCGAAGAAAGTCAGAAATCCCTTTGTCGCAATCGTGATAGTCTTCGGTGCACCGTGCATGGCAACCCCGTTTTGGCAGTCACAGCAGCTTGCATCTCGTTTCGAACAAGCGTTGGAGGGAGTGTTGTGCCGCTAAGACCATTGTGAAGTCGAAAGTGGTACCACTCCAGCAGCAACATCTTGCGTTGTGATGGTGCGGACAAAGATTGGAGTGAGTGGCTCTTTCGAGCGGCGGAGCTGCAGGCTTGTGAGCAGCTTGCATCCGACGTTGCGTTGGATCGGCGACCGCAGATATGAGCAAGATTGCCATGATGCCGTAAAATCAAAGAACCAACAAACGCCGACGACGGCAGTGGAAGTTGACGTCGACGATGCCAGGGATGAAGCGCAAACGCTGAGGGCCCCGTCGATTTATCGGTCGCGGAGGTTAACACCATACGGTAAGAATTCCAGTCCCTTGTACACCATGAGGCTGGGCTGCATGGCTTCTTTTGTGTGGTGAGCGAACGGTCTAGTTGCTCACAACATGGGCCGGATATTTTCTTTTGCGCAGGTCCACAGTGCAGGGGTGAAGAACGTGATGGTATTCTGCCGACCCCGGGGCTCTGCTCCGCTTGAGAGAGAAATCATGGCGGATTGCGCAAGACTGCTGAGGTGTTGAAAGCGCTGCTTCTGGAGAGTGGGGCGGCTGACGTTTGAGCAACACAGCCGCAGAGAAACCGCCCACGGTCCCATTCGGGGTAAGAGCCCGGAGTGATACGGCATCAGCGGTCTAAGAATATCGCCAACTATTTTGATCACTTTGCTGAGGATCAAGAGCCTGAGCGTGCAAGGGGACGCAGGCGTTTGGACTGCTACGCTCTCTGGAGCGTGGTCGTGGAGTTGGGATGGACGGCAGCGGGGCATTTGGGGGGCGCGCCGTCCCCGCCGTACGAGACAGAGACAGCCTCATCTCCCATCGCGCCTCCCGGCACGCGTCATTGCTTCTTTCACGTCCATACCGAAGTGGCTGTTACATACAAACAGTCCGTTTGTGAAGTGGCAGGCGCGATGCGCGAGCGAGGGAAAGAGCGTGCTGAGCAGGGGAGAGCTCATGCCATGGCATGGTCGCCTCTCGAGGGAACCGAAACGCGCCCACGTAGGACAGATACGGCTCCCTTTGCTGGCTTGTTGTCATTGTCATCGTCATCGTCGTCGTAGCGGTCGCGGGCAATGCGCTGTGCCTGGACGGAGGCTGGTGGGCGTGGCTTTTGGGCGATGCGCAGGTAGCCGCAGGGATCAGGATTAAGGTTAGCTGCAAGCCACTCCAGGAATAGCAGCCCGGTCGCTCGCTTGACCCACCCAAGCCCATCTCGCTGCTCACCACACTCCATCAAAGCCTCCCTTTGCAGCGTTTTCCCATCGACGCGGCGCTCAGATGGGGCGCTGTGCACAAATGCCGTGCATTGGCTGCCATGAGCAGCCCGTCTTCCGTCATCTCAGCGGCCACACAGTGCCCGGTTGACCGTGCACCTCCCGCCGGGCTGGAGGCTCACGGCGACCCTGGCAGATGTCGTTGGTAGAGGCCGTGTAGACGCTGCTGAGTACCGTCTAAGCTAAGTTGCTGTGTATATCGTTATGGACGCTTCTGCCGCGCTGCGCATTCACGCTATCTTCATGCTCAGCTCACATAACGCCGTCGAACTTCACCACCACACCGTTCAGTCTCAACCATATCTCCCTCGCCTGCACTGCTCAGCTATTCGTCATCGCAGTACCCGTTTGCATTTCCTACACAATTACCCATCTCTCCACAATTAACGCCTCACGGATTGTGTCTCGACGCACTGGCCCCGGTCCTCCACATCCGCGCTCCCATCCATTGCAGAGGTCTTAGAATCCCATTGCACGACTCAGGAACCGTCCGCCTTCAGACGATTCTTGGCTCATAGCTTTGCTGTGTCTGAACCTGCATTCTGGAGCTGTCTTGCCTAGTCATCGCTCGCAGCCACAGCTGTCTGACCATATCGACCACTCACACGTCACCCTCATCCCCAGCTTACTCCTCAGCTCGCAGCACTGCGCCGTCCCAGAATCTTCTCAGTGTACGAGGGCCGCAAAAGAACATCCTTTTCACAGCTGGCTCGGCTACCCACCGTGTACTGATCTGACCCCGCCAGAGCTTGCACTACGTAGTGCTCAACGGCGAAAGCTCAAGCAGTTCGAGAGGGGCGTGCCCCGGCACTTGCTGGTCGACTAGTCTACCACGCTGGCGGGACCGGTAATCACCAAGAGTCATCCCGAACCCCCAGAGCCCACTGTGCACGCTCGTCCTTGCATTACCGCCTCTCCTGCGTCCTCTACGTTGACCAATCTCACCCCTTACCGTTGGTTTGGGTTGCTTCGTAGCCTCTCGTGCATACTGCAACTATCCGCTATCAACAATCGCCCACTCCATTATCGCGCCTTCATAACCCGGCTGTTCGTCTGCCCTCCTGTAGGTAAGGCTGCCCGGCCTCTACCACACTGGCCAGCCCACGGCCTGTCTCGACTTCTTTGTTTGCTATGTAAGTCATAACGTTTGTCACCTTCGAAATGCGGGTCGCATATGCGACATCTGATGTTCAGGAACTCACTGTCATTTCAGGACCTGGCATTTGATCTGAATCAAGTCTCGCCTGCTACCAGCAGCACGCTTCTCTTTCCCTCTTTCGGCACATCAGATCTGTTGTGATCCAGGATCCGACTAGGCGAAGAACAGAACTTACCGTGTAGGACATCGACATTCAAAGTTCCCCTGATTCCCGGATGAATCGACCTTCCAAACATCTTGGTCCTCTGTCTCTGGATATCCTTCTTCCGTCACTCCCATCGGTTACAAGGCCCACTTCCAGTGTCTTCGAATTCCAGTCCTGTCATTACGAGCGCGAAACTGCCAGGCAGCTCGTTGCAACATCCTGTCACAGGCCTACATTGATTCCTCGTTGGTGGCCCGCCTTCGTCTTGCATCCCCAGACTTGGACGAACACCCTGGTGTAGATCGCCACGGCGCCATAGACCACGAACCGCACACCTGTAACTGCTCCTAGGCGCTCTAGGAGACCGTCAAACTGGCCTGTACTATCCAGCCTAGCTATCAGGTAAGCCCTCACCCCTGTTCGAGCCTGCCTTTTTGCCTTTGCATATGGTCCGGCTATATTTGCTGTTGCCTTGAGGCCGGCCTACAACGAACAAACTGCTGACTCTACTCGGGTAGTCTGATAGCTTTGGTGCGCCCTTTCTTAGAGGCGTCGCATCAGACACCGAGCAATACTTCGGTGAGGGCTTCAGAAGTAGCCTTCCAGGAATACATTCTGCCTTAGGCACGAGTGTCTTGTCCATGTCCGACTACGGCAAAAGCCAACAATATGTGTATGGTAAGTGCACTTTCGTTCATATGATGTATTTATGTGGCAGCTGCCATGATTTTGGTCGGATGGACCCCTTTGTCCACCACGTGAGCTCTACTAGCAAGGTTAACTGACCGCGCACCCCACTAGACGCCGAAGCCACAAGATCGAATCAGGTTCCGAGCTACCCTGGTATTGCACAGCCATCGTTCCCCTCCTCATATACGGATTCATCCACGCGTCTAGTCCATGAGCACTCGAACGCAGACATGCCTTATATCCCTAGCTCGACGTACGAATCACGCGGCTCGGGCGATCTTCTGCCTGCTACCTCATTTATCGATGCAGCATCTCGTCATCCTGCTCCTCATACATCTACTGAAACGGAAATAACGCACTTCGCTACGCCTACGCAAGGCACCGCTAGATCGACCATCAGCCTCCAACTCCGAACGAATTACGACCTTGCTGCAGAGAACTTCACTTTCATCCTCATGTTTGGCAAGAAGGCCTGCGTCGCAGACCTGCAAAAGGTGGCCTACGACGATGACTGGCATAACTACGTGCTAAGCGTGGAGGTTCCTCCCTTTCCGTTGACGAATGAATGGAATCCTGCCATGATGCTGAAGCTACAGATGGAAAAGGATGGCCAACTTCGCTACCAGGCAGACGCTGGCAAGTTCACATTTACCGATATGTCTAATGACCTTGCGTACCAATCCGCGTCCGACTTCTCCAAGAAGCGCAAGTACTCCGCAGATTTTGGACACGACGTAGGCTTCGACACTATCGCTGCAAAGCGTCAGAACACATTCCGGTATCAAGAAAAGCCACGGTCTATGACCGGAGCCTACTCGACTGCACAGCTGTCGCCCTTGCCAGCACAGTCCTCGCTGTCTGGTGGATATGTTCAAGCCGGAGGATATGATATGAGCAGAAGCAGCACTTACTCCTCTCAACTGTCACAGAAAGGCCTTTACGCAGTTCCAAGTATGAGCCAAAGCGACCTAAAACCTCCACAGGTGTCGCCTGGGCTGCAACCGTACAGCCATTACAGCTCTCTTGCGCAGCCCAATCGTAGCCCAAGCTCGATAGCTGCAACACCAGCAGGCATATCGGTTCTGCCATCGCCGACCAACATTCCGGCTCCTACCCTAGTTCGAGCAACTTCGCTTTCGCAAACCGGAGGGCCATCGAACGGTCAACCCTTCAACCCTTATTCTATGTATCAGACCAAGGCAGCCCTGAAGATCGAGGGCGACCTTGACAAAATGAGCGAAGACTGGTCGCAAGAGGAGGTCGACGCGAAAAGAAGACTTGTACAATTCGAGCGCTCTCAACAAGGCAGTACAATCTCAACAACATTTGCGCCCATCGCACCCGAAGCCCGGCCAACGAGAAGCATCTGTGTGAGCTGTATCTGGTGGGAAGAGAAGGACGACTACTTCATTACCAGCGTGGATACCATTTTCCTCCTGGAACAGCTGGTGAATGTGCGCTTCACCGTTGAAGAGAAAAATCGCATTCGCCGCAATCTTGAGGGCTTCCGCCCGCTCACGGTGTCGAAAGCCAAAGCAGACAGCGAAGAATTCTTTAAGGTCATCATGGGTTTTCCCGCTCCTAAGCCGCGAAATATCGAGAAGGATGTGAAGGTTTTCCCGTGGAAGATACTTTCCCACGCTCTGAAGAAGATCATCAGCAAATATGTAAGTCGCTCCTCCGCTATGGACGGCACAGAACTGATAACTCCCAGTCCGCAAGCTACGCCTCGACAGCTGGCGCTGGATCGCTCCCTATCGCATCAACGTCGTCTTACGGCTCGAGCGGACTTGCATATGCATCAGGTAGCATGCATCGGAACACCTCGCCGCGATCGGTTTCTGCATCGATGGCCTCAGCTGCCTACACGCCCAGTATGACATCCTCAAGCTTATCTCCCAACTTCAAGATGTCAGCAGGCCTAGAAGGATCATCAGGACATGGCATGCCGACCCCGCAGAGGACACCCTCAGGACAAAGCATGACTCAGTGGGGACCAGGAGCTCATCAGATGGCGCATTACCCATCATCCCTGACACAAGGAGGGCGTGGATCTTGGGACTACGGATACATCAGCAGTCCTGCCGTAGCTGGTGTGCCATCAGGTTCACAAGCACTTCGATCAGACGGCACACCCGACATCAGCCAGATGTCGGCAGAGGACGCCTACCAGCAATATGGCCACCGTACTACGAGGGTGTAGGGATTCGAGGGTCAATAACCTGGCACAATGCACTCCATGTCACCATCATAGCGGTGAGTGGTGGGTGGGCATGCGCGTCGGCTGATCCACTCATCGATCATGCGTACCCCACGCGCTAACCACATCCGGGACTCTGCACACCACCACTTCACATCGACACTGCCTCGTGCGACGCGCAAACACCACACACCTCGATTCTCACCGCCAGCATTCGGGTTCTTTGTTATCTTTCATTTCGGTTCTCGACGTCAATACGGACTTTGGCGCGCGCCTTGTTTCTTCCATCTTCAAACAGGTACTGGACAGCATCACACACGATACCCCGGAGGACGGCGTCTGAGGCTTATTCTTTACTTAACTTCTCTTATCAGGCTCTCATGTATCCATCCGCACGGTCACGGCGTACGAGCGCGCAGCCCATGTGATGCTGGCAGGCATCCGCACCCACGACGGCTGTGCAGCAGACTAGGGACAAGAACTGCATCATAGAGGCGTTTTTGGCGGGTTTTCTTCAGGACGCAGGCTGTTGCCTGTGAGGCGGTCGTCGTTTCGGATTGAATTTGTAACTTTCAATTTCGGTGCGCGGTTTCGGTTCCTCAGGCATACTTAGACCCCATTGCATACCCCGGGCGGCAGTGGGCGTTATTTCGTTACGTTTCGTTCGTTCGCACCTACCGAGATTCCCCTTTCTTTTCCATATCGGCGGTAGCGTACCCTGCGCAATTCTGTTCTCGAAGATACGGCCCTTTAATGCTACTTGACTCCCCCTAAACACACTGTGCACCTGCTCGTACATAACGGTATCCCTGCATCCACGTCCCCGTCTGCATTACGCGCAGCCGCGAGACCCATGTCAACACGGATGCGCTGCGCCACCAGGCAGCCTCGTGTCCGCAGTTGCCTGTTGCCTGTGCGCCACGGTCCGTGCCGCAGCGCCCTACTGACTTTGCCTGGCCCGGTCACTCCGGAAGCCGCCGGAGGACTAGTCCTGCGATGCAAAGGTGCCAATGTGGTGCTCTTTCAGTGCTGGTGCGTACGTAACTCAACCTCGCGCTTCGGCCGAAAGGTTGGGGGCCATAGCCGGGGCCAGATGGTCCTTTAGCGACTCTGCGATGGCAACGTTAGGCCTTATACAGCGAATCCACAGAGGTGACTTGGGTTTCCGTGACAAAGGATGTGGTGAATTGAGAGAGGCTCTTTGATGGGAAGAAGGGGCACCGGCGTTGGGGACATAAATCAACTTGAAAGGAAGTGGCGTAGACAATATCTGGAGAGAAAAGCAGATAATTATTTCACCATCTATACACACCAACGCCATGAATGCGAACCCCAAGCTGTGACCCATACGCCGAGTTGAAAGAACCCCATATGTACAGCTTCCTTCTTCACTTCTTGAACGCTCAGTCTAACTACTCCCCAAAATCCGCTCATAAGCATCTTCCACTTCTCTCGCAATCTCCAACAACGTGACGATAACAATCTGATGCGTGACATTCGGCAATCGATCGCGATGCAACCCAATCCACTCCAACGGGGGCGTCGCTTCACCCATATCCCTCAGCTGCGGCGTCTCGATGACTGGTGGCTCGAGGGGCGTGTACTCGTATCTGCTCTGCGGGACGTTGACGACGGCGGTGATTTTCTCCTGCTCCGAGTCCGGGTCATTCGGGTTTGGGCTCGTGCTGACCGAGAGCGCGCGGGAACGGTTCGGACCAGTATTGGCAGCCGTGTTGCTTGCCGTGAGCTCTTTGGTGTCGTTTGCGCCGTCGGTGCCAGGTCCATCGAGTGTCTGCCCCGTGCTGATTTTGATGTTGCTCTCCGGTAGCGGTTTGCCGAGGCGACTTGCAAGCGAGCGACTGTGATTAGTCCATATCTGTCTTATGTGGCTGATGCGGCTATAGTTCCAGCCCACATCCACCTTCCCCTCGAGACTGCTCTTGAACACGTAGTCGATGTGGTTGTTCTTGGGAATCTGCCAGGTGTGCATAGTGGCTATGACTCTGGGGACGCGGAGGATGGTACCACCGCGGGCGGAGCGCGCGGTTTCGACGATGTCTTCGACGGTCAAGTCGGCGACAGATTTGGGTGTCTTGCGGTTCGGGACTGAGGAGAGCGCTACGGAGAGCTGGCCCAGTGTCATGCCGAGGCTGGAGTGGATTTTGGATGTTTCGAGCGCGACGGCGAAGCGCGCTTGCATGTCGCCTGCTTCGAGCTTGAGGACCACGTTGTCGAGGAAGGTGCCGGGATAGACGCCCAGGTTAACGGAGCGAAGGGTCACAACTACATCTGTGTGGAGAGAGATGGGTGCCTTGAAAGTGTCGTCTTCCTCGAGCTCGGCGGCAATCATACTCTGTGAAGGAGAGCGACCAAAGGCTTGGGAGACCGACGATTTGCGCCTCAGGTACTTCTCAATATCCTTGAGCGATTGCATGTAAGCTTGCTGATTTTCTTGCACGAGTCGCTCGATGGCTTGATACAGAGCAAGGCCCTGGGCCGCACTCGTGGCTTGGCCGAAGACATGCACCTTGTCACCGTCAAGGATGGCAACAAGGCGGTCTTGGCCCGAGCCGTCGTCGTCGCGAACGTTGTACATGAGAAATTCGAAATTGGCAATATCGGCGACAGCAAAAGCCTGATAGTCGAAGCCAGACTTGACACGCAGTTGACTGAAGGCAACGGACGCTTGTATGAGTGGTGTAGACCGCTTGTCTGGCGCTCGTTCCGGCCATCTGATAGACGTTCGCACTTTAACGCCAGCCAGCTCTGCAAAGCCGCTCGTGCGACCCGTGCTCTCCAGGCCAACTTTTTCGATACCAATGCACAAGTTCTGTTCCCAGTCGGTGCCTTTCGTCGATGAAGCCCACACGTTTTGGATGTGCAGCGAAGACCTGCCGATGGCTTGGCCAAGATCGAGATCGACTTTCACATCTGCAATAGCCACGTTGGCGCTCCACGGGAAGGCTGTTGCAGTCGTGACCTGCTGGTAGCGTTGCATCAAGTACTCTTGTGGCTCGGGATCAGGATTGACGTTCGCGTCTGCTGGGTGAGGCGATTGCCTAATTTCGGGTGGGATCCAGATCTCGCGGAACAACAAGAAGTCCTGTAGCTGTCGAGCATTGATCTGCAGTACTGTGGGACTGATCTTGAGGATGGCAGAGATACCGCTGGTACCACTTAAATGCTTACTGTTCATCAATGATAGAACAATCGATTCCACGTCGAGACTGAATGTCGACTCGCGTGAGTACACGTGCTGGACAGTGGCATTGAGCTTCGTGAACGCGGCAGATGCTGCGAAGAAATGCCCATGCTCCTGTGATTTTACACTGTTGACCGTAACATAGATGTCCTCGAGCTTGGCAATAGCTGCGACACGCGCAATCGGCTGGCAACTGAGACTAAACTCTTGTTTGCAAATTCTGAGACCGAGATTGAGGCTAGTTCGACCCAGGAGAGCCGAGGGGTCAGCGTTGATGATGTTGTTATCCTCATCAAGTAACTTTGCGGGGGCCTTCACTTGGACCTGCGACTTCTGTTCCTGCAGCGACTCGGAAGAATCATCACTGTCCTTGTCACGAACAACAGCCTTGATACTGTCCGAGATGTCGATGATGATAGGGACCACAGTTGGCAGTAAAGTATTGCTAGAACCATCGACGCGAAGCTCAGCGTTTAGCGATGGATCATGCCCTTGGTCCTGGTACTCTACTCGTAGCGCAACACCAGGAGCTCGGAGGGCAAGACTGCTTTTCGAGTCATCGCCAACGAATTGACTGTATCTTCCCTTTTGTTGTGATCGATGCGACGCTCCATGTGTGGATGGACCTTCTCGTCCATTGATGTGCACAACAGCTCCAGCAAAGTTTGCGTCCACTGTCAGCGATGACAGTCGCTTGTTGCCGAAGGGGCTCTTCCGTTGCGCGCCAGACGTGGTAGGGGTCACGCTCCAATTTGCAGAAGCCTTGCGAAATTTCATACCTGCAAGCGCGATCGAGCGCTCAATCATGTTGGCAGGAAGGATGAAGTGGGAGTCGAGCTGAAGGTCTAGAGCTTTACCGGCGGCGTGGAAAGCAAGATTTCGCGTGTCCTTCGTCGAAGCATAGGCTACATTGAACTGCATCTTCGGCAACAATGCTGAGTTGAGCGATCGTGCCTTCTTGTCAGCAGATATAGGCACCATCTGCAGCTGCATGTCTTCGATCATCAGACGCGCCGCATCATCCTTTTGCGTGGAGAGGTTGATGAATTTGAAGGACAAGACGAGATCTTCGGGTTCAGTGTTCGCAAAGGGTGCAATAGAGTTGCCCACTATCCACGTGGCTTGCAGGTCGAGTAGCTCCATGGAATAGGTCGAGGTGAACAAGGCGCCCGAGTCGATGCTGTCATTATCGGCATCCGCAGGGCTCTTGACGCTCTTGGCACACTTGCTTGAGAGTTTGCTCCTAGTATGGCGTAGCCTTCTGAGATACTTCTTCTCCTTGGATAGATCGAGATCCTTGATCTTATCTTGTAGGTGGTTCATAACGTCCACGACAGCCGAAGCAGTATCAGCAAAGGCGTTGATCTCCAGACCCGAGCTGCGTATACGATACAGTCGTCGCTGAGGATCTGAGTCCTTTTCTGTCGTGGCTTGGAGGATTGCGCTGAACGTAAGATTTCCGCAGCGTCGCATCGACCTCCCATGCTCCAGCGTTATATCCACAGTGACTTCGTGTATCCGCACGATGGCTTCTGGGAAGATCATTGCGTTGCCATCCGAGTCTATGTTTGTAGCCTTCAACTGCACGGATGACAAGCGGAAGGCCAGATGCGCGGTTGGAGAATTCGAGTCTTTCGCAGGTGCTATTGCAACTACATTCATTCCGGAGAAAGTCATCTGTACTCCAAATAGCACGTCTTTCGAAGCCGTAGGTGGCTTTGCAACATGACCGTCTGCACTTGGCGGGAAGATCTCTTGGATGTGGGTCTTCAGAACTTCTACATCGTCTTTGACCGCATCCAGCATTTGAATAATCTCGGGCTTGTTCATTGTCGTGACAAAAGCCTGCATCTCCGAGGCCTGGATCTGAATGACATCGATGATCCCGGAAGCCGTGATACGCGTTTCCTGGTCAGTCTGCGAAACATTGAGTCGGCCATTGACGGCCGGTAGCTGCAAAGAGCTGATGATATGTGAGCCCTCGTCAGACGTACTATACAACCTGTGGTAACTGGCGTCAAGATCGTAGTCAACGCGAAGGGTGACGTTCTTGCCGAGCGTTGGCACCACGGCGATGCGTCCCGATTTCCCCGATATAGACCAGCCAAGAGGATGAAGTAGCGCAAGCTCAACTTGATATGCGTCCATGAACAATGCCAGTGTGATATTGGGAAGTTGTGCGTCTTTGACCTTGTTGATCTTGGGCTGTACGTCCTTCTCCCTTTTCGTGATGGTTTGCATTGCCTTTGCCTGGCGCTGAAAGTAGACGACTTCGTCTCGGAGCACAGAATCGACTACCTCGACAAAACCCATGATATCCTCTTGGACCTTGATGATGATCATTTGACTAGTGGCGGCAGCTTTGATCTCGTCGGGGATGTTGCTGCCTTTCTCGTGTTCAACAAGGGCGAAGTAGAGACTTGGCCGCTCGAACTGCGCCTTGGCAAGCGATCGCGAGCGCGAAAATATCTCACCTACGGCTAACTCGAGGTGTAGGTGAGCACTTAGGGTCTCTCCAAGGTCTGAGGGCTTCTTGTTCGCATCTACGAACGAGAAGCGTAACCGGCGTCCGGTCATAACGCTTCGGAGATTGATCGTGTCCAGGATGATCTGTGACTTATCTGTAGCAAAGATTATTTGAACATCTTGGTGATGAGCCGTCTTCTTGCTCTGCTTTGGCGGACTGGCTTTGGACAGCGCCGTCGTATCAAGCGCAATTTCTTCTTTAAGGAACAAGTTCGTGAGTGCTTCTGCAAGCTCACAAATCTCCCAGTGGATGTGGAACAGAGTCTCTCTCGAGCTGATTTGCACGGTAGATGATCTCGTAGGGGTGTCTGTGGCCACTACCCCGAGCGCATCTGGCTCTTTTACTGGTGGCAGGAGTGCAACATTGATTGCAAGGATGACTAGCTCGACCTCACTTTGCTTCGCTCCAGGGTCGATTATCAGCTTCACTCCGCCAGACTTGATGTCAAGATACAAAGGTGCCGAGTCCGGTGTTGGTAGACTGTCTACGACATGGCCGAAAAGCACTTTCATAGCGAGACTCTTGTCGACGTGTGCAAGATCCCATGTTCGCCATTGATCCCACATCGCTATGATATCTTCTTCGGCGTCTTCGGGACAGCCTATGGTCCGCTGGGCGCACTTCCTGGTCAAGTCGTGCTTCTCGTATGAAGGCAGACATTGCCAAGTATGGCGGAAGCGTGAAATGATCTTCCATGAATCGTGACTTCGCAGGTGATCTCTAGCCGCACGCAGAGCGTACGAGGCCTTGGTCAGGAAAGCTGGATCAGCGTACTGATCTTGCACGCTCGTAAGGTACCACGCCAGGTAACGTAGCCTGTCGTCTTGTCGTTCATCAGCTTCAACGAAGCCGATTGTCAGCTCCTCGGCCAGTATTGTTGTGCGGTGGGCCAGTGACGCGAGGTACTCGATCTTTTTGCTGGCCGCAGCAGTTTCGAATAATCGGAAAGAGATGTTGATCGAACTTTCTTTGTTCATCAGGGACCAGACCATGACATCTCGCAACTCGGCTTGTACTGCAACACCCTCGCTTGGACCTTGCAGAACACGCTCCGTCACTGAGAGCCCTAGGGACCCCAACGTGGTATGCAAGGCCAGAGAGTCTTCGCCGGCTTGTTCTCCAGGGAATTTCTTGATTCGTGCAGCCAGCTCAAGATTGTTCGCGATGAAATCGTATTGATCCTTCCCAGCTGGCGAGGACGGACTAGGGCCAAAGCCATGGTGAAAGCGAACATGAGCAAAAGGCACTCGTACGTTGAACTCCAAAGAGCTCCCAATACCCTCGAGCCGTGACCTGTTATCCAAGATCTTGCCCATAACCTTGACCTGGAAATCGTCTAGCAGATCTTCAGGGCGCTGAGGTTGAATGATCTCCACCAAGTTGGAGATACATTTGATGAAATCCGGGGTGCAATAGATCCGGATGCCGGGTTCTGTACTTATGAGGAGGGAGGTGTGTGCGAAGGTTTCATCCAAGTGCCCGGTGAACACATCATTCAAGACCAAGGTATCGCCCCGCTTGTTCCGCGAAGGTGGCGGTAGTTCAGGAACGGAAGGGACGTCGGTCAGATCAGGATACACCTGCTCCAATGGAAAGTACGGGGGGGCTAAGGAACTGGAAAGCGCCACAGAGGTAGGAGCGAGGTTGCGTCTCAATCGTTCCTGCTCCTCTGCTGGTGTGCAGAACTGACTCTCGCTCTCTGCACGATTTGAGGAGCCACCAAGTAGAGTGCGGCTTCTACTGGACTCTGCAGTGGCAACAGTATGCTTACGTTTGAGGGAAGATCGAATGCTCCCGGCGAGCGAGCCCTTCGATACTGACCGCGTCGAGTTTGCGCCGGATCGTCGGCCTCTGGGCAATGACTCGTTGGTCAGCGAAGCTGTAGATCTCATGGACATTGTCTCATTCGTTCGTGGTCCGTAGAATAAGATTGGCTGTGGTATGTCCGGAAACTGCATCGCTGGTGGGCGTACACTGTTCAGTGCGGCCTTTGATGGATGAAAAGCGTCATCGAATTCGTGTTTAAACATGAAGTTGGCTCGGTTGGTGCGTTGATCCTGCTCCCGCATGTGTGCCTGCTGTCTCTCGCGGTCTGCCGTGAAGTCGAGCTTCCGCTTGAGCATGTTCAACGACAATGTGGTTTGGAAGAATGCATGGGTCTCGACGATCTGCTTTTCACCTGCGCGTGCCCGGTGACGTGACGCTGATCGGGCATCGACAGCCCCGATAGTCAACTCCGGCACACAAGCCGATAGGCGCTGGGAGAACGTTGGACCTGCAAGGTCATTGAAGTCTAAGGTTATGGCGCTGGTTTTGACCAGCAGGGCTTCTGGCGCAACGTGAAGCCACAGATGAATGTCTTGTGTCCTTAGTCTAAGCAGGGTAGCATCATGGACAATAGGAATCTCGGTGAGTGGCAGCGAGTTCTCATCGTCGTCGAGGGTGAATGCAAACGACCGTGCTGCTCCAGCAGCTGTCTCAATGAAGGCGGGTGTACATTCTCCAGAGATTTTGCCAACATCAAAGTCCCAATTACAAATGTAGGTAGGCTCGGTAGGTGGAAGACCGAACAAACGATGACCAAACATAACGATGGAGTCTATGAAGAGCTCCGTCTGTCCACTTGAGGATCCATGAAGCTGTTCCGAACTGGACTCTGGGCTAGCAGGTGGCTCTGACAGGGAGATGCTGATCGGGCTGAAGTTCACCATCAGATCCATGTAGTAGTTGGTGAAGCGAAGGTCCGCCGATATATACGGCAGATCGGCTCGAATGCTGCGTTCGGCTGAGTAGAGATTGGCGGGCACGAGGATGCCAGCATCATCCACTGACAGGCAGAGAATGACGTCGAGATCGTTCGATATCTTGACGGGCTGCTTCTCAGCGTCCTGTCCGTCTTTAGATAGACTGGTGCTTGGGAGTCCTTGATACTCCTCGAGCGTCTTGAAATGCATGTCGTCGCCAAAGTAGTTGTCTTTGATCTTCATCAAGTGATGGATGAGCCAACCATATAGCTCCAAGGTGAGTTTGTGTCCCTGTATGTCGAGATACAGCCTGTCCGTGTTCATTGGATCTGTGGTCGTGACGTATGTGTACGATCCGACCATAGTCAGCCCGCCAAGTTTGGCCAGCTTGGGCGCTTTGAGGAATGTCCGAAGCGTGTTTTTCGAGGGCATAGAGACCTCGAGGCTCATGTCTTCGCCACGAACGTCAAATTCGATTTGGTTCTCGAGTGGCCGGAACTTATCCAAGGGTATGGTTACATCTCCACGCAGATGCTGACCCGATAGAATGACAAAGTTGTTGTCGTCAAGGTCTGCCGGGTTGTTGACGATATTGGAGTCATTGGCATTCATGAAGAGCTTGAAGTTGTTGAACTCGACATGCAAGAGGTAGCGGAAGGGCACAAAAAGGAAGTAGTCGGGCGGTGGACCAGCACCCCAATCAGCAACCAAGTCTGTCAACAAGAACAGGTGATCTCTGAGTATGAACAGCTCGAGGTCTTGACATTTGATGTTGAACATCCATGTTCGCAACGTGTTCCAGGCTAGGGGTGCTGACAGATCGCAGTTGAGCGCCATGTTCGCAGACCGCCAGAGCAGGCCATGGTTGACACTAGATGAGATCTCTATACTCGGAATCGATACATCCAGCTTGTTGCCGAAGCCTTGTTCGGATGCGACCATGTCCATGAGGTAATTGACAGTGGTGTCGCCGGCAACCTTGACGTCGATCCAAGCAAAAGGGCGGACATTTTGTGCCGCAGTAGTATCTCTCTGCTTGCCCCGGCGTTTTCGAGACTTTCCCTTTCCCTTTCCCTTGTCGTTTGCCGACTTTTCGTGCGCTGCCAGCGTGTGGGCTTTGCCCTTCCACTTCCAGTCTTTGGATGGTTCCCGGACTGGTATGCGAAGTATTGTATCATCTTTGATGCACAGAAATATCTTGAATATTGAAAGTGCCCGAAAATCTCCCGTCTTCAGCGCCACGGCAGGCACAGCATCGACGCGTGCACCCGGGAAAAAGATGTTCTGGAAGACACCTCTGTGCCTGTCTGCCCAGGGTCCGTAGTTGATTGTCCCACCGTAAATCTCAATGTCCATGCCGTAGTGTGGAGGGGTGCTGCCGTTGATGTCGTTCGGGCGGCTAGGGTCAACGAACATGCCATTGTCGATTTCAGCGGGAACTGGACCCGTCACGTCCCAGTAGAAGTCGAAGTTCACAGAGGGAATATCGGCGATGAGTGATGTTTTGGCATATTCGATTCCATCCCATTCGCCATGGCCGTCATTCTGACTATCATCCAGGTAGCGCGCTAGACCCTTCCATCTTTCCTGGCCTGGGAAGTGCCATTGAGGAGTGAAGTATTTGCTGCTCTTCGTAGCAGATTTTGAATGCGTGTGCACTGAATCTGACGATCTTGAGAAGAGACCAGACAGGAAGGGAATGTTCTTCGACCATGGTTTCCGCCTCTTATACGTGACATCTTTTTCAATGATCATCTCTTCAGCGATACCGTTCCCCGACTCTTTCTTGTACTGCGCGGCCGAGTCGAGCTGACTGGACTTGTAGTCCGGGTTCGGTTTCATGTGCACAAGCGGGTGGGTGACTGAGAAGGAAAAGAGCTGCTGGTAGACGTCAAGAGGCCCGCTTGAGTCGGCGTCGAGGACACCGGTGGCTTTCTCGAACTGCGCTGTGATTACGGCCAACGTGTTCTCGTTTCCAACAACGATGGCACCCTTCGTGACGTCGACATGGACGGGCAGGAGTTTGAGGAAGGCGGGTAGGTTGTCCTTCTTCGGCGTGGAAGCGGTCGAGTGGCTTGTGTCGGGGCGCAGAGCATCTTTCTCCTTCTCGGGGGGGTTCTTCCTCGGCTTGTTGTGATGCTGCTCATCCTCGCGTGACGTGTCAGACTGCGCTGCTGAGCCATTACGCGAGCCACCGGTGGTGGAGGTGCGGCCATTGACCGACTCGCCAGTGTCGGTACGGGCTTTGCGCTCAAAGGCTTCGACGATGCCATCGTACGCTGGACTGCGGTTGTACATGAAGGCCTCGAGGCCAGAGACCTTGATGGAGATGCGGCATGGCAGCTGCTTGGGCGTCTGCTTGCCTCCTTTCTCCGCCTTGTCCAGGTTCCCGCTCCGACTGGGCGAGGGTGATGGCGAGGTGCTTGGCGCATGGCTGCTGTCATCGTCGTCGTCGGTGTGAGAGTCGACTTGGGCGTACACCTTGGCATTCCTCGCTCGCCGCAGCCAGTAGTTCCAGGTGATGTAGCCTCCGTGGACCAGAATCGTCTCGTTATGGCCGTGGTAGCGTATATCCTTGAAGAAGATGCGGCCAGCAAGGGGGGAGATCTGCAGGCCGGTGATGTCGATGTAGGCGTGGAAGTTGCGCCAGGTGTAGGCGCGCACAGCGTAGGATATGAGCGTCGCAACCAGGCGATTGAAGTAGAAGAAGAAGAAGATGGTCAGAATGCCGCAGATGAGCAGCTCCACCAGGAAGACCCTGCAGGCATGAGTGTGGCTGTCGAGGCCGTCTGGGAATGCTCAGCTCACCAATTGAAGCCGTCGCGCGGGTTCAGCGGCTCTGCGACGATTCCGCCGGCCATGTTTGCAGCGCGGTGTGGAGAGGCGACCGCAGGTCATCATGGTGCTGCAGCGCGCATGGTCACGTCGCGGGAGGAAGGCGCGCTGAGCACTGAGCGGACCGGCAGACGGCTGGCGATGTACTGTGGATGCTAAATGTGCAGCTGCAGCCTCTCGGTGCCTGGCGTCTAGGACGGCTGCTCGTGCTGCACGGCGCCGATAGAAAAGACGCCGACTCACCAACGCCTGCTCAGGGCCCAGAAGTCCAGACGCCCAGGATTCTGACGTTCTGGCGTTCTGGCGTTCTGGCGCGCGCGTCATGGCCCACGATGGCTAGCTCAGAGCTGCACGTCAAGCGGAGCTGGGTCCAGGGCCACCTCAAAGAAGAAAGCACCTGCCCACGACCACAACACCACGCTGCTCTAGTCCACCGCACGCTGGTGAACGTCGCACACCATGGCTGGCTCCTGCTGCAGTTGAGAGACGCCGCTCTCTATCTCCCAAGTGCCTTTTCCACCCCACACGCCCCGCCCTCCCCCCAGAACGCCTTTTCTCCCCCAGAACGTCTTTCCCCCCCAAGAACGTCTTTCCCCCCCAAGAACGTCTTTCCTCCCCCCAGAACGCCTTTCCTCCCCCAGAACGCCTTTCCTCCCATGGCTGCAGGCACCCTCCCAGACGTGCGCATGGCCACCGTCGAGGGCGGCACTGGCCAGAGGCTCGGCCACGCCGTCATCATCGTCGCCGGCGTGTGCTCTCTCATGGCCAGTCTGACTACTTTCGTGTGAGCTCCATGGCTTGTTGTGTTTGGTACCTCCGCTGACGTAGCTTGCAGCGCGGTCTGGCTGCAGACGTGAGTTCACCACATTGCGCATGCACGCGCCTTCTAACGCCGTTGCAGCAAGAACTACCGCAAGCCGCTGCTCCAGCGATATGTCGTGCGCATTCTCCTCATGTACACACGCCGTCCTCTCTACCTCGCCTCCGCTCACATTGCACAGGGTGCCCATCTACGCTGCTGCCTCGTGGGGCAGTCTCATGTCTGTCCAAGCAGCAGTGTGGATCGATCCCCTCCGTGACATCTACGAAGCCTTCACCATCTACACCTTCCTCCAGCTCCTCATCAACTTCATCGGCGGCGAGCGCGCCCTCATCATCCTCATGACAGGCAGAGCGCCCGTGGCCCACCCGTGGCCCATGAGCCTGGTCCTCCCCAAGCTCGACATCTCCGACCCCCACACCTTCCTCGCTGTTAAACGGGGCATTCTGCAATACACCTGGGTCAAGCCGCTGCTGGCCCTGGCCGGTGTCATTATGAAAGCGACAGGCGTCTACAAGGAGGGCTACATTGGCATTTCCTCTGGCTACTTTTGGGAGAGCTTCATCTACAATGTCAGCATCACAGTGTGTCTGTATGCCCTTGCCATGTTCTGGGTGTGCATGACAGAGGATCTGCAGCCCTTCAGGCCCATGCCCAAGTTCTTGTGCATCAAGGGCATCATCTTCGCTTCGTACTGGCAGGGTCTGTTTCTCTCCATCCTCGTCTTCTTGAAGGCCATCCCGGACGACATTGAAGGCTACACACCCGACAATCTCGCTACCGCTATCCAAGATGCCCTCATTTGTTTCGAGATGCCTCTCTTCGCACTCGCACATTGGTACGCTTTCTCGTGGCACGACTACGCTGACAACACCATTTCTGCTGCTCGCCTACCTGTCAGGTATGCCTTGCGCGACGCCTTCGGCCCCTTGGATCTCATCCAAGACACCAAGGAGACCTTTGCCGGCAACAAGTACGACTACCGCCACTTTGACGCTCGAGACAATGTACTCGCTCACGAAGAATCGTCCTCGCGTGCTGCCCGCATGAAGGAGGGAATGAGATACGAGAGAAACGGCAAGGGCAAGTACTGGCTACCGAAGCCCGGTCAATCATCGGAGCACGAGCCACTTTTGAACAAGGTATCCCATGGTCGCGCCCGAGCCATGAGTCCAGGGCCGCATCGTGCTCTTGAGGGTGCCAAGTACGGAACTCCAGACCAAGTCGAGGAGCCGGCGCTGGAGCCTGAAGATGAAAGGCTATTCGAGAATGCCCGCGCGCTGGAGTTTGGCGACTGGAATGTAACTTCCCAGCTCTGAAATGTAGAGACAATCACTGACACGTCCGCAGTACCCAGTCATTGAGGCACACCGCCCCAGACGTGAGGACCGCTTCTCGACAGGACCTCCCATCATAACCGCCTCCACAAACCGCAATTTCCTCCAGCCGACGGCTGATAACAAGCGAAGGAGAAAGAGCCAGATCAAAAAGATCCAAGAGGACAGCGGCAAGCACGATAAGCGCGACAAGGGCAAGCAGCGGAGCAGCTCGTCCAGCAATGGTGAATCATCAAAGCATCACTCGCACGGTCACTTGGTCCCTAGCCTGCTTCGTCAGAAATCGTCATCCTCGTCATCTGCAAAGTCAGACAAGAGTCAGCTTGTCGATCTTGTTGTCGAGGACAAACAGGCTGAAGAAGTCGATCGCGTCCGTGCTCGAAAGGAAGGTGGGCCTGCCTGGAACGAGGTCGAGAACAAGCACTTCGTCCACACATATCTGCAAGATGGCCCGGTCGAGGATGTGCGCGAGGGCTTCGCACCCGATGTACCCGAACCACACAATCCCGAGCGCATACACGACCTTGACTATCCCTTCAGAGTAGGTGACGATGAAGATGAAGACGATAAGAAAGACTTCAAGCCTCCCGTCAACGAAGAAGCTGAGCTCTGGGAGACACGCGACTACAGCGACAGTGGAGACGTCCAAGACGCGGCAAAGAGCCCGCATGAGGACAGGCCCAGCCCCAACTACGGCAGCTTTAGGGAAGAGCGCAACGTCTGGGGGCAGGACTCATGATGAATATTATCTTACGACACGATGGTTGCCATTTTCTCTTGGAGCAAGTTGCAAGTATACTGTGCTCACCTCGCGCGGATGCGCAGAGTTATATACCCTGATTTGGTACATATTGGCGTTGTTATCTTCTGCTGTGGATATTGCGCGTTGATGCTATCGACATGAGATTTATGCATTGCTTTGTTCGTACCTGGTATCATGTCTTTCTTGGATCTACTTCAATATGTGCCCGATTTGAGGTTTCTGTGTTTGTTGCCTCAGTGGTGTGGTGTAGCCTTGGGCATGGTGGACCTCGATGGAGAGAATCACAGTGTAACGAACACACATCGAAATCCGAGTGTGGTCATGTTGACGTTTCTGATGTGTTGCCTGAGTGTTTACAGATCGAAACAATCTTTGGTGGCGTTGCTGTGTTTTTTTCATGTCGTTTGCAATAGGGAAGCCTGGAGACTACCGCTAGTCGATATGGTAAGAGGCTTCACTACCGACCTACTCATGCTGCAGCCCTAGCGAAAGAACCACAAGGAATACACGGATGGTCATCTTACACCCAAGCTCGCTGTCAGTTATGACAGTCACCAAGGCGAGACGAAGAAAAGCGAATCTTGCTATGCGAGTGATTTCTTGCCACTCACTCCAACTAAACTACCATCCAACTACATCTCCAACGCAACAGCGTCTCAAAGGGGTATATTCATCGAAGCGAACAAGAACGCGCCGCGAGCATCCGCACGAAGCGGAGGGTATATGCCCTCGGCGCCCGAAGAAGTAAAAAGCCCAGCCCATCTCCGCCGGCCGACGTCTGCCCTGCATCTCAACCGCACCGACACGCTGCTGCTCCACGCGTGTACGTGCCAAGACCTAAAACGCAACACCCACCATACCCATAGGACTCGGCGGGAACCTCCTCCCGCTGTGCATCGCCATCCCGACGTCCTTGGCGAACATCTCCTGCCCAGGCAGAATGTCGTATACGGGCGATGCCGGAGGCCACATCTCGCGCATCCCGCGGGCGCTGCGCGTGCTGCGCTCGCTGCCCAGCGCGGCCTCGATATCCTTGTCGTCGATGGTGGCGAGGACGAGCGGCGCGGGGACGCGGCGCAGGCGCCCGGTGCCCTTGAGCACGGTGACGCGTGGGTGCGGGTGCGTCGCGCGCTCGCTCGCGTCCTCCGAGTCCGGCGTCGTCGACCGCGTGCTCGTGTAGCTGCTCACCAGCGTCACCGTGGTGGCCGCCGTTCGAGCCGAGTCATTCGAGTCCGCGCTGTCCTGTCTGCCGTGGCCCGTTGTGCTGCGCGATGTACTTGGGCAGCTTGCCAGGTCGGGAACGGGCGGCCCTTCCACTTTGTAGAAGGGCGTGAGCTCCCGCGGCGTTGTGGAGCGGCTGGACGAGCGGCGCAGCCAGTTGCTGAGCCGGTGCAGCGAGGTGGTGGACGTGCTGGATGCCGTCTTGGGCGGCGGAGGCGTGATGGGGTTCGAAGTCAGGGGCCCGGTGAAGTTGCGGGCTGGCGGGTAGAGGGAGAAGTTTGGCGCGCGGCGGAGCGCGGGTGTGCTGGAAGACGGGGGGGTGGGTAACGGTTTGTTGAGGGGTACACTGAAGGCGGAACCGATGTCTGAGAGAGTCTCGGAGCGGACGTGCATACGCATCGTGGGCGCGAAGTGGGGTACGTGATGGGAAGGCGAGGGAGGGATGCGGGTGCTGAGGGAGGGTGTTTGGACCTGGGAGCGGTAGGTGGAGGCACGACGCTCTTCGACGATGGTGTTGAGCTCGCGGATAGCCTCATCGACATCGTTATTGGCTCTGCGGAGGCTGCTGGGTCGTGTGGGCGCGGTGTTAGCGCGAGTACGGGAGGGTGAAGGGAGGCGGGAGAGCACCCGGGCGGGTGTGTTCGTTCCAGATGTGCGTGTGCGTCGAAGCAAGCCTGGTCCACGGACGAAGGATTCCACACTGGCCTTGGGCTCCTCGTCCCACGACGGTAGGGCTGGTGTTGCCGTTGTGCCGACTGTCGAACCGGAGAATCTCCTCTCGTGGGCTCCGATGCTTTGCACGCTCTGCACGCTTGATCGTCTTGAGCCAGAGCCGACTGGCTTTCTCGGGATGCTATATGATGAAGGATTGGAAGACAAGTATGGTTTTGTTGCTATCTCATCGCCGCGAACTCGCGCCGGCGCGGGCATGCTGAGCGGTGATGGCTTGCTCGTCCAGTCGTCTTCTCTTTCGAAATCAGGAAGTGGTGATAGTCGTCCGCACCCGTCGTATCCGTACATGGAAAGCTGGAGGGGACGAAAGCTACGGCGGCGGGTGCTTGATGGCGCTTCAGCGACCATGAATTCGACGCTATCGAAGCCATCACAGTGGCGGAAGTTGGTGGGTGCACTGATACTGGGTCGAGAGTGTGATCGTTTTGGTCGAGTGAGTGTAGAAAGACTGGTCCGCGATGATGCCCTGGCAGCATACTCGCGACTGCTTGTTACCCATTGCGAGATGTGTTGGGTCACGATGTGGCCCGTCGTTGGTCGTGGGGCCAGGGGATTTTTTGGTGAAACGGGCATAACTTGAGGCTGGTCGTATATCCGCGAAGCAGATCGGCCTGGCAGATTGTCAGTATATGCAGAATCCAGCACACACACCGCAGTATCGAAGTTGTGGGGAGAGCTTAAGACACTTGGATGTCAGATGCCCACATGCAAGGCGGTCGTGCAGCTCCACACAATGTGGGTCATCGACAGCAAGGCAAACCGGTGTACCTCGACCTCGACGTGAAGCTGTAAGGTGGACTGCTAAGGGCAGCAAACATCACGACCGTCGCAATGCTCGAGAGTGGCGTTGTTTGTATGACAAAAGGAACTTGTTCAACATACCATTGTGCCCTTTGTCTGACGCAACCTCATCCCTCGATGCGCAGCATCCGGTGACGCCAATGGTCAACCATGAGTTCTTCCTTCGATGACCCTCCATATAACTGAATGCTGCAAACCAGGCAGCTATTCCATCTCAATGCTACGACACTCTTGCGGAAAACGAAAGAACGGCAGCAAAGCGGCCAGCACGTCTCGCAGAGCGGAAAAGCAACAGAACCAGAACGAATGAGAAGAACACGCAATGCCAGAAAGATGCGATTGCCACAGTAGAAGAAGGTCAGAGGATAAAGACCAAGCCGCAATCAATGTGTTGTTTGCGTTCCGGAAGGCCTTTGCACATAGGATCAAGACCTGTCGAACAGCTGCAGCAGGACATCGCTCGGCTCACCACGCGACAGGACGACATTCGTCCAAGATATAGATGACCGACGCCTCTCGCTCTGGCTACCCACTGTTATGCGCCCAATGGAAGCGTCGCATTGAGAAGTCGTCAACGTGCAACGCCAACCGGCGGGTTTAGGTTGATGGCAGTTGAGCCCTGCGCGGGAGGTGATTGGGCGCAGCGCGTTTTAACCGCCGAAGACGTGCAGCAAAGAGTAGCCACTCACGGCGCAATAGCGCTTACGGCTTGAAACCGACAGATGCCAAGCAAAAGTGGCAAGCTGGGGTGAGCTTGTTGAAAGTGGAAATATCTATGCATTGTAAAGCGAGGGCCTCCGCGTGGACGTGTGTGTGGAAGAATGTGCACCGAGGGAACATGCTGGGATGGGGAGGGTGATCGTGCCGATCATGCGAATATACCTGCGACAGCGGCAGTGCATCGATGACCACTGGAATCTGAGACGCGTACCTCGAACGGAACGCAAGGCGTTCTTCGATCTGCGAGGCGCCTCGTAGCAGAAGAAAGTAACCAGCAAGTCTTTTTTGAGGCTCACGTTGGTTTGCAGTCCCATGGCCAATCAACAGTCACGACATTAATTATTGGCGCAATTTTCCAGAATGTCGGAACAAATGTGCAGAGCTTCCTAGCCAATGATCACCGAAAATCGTTCGATTCTGGATCAACACCCAACCAGCCGCGTAGTCCGTGTTATCTGAATCGTTGGTGCCAGCGCATGCTCTCGCACTGAACGTTCTTCAAACCTTATCGGTGGAGCCGCGCTTTTGCATAATCCTCGATGAGGCATGTGGAGCCTGGGGCAGTGCCGAAAGGCAAGCCTGTTGTGGCTTTGTTAGGGTTGACGGTCGCTATGTATGGCATCTCATGAAGCACCGTGCGGTGCGTGCTACACCGGCATCGACGATCTGTGACAGTTGTCAGAGGCCGTACCAAGCAGGGCGAGCATACTTGTGTTCAGCCCTTGCAGCTCTGACAACAAACTGGCTCATAGGTCGCTCGCATCGCCACGATTCTTCGAGATCATGTCTGAACGGGTATATTGAATAGTGATGTATGTACAAGAGCAGACCAAACTACCCCAGACTTATACCAACCGAGTAGAGAATCATATGCCTGCTAGTACTGCCGCCAAAGGAAAATTTATCGTCATCGCACAATCGGTCGAATCTGCCATGGATCGGACTCTTGACGCGTGAAGCAGCGAAACCGAAGTTTCGATTCAAGCGCGGCTCCGTGCGTGTCAAGCTTCCTCGACAGGACGTGGATCTCGTATGCCGTAACCATGTTTCATCCCATGAACTCGTGCACCACAAGCGCGAGCTTGTTGAGCCACGCTCTGGAACGATGCATCTTCGAGAAGAGACCTAGTTCTTGGGAGGGTAGCGCTTGAAGAAGTACCTATCATTGTCAGCTTCCACGCGGCATTGCGATCGAGAAAGGCGACTTACTGGCTGACGTAGTAGTCACCAAGACCGAACAACCCAACAACACCAGCCCAGGCGGCGACGACCTTGCCGGTCAGCTCGCCGCGGCTGTACTTCCTGTAGGCGCCGAAGCTGAGAGCGGTAGCGACAACAGCGAGGCCGACGGCGTTGCTCAAGACGACAGGGTTGTCGGCGTTCTTCCTCGCCTTGTCCTTGGCCTTATCCTTCTTGGCGGCGGCGCTGTCGCGGATCTCCTTAGCGGCCTCCTTGATCTCCTCCTCGCGCTCCTGACGGGCGGCCTGCGTGTCCGTCTTCACGGATTGCGATTCGTAGTCAGAGGGAACCGAGGAGATGTGCGGGCTGTCGACGTCGACGAGGGAGGAGACGGAGTCCTCCGTGTGCTCGACCTGGGGGACAGCAGGGGCGCGGCTGCATCCTTGTCAGTCTGAGACCTTCTGTTAACTGGTCGTGCTGATGACTTACGCCTGCGCGTCAATTAGCAATTGCCTAGTGTCGTCGATTTTCACATGTACTAACCTCCTCGGGGCTCTGCTTGGGGCCGCTGGCAGCAACGTCGGCGTAAGACATGGTGATATTTGAGGGGCGTGAGTAACAGAGAGTCTGCAAGAAAGCGAGATGGAGATGTCGTTGGAGAACTGGTGAGCTGATGGGGGAACTGGAAGAGACGATCGTGTGACGCTGAAGTTGGCAGCTCCCTCACATGTCGGCCGGGTTTTAGCGCGTGACGTACGTCATTTGACTTTAGCAAGCACCACAAGCGCGAACGCGAGTAGCTCGCCCGCCGCCAGGAACGGGACTTTTCTCGGCTTCCTCGGCTGATCGACCACGATTCGAGGGAGATTCAACATTATGCGAGCATCTCCTGCCGATGAACATCACGTCTGACAGAGAGCATATCGGAGTGTATGTGGTTTGTATGCAACGCAACAATGCTTTGCGCTATCTCGCGGTCAAGACACAATAAGGAACCCTCAAGGGTATCATGGCAACCTTCAAGTTATCCGTATGCGCCTGGCGGCAAAGCAGGGGAGTCCTCCTTCGACCGCCGTATTGTACAAGAATGAGCAAGAATCGTGAACGTGGCCACGCATGCAGGGCTTTTGTCCAAGCTGTAAGACACCTCCGCTAACGACTCGTAACGACTGAACAAGAATAACATGACAGACGACAAATTTCAGGAAGAAGTCGCTCGACGAGAATAGATTTCGTGATTGCGGTTCGAAACGCCCGGGCGCATCCAGCAGAGGCAATCTAGCCCAGCAGCCGTCTGGAGCGCCATGATCCGAGAAGTTGACGAGGGTTGCTTTTTCCATGAAACGCGCGACTGGTATCTGATCCCGTGCCTACACAGCTCACAGACTCGAGCGCGATGATGCACTGCGAAAAGAATGTGAGCCAAGGACTGATGAGAAACAATCTTTACTCTTCACCAAACACATCCTTGTAGTTCTCCAACAAAGCTTGAACGGCAACGCGTTGCTGTTGGACGTCGCTGAGCTCTCGCTGGATGTCCATGGGACGCATGATCGTAGGCGCGAACACGACAGCAAGGTTGAGTGGTGTCATCTGAGAGCGTGTTAGTGAGGCTGTCCGTTCATGTAAGGCCATTCACTTACCAAGTTCTCCTCCTGATGCTCAATGACTCGCGACAAGTGAAAGACGAGGAACTGCAGTGTATCCCGGTGCGCCCTTGGAATCTCCTTGATAGCCTCCGCGAGAGCCTTGGCCTGAGCCGCAGGATCTTCAAGTTCTACGAAGTTGATTAGCATGACCTAGCTGAGAGCAGAAATGAATACTAACGGCCAGCTTCTAGGAACTGATCATACACATCGAATGTGATCAGCGGCACAGGCAGCCTGCGGAAATAGTTCTTCAGAGCCGATGTAACCGAGTGGATATCGAGGTCTGGGTCGGAGATGTCGTAATCTTCCTTGGACTCGAAGCCGCTTCGCACCTGGTTGACCTGCGAGCTACCTCCGCTCTTGCGGTACACACCCTCAACATCCATACCTCGAAGCTCAACTTCGGAAATACAACGCGTGACGACTCCAGGAATCATTTGCTTTTCGAAATCGCAACGAGCTGACAAGTCGGAGCCAAAGAGCACCGTGCTGGCATCTGCAGCCAAGTTGGTGCTGCTGTTGTTGGCCTGCATGTGCTTAAAGCGATCGTTCGTCGGCTTAATCGCGCCACCCTTCACAGCGCTGGCACCGAACCAGCCTTTCTGCGACTGGTCATCCTTGCTCTTCAACGAGCTAGACATCGACGCTATGTCCGGTTGCTGGTGAACGGACCCGTACGGTGTACCGATAACCTTGATGTCCTTGTACTCCTCCTGCTTCTGTTCAGAGCCGAAGGCTCCCTTGAATCCCTTGGTAACGTTGGTGGTGAAGGCTTGACCTCCCTTCTTGAACTTGGAGAACTTGGTAGGCTTGCCAGTCTTGCGAATGTTGACCACTTGAGGTTGGGCAAGGGTTGCTTCGCTATCTCCATCGTGAATGTGAGGGAAAGATGGTTCATGTGATTGGGTGTCGAGTGAGAGTTCGGACTTGCCGCCCTTGTGCTGGGCGTTGTAGATTCCCAGCCCATTTGCTGCGGTATCGAACTGTGGAGCGCCCTTCTTATTGTTCATTGTCTTCTGGATGTTCTCAACGAGCTCTCTGTTCATTGCCGAAAGCTTGGCATTTTGCGCTGTAAGGGACTCGTATTCTTGGAAGCCCTTGTCCTTCATCTGGATGAGGTTCGAGATCTCGTCAGTGAGCTCGGCCCTCTTAGAGATCAAATCCTCAATCTGACTACCTAGCTGATCCTTGAGCTTGTGCAGGGAGTTCGCGAAATCCTTGAGAATATCCGACTTGAGCTGGTTGATGTTCATCGAGCCGTTGCTCTCTTTGGCATGTTTGAGATGCTCTGTCATGATCTCAAGCTCCCGGATGACCATCTCGCGCTGGGTATCAAGTACGGCCATTGTGTTCCGCTTCTCACGAAGCACAGTGTTCGCTTGCTTGATGTCTGCCGCGCTATGCATGGACTCCTGCAACCCACTCTTCTCGGCTTCGAGTTCTGCAATACGTTGCTGGGCGCGTCGTAACTCGTTACGAAGATTGGCGCTCTCTTCTCTGGAGTCGGGCGATGCAATGGTAGGGCTGCTGATGTCGATGGATCCGTTCGTGGGCCACTTCTTGTGACCTCCCCGCGAAGTGACAGAACCCCGCTCACTAAGACTACGTCCGTGCTTGTGAACTGCGTTCGAGACACGTCGGAAGACGCCACCGTCCTTCTCGTCCTTGTCCTGGTTTCCAAGCAGACGCGCAAAGTCCTCATCCATTGAGAAATCACCTTGTGCGCTGTAACGTGGAAGCCCACTACCAGGTGCGTACGCATCTCGAGACGTCTCGCTGGGAAGACTGCTGATAGAGTCGCTGGCCTTGTGCGCGCTTGGAGGCTGAGGTGGGGCACGCGGAGATGTGAAGGTATCTTCGGTCGGTCGTGGTCGCCTGTCCGCTGAGCGGGCTGGCGGCACAGGCACATCCGAAAAGCCTCTGGACGATTCGAGAGGACTGCTAATACCAAGACCAGCACTGACAGGAGCAGAGGCACCGTGTGTCGAAGAAGTTCGTTTGGGGTGCTCTATGGTAGGAGTTGTTGGCGGAGGCCCAGCCCTGTCTCCAGGTTGTATTGGGCCAGAAGGCCTCAAGGAGTCTCCGCGTGCGGGGCGCTCGACGCGTTGAGTAGAGCTGAAGGATGACCCAGATGCGGTCTCAGGCGAGTCCTGTGCGCCAACTGGGGGCGACGATGTAAACGCAGGCTCCATCATAGGTCTGCTGAGCCTCGACGACATCTCAGCGCTAGGCGAACCGAGGTGTTGAAGAGAGTCGCTGCTGTCCGAAGATTTGCGTCTAGCGTCTGCCTTCTTATTTTTGGGCACCTCTTGGAGTTTGAACGCGTCAGGTGCCGAAGGGGGTGCCGGCGAAGCATGCTGGCTACGTGACCTTTCGTTGAGGGACGGCGATTCGCTCGATGTGTCGCGCTGCTTCCTGAGTGTGTTGACTACATGGTCAGAGGGTTGTCTACCCTTCTCTTGGAATGCAATATGTGGGCTGGCTGGGGCAGGTTGCTCAGCAGAACCAGACCTCGAGTTGTTCTCCTTCAGCTTATCGCGAGGATCAGCGGCTGGCCTGTTGAAGTAGTCGCGACCATTCTTTCCGTCACCTGCTGTTGAGCCGGAGCCCATTGTTCGGTCGGGGAACTGCCTGCTGGCTCGATTAAGGGGTGAAGGCCCAGGCGCAGGGTTCGGATCGAGCGCGAAGGGAAGCATGATGCCATCGTCGCCCGTGTCGGACTCGGAGTGCTTGTGCTCTTTGTTGTAAGTTGTAGCTGGGAGAAGTATGTTGTCTACGCAGTAGCAATGGTCAGCTTCATTTTTACGCATGTTGAGTGTTGCAGTGGAAAACCAACCTCTGCGCGTGGAGTCTGCCGCTGCTGGGGAAGCATCGCGCCTGAAGTTAGAAGATGAGTCGCCCCTTCTGGGTTGGGAAGGCCTGGGAGAAGCATCAGCGGTCGTCGGTTCAGAGAACACATCAGAAGGCGTTTCAACATCAGGCGTGAAACCGCTGCGCTGCGACTGCTGCTCATCAAACTGGGGCGGGAGTGCTGGAAGGGACTTGTCGACTTTCGGTGCTGCTGGTGCTGGAGGCTTTTTGGATTTCTTTCGACGTCGCGCCATTAGCGACTCATGGCAAGACATGCAGAAAATGCCCTGCGATGTGCGCGCATAGCGTAGGTTCTCGATCTTGCGCTTGCAATTCCTGCATCTGAAGCAATTCGCGCAGAAGGCCTGGTCACCGGTCAAGATAGCTAGGTCCTCAATCTTGTTGCCGCAGTGGTTGCAGCTGTACGTGCAGTTGTTGCAGATCAGGGATCCGTCTCCAAGGAGGAGCAGGTTGGCGTCCGAGTCGAGGAGCGTGCCGCAGGTGTTGCAACGGAAGCAGTCGATGTGCCATCTATTACCAGCTTTGCATTGTCAGCATGTACGTTTGGGCGGGCGAGTGCGCTGGAAGGCACGCGGGGGGTGTGGTGGGCAGGCGTACCGAGCTCGAAGGCTTTACCCTCCTCCAGAATCTGAGACCGTTATTAGCAAGAACAGTGCGACTCGAGACAACTGCGATTACCTCTCCACAGCCCTTGCAGGGGTAGACCACATCGTCTTGGTCGCCGTCCTGGTCGAGCAGCGACTCGGGGTAGCCACCAGGCGAGTCCATGGTGGGCGCGGGGGGGTGTGTGAGCGTGGTCGTGGAGAAGAAAGATGGCGGTGGTAGCGAACAGGCGGGGCGCGATTGTGGTCGTTTGGCGGTGAATATCAGGGTCGAGCGAACGGGCTCAGCTGCGAAGGCGAGCAAGCGGATATGAAGGTGAGAAAGGTCTAGGTCCTGCTGTCAACACCGGGCATGGCGTCAGCGACAATGCACACGCGGCGGCGACAACGACAACAGCAACAGTGTGTGGGCTCCAGCTGCAGCGCACTTGAGGCGAGAGGGCTTTGTGGCAAGTGAGGTTGGCGATATGTGGTAGCCTGAGGAGAGCGCGCCGCTAATACCAAGCCCTGGAGCGGGACCCTTGGATCTCGCAACTGCTAGTCGCTGGTAATCGCGGATGCACAGACTTCGCGCTGTCGCTGGACCTGCGCCAGGCTTGCTGGCGGCGTGAAAGTGGACGTGCAGCTTCGGGGCGCCTCTGCAGATCAACCCCTCGAGTCGTGGAAACGTTGCAACACAATTGCAGTACACAGAGAGCAGAGAGGGCTGCAGGGAATGTCGCTGGAAGACTGCGAGTGGCTTCTCACCACGCACAACCTCAGCCGCAGGGCCACTCTACCACGTCAAGGGTCTTGGGAGGAGTGTTTCAAAGTTGGCTGGCCACGAATCCTTAGGCTCACCCCACATCATTAGACCCAATCTATGCTAGCCCTCCCTCTATCACGGGAAACGCTTTCGCGATTCAGCGCAATACCTAATGCGACGCCCATCACTCTTTCGATATTGCGACACACGGGACGGCGATTCATGGCAGCAAAGGATCGACAGACCTGCTTTCAAACTGGCGTTTATCCGCCCGCTGCGGAGGGGTGAATCCATCTGAAAATAGAAAGGCGGATTTGCAGGCCACTCACCAGAGATCTGCTCCAACCTCAGCTCACGTCCCCTCATGAACGATGCACAAATGCAGGTACGCGGCCAGCGTGCTGACCGTCTGACACATGTCAGTCACCGTCAGATGCATTGGTCCGTCGACCGACAGCACAGCCCGCACGCAAATAAGGCGTGTTTCAGACCCCAACTCAGAGCATTGCAACGCTACGCTGCTCTACACGTGTATGCCTCGTCAGACACGCAACGCTCATCGATACATAAGAAGGTGACGCAAGCAGTACCACTGCGGCCAGAGAGCCTCATCCTTTAATCCCCAGGCGTCGGGTACCTGAGCAAACAGTGTGAAGAGAAGACTGTGTCCGAAATCGTACTCCCATCTAGCACAAATTCGTTTGACCTCATCTCCCTCGTCAAATCACGACCCTGAGACGAGCGGGAATGACAGAGGGTCGCGCTCAGACGCGTTTCATGGTACCGAACGGCACCTCAAAGAAGCCGCGCTGCCGGTTCTTGCTGCCGGATGGAGAACGAAACGATCATGCTGACGATCGCAGTAACAAGCGCGCAGCGCTACCACTACGGACATCGAGCCTCATCTTGTTGTACAGCTATATCTAGGACACACTCGAATAATACGTGACAAGTAGCATGACTGCAAATGAAGGAGCTGTGCCGTAATGTCCTGGAAATGAGGAGCCCCAGAGAGGTCGTCGATCTATTGAGATAGCTAGATTCCAGACCTTCGCACTTCCAGATGCACGCCGGTTAGGTATAGGTATCATCATACCTTGGCATGCGAGGAGATGTCTGCATAATCCTCAATATGAGCACGAGCGCTCTCCCCACAACTCGACGACCGCACCTCTAGTTGACCCCTTTCGACCTTGCATGTTGCTGAAGTTCAGATCCACCTGGATCAATCTCCAACTACTGACCCTGCAGCAGCTATTCAGCAATTTTCTGGCATATGCCTCAACGATCTGATGTTTTGCTACATGTGCGAGTTGAAGAAAGACGGTACGGACCCTCGTGTACCCAAGACCTCCGCGGAAAGGCATGTGCAAATATTCGTGGAGGCCGTTGAACATGACAACGCACTCTCTGGGTGCATTTGTACTGCCCCCTACCGTGGAAGGTTTAATTGATAAACTCACCTCTTCTCGAATCTCGCCTCAAGTAACATGTGTAACGTCCTGTTATTTCAGACTCCTTGATCTCCATTGTGAAAGCTAAAGTGTCTAAGTAGGATGCTCGAAAGCTCATTTCGAAAGGCTTCCATCTTTCATTCTTGTTTCTCCGTCTCTTCAAGGTACAAGGCTTAGATGCACGCCTTTGCGTTCGCTGACAGTCGTTCGCCGCTACAAGACACAGTGCCAGCAGCTCACCGATGACTCCCCAACGCCCAAGCATCAGCCGGGACAGGTAACCCCAAAATTGCACCTCGCGTTGTGAGTTGCGAGTCTTTACATCAGCGTGCATTTATTCCTCGAATAGGACGTTGGCGGAGACGGGTCAACGGTGGGGCTGTTGAGCTGCAGGAGCTAGGTACAACCAATACCCCACTTCGACGGTTGAACGAGGCTAAACATGGACGCAAGACGTGGGATGGGTACATCTATTTAACCAGCTCCTCTTCCTGGACTTCTTTCGATGCATCCCTCGATCTTCTCATCGAATTACCATCCGTACTCCTCCACTCACCTTGTCTGGGATGCAGGGAACGTACTGACTATGATGCAGGTACCCACCACAAGTATGGCAGCCGCCATGCAAGATGCGGTCCATCAGCGGGCGTTATCCTCACCTCAAGGTACTTTCAATGCAAAGTATACTGAAACAATAAGTATACTGCATGAACCGGTGTTCGTTTCTGGAGGCCTCCTACCGCTCATGTCATACCCTACGCGGATGATCAGATAGAAGGGCAGGGGACCTCTGGATTCGTTCTGAGATTATACGGTTTCAACTTGACCTGGATAATACCAGCGGAAGGATCATGCTTGCCCCCTGTGCAGAACAGACTTAACCTGTGGCAGGTTTCAATCCGTGATCAACAACTCTCGACAACATGTCCCCCCCAGCTGCCATCTTCGAGTCTCCCGCTCCTGCCGTTCTCGGAAACGGTGTAGGTCTCAAGAAGAACCTGGCCGTCAAGGTCGCTTCTGTCGGGCAGGGTGGTCAGGCAAAGACCGTCGCCGATTTTGAGAAGAACTGGGACAACTTTACGTTCGCTCCCATCCGTGAGAGCCAGGTCTCTAGGGCTATGAGTATGTCTTCCCCAAGGGTATCATCATGCAGTCAGCTGACGATGTACAGCCCGTCGCTACTTCAAGGATCTTGACACCTACGCCGAGTCTGACATTGTCATCGTCGGCGCGGGATCTTGCGGTCTCTCTACTGCTTTCATGCTCGCATCCAAGCGTCCTGACCTCAAGATCGCCATCATCGAAGCTGGCGTCGCTCCTGGCGGCGGCGCGTGGCTCGGTGGCCAGCTCTTCAGTGCCATGGTCATGCGCAAGCCTGCCCAGCTCTTTCTCAACGAGCTCGGTGTCCCGTACGAGGACGATGGCGACTGGGTCACTGTCAAGCACGCTGCGCTGTTCACGTCCACTCTCTTGAGCAAGGTGCTCCAGTTCCCCAACGTCAAGCTCTTCAACGCTACCACTGTCGAGGACTTGATCACCCGCCCTGCGCCCACCCCGGAGGACCCCAATGCTGTGCGCATTGCCGGTGTCGTCACCAACTGGACCCTGGTCTCTATGCACCATGACGGTACGCCTGTACATTCCGCGTGACCTAATGTCTCCCTAACGTAGTCCCAGACCAGTCCTGCATGGACCCCAACACCATCAACGCGCCCCTCGTCATCTCGACAACCGGCCACGACGGTCCGTTTGGTGCCTTCTGCGTTAAGCGTCTGGTCAGCATGCAGCAGATCGAGAGGCTGGGCGGGATGCGCGGTCTGGACATGCGCACTGCCGAGGACGCGATTGTCAAGCGCACTCGTGAAATCGTGCCTGGCCTGATTGTTGGCGGCATGGAGCTCAGTGAGGTCGACGGTGCCAACCGCATGGGCCCCACATTCGGCGCCATGGCACTCAGTGGTGTCAAGGCTGCCGAGGAAGCCCTCAATGTCTGGGACGAGAGGAACGCGCAGAACGCGGAGTAGCGCGGTTGCTTGGTACGATCAGGTAGACTTCCAGCTGCAATAAACACCCTCACTCGTTCACATGGATGCTGTTGTTCATCGACTGACGCCTGTTCATCGACTGACGCCTAGCGCACGTCAGCCATGTCAGCCATGCCAGCCATGCAGCCATGCAGCCATGCAGCCATGCAGCCATGCAGCCATGCAGCCATGCAGCCATGCTGTACCCTTGGCCATTTTGGAACGGTGCGCGAATATGTTCTTTGTTGAGGTCGCACTCGAGAGCGGGGTTGCACGGGAGAGTGCCTGGCTCACGATTGACGGCAGGGGGATGCTTGCTGCTTGTGACGTATTTCAGTGGTTTTTTCCAGACGCGTACACAAGCACGGCTGCGGCCTTGTTGTGGTTGTGCTGTTGCCGTGGCCACGGAAGTGTCTGCAGAGACAAGAATAAACAAACAGCATCGTGGACAACGGGCAACGAGGAGCACTGGGCTGACATCCGACACCGAGTGGAATTGGAGTCTACGGCCTACCCACGAGCGCACAGGGCCTCCCACTCAGTACTGCATGATGAACCACGAACCACGAGAGGGGCATCGAAGCACGGTTGCGTGGGTGATGGCCTTCTCCCGTTCCACAGGGCGCTAGCCGCGCCGCGGCGGAGTTTGGGCGACAGGGATCCGTCGCTGCGTAAACAACGCAGCGACGGGGCCGAAAACACGGCATCTGACAAGCAAAGTAGACAATAATGCCCCGCTGAGCCAGACACTGCACCCAACAACCGCTCCCAGAAGTCCTTGACGTGGCTCACCCTTGCCCACCATGGAGGAGCAGACGGCCGCCCTGCTCGCGGCGCTGAAGAAGCAGGCGTCGACCAACGTGGACCGGCGACTGGACCTGTTTGGCAGCCTCAAGTCCAGCATCAAGCACCAGCGCGTGCCCGAGAGCTGCCAGGACGCAATCCTCGAGTGCATCCGCACCGCCATTGGCGACAAGACGTCGGCGCAGCTCGTGGCTGCGGGATTCTCGACGCTCAGCCACCTGATCAAGCGGCTGGCGCTGCAGAAGGAGACGCACACCATGGCGGCGCACGCGCAGCTGCTGGTCCCGATCCTGCTGGACCACCTAGGCAACGCGCGCGAAGCCCACCGCAGCGCCGCCTCGGCCCTGCTCGTCGAGCTGTACCCGTACTGTCACGCCGAGCTCGACGCGGGCGTGCACGGCGCCATGGCCGGCAGCAACCCGCGCGCAAAGGAGACGGCCATGTCCTGGCTGGTCACGATGAACCAGAGCCACGGCCTGCCGTTCCGCACCTACGTCAACCAGCTGGTCGCCAACTGCGAGGACGCCGACCCGGACGTGCGCACCGTCGCCAAGACAGCCATCGTGTCGCTGTTCCAGACGGCGCCGGGCAAAGCCCAGGTCAACCTGCAGAAGCAGCTGGCCGTCCACGGCGTGCGCAAGGCCACCGTCGCCTACATCACCGCCCACCTCGACCCCGCGGCGGCGGCGGGCGCCGCCGCCGACGACCGCCACGACGCGCCGCCCGCCCCTGTCCGCGAGCGCCCCCTGCCGACGGCCCGCGCAAAGACGCTGCCGTCGCTGCTGCCTGACGCGGGCCTCGCCGACAGCCTGGCCGCCGAGCAGCCGCCGCCCGCCGAGACGGTCTCCATGGACCCCATCCACGTCTACACGCAGCGCGAGCTCGAGGACATGTTCCGCGACATGGCCCCGCCGTTCGAGGGCCGGGAGAGCGAGCAGAACTGGCTCGCGCGCGACAAGAACACGCTGAAGCTGCGGCGCATACTCAAGGGCAACGCGCCCACCGAGTTCCACGCCGCCTTCATGGCCGGCATGGCCTCGCTGCGGGACGGCATCCTGAAGGTGGCCAACACCCTGCGCACCACCATGTCGACCAATGGCTGTCAGCTTGTGCAGGAGCTCGCACGCACAGTTGGGCCCGCGATCGACTCGTGGGTCGAGATCCTGCTGCAGGCCTTCATCAAGATGTGCGCTGCCACCAAGAACATTGCCGCCCAGAACGGCAACGCCACGGTCGACGCCCTGCTCTCGCACGTGTCGTTCAACAATCGTGTCCTGCAGCACGTCCAGTTCGCCTCGCAGGACAAGAACGTCCAGCCCCGCATCTTCTCGGCCGGCTGGGTGAAGACGCTCATCCGCAAACACAAGTCGCACATTGACCACTCAGGAGGGCTGGACAGCTTCGACAAGATCCTGAAAAGGGGACTGGCAGATGCCAATCCCAAGGTGCGCGAGTCGTACCGAAGCACGTACTGGACCTTTGCTCTGGTGTGGCCCCAGAAGGCCGAAGCGTAAGTCTACCTTGGCAGAGATTTGAACACAGCCACTGATCCTGACGACAGCATGTACGAAACGCTCGAGAAGCGCGAGAAGACCGGTCTCGACCGGGACCCGAACAACCCCAACACATCGCTAGCACCGTCGCAGACCAGCACCGTCGCACCGTCGTTCTCAAGATCCGTCGGGCCCAGCGCTGCCAGGACAAGCTTGAAGGAGAAGATTGCAGAGCAGCGACGGGCAAAGCTAGCAGCGTCCAAGGGAGTTGCTGATCGACCCAGCTCGGCTGCGGCCAGCTACGAGACACCAAGATCACTGTCGAGCAAGTCGCTTGGTGTTGGACCAAGGACAATGTCCAACACTTCAACGGCGTCCAACGGGCCGTCTCGACCACCGTCTGCCATGTCGGGCGAAGCCACCAAGTCCGCTTTGAAGAGCTCGACAGGCACTAGCACTGGTTCGTTGATGAGCGGCACGGTGCGACGACCCATCCGACGACCTGAGCTGAACAGGCCAAAGACAGCAGACCCATACGCTTCGCGACAGACCAAAATCACACCGTCGACGACGACAACACCAGAGAGGACACCAGCCGTCAAGTCGCTGAAGAAGTCAGTCGGACCTGCGGCTTCGAGCACAGCCCGCCCTCGGTCACAAGCACAACAGAGCCCCACCGTCAGCCCGGTGCGTAGCAAGTCCAGGGTGGACACGGGGCGCACAGCAACACACAGGAAGAACCCAAGCATGGGGTCGCGAGGGAGTCCTGTGGCCACTCTTCACAAGGATGAGGACCTGACAATGGTGAAGCCGTTCATCCGATCACAGAGCCACCATGACGGCACCATGCCTTTCCGACAGAGGAACGGCATGGACAAGCGTGCTTCTGTCGACAGCGTTGCGCTCGACATGGACGAGGACAACTTTACGATGCTTGTGCCCAACCTAGCGCGCCCAACATCGCAAAGGGTGCAGAGCACGCCCCCCAAGTCCAGCCCATCTGGAGGTCGAATACCGGTACCCAGCCCGCAAGCAGCCTCGACGCTGGGCCCAAGCCTCCTGCCAGTACAGAGTCCTCGCCAGCAATCCCCAGATCGAACTGCGCCAGAAGAAGTCGAGGTGTACGAAGACTCCTGCGCTGGTGACGAGCCATCGACGGCAGATCAAGAAGTGGACACACCAGTACTCGGAGAGCTTCCCATCAACGAGAGGAGCAACGAGCGACAGCCCAGCATTGATAGCAATGGCGACTCGATAGCGGGCTCAGGGGCCGAAGAGCGCGACAGAGGCCACCTCAAGACTACCAGCACAGGAAGTGTGATGCACACCGAGAACGCCGATGCAAACAGCCCGGAGACTCTAAAGAACAGACAACTGCTCGCCAGCGCTCTTAAGAAGATCGAGGGACGTACAGTCGATGCTGGCATGTTCCGCAAGATCCAGGATGCCATCAAGTCAGGTCAGGAGATCTGGGGGCCAAACGACGAGGTCTTTGGCAGACTGCTTGTCGCATGTCTCGAGTATTTCCAGACGCCTACTGAGCAGCTCAAGCTCCCCGCAATCAAGGCCGGCTCCTGCAAGAGCCAAGCTTTGGCGACCATCCGCGCCATGCTGTCTCTGTACCGAAAAGAGACAGCAAAGTACTTCGCCCGCGTTCTCACCACCATTTTGCAGGCCAAGGCGCAGCATGAGAACACTTCGCACATTGCAGGCGATATGGAGGCCACCGCCAACGAGATTGTCCGCTATGGTCAAGTCTCGGACTGCCTGAACGCAGTCCTTGCCCTTATTGAAGGCATGCCCGCCTCGTCCGGCTCCGACCCTGCCGCCAACAGCACACGCACCACGACCATGTCACTTCGCACCCTCGCAAGTCTGGTCGAGATCTCAAGCAGCAAGAACGTCGTTCTGTCACAAGAGCAGACACACCGCTTGGGCAAGCTGGCAGTCAGGTGCATGGAGGACACTGACGCGGACATTCGCAAGGCAAACATTGACTTTTGTGTTGGACTGCACGAGCGCATCGTTGGCCCAGGCGGCGACCACAAGGCTTTCTGGGAGGCTGTTGCTGGCGCGGGAGAGCAGCAGCTCAACTTGCTCACATACTATCTCGCGAAGAAGCAGAAGGCTTAGAGAGCCGTCTCGCCTTGCAAGCTTGGGGGCGAGTTGACGCCCATCGAGGAGCGCATCTGGGAGGAGGAGCTTTTTTGATCTTTAGACCCGGTACATACACACGGAGCTGGGTGGTGTTGCAAACGGCGTTTGTGAAAAGCAGGCTTGGGTCATCGATAGTCACTTCCTTGTTCCCTTTTCAATCAATCTCGGTCGGGGTCTTGGGTCGCTATTGTATCAACGCTCAACACTACTTGTCCGACATTCAGGATCTACGCGTAGTCTTTTAATGCAACTTTCAAACATCGCCCACTCCCGACCCTGTTCAACCCTCCCTCTCTTTCTCGTGACTATCATCCACTCTCGATACAGCATCTACCCAAAATAACACCCCAGCCCCCACACCTTGCGAACCCCGTTCTTACACGAGGCCTCAAACCCCAGGCTCTCATAAGTCGCATTGAAACAAGTGTGCGACCGGCTCTTCCACTCCGTCAACACCCCCGTGCAACCCGGCCCCGACCACGACTCGACCGTGATTCCCGACGGCATATCCCGCAGGTAGAAAGATGCCCCCGGGCCGTCGAGGCAGTGCGGAGACCGCGGCGCAGTGCCGACGGACGCCGCGACTGAGCGATCGCCTTCGCAGTTGGGCAGGTTGTATCGGTCGCTGGTGGGTCAGTGGCGATTTGAGCACGGCTGGTGGGTTGGGCGAGCGCAGGAGGGGAGCAGGTCGATTGGGGATACTGGGTTGACGTACAGCGTCCATGAGGATACCATTGATAGGCATGTCATGGCTAAGAGAATGAACGGCTGCATCCTGGGGTCGCCGTTGCTTATGCTTCGCGATGTGCAGTCCCCTTGTGAGTGTGAGATTCCGATTAGCTGGGGGCTCGCAAAGTATCCCGACGCCCGTACATGGTTTTGCACGTCCGCGGAACGTCATGCACCACACGAAGAACAGCCCCGTGTGCGCGTTCCTGTGCAACGCATCGTGAAGAAGGGCCGACTGTGACGTGGTGTTGATGAAATCCACGACCTCAGTCGCTGTTTGTACACAGCCGATACTTCCAGCCTGGATTTGTACATCTCACGATCACAGCTTGTACTTCTCCCTCCTGCTGAACTTTGGTGAAATTGCCTCAACATGCACATGTCAATCTGGCAAGCTCACTGCTGTGCCGGACAGCCATGTCTTCAGGAAGACGACGCGACATTCCAGTGTGGCCAATGTGACCAGTGTCACACGCCCCCCCTACATACCTCCCGTTCAATTGGAAGCACTCCAGTCTGGCTATAAACGCTCACAGATGGAAGCATGCTGTCGCAAAGCAAGCTGGGAAGAGATAGGGATGAAGTCGGCTGAGTGGCGATCTGTATGTAGCGGAAGCTGGCGTAAGATGATGACCTCAGAGAGGAGGTGAGCTGCGTTTGAGTCTGGGCCGAAGGAGTCGTTTGCGGGTCCTGTGGGGCGTGGGTCGACAACCGTAGGGTCGTGCTGTCCATGTGGCTGGGTTTTAAACTACCGTGCATGAAGCATAGTCTGCGCTCCGGAAGCACCCATACGTCATATGTGCGATAGGAAACTGTGAGCTCGCGCGGTTGTCCGTCTTGAGGAATGTTTGCCAGTATACAGACAATCGCGTATCTATTCGTAGAGTAGTAAAGCTCGCATGTGGTTGGAAACACCGGATGCAAGTCTTCAGCGATGATTTTCACGAGACCTGCGGTTCGACGGCGGCGCCTGCTCGCCAGCACAGCATGTATCATCATACATGGGATCGATGCGAGTGAGCCGTTGCGGTCGTCTGCATCGGGTTGAATCGCCGATTGAGCACCGAAAAAAATGCCTAAAGAAGACTAGAACTACAGAAGGCTCCCGCAATTTGGACCCTGGAACGACGTCAACCGCCAAGTAATGCTGTCATGCCGTGAATGCGCAGCATCAATAAAGCTTTGAAGGCACGAGGCGACACATCTTCAGAACGAGGCTGACGACTTGGAAACTACCCTCTCTATCGCACACTGTATGTTCCTTAGGTCTTTCGTTCATGTCGATAGTTTGGTCTGCTGCACTTGCTCTCAGGGAAGCTGAACAGCAGACTATGGCTATGATTGCTTTGCTATCACGTAATGCAAAATCACTAACTATTCGTAGATCCGATTGAATCCAGAAATACCACAAATATGAGCTCGTCCTTAGGTCTTCCCCAGTCAGACGAATTTGGCGACCCAACGCCATCTGGTCTCACTCCAAACACGCGTTCGGAAGCCGAGACAATCTTCTTCCAGAATGCGACCAAGCAGACCGAATCGGCAGCGCCAGATTCATCGATCGCTACCGATGAAGCCCGCGCGGCATACCGCCGACCTGGTGTAGTCCGCACCAGCTCCGCCAACTACGAGAGGGCCCTGAAGATGGCAGGCGCACAGAGCTCTGCTTCATCGGACCTTGCGACACAAACAGAGTTGCCCGAGAACATCACTGGTAGCACGCAAGTTGCGTCGCCAACGCAGTCATCCCCGTTTCCCGCACCGGGACAAGGCGTAGTTCCCGACTACAGCGCAGTCGGTCTCGCTCGAGGTGACTCTCTTAAAAAGTCCCGATCACGGGGTCTTAGTCTCGGCGCTCTTGCCCAGCAGCAAACCTGGAATGAGCAAGAGCATAAGAGGTTGTACAATGCGGATCTCATGACTGAGGTCAGAGGCAACCAAGGCTACGATTCGGTTGCTGAGAACAAGTCCTAGTCATAGGGGCTACTTCCTCGCATATATGCCTTGTCAACATTCCTTTGTGGCGTCATGTTCCTGTCAGTTTGGGTCCATCTTTCTGTGTTGCTCTCAGGTCCTTAAGTCTTCATGTGTATGGCGTTGGGCGCCACTCAGGGCCGTATAACAAAAGCTGCAGGACGGCATCGGCACGTGTCTGAAGATTTACTCTACTTTGTAAACCATAAGCCATCCCATCGCCATGACTTCATCGGTGCACCGTTCAATCATATGTTGTTCTGCTTCTGTCTCGTTGATCAATCAGGTTACGGTGTGTTTCTCGAGTCTGGCACGTGGTCTCAACCCGCACGATGCATATCCATGCCCTCACATGAGTGAACGCAAACAGTCGTACATCTGAAGCACACAGTACCCTGAGGCATTGCACTGCATCACAGTTTACTTCCTTCCCTCACTTCTATCGTTCGTGGTCTTTTATTTGGCATCAGCAAACGCCGCTGCATCGCACCTTCACTTGGACTTCGAGTCCAGCCCCACAACATATATACTGCTAACTCACCCAGTCTCAGTTTCACCTTCTCCAATACATCAACATTCTCCAACCCGACTCAACTACCAGCCTCATGCGTGTCTCCAAGATCACACTGCTTCTTGCAGTCCTGCCCGCGGCCTTTGCTGCACCTGCTGCACCTGCTATGGTCACCGAGGCCGACTGCCAGCTCGGCAACAACAAGTGCGACGACATAAACGGCGCAGTAATGATCTGCGGTACCAAAAGTTGGTTCTCTGCGGAGACGTGCGCCGAGGAAGGTGCTTGTCAGGTTGGACCTGCCGGTAATGCCTTCTGTGCCAAGAAGCCTGAGTGCACACCGGGCACTTCCCAGTGCGACGCCGCTTTCTACGTTTCCAAGACCTGCAACGACAAAGGCATCTGGGAGACCAACCGCAAGTGCTCCAAGCCGGGGTGCTGCGAGATCCAGAATGGCCAAGCTGTCTGCAAGACCGAGTGCGGTGCCGGTCTACAGCCACCTGTTCCACGATCTTCTCCCAAGACCGCCCTCGACTGGCCTAAGGCCGGAGACAAGTGCAGGCCGAACGGTTCAGACTTCTGCAGCTTCCACGACAAGGCCATCCTCGAGTGCGTTGCCATTGGCATCTTCACCCTGAAGAAGACCTGCAAGAAGGGCTGTGCCTACGAGAACTTCGAGCCAATCCGTCCTTACTGCAAGTGAGCTTGCAAGAACTTTGACTCCTATCAAAGTACGTTCCTCCATTTCGAAAGGCCGCTTTACTCACGCTAACACGGTGGAAACAGACTCGGAAACAACTGCATGCGATGTTTTGGTACTTTTTTGGCGCAGAGGGCCGGATTAAAGGATTGACATTCGAATAAGTGGATCAACATACATATCAAGGGAAGACGAATTATAAACATGTTCTCGGCCCAAGAAGGAATACATCACAATGAAAGCGTCTGAGGTTGCAAGAACAACATATCCTGCTATTTGCCAATCACAAACAAGGTCTTCATGCGCACCCTTAATTTTCACCCCTGGTGTTTGTTTAGTGGGCAGTAATCGCGCGTTGCTACGAACCTTGAAGGTCTCCTCCTCTTGCACACGCTAAGTGACAGATGTAACGACGAAATACACCTCAACCACCCACCATGCTGTTCTGTTTGTACCTCCTCGCTTTTTCGCTCTTGATCAACAGTGCCTCCGCCGCACGACGCCGCTACTTGAGACAAGCCGTCAACATACCTCCTGCGCACACGTCGCCGACAGCTTTCCTTTGCCCAAGGCGATGCGAGTGGGCGTACTGCTCTTGCAGCAGTGCAAGATCACCCCGCTCCTATCTCGAACGATTGCTGACTGGTGCAGAACAGCGCAAGGCAACGAATGCTCTCAGAGAGAGAGAAGGGTCGTTGGTTTAAACTACAAGCTTGTCTTCATGGCAACAGCGTGGGCTCGAAAACGGCCTTCAGGGAGTCAAGCTAACAGTACGTAGTCTCCGGGTTTTGAGTACTGCCGCTATGAGTATTATCTCTGAGACGATGTTGAGCATCATGCTGGCTCGAGGAGCTGGATAAAACCTTCCTTGAAGTGGATCACATGGCGTTCCATTGGCGACACTGCTTCGTCTTGTCTCTGTTTGACTTGTCGTCCGAACGACTGTCTGTATTTATCCAAACACTCCTACGAGAGATACTTTGCTTTTACCTCCTGTTATAAAACGCCATCGTTGTATGATTGTGGTTGTTAAGCACCAATGAAATGCCGTATGAGATCGCCCTGATACCCAAATATTGAATATCTTGAGAAGTCCAGGCCTCCATTCTTACCAAGCCAAAGCGCATATGCGCCAACAACAATGGCAAGGCCAACGGCTCCATAGCGTCTGTAATACCACAAGCGCAACTTCGCATGCTTAATGCTCCTCATTGCTTGCCGCACAACCTTCTTCTGGTATTGCTGCCAATGAACTTCCTTCTCTTGCTGAGTGAAGAGGCGCTCGCCATCATCCAACGTCAAGCGTTGCATATCCGCCAGGGTAGCTGAACTCTTCAATACGCTGGACGACGATATGCGCCACCACTCCCAGCTGCCTAGGGATCCTGGCGGGAGCCTTTCGAAGAGCTCGACTGAGCGTGCAATATGGAACTCGATATCGAATGGCTCGGGTAGCTTGCTGAGCATGACGTGCAGTATGTCCTCCTCTTCCTTATCAATCTCCAGCAGTTCTTCTCGCCTGGACAGCACCACAGCCGCGAAAAAGTAGAGCGGCATAATAGCGTGACGTGCCAGGAAGAAGTCGAACAACCGTGTGATATTTCTGTACTCTTGGATGTTATGGGCGAACATTGTAATGGTACCGGCTAGCGCGAACGTTGCGGAGCTCTTAGGCAGGTGCTCGTACAGTACTGGATCGGCTTCGCGAAGCAAAGGACGTAGGAGTTCGAGCTGGGCTATTGCAGGGTCGAGGGACGAGAGCATGAAGTCTCTGATCCTAAGGAGACTGAGGCGGGCAGCTGCTTGAGGAGCAGCATTTGTGCCTAGGACAAGGTAGAACACTTGGACAATGTCGTGGTAGCCCTGGAAGTAGGACAGGGCTGGGTGTCGACGCAGGACCTCGAGGATAACGTTCGAGAGCTCATGTTTCCGGCGGTCAAGCTCTTTCTCTGAGTCTGGTTCCTGGTCAGCATTGTGTGATATCTCGAGCTCTTGCCGGCCGGGCTTGCACATACTATACTTTGGATAGTATACGAAGGCCCTGTTTACGTCGAGACCGACTTGTCCCTCTTCACGATGCGCCGGCAGATCCTTCCACGATACTTTGTCTTCATCTGTAGCTTTGCATGCCAGCAGGATGGGCCATGCGGTGCGCCGCAAGCGATCGCTCACCAACCCATGGGTGCTAGTAGCTAGATGTACCAGCGTGGGAAGATCGCCCTTTTCGCAGGCGGTGACGACCAAGCCTTCTTTACTTGTCTCTGCCAAGGAGAGATCGATAGGTGTCGGTTGACGCGAGGATGCGCTATCAATACTCACCGACGGTGATGGGGTTCGAGAAGCCATGACCTCATAGCCTCGAGCTCAACTACAGTGCAGCCTGTCGCCGAACGTCCACGACGATCAGTCGACCGCTCGGGTATGGCGCGGGTTCGAATTTGTCCTCGAAAGCGGAAATGATGGAGCTGCAAGGTGCTGTGTGTGAATACATTTCGTTGGTTGTGAACACGCAGCTTGTTTGCGCCAGGGTGACGCGACCCTCTCGCGACTTCTTCTCTGCCAGTCTTGGCACCAACCAAACCAAACGTGTCTGCCTCTACCCGGCAACATTATCGGTCTCACGATTATCGCGGATAAGCTGCCATCGTCCGCGTTAGCTGCAGCTGTGCAGCTTTGCCATCCCAAACATACTCGCCGCCAGCGTCCCAAGCACAAGAGGCTGGTCAAATTTGTGCGTCACTGCATGCGCCGCGCCCCTCCAAACCCACTGTGCATGCAGGAAGCCACGGCAACACCCCCGTCTTTGGCCCCAGCTCCTCAGCCAGATCTTGAATTGTCTGTAGTTACGGCCCTTTGTCGCGAACTCCGCCAATCTCATCGACGTGTTCAGTCAAGATCGTGCTACGGACGGGCTGCATAATCTCGCTGTCGAGATCTGATCGGGTTCGAAATCGATCTCACGCATGACACCGCGCCGCTGCCGTCCGGTATTATCATTCGAGACATGTAGCCGCCCAGCTAAATTGGGCTCCGTTGTAATACTCGCATTTGCTACAGTTCGGGTTCTCTCTTGCAGCTCAGCAATCAGGGAATCCTGGTCTACGCTTCCTTCATTCGCTCTCAGCACCATCATTCGCTCTCAGCAATCCAGTCACTAATCCACTTTTTTATCCTCCACTTGTAGCGCCAACGAAATACTTCCTCACGAACAGTACCCTTGATTGGTCCCTTTGGGCTCACTGGCAGTCACCCCCGCCATGAACCACCAAGTTCAGGGCCTGGTACTCGTCGACAATGAATGGGTGTCAAGACCGCTCGACATCTATCAGATTATGGCACGAGCACAGCAAGATGATACCGACACGAGGGAGTCGGTCGTTCAGCCGGCTGGCCATCCTCATATACCAGGGTATGGCATTCTTTCTCGGACAGTGCTGCCTAGCCCTCTTTGCAAGTTTATCCTCCCCGCAAACATTCGTCACAAGGATCTCAACGACATTGTGCTTGTAGGTGAAGACTCAGTACAGCTGAAAGAGATCCGTGACTACGGTCGCCTTTGCCATGTTGCAGTCAAGTCAAACTTCAGCGGCCGTATCCTTACAGCGCGAGTGTTTGGTGACCCTCGCGAAATTCATGCCAACAAGACCGTGGGCAGCCCGCTGCCCACAAAGCAGACCGCACCGAGAAACATTCCATCTGCTACACATACACATGGACAAGACCTACCCCCAGAAGTGATTGTCCTTACACTCACAACGCGAACACTGATGTTCTTGTGGGCTCAGCGCAGCGCTACTGGCCAATCCTTCTTCCAGCAAAAGACCATCAAACTCGCCGCAGGTTCTTCGCGCTTCGACCGCCTCGGGCAATATCTCGCTGTAGATCCAAAGCGCAGGGCTTTAGCTGTAGCGGCTTATGAAGGGCGATTCATGCTCTACAAGACGAAGTCCATGGATGCATGGCGCAACGAGCTGCGGAATGGCGCCGATACGATACCGGTCGAAGACGAACGTATGATCTCGATTGGAGGCAGAATAATGCACATGGAGTTCCTATCAACGGCCGTGGGACAGGACGACTACCATGTAGTCCTTTTGTTCATCGTTGCACACCAGGGATTGACAAAGTTAACCTGCTTCGACTGGGATTGCAGATACGACCTGAACACAGCGATTGCTCGAACAGAAAGAGTTTCAGTAGACCTAGGTGCGTTTCCTGGTTAACCTTGTCACCGAGGACACGACTAACACGCTCAGACGATCAGAATCCCTCCTTACTCATTCCTCTGAAGCGAAGCCCAGACTTCTTACTCGTCTTCGACACACACGTGTCCCTTTATAAAGACGTCTTGTCCGGCGCGCCACAACGCATCGCGGTTCCTATCCCTGATCACATTCAGCCGTCCCTGTACCCGGGCGACAGCACACATCGGCCACGCTGGGTACAGTGGGACAGAACACCTCGTAATCCTGACTTTCCTAAAGAGTCTTTCTATATTGCACGCGAAGATGGTCGGGTGATGTATGCAGAGCAGGGTCCGGCTGGTGCTGTGGACCTGGATGACGCAGGCGAGTGGCCGTATCGGATAGATCAGGCCTTCGCCTGTATAAGCGTCGATAACTCAGAGTTTTCGCAGTCATATCCCGATGTCCTTATAGCAGGGGCTGCCGGCAACGATGGCATGCTCTGCAAAGTTGGCGCCTGGCCAATGGAGTACTCGTACGCTACACAATACCCTGCTATGAACCAGTTCACTTATGTGGAATCGATGCCAAACTGGAGTCCACTGGCGGGGCTTTGCGTCACCAAAGTACCTGGCATTCGGGACCCCTATGAACGCCAGCGCTCAGCATTGTTCGTTCCCAACGGGGTCGCACCTCACGGTCAGATATCTGAACTTCGAAACGGATTACATGCACTCATCGACGGCTCCTTTGGCAACATGAAAGGTTGTACTGGCCTGTGGGTACTGGAGCATGGTAGTCAGACTGTCGAACTCGATGGCAAAAGTGCAAGACAACATTATGCGTTCGTGGCAGTTTCGCTACCACTCGAAACCCTTCTGCTTCGTCTGATTCGTACACAATCAGAAGGTCATGGCGAGTTCTCTGGTGCTTGGGATGACGGAGTCTGGGATGTAAACCAACTGCCGACTGAGGATGAGCCCCTGGAGGATGGAATTACACGAAACCAGGAAACCATCTCCGCATGTCTCTTCTCGGATCGCTTCTCAATACAGATCACACGCGAAAATGCACAGATAGTCACCCGGCCAGCGTTGACCCTGAACGACAGACTAGACTTCGCTGCGCCCATACTGCTTGCAGCAGCAAAATATGGGTTCAATTTCGTCGCAATCGCCCTTAAGCGCGACGGAAAGACGTATCTGGATGTCATACCCATATTGAGGAACGGCACATTCGAGAAGACCGACAGGCCGCATATGCGCCATGTGCTAAACACTGATCCAACATGTATCGAGCTCCTCGAGCTCAATGGGCGCACTCACATCCTGGTTGGCACGCTTGATTCAAAGATTTCTATGTTTGAAGTCTCGTACGAATACGCTGTATCTATGATTCTTCAGTCGTCTCTTGATGCCAGCTCTGCTGGCAGTTCGCGGACGCTGTGCGAGCGCGCGGTCATACTGACTTCGGGCGATGACCACATCCTGGTATGTGCCACGCGCGATGGTCTCCTCCTTCGCCGTTCTGTTCGTGACCTCAAGCCAGAGCTTTTCACCGCATCAGCGGGCGACGCGATGCGAACAAGCAGAGCTTCGGTGGAGACAGAGGCAACAGATTGGGTGATCACAAGAATGGGCTCGACCTCAGCTCAACTATACCCGTGCGCTACTGATGGCGCGGCTGCATTCGTATCGTGCGCGTCCGACTTCTGCAGGATTCGATTGCCCACGGGCAAGGAGTCTGTCTTGGATGTTGAATCTATCTGGTTCGGAAGTCGCACAAGACCTGGATATCTGCAACACCCAATCACTGCAGCTTATCAATTGGGATATGATCAAACGATCACTACTCCCAACGAACGTAATATGGGCGGCTTCCTCTTTGTTGTGTCAGGGGATCAAATGCTCTTCACATACCTCGATGCAGACGCCGGGCGTAGCGGCAACGCTTCGATTCTCTACTCCGGTGATGAGACGAAAGTTTTGCCTCGCAAGCTGATCACGGGTGCAAAGCCCACACATGCGGCGTACTTAACGCTGCCGCGTAAGATGCTGGTGGCAACGACTGAGGCTAAAGAGGCATCTGCAGCATCTGAAGGGCACCGAGAGATCTATTCGACACTGAGCCTTCTCAACATACACGATGACACACCTTTAGATGAGGTTGAATTAAAGGAGGAACCGGGCGCTGAACCAACCAACAGACTAGTCGTAGCCCAGTACGGTCTTCACCACGCGGAGCGTGTATACGCGATCGCAGACTGGGCTTACGAAGACGATCGCGGCAAGAAGTACAACTTGGTCATCGTGAGTACTGGTGTTGGAACAGGCTCGGGCAAGGAGACTGGAAGAAGGTTGATCTTCAATCTGGGGCAGCGTGGATCGAAGCTGTCATTGCAGAAAGAGTCAACATACCCGCACCCGGTCTACTGCGTTGCTATGTTTGACCGACGTGCTACAGTAAGCGTGGTTGGCAACATGATACACTTCGACGAATTCGACGCGTCGCTCGGCAGGCAAGTCTCGCCCATTCTTTTTGATATGTATGCTGACAAGTGTAGGTGGTTTACTCGTGGTATGAAAGAGCTTCCTTCGCCCGGCGTACACATCACCGTCTCAAGGTCGAATGTCTATGTTTCAACCCTACAACATTCTCACCTGTGTTACGAAGTTACGCGCGGACTTGAAGACTCAAGCGTCAGTTTTGACCAACTCTTCACGGACAGTCGCGAGCGCTCATGCACACATCACCTTGCCCTCCGCAACAGTGACCTTAGCCAGGACTCACACACTGAAGAAGAGTCGCTTGTGCTAATAACAGACAAGAAGACTGCCACAGTTTCAGGTCTGTACAGCTCAGGCGGAAGCACAGTCATAAATGCTGCAACAACTGCATTTGAAGCCTGCCTTCCGCGAACGGTCGTTCGTCTCCAAAGAGGAGACATTCGTCCACCATGGCGCAGGCCTTCCCGATTCATCAGGACTTCCGAAAAGAATGTAGGAATTCTGGTTGACGATATCGTTGGTGCCTGCTCAGATGGCACCATCTACTCATTCTCGATCCTATCTGGGCCTGCCCGCCATCTTCTACGCTTGCTGCAGAATCTCATCGAGATCAAGTATGCTCGTGACCCAGCAAATCAGTTCACGATAGTTCGGCATCGAAGTGGCGATATCTTTGGTGTGCTTATGAACGGCACAGGCGGAGCGCAGGACTGCGCAATTCGAGCTCGAGATGTTGATCCTCGGCTCAAAGAGCGACGGCCGTCTGGATCTAGAAATAGCCATATTGACGGCGATGCGCTCTTGAGATTCTTTGAAGAGGATGGCAATCTGCAAGGGCTATTTTCAAGAGACGTGGATGGAGATGTGCCTGCTCTATTCATGGAGCTTGCGGAAGAACTTCTGCCTCAAGGCAGCTATCACATGCGTCACAGAAACAAAGGAACAGATGGCGTCTTTGCTGGTGTCAGAGATTGGGTGGATGAGGTGCTTATGCCTCTGTTGTGATCGAATTTCTAGGTGTAAAAGCTTTGGACGTAATGGCCAGACGATATCCCAAGTGTGCTTGGGAAGAGGATAAGGTGAACTGAGGAGGAATCCAAGGTTTGCATCTAGCACAGAACGAAGATCACGAAGCATTATCCTATATAACTTAATATAGTTAGATGTTAAACATGCTATTACAATCTGTTGCAGCCTATCCCAACTATACCTGCAGGGCAACTAGGTTTACGCTTGCTGAGCAAAGAAAATAGAAATAGTATAATAGTTCTACTCTTCTGGATCCCTCCTTAGTGCAGATTCAAGAGAGCAACTTTGCTCTCTATAACGTACGTCACGGGCGACTCGCTCACACACCTGAGTTACTTTCTTCTGCCAAAGACCCTACCTAATTTTAATCGAGGCTATCTGCTTCGTATTGTCTCATAGGTTTGAGAAGTAGGGAGTAAACAAGCCTAACAAGTAGCTCTTTGGAGAGAGCCTCGACATTCTCCATTCAGCAATTAACACGAAAATGATGAGGCTGCAATGCTGCTTCATGCAGAAGAAGTCGCAATGTACGAAGCAGTAATGCTTCTGTTCGTACAGACTCCCAGCACTTGTGCGAACCGGGCGTCAACGCCCTGGCTCAAGGCTGTAGCAGTTCGTCTTGCCGGTGTGACCACCCCAAATGATTGCGTAGGATATACTCCCGCGTAAACAATTGCGACTGTGGAAGGCTTGCTCCCGCTCTGATCTCCCCTGACTGCTATTGTGACCACCAGCTTAATAGTATGGGCCATGAAATTTCTCGCGTGATGAGATCTTACTCAAATTGGTGGGTAGCTACGAAGGGGCCACGAGTGAGGAGGACTGCTGTAGTTACGTGATCGTTACGTAGGATTTTGTGTGCTCTGCGATTCATGCAGGACGGATTCATGGCAGGAGACTTACTTGCTGGGGTGGGAGTGCCACGTCTACGTCATGGGATGACGGGTTCATCGCAAGCCAATCACCGAGCTGCCGCAATCAGGCATTTGAAGCTTAAGCTTATCGTCGCCACATCCACAAAGCTTGCCAAAGCTTCATGCGAAATGCCCACCTCGAGCATACGAAGTCGGCATCGACTGTAACCGTCCACATGGCGGCATTTTGCCCAAGACATCGTGGCAATTGGAAAATTAGCAGCAGGTCTTGCGATCCTGCCCTACGCCAGCATTCGCAGCGGTCCTCACGATCAGCGCCCATGGACCGGTCTTGACAGGTTTCCCGGTCTCTCTCTCCGGAAGCATTCGCTTTCATGCATCAGATCGCCAGTGGTCTGCCTAATCGGCGAACTAGAATGCTGCAAGCCCTGGTAAAAAAGTACCGCCGCTCCGCGTCATTTCAGATGCCCTTGTCTCACAAGCTCGACACCTTCGCCACCCGATCACGAATCGTTCAATTGCTGGCAACACAGGAAGGAAAGCTCTGTCGTCCCAACTGACAGCATTCAACGTGCAGCTCGTTGCTTTACCCCAGAGTTTCCCCGGAGTTTACAACTTGGCGCATGTCCTCTTTCGCGCTATTTGGTAATGGTTCCGCTGAAGACGGTCGGAACTGAGAGTGGCTGGCAAGACCCTGGTTGTTATGGGCAGGTCCCCGTACGAAGTAGCCTAGAGTGCGCTAGTGCGTGGGGCACATTTTGAGGCAGTTGTGATTTCGGAAACCTGCGCTCTTTCGGGGGCTCCGTTGCTTAGCCTCCATCGGCAATGGATGCGGCTCAATTTACATGTGGCTGAAGCGTGGAGCGTGGGCTCCAGCTTTTTCCAAGCACGCTCCTCACTCGTATCTTCGGCCTGCTTCAAATAGATCTCCCAGGCTCCGACCCCGTGCATTCATCTTGCGGCTTCAAAGTCAAACTCTGATATGATGCACAACAACTTTGAGATGAATCCTGAAGATCTCAGATACTTAGCGATGATTAATCCCCAATCCCCTAGATCTGCTCTTGAAGTGGCGGCCTCCCTGCATGGTTGACTGTGAATCCGGGGCTTTAGTGGGTGATCCACAGTGACATACCCAGATCCAATTAGCGTACGCTCAGATGAACGACCATTACACTAAGGTAGCGTGGCTCCGACCTTATCACCAGGCCCCGACGTACTCCCAGGGCAATCACGGTTAGCGGATGTTGGCTTCGGAGGCGTTCATAAACTGTCCGCATGTCGTCCATCTGCGATGATCTAGCAGCTTTCCAGTTGTCCTCACAAGTCATAAGTTTCAGATTTATGCGCACATAGTGCCTCAGGCGTTCATTCTCCCTCTATTTCGCAATGGCTGAGTTCAGGGATTCTCACTACCCAGACACTGAAAAGAATAATTATGACGACAATGGCATCCACCCAACAACTTCCGTTCAACATGGCACCGCGCGACGCGTTTCCATCACGGACGCCGTCTTTGGAGAGATTAATGAAGATGGCCCGAACTACCGTGCCGTAGGTTGCCTCTACTGGTCGATTCTGAACAGATTGTTAACACTAGCAGGTGGGTTGGAAAGGTACTGCCGTGCTCATGTTGAAGACACAGATTGGTCTTGGTGTCCTCTCCATTCCAGCAGTCTTCCACAGCCTCGGTATGATTCCTGGTGTGATCATTATCTTGGTCATTGCTGTCATGACAAGTTGGTCCAACTATATTGTTGGTGTCTTCAAGATGAACCACCCTGATGTGTATGGCATCGACGACGTTGGTCGCAAACTCTTCGGACGTCTCGGCTACGAGTTCTTTGGTATCACATTCGCCTTGTACTGGATCTTCGTGGCTGGCTCCGGTATGCTGGGTATTTCCACCGCACTGAATGCTCTCTCGTCTCATGGTGCCTGTACTGCTGTCTTTGTCGCTGTGGCTGCTATCGCTGGTTTTGGTTTGGGCAGCATCCAGACACTTGGAAAGATCTCCTGGCTCGCATGGGTCGGTGTCGTCAGCATTCTCAGCGCGAGTAAGTGCTCGACAAATCTCATAAGTGCTGAAAGTGTCATAGCTAACTTTGGATGCAGTCTTGACTTTGACCATAGCCGTCGGCATCCAGGACCGTCCGGCTGACGCACCCCAGACTGGTCCTTTTAAATCAGATTACGAGCTCTTCGGTTCCCCTACGGCCGCCGACGCTTTCGCCTCGATCTCCTCCATCGTTTTTGCATACGCAGGAACCCCAGCTTTCTTCAACATTGTGTCTGAAATGCGCGAGCCTCGTCACTACACCCGCGCTCTCATCGTCTGCCAGGGAACTATGACCGCAGTCTACATTGCCATTGGATGCGTGGTCTACTTTTTTTGTGGATCGTACGTCTCTTCTCCAGCTCTTGGCTCGGCCGGACACGTCATGAAGAAGGTCTGCTATGGCCTTGCCCTCCCCGGTCTACTGGTCAGTACCACGCTCTTCGTGCATTTTGCGGCCAAGTACTTCTTCATGCGTATCCTTCGAGGTTCTCAGCATCTTACACGCAATACTGCAACGCATTGGATCACATGGATTGGCTGCACAGCTGGAAACGCCATTATTGCGTACATCGTTGCCAGCGCCATCCCCGTTTTTGGCGGACTCGTGTCCCTTGTTGGTGCACTTCTCGGTACCCTCATGTCTATTCAGCCTATGGGTTGCATGTGGCTTTACGACCACTGGCGCGATTCAAGGAGTGGAAAGTGGTATTTCATGGTGGGTTGGTGTGGTTTTATGATTATCGGAGGTTGGTTCCTTACCATTGCGGGAACATACGGCAGTATCGTCGGTATCATCGACAGCTACAATGCGTCCGGTGGATCATCGGCTTGGAGTTGCGCCGATAATTCGAACTCCTCGTAAACTGGGACCAAAAATTCTCGTTCCGGATGGTACATCTCGGCAAGGCACTATGAAAAATGTGTCAATGAAACCAGAGTGCTCTCGGAGGACCTTTGTACGAAGTGTCACATGATCCGTATCGCGCGATAGAGAGATGGTAGAAGCCTTGAGCAAGCTTAACAGCAGAGAAAGAGGCATGATATCAGATTGCTGTAATTGGAAGTTAGGCGTGATGCCGCAATGATAGCGGCATAATCCTCCCAATAGATCTTTGCGCTTTTTCTAGCCAACGTATGAACAAGACCTATTCTAGTTGCAACTGAGTCTCTATCTTGAGCTTTATGTCTATCTTCGCAGCCTCTAGCGTGTGCTGGGACAAAGTTGCGTTGTGCATTGCAAGATTATTAACGAATTAGTTAAGACACCTCTGTTGCTTTTGGCAAGCGGTATTGACTAATTGCTGCTTACTGCTTGTGAGGCTGTGGATTTAGATCGTCCCGACAAGTGGATGCAAGGTTGCCGGGTGCCAGGCTCTTTGATTTAACTGGGGAGATAGTCAGTATCGATTGGCCCAAGCCTTATAACCGTGCAATTTTTACGTAGACTTTCGTTAGCACCACGTTGTAGCCAGCGGGTTCAGAGTCGTGGATAAAGGCACTCGGGGCTAGAAGATACCATTCCGGTAGTATTCTCTTATAAGATTGCAGATACATAACTTCACACCATGTCCTTCTCATGGTACTGCCACTGCGCTGCAGGGATCGGTTGCGTCTTTATCACGTCAATTCGCGAGTCAGACACTCTCGGAATGCAGCAGATTCGAGGGAGTGCTGTGATCTGCTCTTCGGATGTGCTTTTGTGCCTGTTGGATTTCGTTTGCACGGTCAACATCGCGACTTCATCGGGCGGACTGTTGCTCCTCTGCTCGTGGTAGGGAGGCCTGGTCACGGCAATGCCCGACACACTGTAGATGCTCACAGCTGATCCCAGCCGTTCATGGCCAGTTCGAGACTCAGAGAAGCGAGTGGACTGCGTGGAGCTGCGATTCCAGAAAGCGCTCATGAAGGTTCCTCGTACGCCAGAGCCTAATGTAAGTGGCTCAAGATCTTTGCCCATACTCTCGTTGGATACACCAGTGGTGTTTGCAGAGATATCGATCCATGAATTTGGCTTGCTCCACTTGCGCTGCTCGGGTGGTATCGCCTGCTGTGGTGTAGGGCTCCTCTTGTCGCTTCTGTTGCGAAAATGGTGGGCGATGTTTGAAAGACAGTCTTTGACGCGCTTCGGTAGCATCCTGAAAAAAAGCACTCTTATGGATGGCAGAGACACGCAAAGAAAGCCAGCTGCTAGTTCGAATTCGGTCCATACTGTGATCGGTACGTAGTCCCAAGACGGGTCAATGGACATCTTGAACGTATTGAGGGATGGCAGTCGCATGATAGCCGCGATACAGCCAAATGTACCAATGATAAACATGGTTCCGACTGCGATCTTGCGACGGCGCTTCATCTGTAGGTTGCGTATGAAGACCAAAGGCAGTATCAAGAGGATTATGTCCTGTACGATGGCGGATGCTGAGTTGGCATATGCCGCTGCCTGGATGTCGATACATTTCCCCTTGATGTCGCGATTCCAGAACGAGGGGACCGGGTTGCAAGCGAAGATGATGATAAAGAAGATCACGGAGCTGTTGACGACCAAGTACGCGAGGAACACGTATGCGGAGATCTGAAATCTGCGCGTTTTGAAGATCCCGAGATACAACAAGACTAATGAGATCTTGATCATACACAGTACAACGACATAGGTTGACCACGAAATGTACACTGCCTTCAGTCAGTACAACGACCAGATTGAGGTGAGGGAAGATCCTACAATTGCGCACGATTGGTAGCAATTTGCCGTCTTCCAAGTTCCACAAGTGCTCCCCAAAGCCTTTCAAGGCCATGTCGATAACACAACCGAGTGGTATGGCGGTCAAGAGCAGTGCCGCAACCACCACGGCATCGTCCCAAGCAAGCCTTTTAGACACAGCTTTGCCAGCAACCCTCAGCACAACAGACAGGAAAGCAATGGAGTAGACTATGCTCGTGTAAAAGATCACCCCCTGAGTCTTAGACTCGTCTGAGAGATTGCACAGGTCGCCTTGGACGCGTGAGGTGTCTTGGAGAGGCTTGTCAGCTCATGTTGCATGTCAGAGTCGTTTAAAAAATCGTACCCAATGAATCCTGCATCGTGCAGTTGGCTAATAGACATGCAGCAACGTTGTACTCGAGGGAGTCGCTCGCGCAGATGCAGTCACTATCGGTTCCTTCGCATCGACTTGAAGGGAGCACCAGGGAGAGACATCGAAGCTGTAGTCCATCAGCCAGGACTCATTTATATCGTCAAACTTCAACATACGCCACATGCGGGAATGTCGGCTATGGTAAGCTCCCTTGACTCAAGTTGATGTCCCTGGACCTGGAGATTGAGAAGTGCCAATAGGCATACGAGCGCGGCGACCAGCGAATATACGCCCATGTCGTCGAGATTTTACTTGCGAGAGAGCGAGACGTACTGCTTGAATGGTTTGCGGCGGTCATGGCCATTTTGATACGCAAGAATTGTGACGCCCGGGCTTCATAAACTTGAACGCCCTCTTAACCTTATCGAAAAACCTGTCGACCTGAGTTCGGCAGCACCGGATGTCAACTTCCAACGGTCTTGCCAGCATATCAAAGCCCATCATACCCTCGCCTGGGTGTGTCAGGGGCAGGTACAACTCGCGCCGTTGAGGTTAAAAGCCACAGGAGTCGAGCGTACGAACAACAGGTGGACCCTTTGCCGCTTGGATGAACTTAATTCTTCGTTGGGCGGGTTTGGCAACTAGCAAGCATGGCAGAGCTTTTGTGATGGCGACTGAAGATCTCCCATATTGTCCATCTTTGGTTCCAGGGATCAGGAGGTCGAGAGAGCGAACGACTGCAACGAGCTCAACACTTGCCACACCAGTCTTGCGACTCTGAGTCTTGAACAATCAGCTATAATTATTATTGACTTGACTCGCTTGGTTTCGCTTCTCGAACTTTAATAGGCAAATCTCGGGTGATGGTCTGCAGCTAGCATATGCTGATTGGAGACCGCTCTGCAGTGAAGATCTTCAGAACCGTGAAGGCTGAGCGGGTGAGACGAAAATATCTCCCGTAATGTGTTGCAGATCAGGCATGCCCGATAAGATATGAAGGGACATGGATGGAGCTCGAAACACTGACAGAGGCGGGTGGAGTGCCGGAAAACAAGTGTCGCTGATGTCGGCAGGTTGCATAAGAGCCGACTTCAGATTTGTCATAGTGGAGGTTTCCAACGACAGGAGTGATGTGGTCTGTGAAGCGTATTTCGAAGCCTGTGAAGCGTATTTCGAAGCCTGTGAAGCGTATTTCGAAGCCTGCCAGCCAAAGGAATGCAGAGCTGTGCGATCAATATGGCGAAGAGAACAAGGACATCGTTCAATCTGCATGCTGCAGGTTCGAGATCGAGTGCGAGTGTGAGTAAGCGTGAACAAGCAGGAGGGAATCTGGCGCGGGGCGAGGCCCGCCACCGCGACGTGGTGAGCTAGTGTTTCAGCCCAGTGAACGCTCGTTCGAGCGAACTCTCAGTCAAGCAAATTCTCGTTCAAGCGAACTCTCAGTCAAGCAAACTCTCGTTCAAGCGAACTCTCATTCAAGCAAAGTCTTGTTCAACCGAACTCTGTTTCCTCGATATCAGTGCAAACCTCACGGTCATATTCCGACACGGCCGGCAAATGCTGTTCTTGTGCACGATGAAGATCAATTCCGCGTAATCTACCTACCTGGGTGTCATCAACTGGTCCTCTTTCAAAAGAGTATTATCGAGCAGGAAATATTAGACATCATACAGCGACTTCCTGTAGCTCATGTCCGGCCGCCTGGGCTACACTCCATCGGCCTTCGTTCCTCGTAGACAAGAGCAGCTGCAGCAAGCATCGTCCTTGCCATCATTCTCTGCCCTGCAGGTACCGCAGTGCCATTTCGGTTTGGGCCTTCCGGCTCCATCTCCGCCTTTGCTATTCACTGATTTGGACATGGTGTGGATGCCCATTGTGGCCTCACTCGTCGTACCAGCCCATGAGTTTGTCGATTTGTTGTTGCTGTGTTGTTACTAATGTGTTCTGGTGTGTGTGGTGGACTGCAAGATACTGTGTACATATGCTTGCAGGCATTCAAGTGTTCATCTTCAAGGCTGTGCATGCAAAGGAGAAGGGCGTCTCCGTCAAGTTGGACTTTCGAAGCTCTGTGATGGACATCCACAACTCTGCGCTGGAGTGCTCGAAGTCCTTAGCAGAGATGGAGGAACTGTCGCTGTGCACAGCGTGGGTGCTGACCCAGACTAGTATGTCGACACGGCGGTTTGACACAGTGTACCTGCTTGTTTCGCCCAACGAGACCTTGGTGTACACCTTCCAAGTTGTCTGACAGTCAGCTGAAACGGTCGCTGCGACCAGACCGGCAGTACTGATCTGCGCAACAGAGACTCCATGTCTGATCAGTTAGCTATTGGCGTAATGGAAGTCGGCACGACGCTTGGCGTCGTCTTCATCGTGTATGGTGTGAATTAATTGGGGTTGATCGATTAGATATGAAGCGCCCTCGTGTACCTGCAAACCAACACTACCCAACAACAAGACCATGGATGGGTTGAGATGACGTGTCGTATGGGGCAGCCGATGTGTGTTTATGGTTAATTGCGGTCAGATTCTCGAGGAAGCTGCCCAAATAGGCGCGCTAGTTTCTGAGCTGTGATTGGCGCGCTGGTGTCTGAGCTGTGATTGGCGCGCTAGTGTCTGAGCTGTGATTGGCGCGCGACAGCTGTCACTGCGACACCTAGTACCCCCAGACTCGACACATGCTCAGCGCCCACGCTCCTTCCGCTGCCTCGGTGCCGCCATGACGTCCATGGAGACTGAACTCCTCAACAAGTACAACCTCACGACGCTGCACCCCACAGCATGGCCGGCGGAGAAGGATGCGGCGGACGAGGGCGAGCTCTCGGAGGATGAGCGCGCCGCCACAGCGCAGGCGGTGCGGCGGTCGCGGTCGCGGTACTCTGTGCTGGAGGACCGGTCGCGATTCTCGCGGCAGGTTCCGGGCGCCGAGCGGTCGAAAGACGGCGTGGAGACGCTGGTGCAGAAGGACGAGCAGGACCCGCTGGGCATGTACCCGAGCGTCGTGCAGGTGTTGCGGGCACGCAACCTGGCCGTCGAGGACGACATCAAACTGCGTGCGCATGCCCCGAGCCACCACCACGCACCGCCGACAGCTGCTGACACGGCAATCCAGGGAATCGCTTCCTCCTCAGCTCGACCACCTTCTCGCCGTCCCTCTTCCTCTCCCAGGTCCACAGCGATGCCTCGACCGACACGCTCCTCCAGGGCCTCGACTTCCTCTCGCGGTCCATCGAGCAGAAGTCGGCCTCGCTCAAGGTCCTAGTCGAGACCAACTTTGAGCGCTTCGTCGGCGCCAAGGCCACCATCGACCGCGTCTACAACGAGATGCGCGCCCAGGGCAAGGACTCTGAGCCGCCCAAGCCGACACACGCACGCGGGGCCAGCCGCACGAGCTTCTCCGGCCGAAAGGCCAGTGTGTCGCTGCACCCTGTGCCCGTGGAGAAGAGGAAGAACGCGCTGGTCAAGGAGAGCGAGTACGGCGTGCACGGCATCAAGGTGCCCCTCACCGAAGTGGCCGTCAAGGCCGAGGAAGTCTGGGGCCCTGCCCTGGGTGGCCGCGACAAGGAGGAGACGCTGAAGGCCATTCTCGATTCGCTCGAGACCAACCGCGGGCTGTTCGAGGTGGCGTCGACCATCCAGGACGCCATTCGCAGGAAGGATCACGAGACAATCGTCGAGGAGTACAAGCGCGGCCGGAAGTACACTGAAGATGCGAGGTACATTGTGGAGCAGGCCAACTACTCGAAGCTGCCCCTCACCGATGCCCAGATACACCAGATCATCGTCACGGCCAGAATGTGGGCAGACGTCGAGCGCCAGATCGAGCAGTTCAAGAGAGACGCATGGAAGAGACTGGCGGCGTCGCATTTCACGAAGCATCAGACCGCCACAGACGACGCAAAGTCAGACGAGTACATGAGTCTGATCTCAATCATGCTCGAGCTGGGAGTCGAGGACAACCCTATATGGATCTGGCTGCTTTCCCGCTACGAGCACCTCAAGTCTCGCCTCAGCACTCTCTGCGAGCGTTCTCGTGTTGAGATTGAGATCCTGCGTCGGCATCTGGCTAATGCCGAGAAGCCAACCTTGCGATCAGTGCAGAAACACTTGCGCGCAGTACCCATCAGCACCAACGCGACAGCCGAGCCCTCCAGGCTGGATGCGCCCAAGGTGATCGAGTTCTGGGAGCATGTGCATGCTGCCATGACAACTCTGCTCTCTACCAAGGGCGGTCTGCTCGGTGAGCTGATCGAGTACTGGGATATTGCGCAGTCGTTCATGAGCGGTCGAGCTCAGCGCAGCATGCCGACTGGTTATCAAAACCAGTCTTCGGTCCACCACAAACTTACAGATCAAAACAAGATTGAGCTTGAGCAAGGCACGGCTGAGCTGATCAACATGATCCGCGAGCATCTCTACTCCTTCTTCTCCGATCCACCGATCGAGGACGTTTCTGCCCTCTTCTCGCCACTGCCCACCACGCCGACGCCGACTACTCCGCGAACACCCCTTACAGCTGCTCTCAGTCCCACAGCAGGGTCGCGGTTCAGATTTGACCCCAACAATGTACCGCCGCCATCACCGAGCCGTGGCGAGGCATGGGAGAAGTACGCTTTCTGGCCGCCTCATTCAAACGCCCTCTCCGGCTCGCACTACCTGTCCAAGTCGCTCATCTTGATCGGCACAGCTGCAAATGAGCTTGCGTCTCTGCGTCTGCCGGCAACAGGATCCAGCTCGCGCCTTGACGAAGCATTACGTCTGCTGGTTGGCGGAGTTCGCGAGCGCTGCGTATCAGCCATCTGCGCTGCCTGGAACGCCGATGCCGAGAAGCTGAAGGTGCTAGAGGACTGGACGCGCAACGCCGACCGCAAAGACACGACGAACCTGCCCCAACGCTTCCTAGCAGTGCAGTCCTTCCTGCTCACCCACCTGCAGAAGATCATGTACGTTGAAGCATCAAGCAAGACATCCGTCGACGTGGTCGTACCCCCAAGCAGCAAGCTGCTGCAGATGCTCAGAAGCCAGTTCGTAACCAGCTTATACCGTACGTTGAGCGGGATGGTAGAGTGCGCAGAATTGGGCCGCACGGCTCTCGGCTCCGACTTCCAAACCAAAGGCGACGATCTGACTATCGACGGCGAAGAAGAAACGGACGACTCGTGGGGCAAAGTCGACGCCAACAACAAGGTAACTATGACCACCACGTCTAAGCTCAATTTGACATGGCACTAACGTCCACAGCCTACGCGCCTCCTCCTCACGCTCTCCAACATGTCACACTTCCAATCCATCATAACGCCACACCTCCTCTCGCTGTTCGAGACGCTCTTCAGCGTCCAGCTCACCGACGAAACCGCGCGAATCCGGGACGTCCTGTCGCAACTCGACACGCAGCTGTTCAAGTCGTACACCAAGCCGCACGCGCTGCAGATCCAGACGTGGATCGAGTCCGGCATCTTCTCGCCGTCGTGGGCGGCGGCGGCAGCAGAACGCGGCGGGCGCGTCAGCACGCTCGATCCCTCGCCGTACGTGTCGACGGTGCTTCTGCACCTCGTGACGGTGCACAGCGTGACGTCGACGACATCGCCGGGATCGGCGCTGACGCCGCGCATCCTCAAGGCCCTCTTCGAATCGACGACGGCGTCGCTGATCGGGACCTTCTCCTCGCCGCGGCTGCCGAGCATCTCCCTGCCACAGCTGATGCAGGCGACGCTCGACGTGGAGTTTATTTCGCAAACGCTGGCGACCTACACGACGGACGTGGCGAGCCAGACGCAGACGGACATCTACCAGGTGCTGGACCAGAAGACGGACAACGGGGCGCGGGTGGCGTTGCAGGACGAGCTGGGCGGGCTGCGGGTCGGGCTGAAGCGGTTGAGGGAGGGGACGCGGGGGCAGTTCAGCTGTTTCCGCCGCGTCAAACGGGGGACGGTGGCGAGCCCGAATCTCGGGGAGGAGGAGAGGGGGAGGCGGTAAAGGACGAGCACATCGTGCCATGGTCAGACATGACACCACTTGATTATATCGCATTGTACATTTCGTGCCATGGTGAGACATGACACCACTTGATTATATCGCGTTGTAGACATCATGCCATGATCAGACATGACACCACTTGATTATATCGCGTTGTAGACATCGTGCCATGATCAGACATGACACCAATTGATTGTTTTGCACTGTACATGCTGTGCCATGATTAGACATGACATTACATGATTATATCGCGTTGTAGACGTCATGTCGTGATCAGACATGACACCACTTGATTATATCGCGTTGTAGACATCGTGCCATGATCAGACATGACACCAATTGATTATTTTGCACTGTACATACCGTGCCATCAGACACAAGACCACTTGATTATTTTGCATTATACATAACTATCGTGCCATCGTCAGACATAAGATCACTTGTATGCGTGGGTATCAATAAACAGGTATAAAGTAACAGCACTAGTGGGCGGCAGAGGCGCTCCTCGAAGCGTTCCTCATTTTGGGCGAAAGAAGGCTGGGCACGAGTGCAATCTTGTACGTAGGGATGCGGCGCTGGCTAGAGTTTGCGCTGCCGTTGGCCTTTGCCGGTGCAGATGAGGGTGTTTCATTCGCGTTTGCTTCAGGCTCTTTGGGTGTCTTTGGGTTGCTCGAGTCTGCGTGTGTAGAGGAGGCAGACCCTGGCGTGAGTGCTGCGATGTTGTTCTGCAATGTTCTTGAGACTGTGTCTCTTGTTATTTCTCGTGTCTTCGCCATGTCGATGATCGAGTCACATCTGCGCTGCTGAGGTGGGGTCGGTGTGTCTGGCGTGGTGGGGGAGGCGGGCTTCGACGCCGTCGGCGTGGTGTCGTCGTCCCCGTCCGTCCCGTTCGTCCACGACCCGTGCTTCATGAGCAAGGGCGACGGTGAGCCGGTGGTTTCCGAGGCATTGGCGATCAGGTCGTCTGATGAGCCCGCCGTCTGCGAGAAGTCGGTGGGCGGCGTCAGCGTGGCAAAGGGTGTAATGCCCAGGCCTTGGATCTTGGCAGCCGCGACCGTGTCCTGTCTCTCGATGTTGTCTGGCTCAGTCGCGGTTGGCGATGGAATGTCAAAGTCATCGTGTGACTGTGTCGTCTTTCCGTTTTGTTGCGCGCCGTTGACCGCCAAGCCTGCTGCTTGAGGTGCTGACCCAGGGCTCTTCCACTCTGGGTGCGGCAGCCTGCCAATCATGTTCAGCCGCCCTGTGCCTGCGCGCGCCCACTCCCATATCCCTCGCCGCGGCGGTGACTGATGCGCCGATCCAGTTGTCTCCGCCCTGCCCTCGCGCCGGGGCTCATGCGGCGGAGGGTGAGACCCGCCTTCTGAGCTTCGGCGGGGCTCGTCGAGGGCTGGAGGTGGCTTTGGCGCCTCCGGTGTGATGGCCCTCTTGAGCCTGTCCCAGTCCTTGGTGGCCTCCGGGCTGGGAGGACGACTCGCGACGGCCGTGTCCGCCGAGGTCCCCGCGGTCGACGTCGCCGGGCTTGTGAGGCGACGGAGTAGAGGAGCGGCGCCGGAGCTTCCGGGGCGAGGCGGGTGGGCTGACTGCGGGCGAGGCGGGTGGAGAGGGGGGCTCGGCGGGCCGCAGCTTGTGGAGGGTGCTGCTGACCTGGCGCAGGAGCGGTCGGCGCGGGCTTTGGCCTTGGGCGCTGATTAGTGTTAGGTACTACGAGCCGCGGGACGGGAGTCGGAGGGGGCTAGTCACCGTGCTTGGCCGTGGCCTTAGCCCTGGCCCTGGCCTTGATGTTGGTAGTGACGTTGCAGTGCGGCCTGTCGTCGTGGTCGTGGTACTCGCACTCGCTGCCCCTCTCGGTCGGGTCGGCGAGCAGCATGCCGCCGGTGCCCTGGCGGATGGCGTGGACCAGCTCGACGGCGAAGTCGGGGCTGCCGGCGAAGCAGCGGCGGTACGCGTCCGCGGGGTGGTCGCTGTCGGGGTCCATAATCTGGCGGGCGGCGATCTGGACCAGCAGGCGGCGAAAGGGCGAGCCGGGCGGGCTCTTGCGGTACAGGTCGTCAAGCTCGTCGGCGTCAGGGACCAGCCGCGACTCGTTGAGTCCCCGGCGGAACTGGTCCATGGCCACATTCTTCAGCGGTGCCATGTCGAGGCGCTCGCACAGCAGGTAGAGGCCGTGGCAGCGGACCGCGTACTCGTACTGCTGCGTCGCGTCGGGGAGATCGGCCACGTCGTCGAGCGTGCCCTGATACAGCCACTTGACGAGCAGCTCGAAGCCGGCGGGATCGTGTTCGGGCAGCTCCAGCGCGTCCTTGCGGTCGGCCGGCCCGCTGCCCTCGAGCTCGGCCTCGAGCTGCTCCGAGTGGTGGCAGAGCAGAGTGCGGTGCAGCGTCCAGCGGCGGCGCGCCTCGCCCACGTAGATGTCGACCATGGGCCCGGAGAGCAGTCTGTCGCGGTGCAGTTTAGCCTTTGCGCGCACATGCAGCCGGTGCGAGTAGAGCCGATGCGACAGCGCCGGCCGCACCGTGAGACAGCGCGCGCGAGGCGCTTCGTGGGCGTCCACGTCAGATAACGCCTCGCCCGGCGCGCCGCCGTCGCCGTCGCCGTCACCGTCAAGGAAAGGGTCGTCTACATACTCAGCAAAGGTTTGCGCGGGCACGTGGCCAATGTTGCCGTTCGCCATTCGCAGCCGCGGGGTGCTGTATGCAAAATCACGATAGTAGACAAGCCGCTCGTGCCATCCCATGCGGCGCGGTGATGGCGGTGATGGCGGTGATGGCGGTCATGTGCAGAGACACATTCTACGGCAGCTGTCGACGCCTGACATGCAGCACGAGAACGGCCCCGGTAGGTGACCGCCTTGGAACGGCTGGGGGAGTGACGTCGTGGCTGGCAGCCAATCAGCTTCTGCTGCACGACCAGCTTCGCGGCTCACCACCACCACCACCATCACCACCACCACCATCACCACCACCACCATCACCACCACCACCATCAACACCACCACCATCAACACCACCACCATCGAGTGCCTGCCACTGCGAACAGTCGTCTCAGCACAGTCCCCAAGCAACAGACGATGCAGCTAGCTCATCCAAGTGTGTAGTATTTTAGCGCATAGCTGATGCTAGCTAGCTGGTTGCTGTGCGTCTCCAGCTGTCATGTAGTCTTAGATATCGTCCATAGCGGTAATGGCAATCCAGGATCCATCAGAGGTCGGCACTCGGAGTCACGATACCTGCCACGCGCGGCTAGGCTTGCCACCGTTTGACCGTGTGATACTCACGCAGCGCGTACCTAACGTACTCCACAAGCATGCCGGTCACCCAAGTGTACCGGTCACTTTTGCCAAGACCACACCAAACTTCACTCTACTAACAATGCCTCAACGCAGCAACATAAAAAAGCTCTCTAATGAAGCAGACATACAGCTTGCTCTCCAGGCTATCCAACAAGACGCGACGCTCTCTCAGCGACGCGCTGCAGCAATCTACAACGTCTCTCAAAGCACGCTTAGTGACCGACTTGCTGGAGCCACCCCACGCTGCGACTACACACCTAATACTATGAATCTTACAAAGAACGAAGAGGAGGTAATTGTCCAGCACGTGTTGAGGCTAGACGAGCGAGGATACTCGCCCCGGCTTGCTGATGTAGAGGATATGGCCAATTCTCTGCTTGCTGAGCGCCACCAGCCCTACGTTGGCAAGAACTGGGCTGCCAACTTTGTTAAACGTCAGCCAGAGCTCAAAGTCAAATTCAATCGCAAGTACGACTATAAGAGAGCTCTGTGTGAGGATCCTAAGGTGATTGGGGACTGGTTCCGACTAGTAGAGAATACCAAAGCCAAGTATGGTATACAAGATGAAGACACCCACAACTTTGACGAATCTGGCTTTATGATGGGCGTTATATCAACAAGAGCTGTTGTTACAGGCTCTGAGCGTCGAGGGAGACCAAAGACAGTGCAGCAGGGCGACCGAGAGTGGACCAGCATCATCCAAGGCATCTGCGCGAAGGGCTGGTCTATCCCACCCTTCATCATCTTCTCTGGCAAGCACCACCTCTCTGCCTGGTACAAGGAGCCTAGTATACCTGACAACTGGGTTCTCAATGTCTCTGACAACGGCTGGACCAACAACGAGCTTGGAGTCAAGTGGTTGAAGCACTTTGATGAGCACACAAAGGCGCGCACTGTTGGCAGCTATCGGCTGCTCATTCTGGACGGCCACGAGAGCCACAACTCAGTCGAATTCCACCAGTACTGCGAGGAACACAAGATTATTACCCTGTGTATGCCTCCACACTCGTCGCACCTACTACAGCCACTTGACGTAGGCTGTTTTTCTCCGTTGAAGAAGGCCTATGGCCGCCAAGCTGAGCGGCTAATGCGCAGCAAGATTACGCGTATCACTAAACTTGAGTTCTTGCCGTGCTTCAAAGCAGCTTTTGACGCCTCAATCACAGAGAGTAACATCCAGGGAGGATTCAGAGGTGCTGGCCTAGTCCCACTTGACCCAGAGGCTGTGCTATCGAAGCTTGAAGTACGGCTGCGCACGCCAACGCCACCTACTGTGGACAACAGTACGTGGGAGTCTAAAACACCAAGCAACACCCTGGAATTTGGGTCTCAATCGAAGCTGATTCGAGAGAGGATTCAGAGACACGCTGATAGCTCGCCAACGTCTATGGTTGACGCTCTTAATCAGCTCACTAAAGGCGCAGAGCTGATGGCGCATTCACTGGTTTTAGTGCGCAACCAGGTTGCTGACCTACAGGCAGCCAAC